GAATGTAAGAACCGACAGGATGAAAACTTAAAAGAGCATAAGACGAGGCGAGGCGGGGCGAGTTACGTTCGGTGAAGCCTGAAGGGGTGAGTACGTGATGAAGGATCCCGATCGATCGTGCGCGCTCACGGCGAGAGGAGCCGATTGCAGTGGGGTTCCGTCCAGGGGTGATTCTCGGCGCGGAGGAGAGGAGGAGAGGTATGTGAGGAAGTATGTACTATGAGAAGCCGCGGCGGGAGCCCCAGTTGGTGTACTGGTAGAGTTGACGAGTTATCACGAGTCACGGTATGCACTCGCCCCGGGATGGGCCATGATCTAGAGTATCTGACAGGTGCTTGGACGCTCTCGGTAACTAACGTGAATAACATCGAGTTCGAGTGCGTGGTCCGTGGATACCTGCGGCCGGCGGTCCCTCCCGTTACCGCTGCAACGGTAGCCTGAGTCAACCCCTTGGTATGCAATGTGCGGGTCCCAGTCGAGGATCGAGGATCGTGGGGGGATCGAAGCGACAAAGCTTAATTGGAAGATTGGAATGTGAGTAACGAACTGTCGAACTGTCGAGGAGTCAGACAGTCGGACAGTCGGACAGTCGGACAGTCGGACAGGTGATGCCGGGCGGCGGGCGCCCGGGGAATGCAAAGTTCGAAAGTAGCCTCGCTCGTGGAGTCGTTGCTATTATGTAGGTTTGTACTCATCAGATTATCACTCGCCCCTCCCAGTGTTCGCCGCGCGCGCCAAAGCCGCAATCTGGTCGACGTCTGTAGGCTGTGTTCGGAACCAACTTGGGATGCCCGGGTTCGTCGCGACGATAGACTTCTCGGGATCGTATTTCAATTGCGGCCTACTGATAAAAGCGGCCATATGAGGAGATTCGGGAATTGCTCCGCTTGGGTCGTGTCACCGAGCTATGTATTTATCTATTTACTTGCTCTCGGATGGGAATGACGGAATTGATCGTCGCCAGCTACGCGATCCCGGTCACCCGGTGCCCGGCAACTAGTAACGATGGGAGGGAGGATTTCCAGATTCTGGAACCTTTGTTTGTTTGTTTCATATTCTAGCGACCCGTCTAGATCATGGCAACACATGTTGCAACTTACACAAGCCGTTTCCTGATTTACCTATTGTCCAACACAACTTTTGTGAGTTTTCGAACGGCCGAATGTGGCTTCCCCCGGCTGCCCTCCGCCCTAGCCGTTCCCAGAGGATTCGGGAACCCCATACCATCATGTCGACGGGGGATACTCTAGTTCACGAGTGACCGTGCCGTGTCCGTGGGTTACTGTTACTATTACAGAATCCGGCCAGGCATGTGATATCACTCGATAGACATCTGGGTTCTGATTGTCGACGTCCATTTCTTGGAGGTGGATAGGAGGCGGCGAGGCGGACTAGTGACTTGCGGTGGCGCAGGGATGAGTTGAGGGAGTGGACGAGTCGGGGAAGAACGGATGAGTTGAGGAGCTAGATATAGCCATGATATAGATAGGTCGCATGCAATCAATGAATGAACAAAAAAAAGATCCTGTAATCCCATAACATCACATCGTAATAGTAAACGCGATGATGTTCTTAAACGCGGTTAAGTCCCAGATACTTATAATTTGGAAGTAGAGGTGATAAATACGCCATTGTTATAGAATGCAGCAAGTTCACAGCGCCATATAAATCGCATGTATATAAAGCGGGCGACGATACTGGATCATGAGATGGATGGAAGAATCATCCAGACGCCCTGGTCTGAGATGCCAGGTTGTGGTACTTCGTCGTCGTTATTCCTGTCCATCGTAGCGCGCGGGGTGTGGGACCCAACACTTTGTAACTATCGAATTCATGTTTCTAGCACGGAAAAAACCCGCGTGACCTAGTGGTCACGTACCCGACGGAGTTAGCATGGACAGCGGTCCATCTATTGGGGTTTCCAAGCCACCCACCGGGGGTAGTGAAGGTTTTTTGTTCAAGATACGGTTCCGTTTTTTTCTTTAGTTTAATCATTACATTCGACGTCGGTAGAGTAGAGTAGATCATGGCAGATTACATATGCGTTTCCGCCCGGCTATCACCGCACGACTGCTGGCCGCGAGCTCGATACCGGTTCCTTATTGCTCTCCGCCTAACCCTTCCGTCGAGTCAAACCTCCCCACTCACCGCTCAGCCCTCCACGCTCAACACAGGCAAGAAAGAAAGAAAGTATCCAACGTCGCTATTAACCTCATCGCCGAGAAGCAGTGCCGCTTATGTACCGATGTGGTTCCGACAGACGACGGCATAGGGAGCTCGTACGTCAATCGGTCGTTGCTTGGAATGGCTTACTGTCGGTGCTTGACGGTGGATCCATATGCACTGAGGAATATGGCCTTGAGCCCTTGGCCTCGCGCGGTGGACACTGTAGGTTCCACAATGCTTCACAGCACATGGCTCGATCCTGTCGGTCTCTGTAGAGCTTTTGTCTGAAATCAATTCTTCCGAGAACTCCAGCACCCTTACTTCTACATTTCACTCTCATCAACCTTCATGCAACTGTGCGAAAACTACCAAGCCCCAGTTCCAGTCCCCTCCGGTTCCTCGAGCCCGGCACAATATCCGAGTTTACATAGTGGGCGCCATCTGCCCCGGCTCACATGATCATGGCACTCGATATGTAGCATGTCTCTGTGCATTTTGTGATGTTATCCTCCAAAATACCTACCTAGAGAGATGGTAGGATTTGATTATGCTCTAACCCGGTGAGCTGAAGTGCTGGGACGGATAGAGAGAGAAGGAAGCAATGTATTGTCGCATGCGGCCTATGTACATAGACCATGGCGACGCAGTGATGTGACCGAGAGAGAGAGAGATCTTCAGTTTATTTCGCATGCAGCCTAGGTATCTAGGCTATGGCGAACCGTCGCACTCGTTTTCTGCCGACTCTGGCTGGCCGGAGTGGAGACCCTCGACCCGCTACCGGCTAGCACGATGGGATGACTTTGGTTGTGAGTCTTGCGTTTTCAAGGGTCGTTCTGCTAGCTAGTGACGGTATCACTCGGCCCTTTGAAGCAAAACCCTAGCTAGGGCTTCTTCTCCTCCACACATTCTACTTCCCTTCCTTCTTCCTCTTCCTTCTTCCTCTTCCTCACCACCAACACCAACACCAACACCACTACCACCACCACCAGCAACAACACCACCATCACCACCACCAAACCATTCGACCAGCACCCGGACAGCACCACACTACCGGCGCCGATCGGATAGGAAGTACAGCAACATTCGTCCATACGTCACATCTTTGTTTTCAATACCTTGACTGTGACAACGTGGGTTGATTTGTGGGAACCTGGAGACCAACTGCACGACATCAACTGGACAACACCAACTGGACAACACCAACTGGACGACGCCAACCCGGACGACACCTCGACTGGGCGCTGTGTGGGGAGGGAGTGCGGACGTAATGCAGGCCGCACAGAAGAGTAAAAGACGTGATCACGTACCCCCGGTCCCGGCACGGACCAACAAATGCGGCACACACTGGACCTGGACCTGGAATTCACCTATGATCAATGGACGTATATAAAAAATGCATCCTTCCACCACGACCTCGGTTTTCAATACCCTGGTTGTGGTGGAGGCGAGTGTATGCAGACATACCGGCATTCGCCCGGGTACATGTAGTGTGGCACTGCCAGGCGCATAGTTTATCACTCACGCCCTCCACGTAAGCGGAGGTATTCGCCAGGTTCCACGTGCGTGCGGCCTGCAAAACCAACGAAGTGACGTTCACGAAGTTGAAATAACACCACGCCGTTGACACTCCGAGAGATACAACCAGCACCACAGCCTGGCGGAAGTTATGACTACCGGGCCCCGGCTACCCCGCTTCGTCCATTCGGCTTTTCACGAGTCACAAGTCACGAACCTCCGCTTCGATGACAAGCACTTCATTTATCCTCTCCATACACTGCTCCACCACACCCGCAAAATAAAGCCTAGCTACTCGCGCCTCCTCCTAAACAAGATCTTCTGCGCTGAGTTCGGATTGTTCAATTCCTCAAAGAATACACTCTTCGAGCTCTGAGACCAGACGAGATCATCGATGCGTGTCTGGGCTCCTCCGAACCCGTGGCTCACGTAGTCAGCAAGGCTGAGATCCGGGTGGTTCTTGATTTCGGCGAGGTATTTCCGCGGCGCCACCATGACTGGCCCGACCATACTCGGTACCCAGAAGATGGCGGATTCCCCAAGCTGGTGGGAGTCAGCACCTGGTTCGGATGAATGTCCCAAGAGAGAGAAAGCGGTACCTTCTATATCCCCTCCTGGATCATAGCCATGCATTGAAAGCCTCACGGGGTGCTTGGAACTGAATTTCCTTTGAGAGTCGCTATTGAGGCTTGTCGCGGAGGTTGAGGCATGTGAAGTCACTCGCGTACCAAGTGATGACGCGGAAGAGCCAGCGAAAACCACGGAGCAGCAGGTAGTTACGATAGCTTGGATTCCGTACTTAAGCTCTAGTATGTATGGAGAAACTAAAAGTTCCATTTTTACGGGAACAGATGTTGCGCATGGATGCCTCGAGCCGCGGCTAGCAGGTCCATGATTAGTAGAGCTAGCTACAGTGTTCGACGAAGTCCTTTCCCGGTACCGAGTGGGACGTGTGTACCAGCACGGGGTACCGGTACTGCCCACAGGAACGGGGGAATGGCCGCATAGGCCAGTACCGGACGGTGCCGCGCTTTACTGTAATCAACCTCATGCCGGGGGTACCGGCACCGGGTGTTGCGATGCAGTAGGTACCGTCATAATCAGCGCTGTATTGTAAGTCTGGCGCTGTGGGCTCACGGTATCGTCACACGCACTCTACTAGGTAGCCGGTACGGAGCAGTAAACGTCGATACTGTTTGGAACGAGCCGGGGGTGGAGAGCTCTAGTTTTCATGAATCCACTCGGTCACAAGTGGATTATAGTAAATAAAAACCGAATAAATAAACCTAGCAAAAGACAATACGCGAAATGTACCCTAGCTAGTTATAACTCCTCCTCTTAAACAAGATCTCCTGTTCTGGATCCGGATTAATCACTTCGTCGAAGGCAATACTCTTCGGCCTTTCCTTCTGGCCATCCGGAAACTTGAAATCATATTTCATCAATAAATGTGAGAGGATAATCTTGATTTGATTTCCAGCGAAGAACCTATGAAACAAACAACTCGTCAGTGAGGCGATAGGTTGCGGGAAAGGAAGGTGAAAGTACCGGCCGGGGCAAACATGAGCTCCATGACCGAAGGCGAAGAAGTTTTCGGAGGAGGTGACAAATTGGTGAGCGTTTTCTTGTCCGGGCTCTTGGCGCAGCTTGAGAGAGCGGAGGCCGTCGAAGGTGTCTGGGTCGCTATAGATTCGGGGGTCACGGAGAACGGTGCGGGATGAGACCTGGATGATTTGGCCGTTGTAGATCCTTAAGCCGTCGAAGAACTCAATGTCTTGAGTTGCTTTACGCTGCAGGGTCGCTGTGGCGGGGGTGTTAGCCATAAATGGTGACCGAGTCGGGGTTAGATCTTCCATACCGTCTTGGAGAGGATGGAGGCGCTGGCTCTCCTTCATGAAACTGTCCATCTTCTTCAACTTTCGTACTTCGCTCGCCGCGTTGAAATTGGCGCCTCCCAAGACCTCCCGTAGCTCTTCCCTTAGCAACTCTACATACTCCGGGTACTTGCACAGATCGTACACGAGGTGGGTCATAGTTATGCTGGTGGTATGGATCGCCACGAAGGCAAGAAACAGCTGGATATTCGCTAGGTCGGAATCCGGCTCCCCTTGGTTGATCGCCCACTGTAATACATCGTTCGGTTTGACGTAAGCATCTCCCTGTATCTTCTGTTGTTCTCGCCGCTCCTTCACGACGCCCATGATCAATGTGTCGGCATCATGGACTGCCTTCTTGAGCGCTCGGTAAGAGGGTAGACACCACTTTGCAATTGGTGCGAGGAAACTCCCGAATCTCCGCAGCTCTAGGCCGGCTGTCATGACGGTCGTGGTGTAGTTTATAGCGATGTCGAGCCAGCGCTGGTCGCGGCAGAGCGTTTCGCCGAGAAAGACGCGGGAGCTGACGCGTGCAATTATCTGCTGCAAGGTTGGATGCATTGTATGTGCGATCCATTCTGCATACTGTTAGACTTGTCGAATAGGTAAGTGGATGTGTAGGAAATTACCATCAGTCAAGGGGAGCTTAATATCCATTGCCGAAACCGTTTCTTCGGAGAGAGCGGCTGTAACATGGCTGAGCGACTGGGTAATGTTTTTCTTGATAATCTTAATGAGGTTTTGAGACCGGAAGAATTCATCGCTACCCGTCTGAGCTCCTCCAAATGCATCTCGGAAGTAATCCGCGAAGCTGAGGTCTGGGTGGTTTTTGACTTCCGCTAGGTATTTTCGTGGTGCTATCATGACTGGTCCGATTGAAGTCGCCACCCAGAAAACGGCAAATTCTCCGAGCTAGTTAGTATTAACAGGATTCTGTTAAGTTACGGTATCAGAGGGGAACAATACCTTCTGGATACCTTCCCGGATCACTGCCGCGCATTGCGTGCGGTATCGCGCCTGGCCTTTCTTGTAACCGTCCGGGCCAGGCGGCATACCCGAGAACACATACTCCCGTTGTTTCCTCTGAGAAACGGCCTTGTAGAGCCAATTGAGAAACACGGCAAAGGTACACGTTAAGAAGATAGTAGCCGATTGGCGATACTGCGGATTTGACGTGAAGGTTTCGAGAAGTGTCATGGTTGCTGTGTTTTCGAAACTACTAGATAAACATGCCCACAGCAACGGCGAAGTCAGCCCTTTATACGCATCTTCATCATCCTATCCCAGAAAAATCGGGCTCGCGCAGCCCCCCTCACGAATTCGCTTTACGGCTTCTCGAGATTCCCAACAACGATACCGCCTTAGTGGCGGTTATCTTGACTACTTTCCGCCATCAGCACTGTATACCTGAGCGATGGGGATCATTCTAATCTAGGGGCCTTCGAAGTTGATCACCACGGCCGAGCTGGGAAACCTAGCGCCGGCGTGGGGTAGATGTATGTAGTAGACACCGGGGTGCTATCTGATCCGTTTGTACATACAAAGTAGAAAAGGAACATTCTGTAAGTGGGTTTAACCGTGGGGGCAGATATCCGATGCCCAGAGGACTCAACAACCAGACCTACGAACAAGTCGGTAATTAAACTGGGCGGAGGCCGTGAGCCAGTCCATTTAGCAGTTATTTTTAGGCAGTTAATTTTGACGCGCAAGTAGTAGACTAGTGGGTGCAGTTTCTATCGGTACTCGAGCTGGTTGAACTGTGGTAGGCTGCTGATCTCCAGCCGAGGCCGCCGAGTCGAAGCGTGTCCCCGTACATTGACGCATACGGACAGAAGCCATATGTAGAGTTCGACGGCTAAGCTTGGCGCCTTAGTTGATATTAAAACAAGCCTCTTACCCGTCGCCGGTACCGAAAAAGTCTCCTGGCCCCCATAGCAGAACGTGCAAGAGCAATGATCTCCCTTCCGGTCAAGCTGCGGGGTCATGGGCTAGGAGAGGTGTCGCGCCGATGTTGCAGGATGCATGGCATCGGCTATATAGGAGTATATAGGAGCATGAGGTAGCTTTCATGAGACATACATGATGAATAATCTTCTGCAGACATTGATGGTTCTGCTGTAGCGTAAAAGTAGATTAGTTATCAATGTTCCGACAATTTGCTGGCTGAGGACGGCTCTGCCGGCTAGTTTTTGAACCCATGCCGGCCTCATATTACAACGACGCACATCTTTTATCTATCCCTACGTAGTCTTATCTACGGCCGACATATAGAATAGGCCGATATCCACCCATGTGAATAATCCACAAAGATATCGAGAAGTCTCCCAGATAAAACTATGTGGAGGCAGGATCCATCCGTTTTATCGTTAGTTAGAGAGCCGAGTGATAAATGATGTATGAAGTTGATGCCTCTCACATCTCTCCTTTCTAAGCTTAATATGATCTCGGTGCTTATATACATCACTGGGCAGGCTACCACAAGATTGCCGCCGACTCACACTCCATGCTCGTCCTCAGCTCAGTCAGACTGGGCGAGCTAGATAATGACGGCGACGTGCAGCCAGCAAGCCACCTCAGTCTGAAACCGAACTTTAAGGGATGTTGCGCGAGCCCGGGGGGGTTTGTTTTTGCGAAGGCTCTAGGAGAGGCAACGGTTACTATCTATATCTTCTTTGCTGCTACCGGAAGTGAGAAACTATGATTTCCCCGATCGCACTCGCACTCGCACTCGGTCACAAGTTGACCAGATATGTAGAATCTGGCATGTGGGGGATCGCGGTAAATAAAAGCTGAATATCGAGCCCCTCGAGTTACACGCCGCACCACAGTATCTGCAGATGACTATGGTACATAATACGTAGCCCAGCTAATAACGCCTTCTCCGGAACAAGATCTCCTGTTCAGGATTCGGACTGATCATCTCCTCGAAGCACAGATCCGCCGGCCTGTCCGTCTGCCCATCCAGAAACCGGAAATCATATTTCATCAATAAATGTGAGAGGATAATCTTGATCTCGTTTGAAGCAAAGAAGCTATTCGTGACTCGTCAGCGAACGTGATCCTTTGGAAAAGAGGCGGGGGGTGAGAGTACCGTCCAGGGCAAACATGAGACCCGCAGCCGAAGACGAAGAAGTTGTCGGTTGAGCTGACGAACTGGTGTCTGTTTTCTTGACCAGTTTGTTGTCGCATCTTGTAGAACCGGAGTCCATCGAAAGAGTCGGGATCATTATAGATGCGGGGGTCGCGGAGGGCGGAGCGGCAAAAGACTTGAAGGCGATCGCCGGCGTAAACCTTTAGGCCGTCGGAGAAATCAATGTCTTTAGTTGCTTGACGCTGCAGTATCGCTATGATGAGGGCGGAGTTAGCCGCGAGTAAGAGGTCGGAGTGGGGTATGGAGTGGAGAATTTTACATACCGTCGACGATGGGGTGCAGCCGCTGACTCTCCTTCATAAAGCTGTCCATCTTCCTCAACTTGTGTACTTCGCTCGCCGCGTTGAAGTTGACGCCTCCCAGGACCTCCCGTAGCTCTTCCCGTAGAATCTCCACATACTCCGGATACTGGCATAGATCGTACACCATTTGAGTCATCGTCGAGCTAGTAGTATGGATTGCCACGAAGGAAAAAAACAGCTGGAAGTTGGCTAGCTCAGAATCCGGCTCTCCGATGTCGATCGCCCATTGCAGTGCATCGCTCGGCTTTACATACGCATCGCCCTGGGCCTTCTCTTCTTGTCGTCGTTCCTTCACGACAGCCATGATCAATGCATCGGCATCGCGAATCGTCTTTGTGAGAACTCCGCAAGAGGGTAGCCACCACTTTGCGATTGGGGCGAGGAAGCGTCCGGCTGTTCGCAGTCCTATGCCAGCCGCCACCATGTTTCTGGCAAAGCTCAGAGTGATGTAGAGCCAGCGCTGATCACGGCAGAGGGTGTCGCCGAGGAAGACGCGGGAACTGACGCGAGCAACCATCAGTTGCAATGTGGGATGCAATTTGTACGAGGTCCATTCTAGATACCGTGAGCATCTGGACGAAAGGATGTGACATCTCGTGCAGCGACCTCCTTACCATCAGTTATGGGCAGCTTATCATCCATCGCCAATGCCGTTTCTTCGGAGAGGGCAGCGGTGACGTGCGCGAGCGACTGGGTAATGTTCTGCTTGATAACGGTCATGAAGTTTTGGGACCGGAAGGGAGCATCCACGTGCGTCTGAGCTCCTCCGAACCCATCATAGAGGTATTGCGCAAAGCTGAGATCCGGGTGGTTCTTGATTTCATCCAGGTATTTCAGCGGCGCAACCATCATTGGACCGAGCATCGACGGCACCCAGAATACGGTGGATTCTCCGAACTGGTATGTTATTCAGCATAGGAATGAGATTGAGTGCTAGGGGAAGGGATCAACCTTCCGGATCCCCTCCTGTATCACTGCCGTGCATTGCGTGAGGTATTGCATTTGCCCTTTCTTGTAGCCATCTAGACCGGGAGGTACATTTGCATACACGTACTCGCGTTTCTTCTTCTTCCCTTCGGCAATGGACTTGTAGAGCCAGTTGAGAAGGACGGCAAGCGTGAAGGTCAGGAGGACGACGCCCGGTTGGCGATACTGCGGATTCGACGCGAAGGTTTCGAGAAGTGACACCATATTTGCTGCGGTCGTCGAAATACCTACCCCAACAGCGGCGGCAAAATCAGCCTTTTATACGCCTGTCAATCACCCATCCCAGCAACTACCACTCGGGTTGACGCCACCACCGCATCCGTTTCACAACCTTCCGAGATTCCCTATCGATATCAATATTGTCTGTGCCACCGCTTGTTATCTCATTTAGCCTTTTCTGGCGCGTCAAATCTACGCTATATCTGAAAACCTTCTCAGTCCACCCTCTGTCGCCGACTCGCCGACTCGCCGTCGATTCCAGGGTACGTACATACAGTATATAGTACCAGGGTAAAGGTAGTATAGTCGACTCGGAGGCGTCTATACCGGCTAACTCTAGTTTCGGACTGGCCTTTGAGTCTACAGACTTCTCGGAGACGAACAAACAGAAGTCTATTACCTATGGCACCGGAAGATCATTCTCCGAGCCAGGTGAACCAACCCAGATTCCTCGAAGGCATGATGGCTCAACCACCAGGCCTGCGAACGGTCTTTCAGTTGAACCAGGTGCTGCTAGAAGGAGTTGAGTTAGTTTGGGCACGTGAGTGGGGAAATTGGTGCAGTTTCCTGTCGCTCTTCGAACTGATAGGTAAACCCGCTGAGTGGTTGTATTGGTAGATCATGCGTGAGGGGTCTTGGACTTGTCGGTAAATCTGCATAGATTCGCTTATTCCACCTGTCCCGTTACCGCCCCCACCATCACCAACCGCTGCCGGCCACACCAGCAATCCGATTCTGTGTGTCAAATCCTGTGTTCAGTTCGTCCAGTATCGAGTGCTTCTGCTTCATACTTTTGTTTCTCTTACCTCCTAGGTATTACCCTTGTTTCAAGGGCAAGTTCATCAGCCCTGTCGTCCTCACTTCTTTACCCTCTATCCTCTGATAGAACGATTCCAGACTTCTCTCTCACAGGGAGCCTTGTAGCGGCCTTCCCGGTAATTCAGACTTCGTATTTACGGGGAAGCTTACTTGCACCCACCCCTCTAAGATTCGCTTATCAGAGGATCCCGCACCTGTCACGAACCCTTCTCCCTAGGGTACAAGCAATGCGTTGATCACGCGTCGAAAAACGCATTTAAAAACGCATTTAAAAACGCATTCGCCTGCAATGCGTATTTGACGCATTGCTTGTACGCTAGGGTCTGCTCTCCTTCCATCCATTTTCCCACCCGCACATCCAGGACAGCGATTCCCCTATTGCGAGCCATAGTATTCTCCACTCATCGGACTCTCTATATCTACATCGTCTATTTACCGAGCCGCGCTTGCAGGGTGACTAGCGTGGTGGGAAGCATTCACGTGTTTGTTCATGTTTGTTTCGGTTGTATAACTCACACACTCTCTCACTCGATTTCGAAACCACTTTGAAGTTTTTCCCGCAATCACAGGGACACTTCTATGAGAGGATATTCGCCGCCGCTAGCGAAAACTCACGATAGTGCGAGCGTGTGTGTCAAGGATTTCGGCTAAATCTCCTGCCCGAATTCCTATAAGATCGACCCTCCATTCCTCCTCTTCCTTCCTTCTACTTTCTTCCCTATCAACAGCAACATCACAACCTTCCGATATCTTCTTACCTATACCTTCTAGCTACCCGCTTGAACCTCCAACGATTTTGCCACGGTACTGCGCGTTTCAACCCTAGCAAGGCGTTGAAGAAAGTGCCAGCTTTCAACCCGAGCAAGGCACTGAAGACGGTGGTAGCTTTCGCTGAGACCCAGAGGGTTCGCCACCCTCTCCCCCTACTCTCTTCCTCACTAACATCTCCACACACAGCTCAGAAGCATTTCTCCCATACCAATCGGAGGCCGTAACGCCAGTAGGGTGTTGAGACTATGGCAGTGGAGGTAGAGCAAAGCTCTCCTCCAATCTAGGGGGTTCGTCAGCTTCTTCCCCTATTACTCTCATCCGCACTAACATTCTCCACTCATAGGTAAGAAGGATTTCTTCCGCCTCCCGAGGAGGCTCACAGATCAAGAACTCACTGAAGGCTGGGCAAAATCCACCTTCAAGGGAGAACACAAGTTCTCCCTCAGGGGGGTGAGAAGAAGGAAGATCTTCCTTCTTCTTTCCACACCACCAACCACACAATAACCCACCGCACGCAAGTCGCAAATAAAACCAAACCAAATCCGCTAACACCATTCACCCAACGACAAACATCATGAGCGACATTATCACCTTCCACTTTGTGAGCCTCGAGACCCTCGATGGCTTGATCTGACGGGGTAAATATGTCCCCGTCAATTCCGCGTTCGAGGAAGAAGCCGACGCAGCCGCCACCGCCGTGGCCGCCGCCGAGCACATGAAGGTCAACATAGACCTGAAGGGAGGCGGAGAGACACAGAGACGATGAGAACCAGATGGAGAAGGCTTGAAGCTGAGGGACCTGTTTTTGTTTTTGTTTTTGCTTTTGTTTTCAGTTTTATCGCCAATAACTGCATCCTCAATGACTTTGTATCCTTTTGAGCTCGTCCCGACGCACCCCAGTTATGTACCAAATAGTTAGCATAGTGTCGGCATCTGCCGCTACACATCTTTCCTTTTCACGTGGACGGAGATCACGCTGTTTGGGCCCAAGGAGTGTGCAGCGGCTCCTAGAACTAGATGGTCCGGAAACTGGGCGCGGCTAAGAGACGACGCGAGAAATTGGAAATAACGATTCATCTGCCATGATCGGAACATCCGGATCGTGGATGCGGGGGTGAGAGAGGGACACTAGAAGTAGAGTGATGGAAAGAACTGGCTACCTGTGATATGCAGGCGGGAGGTACGGCGGGAGGCACGGCGGGGATAACTAGGTAGAGCGGCGGGAACTGATTCGATTCGATTTCAATCTCTGTCAGGGGGGTGAGCCGAGCACGGTGCCTGAGCTTGCGTGGAGTCGGTATCCTAAACAAGATAATATCTCATTCGGAGGTCCACGGCTCCGGATCATCAGATCTGGGATATCACGGTCACCCGATCTTTCTTTCAGGTCAAGGATGTACTCCATTTCTCCTTTCCGTACTGCCCACCCCCACGATACATGGTACATCGTACGTAGCCCTACTAGTACCGCCTTCTCTTAAACAAGATCTCCTGGTCGGGGTTCGGATTAACTGCCTCCTCAAAGTGCACACTCTTCGGCCTCTGCGTCTGGCCATCCGGAAACTTGAAATCATATCGCATCAGCAGATGTGAAAGGATAATCTTGATCTGGTTTCCGGCAAAGAACCTGTATGTAACTTGTCAGGAAGGGTGATGAGATAGTGGGGGAGGGGAGGTGACATACCGTCCGGGACAAACATGGGTCCCGTGACCGAAAGCGAAGAAGGTTTCAGACGAGGTGACGAATTGGTGGCCGTTCTCTTGTCCTGGCTCCTGTCGCATCTTGAGGAACCGGAGGCCATCGAAGGTTTCGGGATCGCTGTAGATGCTCGGATCGCGGAGGACGGAGCGCGAGGCCACCTGCAGCCGGTCGCCGGCATATATCTTTAGGCCGTCGGAGAGCTCGATGTCTCGAGCTGCTGTGCGCTGCATGGCCGCTGTGGGAAAACGTTAGCCACAAACTTGAATGGGGGCGGTGGAAGCTTTGGATACCATCTTGAATGGGGTGCAACCGCTGGCTCTCCTTCATGAAACTGTCCATCTTCTTCAACTTCTGCACATCGCTCTTGACGTTGAATTCGCCGTTCCCGAGAACCTCGTACAGCTCTTCCCGTAACATATCTACGTACTCCGAGTACGTGCACAGATCGTATACCAGGTGGGTCATAGTTATGCTGGTGGTATGCACTGCCGCGAAGCCCAGAAACAGCTGAAACCTCGCCATGTTCGCATCCGGCTCGCCTTGATCTACCGCCCACTGCAGCGCATCATTTGGCTTGACGTACGCATCGCCCTGCGCCTTCTCCTGTTCACGCCGCGTCTTTAGGAGGTCCATGAGCATTGTGTTGGCATCGCTAACCGACTTGTCGAGAAGTTTGTAGGAAGGCAGCCACCACTTTGCGATCCGTGCGAAGAACTGTCCCATTTCTCGCAGCTCCAAGCCGGCCGTCATAACGGTCGTGGTGTAGTTTATGATGATGTCGAGCCAGCGCTGGTTGCGGCAGAGGGTTTCGCCGAGGAAGACTCGCGAACTGACGCGTGCAACTATCTGCTGCAAGGTCGGATGCAATTTGTATGCGATCCATTCTGGATCCCGTAAGCTGGGTGAAGACGTGATATTTCATGCGGCGAGTTTTGCTTACCATCAGTCAAGGGGAGCTCGATATCCATCGATATTACGGCTTCCTCGGAAAGAGCAGCCGTGACATGGCCGAGTGACTGGTTGATGTTCCTCTTGATGACCCTCATGATGTTTTCAGACCGGAAGGGGAGATCGATGCCCGTCTGCGCTCCTGCGAACCCATCACGGATATAATTCGCAAAGCTGAGATCCGGGTGGTTCTTGATTTCTGGAAGGTATCTTCGCGGCGCCACCATTGTTGGTCCGAGCATCGTCGGTACCCAGAAGACAGCGGCTTCACCGAGCTGGGTGAGTGTTAGTACCGTGATGAGATGGAGAGTCGGAGAGCTTTACTTTCTGGATTCCTTCCTGGATCATTGTCGAGCTGTGTGAGAGGTATCGCGCCTGGCCTTTCTTGTAGCCGTCCGGGCCCGAAGGTAAATTTACGTACACATACTCCCGCTGTTTTCCTCGAGAAGAGAACCGGTAGAACCAGTTGCAGAGCACGGCGAGTGTGCAGGCCGCAAAGATTGTGGCCGATTGCCGGTATTGTAGATTTGACGTGAAGCTTTCGAGAAGTGAAATCATCTTCGCGGCCGGTCTTCGAGACGACTGAACTAACAATGCAACAGCGATGACGGCGATGTCAACCTGTTATATACCACTTAATCGGTTCTGTCTAGCACCTGTCATCGTCCGCGCCGCTCTCCAGCATTCGTTTCCGACTTCCTGAGTTTCCCCACATGCACATCTTCCTCCGAGCATATTCCTTGTTTCCTCGATATTGCTCCTTCCGACACGTCAATACTCTACCTAAAGATCTTCCTAGCGAAATCCACAAAGCGGGCTTGCTGCTGACCATCGCAATCGCTGGTATTCACAATCTGCCGGGTCTGGCGCCGGTCTACGGTATAATGAGACAATACTGTAAGGACTACCAGGGTAGTAGCGATAAGCTGTATAGACACGTCGTTCTCGAGACACCTACGCGAGCTCTGATCTTGAAACCGGCCATCCTGTAAGTTGATCCCATGTTCCTAGTGCGGAATGGTTTGGTGTCTATCGCGAGGACGATTAGTGAACAAACTGAATCGTCGGATTGCGCAGATGCAAGAGGAATCAACAACAAGCTTGGGCATTCAACCGGGTGGCCGCTGCAAACCGATCCAGTTGGCTGTTCAGTTGCTGGGAGCGAGAGAGTGGAACAGAAGTTGGAGCTTCACTTTTCTGTCGGTACTTGAACTGGCTAAACTGTGGCGAGCTAGTATGCGGTCTCAGGTCTGTACTGTAGTTCGTAGATATGCGAGCGCCTTGGGCGTGCCTATGAAAATGCTTGATCCCCCATACCTCATTCCACTTGGTTCCTTGCAGTCCTCACCACCCCCCAGCCGCTGCAAGCCATACCTCCGGTAGCCGGGCTATTCCTTCGCCCACGCCAGGATCCCGGCTACCCGTGTCGGCGGCAATTCGCTTTCGTATTCAACGGCCGCCCCACCGCTTTATCTGGCCCAGCAGCCCCGCCATACTCTCTGCATCCTTCCTCTTCTCTTCACATATCCACTGTCGGAAGGCCTCAGCCAGATATCGATCTCGTCGGGGTGACCTTAGAGCTTCATTCCATCCCCGACATTTCCGGCGTTCCCGGCAGTTCACGCCCAGGGTTGCTGCTTGCAAGCGAGCTTTCTGAAGATCTAGGCTCGAGCCTTGCAGTAGTTTTGGCCATGTATGATATGTCTACATCGGCCCCTCCACGTACGGGGTTCATCAGTTTGTAGGAACCGCACGGTAGAGTATTCTCCCGATAAAGCTCGCACGGCCAAATACCTTCCGTCGGCTCTGCGAGGACGAGGGCCGCAGGCCAGCACTCCTTGGCTGGGGACTGGTGCTGACCAGGTATGCTAGTTGGGGCTGGATGGAACAGCGGCCCTATATAGAGGGTAGTAGAGTACTGACATCACTGGCCAGTGCGCAGCGCACATTAGCCATAACCACTAAGGTCGTCCGTTTCTGAGAGGAACGAGGCAAGAGGCGAAGAACTTCCCCGCCGGGTCGAGCCGTCGCAGTCATGGAGTCTGTACTCTATAAGGATGCTGTATCAGTATGTCAGCGATGTAGGGTGCAGATAGGTAGCGTATGTACGCAGAGTATGTAGCTGGGATGTCAGCTTCTAACACGATTCGATCCTAGTACAGTCGGCCCTCGGGCATTCTGCTAGCGGGAGTGTACTCTATGCGATCAACATTGCGGCCGCGGGCCTCGGGCCGCGTCGGGTTGCTGTGGGCACTGGGTACTGGGGGTTAGTTTCCTGCGTGCATGCTGCGTCGCAACGCGTTTTATCTGGGATTCCCGGACACCACGTCGATCCCTACGTACTTGTGTAGGCACATCCGCAGCGGTTAACTACCTGGTAGGATTTACCTAGTCAAGGGTCGGCATCCACCCAAGTGAGTGCCGAGTTCGCAAAGAAAGCGAGAAGTCTCCGAGAGCGGACTTGCGTGGGTCGGGGATTGAAGAATCCCACATAACTACTGCTACCTAGTAACGTGACAGGTTAATTCACGTCTGACTTGCCTCGTCAAGGCAGGAAGCCGGCCACTGAACCGCTGGTACTTTATAACCCGCCAACAAGAAGATCCAAAACTTCAACTCTACGTGATCGTGACTTTGGTAAATACAAGCGATCACTCGCAGAAAGTAGAAATGTAAAATAGTGAAGATGTTGATTGAGTACTTGCGACGTACCTGCAGTGGATAAAGAAGCGGAAGGATGATCACTACTGGTGGTACAGCAGGCATACCAAGCAATCACGCGAGCACGTGTTCAAAAACTGCTCACGGTGGAGAAGCCAGCAGAAAGCCTTGTGGGCAAAGGTTGGGAAGGAGACGGAAAAAAAGGAAATAGAGGTGGTCGATAGCGGATTTGTTAGCCGATGGGTGGTGCAGGGAGGCAATCCTAGGGTTTTTGGGAACGACGGATGTGGAGAGGGACGAGTGATACGCCATGCACCTGGCAGTGCGGCACAGTTTACGACAGTGCGTTGATGCCGTCTTTAGACAAATTGCGCAATACCGCAATGCCGCACTTTATGTACCTCAGGTATCTGTATGTCTGCATACGCTCGCCTCCACTACAACTAGAGTATTGAAAACCGAGGTTGTGGTGAAGGGATGCACTATTAATATACGTCCATTGCTCATGGGTGAATTCCAGGTCCAGGTCCAGTGTTTGTCGCATTTGTTGGTCCGTGCCGGGACCGCGGGTACGTGATCCCGTCTTTTGCTCTTCTGTGCGGCCTGCATTACGTCCGCACTCCCTCCCCACACAGTTGAGCCCTAGTCGATTCCTGCTGGTTCATTAGGACTATCCACCGCGTGTGTTGTCCAGCCGGCGTCGAGTTAGTGTCGTCCAGTTGGTGTCGTCCAGTTGGTGTCGTCCAGTTGGTCCCCAGGTTCCCACTGCAAATATCCCCATGTTTACATCATCCCGCATCTTCACAGTCAAGGTATTGAAAACCAAGATGTGGCATATGGACGATTTTTGGTGTACGTTCTCACCCGAGGCCGGTGGTGGTGGTGATGGTCGTGGTGTTGGTGGTGTTGGTTGTGGTGGTGGTGGTGTTGTTGGTGAGGAAGAAGAAGGAGGAAGAGAAGGAAGGAAGAGAAAGAAGGAAGGTAGGGAGAATGTGTGGGGAAGAAGAAGCAGCCCTAGGGCTAGTTTTCCTTCGGAGGATCGAGTGATACCGTCACTAGATAGCAGAACGACTCCACGCCATCCGGCAGCAGCGGCGTCACATCGTGCTAGCCAGTAACGGGGTCTCTACCTGGCAGGAAAGCAGTGCGATGGTTCGCCACAGTCTAGATAGGCTGCATGCTAAATAAACTGAAAATCTCTCTCTCTCTCTCTCTCTCTCTTTCCCCCCCTCTCTCTCTCTGATTGAGTAATTTTGACTATAGACATACAATCTATTCGTCTTGATTTTTACTTTCGTCTTATCGGGAGTGGATATTCGACAGATCTCCAGTAGTTGGACCGTTCCCCCGTCTTCGGTTGCCATCATTCCCCGGCTCCCAGCAGGACGGAGCGGAGATCTAGATCCTACGATGGGGCGATCCTTAGATATAAACGGATGTCTCCTTCCCAAGTTCCAACGGCATCGTGTCCTCAGATAGCACATATGATACTACCATCTCATATTCTGCTTCCGCTCCACTGACATGGTCGACTCCCCGCAACGATTCTACTCTACGCAAGTGATGAGAAGAACTCCCCATGGGGTACAACGGTTACGGCCGCATTCACCCACCTGTGAGTTACTATTTAGACACCGAAATCTGGGGAACTAAAGCTTATCTCCTCGTTCACGTCTACAGGATATGGATACCGGGTTCGGTTGTTACGCCTGTGTTTCACCGACGTCTTGCAGTGTGGGGCCCTAAGACGATCGGAAAATATGATATATCTTCCCGTGGGTCGAGCCGTCGAGGGTGTGGGAGGTGTAAAAGAGCAGGAATGTGCATGGGAAAATGAGGAGACATATGTACAAGAGAGGCGCGGATGCCGGGGGAGGAGACCGGGTTGGCGGGTAGATCTGTATGTACATAGTAGGTAGCCGGTGGGAACACCAGATGAAGCCTGAGGGGTCATGTATGGAATAACCTGTTGTTTACATGGAGCGGATATGTTGGAGCCAAAGGTTCGGGAAGTGCCCTGCGGCCCGGTGATCGACCACGGGACGGGAGATACCGTAGGGATGGTTCCGGCCAGCGTCAGGTAAACTTGATCACATGCATGGCGGACACTTCTGTGAAGCGCTGGCTGCACGTCCATATGTAGCCGCGGCCGCCACGCCCGCCGCGCCGGTAAACGCACAGGGACTCCCACTAGCATAGATACCGCGTCGCTGGATACCTGTCGGCGGGGAAACCGAATGTGGTTAGTAGTGGGTATCAACGTTAGTGGGCATCAACCTTGGCGGGCATGGCGGGGGCGTCTTCTTCTTCTTCTTCTTCTTTCTCAATCATCATCTTTCGAATGGACGGTCAACCCCCATTTCCTCTCTATCTTCTGTGTGCGCTTCATTTCTCGTCAGGCCTGGAGAGGCATTGACAACGATCTCCCGCAAAAAGAGTTTCCTATTACAGCTTTTGCAAGGTCAAAGAGCTGTCCGCTTGCTTGTCCGCCAGTGCTGGGGATCGATCACTACGACAAGCAACAACCTGTCGTGTTTGATGAACTCCGATGACAGACGAACGGTACTGTGCCGCTTCACTGGTCCCCTCGACGGCCAGCTGTGAGTGTTCCCCTTGCGTACAGGCCCGTTCAACAAATATGTTTCTAACCGAGCGACGCTCCATGAATGGCCATAATCATCCGGCCAGCCTCGTTTACACCCCCGTTCAGCAGATTAGTCATACGGCTGATCAGAGCAGGCGGAACTCCCACGGTCCCGCCGATGGTAGCACACTTCCACACCCACCAATCATGCGTACGTAATTCAGCAGGACGGAACGGAAACGATTCGCCGCCGGAAAGCAAATATGATCCGATGCCGGTGAGCAGACTCGCAACGACGACTGGATATAAAGAAGTCGCCTCTTTCATCCCCCAAGACTCTCTTAGACACTCTCGGGAGTAAGCGACATGTCTTATCGCCAGTACTCGACTTCGCCCCGGCTTAGCTAACTGAATCCAAGGCACGTGAGCAGTCACTCGTACATGTGTACATTCCCGGGACGATGCAACTCGGTCTTCGGTCTGCGCTTCGAACGCATGGTACTACTCTACCCGATCCTGCAATAGTGGATCCCGGGAAGTCTGGGCGACAGGTCCGCAAGCATCAGCTTCCAGCACCTCCTCTCCAACTCCGCAATCCTTCGAGCACATCCCGACCGCTGGAAAGTACCGTATACCATCCTTCCTCCTCCATAGAGCCTGCAGTGATCCACCGAGCCTACCGAGCATCCGCCGAGCCTACGATCATCGTCCCCATCGCACTTTTCCAGTTTCGGGCCCCCACGACTTGTCCACTGTCCGTCATTGCCGCCACACTACATCGCTCGCACAATCCTCAGCAGTTTTTCAAACCCCGCAAAAAGCCCTATATTCAAACTCGACGCAAACAATAAAAATACACGTATCGCACCCAATGAATCCTGGCCAAAAACGCCAATTTCCGCAGCACTACCTTCGATCCTGCTCAACCACGATGAGCGAGTTCGCCACACTCTCCTTTCGGCCCTTCCTCTCTCGGTACATGATCTTCGCCGACGTATCCGGCACCCGCGAGTGCGCAAAGTACTTGTTCTGCGGCCGCTGCCCGTCCACCTCCGTCTTGAACTCGTAGTTGAGGATGATGTACGCCATCAGCAGCTTCAGCTCGTTCGCGGCAAAGAAGCGACCGGGGCTGTTTGTGGTGGTTAGCGCGTGTGGGGGACGTGTGGGTAGGAGGAGGGGGGAGGGGGTGGAGGGGAAGCTACCAAGCGTGTTTCCCATTCCCGAACGCGAGGTACTCGCTGGACACAGAGACCATCTGGTGTTTCGCCTCCTCGCCGGGCTGCTCGCGTATGCGCGAGAACCGGAAGCCATCGTACTCGCCGGCGTTCTCGTAGACGTCCTCGTCCTGGTGGACGCCCGTGGCGGGCGCCGACACCCACGTCCCCTTCGGCACAAACGTCCCATCAGAGAACGTGTGCGGCACCATCGCCTTCCGGATCACGGTCATCAGCGCGAGCCCGTTCAGCCGCTGGCTCTCCCGGAGACAGGAGTCGAGCTTCTTCATCTTCGTCAAAGCTTGCTTCGTCAGCCCGCCGAATTCGGCGATCACGGATTCGATCTCTTCCCGGAGAGGTTCTTGGTGGTGCGGGGCGGCGCCGAGGTCGTGCATCAGGTGGAGGAGGGACTGGGGGATGTTAGTTGGGAGTAGACGGGGAAGGGAGAGCGGGTGAGAGGTACGAAGGAGGTGGTGTGGATGGCGACAAAGTTGAGCACGAGGATGCGGAGACACATTTCCTCAACAGTCGAGTTGGGCGGAGCGACTTCGGAGATCCATTGGATTGCGTCATTCTTGATCGGGGGTCAGTTAATCACCGCATACATTGCACACCGCACCCTAAGAACGGAGTCACAAACCGGTTTATCAGTCCACTCATCACCGAGCTCGCGTAGCTTCCTGCGCCTCTCCTCGAAGACGGGGCCGACGACCGCAACGACCTTGTTCACAGCCTTGTCGCGGTTGATGACGAAGTGCGCGACGATCGGCTTCAGGATGGCGGGGAACATGTCGATCATGGCGCCCGCGCGGGACGCACTGGTCGCGAACTCGACGCAGTGGTCGAGGTAGTCTTTGTTGCGGCAGATGGGGAGGCCGACGAACAGGCGATTGGTCGTTCGCGAGATGACGTTCAGCATCACCTTGAAGTTATCCACACTCGTCCATTCTAGCCGTGTCAGCGGGCGGTTCGCCACCAGCCAGCAGTTTAGGGGAAGGCGTACCAGGCCCAATGTTGGTATTCTCCTCGAACGACAGCACCAGTTCGCTAACAATCTCTGGAAGGATGCTGCTCAGTCGGTTCGTGAGGTTCTTCTGGATCAGCGCCGTGTGGTAGTCCAGCTTGACCATCTCTGCCGAGAAGGTATATGCCATCGAGATGCGCTCGACTCCCGTCGCCGCGAATGACATGATGCGGTCGTCGGTCGTCGCCAGCTCCTTGATCATCTTCGGATCCGACAGAACGATCACGTATCGTGCCGGCGTCGCGATCTTGAAGGATTTCCCGTGCTTGCCATACTGTTGGAGACGGCCAGGACGATTTAGTACTCGATCGAGAGAGGGAAAGAGCGATGGTGTGTAGAAGCCGGTCATGTACATACCTTGCGGTATCCTTCCTGGAGGAAGTACTCGGACTGTGTCACGGATGCGAGTGCGGCTTTCCACGGACCAAAGAGACCCTTGGGGATACCGACAGAGGGGAGGTTGATCTACGAATCATCACATCAGCATGCAATTTCCCTCCCTCTTTTTTTCTTTCTCTCTTTCCATGAAGAGGAGCAGGAAGAAGAAGAAGAAGAAGAAGAAGCGATCGGTACGGTACATACCTTGGTCACGTGGTAACGATACACCGAATACGTCAAGAATCCCAGGAGCGCCACCGCCACCACCTGCCAGTTTTCGAGGCTTGCAGCGGTCTGCTGCAAGGCGACAACGGCTTCTGCGAGCAGCGTCATCCTACCTAGTGTAAGTTGTTTTTTTCTTTCGAGAGCAGTCCCTTCTTTGTTCGTTCAATGAGGTGTCTGTAAGAATCTCGAGTTGTGCTGGAAAGAAAGGTTAAGTTTGTTGACCGGCTCGTTGAATTCGTCCAAGATCGGGTTGTTATATATTGGAGTATTGACCGTAGGGTTTTAGTTTATTCTATGTCGATACGTCGGTACGGCAGCGGTGGTAGCGGTGGTAGCGGAAGCCGAACCATCCGCCGTCGGGGCGGAGTTGCTCAGTGTTCCCGGAGCCAAGATCATCACTCAATTCCTGCAGTTTGGGTGCTGCTACGGCTCTTGTTCATAGGACGGGTAGGGGATGGTTAGGGGGGTGGGCTACTGCTAACTAGTATACTCGGGTATGACCAGCGATACATATCGGAGGTATGTACTCTACAGGGGGGACCCGAATCAGCGGGGGAGCAAGTAGTTGCCGTATTCTGCCGGGTCGAAATCGCCAAGGTATGTGCATAGGTGCGTGTGGTTGGTGGTGACGGTCATTCGTCGCCTGGAATAGCGACAAAGGCTTCTTCGCCATCATCAACGGTATGACGCCCGTTAGCACAGCCGTGATGCTGTCTCTCGGGTTCTCGGGTTCTCGGATTCTCGGGTTCTCGAACTGTCGGACAGTTGGATTCCCGTCGGCCATCTTACTCTCCGTCTTCTTGAGCGTTTTACCTACTGCCTGGGCTCCTCTGTATGTACGAATGATAGTGTACGAGTACGAGTACGATTCAAATTCCCAGCGTCTTGATTTTAAATTTACGGGATGGAAGCTGCTGTTCAAAGCACTGGGCACCGTCATCTCTCTATGGTCAGGGTCCGGTTCATCTTCCACAGCCACACCCGGGGCCTCTAAAGATTTCTCCATGGCCGCCGGTAGGCACGGCAGATGTGTCTGTTACTGGACAAGCGAGACGCTAGAAATTAGAATGCAGATCCGGCACGGAAGAAAATCGCCGCATCGACGCTTGCGGGATGCAGCCGGTTGGCGCGGCCAGGGGGGGCGCCATAACAGTGCTCAGGGTACCGGTCATTCAGTAGAAGCCAAAACCAGTGGGAATCGCACAAATATTCCCGCTCTCGCTCTTCAGAGCGGAGTGCCGTGATGGTACATATCATAAGTACCCATCTCTCTCTCTGTGAATTCCATGGGTACAGTCCGCAGAGCGCAAGGACCAGCATCCATCTCGGTCGTCCGGTTAGGGTGATGACGCGTGCAGGGATGACGGATCGCCCGACGCCAGGATCGAAACGGGTCTGCAAGCCGTTCCACCCATACCCATCATAAGACCCAAGAGTACAAGTGCCATGTAGAGTGGCTTGGCCACGCATTAGCCACCTGCCACTGTGGGCTGTGTTCCGGCCGCTTGGAAGTTGGGGCCCCGCTCTCGAGCCCGCTACATACTCTACACAGCTGTCGGGTTCCGACTGTTCCTACTTGGCAGTGGGGGGGAGGCGGCGGCGGCCACGGCGGGCGGGAGGGAGGGCGGGGTTCCGCTGAGGACACGGCTTCCGCGCCGTCGCTATGACTCGGCATTCGTGGGAGCAGCCACTGCTGACGTCCGGCGCCCCGTTAACATATCTACAGTACTTGATAATCGGCAACGAAGACGCGCGCACGCATTCCCAGAACCCGCCACGTCAGCAGACTTCGAGCAGTGCGAACTTCGAAATGCGAACTGCGAACCGCACCGCGCGTCACACAGGGAATTCACTTCAAGAGTTCACGCAAGCGTGATGACGTAACTGATGTGGTACGGAGTTCATCTCGGTGAGTGAGTTTCTTCATTCCATTCCATGCAGAACATCGCGTCGCGTCGTTTAGGTCGACCGAAGCCGAAAGTTTAGCCTGCGCATGCGCGGAAGAGAAGCTGGCGAATTTTGAGTGCGGCGTGGAGGTGCGGTGATATCTAACTATTAACTTACCTAGGACCTGGGTACTCTACTTTATCGATAGAGTAGAGTGATAGATCATACATAGCCGTAATGGCTCATCTGATCCCCCGCATCCACGTATACGATATCCACGGTACTTTACCCTGGCATCATCACTCCTTCCCTAAGCCCTCCCTCCCCCGTACGTACATACTATATACGCAGACGTGAAACGTCGATAGACAATTGATACGGTACCCCCGCGTCTCTATCCGCACCGAATCAACAATCAGACGAAGAAAACAAACCCCGCGTCGCTACCCCGGATCCACCGCCGTCCATCCGGCTATATGTACTCACGTTGTCTCTCCTACATACAAAGGTAGGTACGCGGTGCTGTCTGTCGGTCGTCCACGCCTACCCGTCGGCTCACCCATGCTGACGTGGAAGGGTGGTAATGCAGCAGTGGGTCCATAGGGCTCAACTTTCAAGTGCCACCGGTCAAATGTTGTGAGCATGAACATGAGCGTGAGAAATTCCGTTGCTTGCGGGACCTGCTCGATGGGATTTCCGCGTAGGACAAAGACTCCGAGCGAGCGAGCGACTACCGAGGATGCTACGCAGCCCGTGGGGGAATCTGATCCTTAGTTTATCGGTCACACGAATGGATGGGATGGAAACATGTATGGATGGATAAGTAATATTACAATTCAAATAGATATCCCGTTGAACCAGCGACTCGGTAGCCTCCCCTTCTCTCAAAATAATAACAATAGTAATAATAATCACCATCCCCCCTCCCCCAAATTCCAGCCAACACCGCCCCAAGTACCTATTCATCCTTATAAATCTCCAACACCGCGCGCATAACCTTATCCTTCCAGTGGGCTTTAACTTTCCAGGGATCCTCGCCTTCCCATAGGTAGCATCATTATGCTCGACCATGGCGCCCCAATCCGCGCCCTCAATCAGCGTCGTCAGAATGTACTGGCACTCGCCTTATTTATGACGGAGGTTTGTGAGCGAGACGGGGCGCGAAAGTGCCTGGGAAAGAGGGGAGGGGAGGAAGGAAGAAAGGACCCTGGAATTCTTCGCGCTTGGAGGCTCGTATTCGCCGCCGTCGCCGCCGCCGTCGTCGGCACCAGCGGCTTTCTTCTTGGGGCGGCTGCGCTTGCGTGGGCTGGGTGTGGGCGTGGCTGTGGCTGTGGCTGTGGCTGTGGCGGAAGGGGGGCGGGACTGCGGCTGTGATGGTGGCTGTTTGCTGGTTAGCACTGGGTACGTAGTACGCACGAGTAGTCCTCGAGGAGTTGGGGGCGAAGGGGGCGAGAGGTAACTTCATCCATCTCCATCCCCCACTACGGTACCGCCCCGTTCTTTGGAACAGACGGATATCTCACGCATGGGAAAGGAAAGAGACCGGTTAGTTACCGTGAAGAGCTGCGCATCTAATTCTTCTTCTTCGCACTTGCCGGCGCGGGGGCTCTCGGATGGGGAGGGAGTGTCGAAGCTCTCCATCGGATGAGGTCTGGCTGGCTGGATGATTGTTTCTGTTGCCTTACCAGCGATGCTTCGGGGCTCAGAAGAGGATGGATGTTGCAAGTGGAGGAGAGACTCAAGGTGAGCACTGCCGGCGGGCGGAGGCGGAGAGTACCGATTTATAGTAACCGTCTTTCTTTCTTCGGGGAGGGCAGAACGGAAAGAGGATTCCAGCTGAAGATGGCTTGGTCATTGATATGGGGTAGAAACGTTATGGAGGCAATCAAGAAAAGAGGACGGTAACATTCAAGCTCGATATCAATATGCCCGTACGGTGTAACTGTAACAGAATCTTTCGGACCCTCGAGTCCTCGGCGGAGCTTTGTAGTGGCCGTGGCAGCAAGTGGAACATTGCAGTCCCGCCGACTCAGCTCCAGCCTTGCCATGACTACGGTACTCTAGCTAGATAGGTACACTGCTCAAGATGCACTGTTTCCTACGAGCAAACATTCCCTCGCAAGTAATCAGCACGATTATTCCAGCCTTGGGATCTTGGATACCTATGACGGCCCGGGGGTCGGGGTAGGTTTTACACGTTTGAGACGACACATGCTGATTAATGTTCCCAAATCTGTCACCGGCAGCGGCGGCAGGAACCCGCCTCGAGTGACGGGTCGCATTTCAGATCCCGAGAAGTTTGACCGCGCAGGTTGGTTACCCCTCGAATCCTCGAATCCTCGAAATCTAGTCTAGCGGAGGCCCGAGGGCGAATGACGGCCGGTGAGTCGGTGACGATTCTCCATGGCTGTATGTAGGTAGGTAGATACTAGAAAACGCTTTTCTGACCTGGGAAGCAATCACAGCGATTCTTCCTGTACTTACTCAAAGGTACTTGTGTGCACAATAAATGGGAAGTGGTATTCAAGTACTGGATACATCAGGTACATAAAAGCAGCAATCAATGACGCTCAGAAAACAAACCCACTCGCGAAGCCTCGGAGGTGCCGAAATTCTGCACACACTGGCAGACATACATAGGTACATGGTACATCCGGTCGGTGTATGTCGATGTCGAACCAGACAGGAAGACTGGTAATTGACCAACCAAAACGTACTTGGAACAATGCACCGAGGGCGGACGTGATGGATCATGGTGCTTACTGGATGATACAGCTTGAGCCGACTGCTGGTTACACCTAGGCGAATGAGAGAAGAGATCTCAGCCCCCGGAGGGAATGGGCTAGGCAATGCAATGCGGCTGTACTCTACTCTAGTGAGGGGTCGCCGTGCCTGTAGGGAAACGAGGCTGTCGCGTCGAAGCTCGACCAATCGGCGAAGCGCGACGATAGGGAATTCGATACTAGTCAGAGAGCTATGCTGGGATTTGAGAAGGCGCGAGTACTATGGAGCGAGGCATTGAGCGGAGTAATACCCGATGTTGCAGGAAGGAGGAAGGAAGATGCAGCAGCATCGATTCCGCACGGGAAGAGGGAAGGAAATGCTGATCCCGCGGCCAACGCAATCAATCATAGCATGAGTCGCTGCTGAGTTGTACCTGCGCAGTTCATGAAGTCCGAGTTACACTCCATCTCCACTCTTGGCGCGCATCGGAACGGTGATAGTTCATAATCTTCGAACAAACTTTACACTTGATATGCAATCGTCTCGTGCAATACTCTGTATATCTCCGTACACCCTTGAAAAGAAATAGTAATGAAAAGGAATTAAACGAAATGACGCCGGATTTCGGCAAACCGCCCACCCACCCCACCCCACCCGCCCCCTCCCCCCCCCCCCACACACACATCGCACACGGGTCTTGGTCATGCCATAGCCACGTAAAGAGAGACGATTCTAGTACTTCCACGTTCCCGATTAGCTTGAACGCTTCGCGCACAGTCACCTCTAATCGTTCCACAACCGCCAGGTAAAGTCTCGTCTGAAAGAGGAATCTTCAAGTGTCCCGCAGCGGTGGCAGCGGTTCATTGTGAGGGGGCGATACAGTGTATGTAGCTGGGACGTAGGGAAATAAACGCTCGCCGACAGGGAATTCATCCGAGTCCAGCTGTCCGACAACAAAGGTCATACTATCAAATGTGGAAACTTACTCCAGTTAGTCGATATGACAGTCAACAGTAAACAGCGCCTGGCAGGATGTATCACACCTTTCTTGCTCTGCCGGGACGGCCACTCAGGTCCAAGGGTCTCATCTTCCTGGCGGACGCCACGGTTGCATTCTCGGCACAATCTCTCGCAGCGAGTACATTTTCCATCGGTTACCGGATAGATACATTTAACCTGTAACAATGTACATCGAGTATGTGGTCAGTATAACACTTACGGTAAACGAAGAAACTTTTGGCGGTGTCACCTTTACTTCTCTGCATCTCTTACATGGGGATCGCCGTGACCGCGTAGCCGTCTCCTGGTCAGCGCCCCCGATCCGTCGGCTTCGTTTACTAGAGCTAGTAGGCCGTGGATTGGCATTCCAATATCTCCGTTTACTGACAGAAAATCTCCCCTCCAGACGTTGCATCCACTCGGCTGAGAGTCCCCAGTCGCCCTCCCACTGATCCATGGTCTTTCCAGCTCTGAACTCTGCAATAAGGTGGCTGCATCTATCGTTCCAATTGCCGAATATTTCATCGCAGAATCCACACCTTGACTCGGTGGGAAACTCGCGGTGATGCTGTTTAAATAAGGTCCTAGGAGCATCACGGTCTATCGCGGCACTCAAAACGTTATGAATTATCCTCATGTGTTGCTTCAGGTGTTCCTTCCGGCAGAAGGTGCGACTGGCGACTGGTTTCTTTGAGCATCCGCTTCCACAGGCAGCACTGCACGAGGAAGGTTCGGAGTTGCAAAAGACGCATAGTCCTGTGGCCGGACACACAGCACCCTCCGGAGAACAGATCCACTCGGTCCGGATCAGATGTATCGTTTCCTCGTGTCGCTTCCAGTTGCCGGGGTTGCTGAAAGTCGACATGCAGAATGTGCACGGAAAGTCGTTTTTTTGAACTTTCTTCTCCGGTGGGTATCGATAGCTTGTCTTCCGACGTTCGGAGAGCGACACGCACGAGCCGATGGAGGCAACACTGCTTCCGGAAGCATGACTGGTACGGTGGGGCGGGCAGTGCCTTTTGTGCGGATTGTCGCGCAGCTCAGCGCTAATTGCCATCTGTTCTCGTTCGGTGGATCGTCGTTTCGCTTCGGTGGCGATGGCCTCAATGTTGCATCCGTCTTCCTCGGACGAACTCGAAAGGTACCGTTTGAGCATTGGCGCTGAATCCAGCTTCTCCGCCTGAACAAGATCTTCATCGGTTGGTAGCCACTCAACCTCGGGCGTTGGCGGCCACTCAACCTCGGGCGTGGCGACCGATGACAGTGGGGTCGTGAATTCTGTCGGTTGGCCCTACAGGTCGTTAGAAAGATCTCGATGCTTCGTCGCAACATCGCTGCGGCGCTTACCGAACCGTCCATGGCTAGTTGGGGTGCGCCGCAAGTCGGAAAAGAATGTCCGCTTGTCCCCTGATGGTAGTGGGATAACTATCGCATCGCTGTCTGTTAGGGAAAATTTGGGACATTCAGGAGCAGGAATCTCGTACATGTACACGATCGCACAGCGGAAGCGGCAGATGAAACCCCAAACATCCGCTCGTAGAAGCCTCGGCCACAGCCAGGTGGTCAGCCCGGAGTGCTTCATAACGCTGTTCGTCAGTCCAGGGATATTCCGCCGCATCTTGCGGCATAGTGAAGGACGAAGCGAGCTCGAAATCTAAAAAATCTGTCAATGCATCATCTGTTTCGAAGCCCATAGACCGAAAGGTATCCCCGCTGCTAGACGCATTGGTGTACAAGTTCTCGGCCGGAGGTGTATTCGAATCGAATTCCATATTTCTTCTGTTGCGGATACCGAGAAAGTAGGATACCGAGAAAGTGGTTGAGGGAAGAACACTCGGGCGGAACCTGGTCAGAAATGCGGATTATATATTATTGACGAGTATCGAATTCCCTATCGTAGCGCTTCGCCGATTGGTCGAGCTTCGACACGACAGCCTCCTTTCCCTACCGGCGCGGCGACCACTCACGAGAGCAGAGTACAGCCGAATTGCATGGCTTACATAGTCCATGCCATCTGGGGCTGAGACCTGTTCTCTCATTCGCCTATAAATCGGCTCAAGCTGTATCAACCACCTGTTCGTTAAACGGGTTTCGCCATAAACTGAAAAGGCGGTAGATATGCGAAATAAATTGCCGTGTTCTCTCTCATCGTTTAACGAGCCTCTGTCGGAAGTCTGGACGGGTGATGAAGCGGCACGGACTGAGAGCGTATGTAAGCACGAAAGATTTGCAGCAGGGTCTCCCGGAGAAGCACTGGGGACGTGGACCACCCTCTTGGCAAGTTTGGTAAAGACGAGACGAAAGACCGATTGTATTACAGAAGAGAGAACACGACAATGTAAGCACACGTGACACCTGTGTTATTCAGGTGTCCTCCGAGAACATCGCAAGTTGAATAACGAGACCGAGCAACGATGAAAAACGGCGAGAACAAAAGCGAAAATGAGAACGATAACGACAATTGAGCGGGGGCGGGGATAAGGTCTATGGTGATGAGGAAACAGACAGACCGGCCGACAAAATATACACCAGGTCGGCTAAAGTTCGCCGCTCGTGCATCAATCCTGCCCGCTCGTAAATGAAATCAAAACAACACCCTTCGCTCATAGTAACCCAACCCATCGCAGTTGGTCCCACCAGGTCCCAGCACGTTCACAATTTCTAGCCGTCCCTCTCACCTAGGTCTGCAGCTCCTGGTTGAAACGGCCACGCCAAGGCGTCGTTATCGTTGGGTCCCACACCGGTGGACCATTGGAAGGAGAAGAAAGAGAAGATGAAGCTTAAGGCTATTGAAGAATAAGGTGATGATCGTGATGTCCGAGCTCCCTCCTCTGAGCTCTCGGTTAGGCACCTCGCCAAGGGCGTACAGGTTCCAGGCCTCCATCCCCATGTGACGTCGCTCGGCAAAGCGAACGGAGAAATGAAGAATAATGGAGAACTTCAGGTTCTATTCAACTTCGAAGTGCCATATCATGTCCCTTCTTGGATAAGGTGCAACTTTTAACGATCGTGGATGAAAGAAATTGAAAGCCGCTTTAAACTCGGATAGTAGTTACTCCCAGAGAGGCTCACTGTAAAAAACTTGTCTACGCTCAGTGAAAAAGAAAATTCATGCGGGGGGCCTCTCGCTTGGATGGCCTCATGAAGGGACTATATATGCGTTATAACTACGGGAAATGCGAAAACAGAAGAAGACACAAACATCAAATCGACATCCACGTTTCATTACGGCCTCTGATGCCCACGCTCCGCATTCGGTTGGATATATTCCACCGCCAGATTCCACGGCGTCCTTCTTTTGTCCGGCAAGACAGCCCCCTCCAACTGCTTCATCCAGTCATCCGTCAGCCCCCAATCCCCCTTCCACATATGCATCTTCTTCCCGTTCCTGAAAGCGAGTGCGATATGCGCCTTCCGCTCTGCCCAATCATCGAACCAGATCCCACAGAACCCACACCTCGACTGCGCCGGCGGTGGAGTCGGCTCATGCCACGAATCGTACTTCTCATGCCACACGGAGATCCCATGAACGCGCTCCAGGTGCTGTTTCAAATGTCCCTTCCGTCCAAAAGTCCGGTGGCTAGCCGGCTTGTGCGCGCAGTCCCACACACACCGACACTGGGAGTCCTTCTTGCGGCAGTAGACACAGCATTTCTGTTCCGTGAGCGGGCCGCGCGGCGCGCAGATCCACTTCGGGAGCCCGAGATGGATATCCTCTTCGTGGCGCGCCCAGTTCCCCTGCTTCGTGAACGGCGGCGCGCGACAGAACGTGCAGAAGAACGTCAATGGACCCTTCGGCCTGTCGGCGGCGGTGCGCGCGAGATCGCACTCCGTGTCGGAGTGCGGGTCCAGTTCCGGCGACGTCTGCGACTCGCTTGACCGCCCACGCGATGTCCCGTGGCGGTGACGGGCCGTCTTGCGTCGGCGCCGCGCGAGCGAAAGTCGTGATCCTGCTGATCGCCCCGAGCGCGAGGTTATGTAGCCGCTCTGCGTGGATATCATCGACGGCGCGCTGCCGGTGTATGCACCCCCGCGCTGGCGCGACGACGCCCGAGACCGCTCCGACGCCGAGTAGTTTGACTTCGAGGCGGCGCTCACAATGTCTTGCATGCTCGCGTGCCCCGCCTCGGAAGGTTCCGAGAGATACCTTTCCAGTGCGGTAGCACGATCGCGATCGGTCAGGGGAGCACCCGTCGGTGCTATGTAGGTCCGCGGCTGAGGCGGGGGTTGATCCGGCGATAGCCACGGAGCGCCCAGTCCCATCAACCAGACGTCATCTTGCGATGTGGGATGTGGGGGAGTGAAGACGGGGTCGAGCCCGACGCAGTTCATGGTGACACTGGAGGCGATGTGCGATTCCCAGAGAATCAGCATCTCTCGGACAGTTGAGGCTCCCAAGCGAATCTCGTCGTCGCAGAATCCGCAGACGGCCGCGAACGAGACGTTAAAGGTGTCTCCATCGAGGTACGATCTGGATTTGATTGCCTGGGGTGCGGGGACCTCTCGGCGCGTGATAGCGGAGAAGCTGGGAAACTCAGTGAGGAAGATCGCAAATATGTTATCCGGTGACAACTCGTTGACGTCCATATCGAACAGGTCTATGTAGTCTCTGGAATCCGGAAGGGCCACTCCGGCGCTTTGGTTCTGGCGCTCTATCTATCAGTGGGATCCGGGGTTAGTACTTCGATCGTGTTAGTTAAAGGGAGACGCGTACATACCATCTCCCAGCCCTGATACCCATTAGAGTCATTCGATATATAACCCTTTGTATGCGGCTGCGGTACGCGATGGCCAAACGCAGACATCCCCGGATCGACCCATAACCACGATTCGGCGTCATTTCTAGCATCGGTGGTAGCCATATCTGGGGCCCAGACATTCGGCTCCATGGGCAAAGCCAGTTGGCTGTGTTGCATCTGAGAACCGAGGCCGAGATTTCGTTTCAAGAACATGTGTGACGCAGCTGAGGGAGGAAGCTGGGAGTTGATCGGGCCGCTCGCGGAGCCGTGGAAGCTGTTTTGGCCGGCCACCGAGTTGGCTGGGGGTGCGAAGCCACCATTCTGGAACGGAGTTATGTGCGACCGACGAGGGCTGCGATTCCCGGGGCCGATCGCGACCGTGGGAGGGAAAATGGCGGGACTCCTGCTCTGCGGCTAAGATAACTCCGAGTCAGTGTCGTCGACGGCGCGTGCGAGCATTTCAGCACGGAAGCTCACATCACTCCGGCGAGTGTTTCGAGGGCGTAGATGTTCAGCGATCCGCAACGTCCCCGCACTGGCGCAAGTATATGGAGTCCAACCGTCCATCGTTCATTATCGAAAGCAACGCAGCCGGTACGACCAACGACATGCCTATAAAGCCCAGTTTCCCTACAGTCTCGAACGAGTTAGCCCCCGCGTTTCCCTACGAAGGTTTCGAGTGTTGGGGGCTCTCGATGTTGGTTGGAGGCCTACCTGCTTCACCACTGCGCTGTACCAATCATTGCAATGATGCTGATGCGACCCCGCAGTCATGACTCTGAGTTGATTGGCGACGCGTGGGCTCGTTTCTGCATGTCGGAAGATCTACTTCTACAACCAGTTACTCTGTGTTACCTCCAGAGAAAAGGATAAGTGCACTTGCGAGGCTGACGCTGCCGTCGAATGTCGACCTTCCGCATCGGTAAGTCGCTGCTCATCCGCCATCACTCGCGCTGTGGATTTCTAATCGACAGTGAGGGCTAGTGACACGAGGATACATGGCTAGGCATGTATAGAATATATAGTGGTGAGACGCAGGAGTACGATAGAGTACATGCGCGCCAGGTCTCAGTTCCGGTCTGATTGTGGCGCATTTAGCGTGGGGAAATGTCAATATACGATGATACGAGCACCTGACAATGCGCACGTTCTCGTGCGTAATCGTGAATAGTGAACCTCAAACTCCCAATTATGATCTCAAACCTGGAGGGTGATCTGAAAGTCGGTGAAAAGGTGATCAAATATGGGCTCGCAATTGTGGCTGGGGCGGACGAGGTACTCTATTTGTTGATCCGCAGTTGCCAGTATTGCTTTGATCAATCACAGAAGTTCTAGCCGAATGGTGAGTATGCTCGAATGTGATGTGAACTCGGCGTACATTGCCTTTTGTCATACCTAGATCTAGACTGCCTAATGTTGAATGGTCCATGTCAAACTTTAGTCGCCCGGAGATCTCGGCACCAGTTAAGGTTTGGCGGTGGAAGAGTCTCGGCGGCCACGATGGACCATCGACGAGTATATGGTTACGCGGCGGCGACGTCTGATGAGCGGCCAACTTTGTTCGGCAGCCAACCTTAGGTGGCCTCTCAGTCTTAAATAGAGGTCTTCGCCGTGGACGATAGGTTCTTCTTCCTGTATCGAATGGAAGGTCATCATCTGTCTACTTATATATTTTCAACAGTTCAGAATTAGGATAAACTTGGAAGGAGGGGGAGATGTTGATCGCAAGCCATGTACAATGTGTCACTCGTTGGACGCATGGAATGTCACTCACCAAATGCATCCCGAGCTTGGAAAATCTCAAGTCCCGTCTCAAGTAGACTCGTGCGGAGCTGAAGCTAGCCAGAAAACCGTTGCTCTGCCTCCTCTGGCAGTAGCACTACTATCTTGCCGAAGATTGTACGGCCAAAGACGCCCTTCCCTGATATCCGATGCCACTGACATGGAGGATAGTTTGAGAAGAAAGAGACGAACAAGTTGGCTGAATGACTTCTCATGAGATATATTACCGTGGTGTATCCCGAAAAGATAGCGTGCGAGCTACAATCACCCCACAATCATTTGAATTCGTAATATTCCAAGCAACCACGTGATATTGTGGAATCAGCCCATCACTTCCAGGTCCCGAACATTCACGAATTGGACACATCTACAGACCTCACCCTATAATTATTATTATCTCGCGCCTCCGGTATAGCGGTACGAAGACATCAACACACTTCTTACCCTCATTCAGCCATGGACACACCCCATGTCGCCCGACTACAACCCCCATTCCGGTCATATCGTAGTCACTCGGGATCCGACTCCATCTCAACAACTCAATTTATAATTCTGCAGGTATGATGGCCCCTCGTAGATTCTCATACCTTTTGTTAGCCGAGGGCAAGTTGCAGCTAACATTCCCGGCGGCAATAGTCCGGATATCGACAGGTGCAGCGACATATTTCGCACCGTCTGTTCCAAATGTTCGCATTCGGAGGATCTGGTGGCATTCACCATCAAAATGGTCTCTTGCGGGGGGAGAGAATCCAGGAGTTGGTAGAAAATTGGTTTCGGATGCTCGTAACAAAAAGGATTTGGTGTGGATGGCCGCGAAATTGTCGAGTGATTCTGCGGTGTTGCGAATATGAATGGTCATTAACCTCATCTGTCTCGGCATCACCTAGCCATAGTTTTGCGTGACGAACGCGCTTTGTGGTGGAGGAAAGGCGCAACTATTGCTGCGGCCATTCGCAGCATAAGGCTGAACCATGATGTAGAAGTGAATCGTATCACCAAAATAGGTATGCGATTCATTCCCGATTCCTCATAAAACTAATCATTTGGCGGGACGAGAATCAAGATGGAGCGAAATTCTTGTGAAGATGGTACGCCGTGGAACACCGCAAGGAAGCTGCGACAGTCAAGAGGCAGATGAAGAAGATCTGGAGTAAAGTTGATACGGTCTTGATCCCGAACTAACAGAAGGAGGATGCCACCATACACAAAACGTTGCAGGACGAAGCGATTCCAAATATCCGAGCATCTAAATCGATTTCCAACCTTCACCTGCACTTAGTGGAGGTCTTCGTACTCTCTCAGTGCAGATGGTGTGCAGGTAGGGTTGGGGGATGGACGACGGCTGAAATTGCCGTTGATCGTGAGTCACCATGTATCACTCGCTTTCGACATTCTTTTTTCTGAGGTTTTGAGAGTTGCTTAGTAAATACTTAGTAAAAAGGACGCAAATGATGATGAAACAAAGAGAAAAAAACTTAGGAATGTGCTGTGACACTGAGACCGTTGCTGGAGCAACTCCGCAGCGGGTGAGATCAAGCGGACAGGAAAGACTTTTAGCCACAGGATCAGTAATCGGCGAGGGTTGTCTCAGAGACCACGTCCGGCTGAAGCCGATCGCAGAGTAGCATCCTATCACCTCGACTCTAAGCATCTAGATGTTCCACTTTGACGTCTCAGTGGTAGCAACGCTAGCATGCATGTCATTGCGACTGCATTGACGGAAAGCGCTGCCGATCTCCAGTCGTATTTGAGGGTCAAAGAATACCCCACCGCTTTATGAACCATCTTCTGTTAGTAATGGTACCCGCTACTAGAAAGTATACATTCCAGCTTCCAGAATCGATCTTACATCGCTTCTCCTGTGCATTGCATACTCCAACATTCCGCAGCTCGTCCACCCATCCCCGCCCTTCCAAGTTCCTACCAGTCACCACTCGCTAACCGACCTCCGATTCCGAATAACTTCAATAGCGCGCATGACACCCAACGGAGACGAAAGACAGAAGTTACGGATTACAGCAATGGCCGACTACAAGCGCTTTCACTCGGTGATTCACTGACTCCAATCCGAGGATAACCCCGAGAACGAGATTCGCCGCAATCACGCCCTTCCGCGCGCGAGCCATCCAAGGCTCCAAGCACATCGGCCGAATCACCGACGCCAGTAGTTGCAAGATCAAATACGTTCCGCAGCTGCTCGGGAGCGTCATCGCCCACAAAGAAGGAGCGGAGGGCTCCTCACCCATTCCGAGACCGGTCGACGACTCGTCACTCGTCTACCAGGCCGCGAGCATGAGTTCCTACGCTGTAAACTTCTGCTTTCAGATGGCTTAGAGAGACTTCTAGAAGATGCCTTCCCAGGATAATTTCATTCGTGTACAGAGGTTTAAAGCCATAAAGATCCCCAGCTGCGGAGTGCGAGATTCGAGTGACCAGGCATACACGCGGGACGACCAACAACACAGCAACAAGTAGTGCTGCTGCAACTCGTAATACTTGTTGCCCCGCATTGCGCAGTTCTTTCACTCGTAAAGAACTCAGACAGTGCCACCGTGATCCTCTAGCCCTTGATTCGGAGCGCTCACGGTAATATGCCGTGCAAATTGATTGTGACTGGTAGCACACCACTTCTGGATGATATTGTGGCCTGTAAGCGCAGCAATGTATTCTTCTATGAACCGAGACGAGCCAGGTGGCTGCTGCCCAATAGACTCCACGGGAGGAACGCAAGAACGATATTGAGATCGTACGGCGAGTGATGTCTTGTGAGCGTTCTACCACACCGCCCATTCCCGCTCACCACTGCCGTATGCTTGCTGAGTTCCATGCGCAGTTGAAAGAGTAGCGCTCGTACGTGAATCACAACCACGCGACGTCTCGAGATGAGCATGAAAACCCAGTTTTTGTCAAGCGGTTGTTTACGAGTTTCCGGGTGATCACGGCAGTGGAGACTCGATCGTAAAGAAACAAAACAAGCAAGAAAAACAGAACCATTTCATTGGTTTTTCCCGCCACATGATTCGATCCTCTGCAGTCTAACCCACTCGAGCCCAATCACCGTACAGCACTGATCAAGAAAGATATCCCGGCTTTCCATGGGAAATCCATGTCCACCTCAAAATATCAGTACGAGGTAGCTTCTTGGAGAATACTGGATTGCCCCGTGAACCAGCAACTAGCTCTCTCGTATCACTTGGATACTCTTTAAATAACAGGTTTGCAGTGTACCATCGGACACGTAATGAAGATGACAGTATGTAGGTAGTGATACTTATCACCCCATCCACGTAGCACCGTGGGTGGCAAGAACTAAAGCCCGCAAGCTACCACGGAGGAAGCAGATCATGAGTTGAAGTGAGCAGCGACCAAACACCATGCGACCCACTGTTGAATGCCACCCCAAACCTGTAGGAACGGGAGTGTAGTTTAGTCCCCTAGTCGTGAGGACCGGTGGTAGGTGCTTGTAATCTCCGGTGCGGTAACGGGTTCGAGGTTAGTTTCTTGTTTCTTTCTCATGTGCCTGTAGCTCCTTCACCCGAACATACTGCTTCATGAGTTTTTTTCAAACTCCATCGCTTCAGTTAATTACCTCCACGAGTCCCTCCAGCAAAACAAAACAGTAAAATGAAGATACCACTGAGTATTCCGAAAACAACACGTACACAATAATAAAAAAATGAATCAAAGCCCCTGCGTTACAGCCTGCACGATGAACTTGATGCTCCTCCCCGTCGATATCCTGGTAGCTGCGAACTCGGACCACAGGTGGCGAGCACCATCGACAAGCCGGATCCCCGGATCCCTGAAATTCAAGCTTCATGCGCTCGATCAGTCGCTTCTCCCAGGCAAACGTGCAGGCGTAACACACGGAGAGCTGCGGACGGGGGGTGCGAATCGACCGGACATGAATACTGCAGAGTCCTCATGAAGCACCAAGGTACTTACGCTGGGAATGGCCGAAAGTAGCGTTTTGTGCGTCGTCCAATCGGCAAAGATTCGACCAGGCGCGGTGCAAACTCGTTTCCGGCAGATCTGGTTCAGCTCATGGGTGCCTCAGGCCAGGGCCGCCGCTGGTGAGGCTGCCCGACGCGATTCACGGTTATCTGATCCGGATCCACCAATCGTTTTGGGTTGTCCGAGCATGATCGAGACGGACGTCGGAGGCCAGTCGGAATCGCCGGAAGACCCCCAAAGGTGAAGGGCCCATCGTTTCCGAGGACGAGCGGACCAGTTCGGCAGGAAAGACCCGTGCGTCTGCCATGCTGCCGATATCAAAACCCTCACGAAACCGCGGGGATGCTTTTTAAGATGCGATGTAGCCGACGGTAAATGTCGGTCGTGAAAAGATAGCGGCTTGGTAAGAGCGGAGGAGGGCGGTGGGCGGTGGGCGGTTCGTCTGAGGGGCGCTGGAGATAGGCTACACTCGCAAAACAAGTTACTTCTCTAAGGGTTAAGATAGCCGTACGTAGTGTGAAGTATTATTCTTGGCCGGCGGGTAACACGTCGATATTGCCCGTCCCACGGAAGGTCACTAAGACCGCTACGCTTCGTCCCACCGCTCCAAGAGGCTCAATCCTAGTGATGGGAGTACGTGACTATGCATGATGAAGCAAGGCTGGCTGGGCATCATGGAAAGTATTGGCCAGCTGTCGGGAAGTTTCTCCCTCTGCAGAAGATGGGGATGGGAACTTGAGATCCCCGCCGTGCGCAGACATAGAAGTAGCTGAAACCTAACTTCCTTCAGACAAGCGGTGAAGCCGAAGCAAGCTAGCGGTATCCCGGAGCGGAATCCGGCGAAGCTATCGCCGCCACCGAGTACCACCGAATCTTTCCCGGTTTCTGATTAATTATATCCAGATCGAAGGTATAGTTGATGCTGGGGAAATCAGGACGGCACGGCGATGTTCATAGCAGTGACGAGCAAATGGTGAGATCGAAGAATAGATCACGATAATAGCAGTTCAGTTGTTGTTCAGCTAGCATTTCGCTTTCGTATAGTAAGCGAGTGCTGTATGACTCACGGTATTGCACTCGGCATTAATAGCGCCGACTGAAATTAACCGAAATTGGTTGGGCTTCGCTTGTTTTTCTCTTTTTCGATCATATTGCATTGTGAAAACGTATATTATTTGCATATGACTTGTAACACCTGAGGTTGACTTCAACAATATTTATGGGAGGCAGGTTCTACACGTACGTCATTCGGATATTCGGTTCATTGATGGTGGATCAAGATTCCAGAGCCCGACCGAGAGACTGGAGGAACAGTGCGCGCTTGTAGGGAGCACTTCATATCTTCGACAATGCTGGAGACAACGCACTCAACTGTTCGGCGACTGCCCTACCCTCTCACCCTACCATGTTCGCTCGGCAGTCACTTGTGTATAGTTCCCAGCAACTTGAGCTACCAGTCCAGTTGAGAACTGAATTCTGGTGCAGAAAACCTTCACTAATAGCGAGGATTATCAAAGCACCAGAACTCGGCGAAATGGCAGCTCTTGCCACTCGCCTGAGTGCATGCGGTCACAGAAGGTAACTCGCAACACGATTCAGGGCCCAGGCTCACTACATCCCACAAATCAATCCTGAATGGGCTGGGACAGGCCAGAGCGGAGGGCATGGGTAGCTACATCGGGCCGCTAGATGAGAGTCGGGTTGGGCATCGGCGTGGAAACGGAGAGTTTGTGTATGTATATATTGCCATGATCTAGATAGTCGGTTGCATGCAATCAATGATTAAACAGAATACCCAATCGTGAATGGCCACCACAGTATATTACTACTCACAGAACACATTTCATTGCTCTCTTCTTGCCTTCCGGTCCTTCCCCGGGTGATCGACATGGTTGACAGCGGGGAAACTTCAAATTAGTCCCCCAAGCTGCGCATGTGGAAAGCTGGCCGCCAAAAAGATTTCTTCTCTCAAATAATCCGATTCACCGTGGTCATAAGAACGTGTCAGGTAGATTGGCAGTGTTGTTGACCAACATAAAGCCTTACAGTATATTTACAAGCCTACACGCCAAGATCTAGGCGACGGGGCATCCTGTCGGATGCCTGCCGGATACAACCGAGCAGAACTAGCGTTTACTGCCAAACATCCTGTAGTTCGGGCTCCGAAGGGTTAGTTAGACCAAGGCGGAGACACATGTAGTTGCCGGAGACGCGCGTTTGGAAACTCCGACGTTTTCCCCTTTCCATCAGTCTGACAGCGCTAGATGGTTATCAATCGGCTTCCGGAAGCCGAGAGGCGCTTGGATGATTGCGGACGGAATCGGGAGACTGACGGCAGTCACGTGCTCGGCAGTCATATCCTTTCTAGACATCACTTTTGCTTCTGTCTACGTCCATGGATTCTCGACAAGACTTGCCTGTATGTTTACTATAGGCGATAACTGCGGAGGTTACTTTAGCAGAAGAGCCGCTAGTTGCTATAATATGCCAGAATATAAGATCTGCATCCCCCGCAAGCGGCCGAGACTCCCTGCAACGTTCCTGAAAAACAGAAAAAACGAAAACCCCATCTTCTAGATGCATCCATCCACGAAATCATGAATACAAACGCTTTCCTGTGCCGCTTTTCTGTTGCCGAGTCCCTGCAGACTGTTTTCACCGTTGCAGGAATCGAAAGAAAGGAGAATCCAAGGGATCAGCTATGTAATGATATGTACACACATATCCGTGCAGAAGGGGGCAATAATGCCAAAGGGCTACTTCCGGTGACGAATTCAACTTTTACCTGCCGCCCATAGGGGCCTACAGCGGTCCAAATACCCCGCTTTTTGCTCCGGCAAGAATGTAGCAGTGACTCCAAATATTGTTCCCAGATGACCACAAGAACAGGGGCTCATCCGTCCGTGCAGTGGAGTCACACACGGCCTATCCCTCCAATCGACCAGCGGCCCGCACCCCACGTACCCATGAAACCGGCACCCCCGGCAGGGGAATATCATCAACCTATACTTGCACTACAATGGTCCCGCCGTGCATCCGGCGAGAACCGGAGGTCACGGTACGTCCATTTTCCAGGCAACGGGGTACAAAGTCCTCGGGGGTTTATCCAACTCGGTCGTAACTTACTCCACCGTGTGCGCGCCTCCAGACCAATGCGGCTGCAGCTGTGCATGCTGATGTATCTGCCGAATCCGGACCAGAGGGAACACCGCTGTTGGGTGTTGTGGGTCCTCTATTAACAGAACGTCGCGGCGGATTTACTCAAAGGACAATCGAATCTCGATCGGTCACCCGACTCCCGAACTAGCCAGACAAGGGCTACCGAGTTCGTTGCCACAAATCACAAAGCTGTCAGTATCTGTACATGGATTATGTCATGCAATCCCAATAGTGGTTCGATTTTTCGCATAAATCAGCAGATTTCGGACTTTGCCCTCCACATTCTTCCCATTTTTTTCTCGCTGGCCAGCTTACGGGATTCATCACCACAAAAAAAAGGCCTGGCTATTCTCCGGATAAAATGGATGAATACCGATTTGTTCCAATAGTGCGAAGGCGTTTGCTCGGTGCGGACATTCATGCGCCATCACTCGCGCAACGCTTATGAAAGAAATTGTCATTGGCACTCTATGGTAGCTGGGTTCGCCATAGTCTATATAGGCTGCATGCGAAATAAGAAGGAAGATCTCTCTCTCTATGGTAGTTGGGGTAAGTTGGTGGTCGCCATAGTCTAGTAAAGGCCCCATGTAACAATAAATTGATGTTCTCCCTCTCCATGGTAGCTGAAGCGGCACCCGCAACGGGATGTTTAGTAGCGGAGTCCCCACTCACAAATTCTGCAAGGCGGGCAGGCGGGTAGGCGGGTAAGGATAGATTATCTGACTTTGGTTGGCCATAGTCTAGACTCTAGCAAGGCTGTAGGTGACATAAGTTGATGATTTTTCTTTTCCTCTGCGCTGCAAAGCCCCTGCATTATGATGAACACGGAAAAATACACGGTGAAGCTCCGGAAGATGGGATCTGAAGGTAATCTACTGTCATAACCAGATATGATCGAGCACAGATGAACCATGGAAAACACTGTACTATAGTTACGGCCGGGTGAAGGATGTAGGTACTAAGGATGTAGGTACTCAAGCAGAATAAAACGTAACCGCAACAGAGGCTTAACACCGTGAAGCAAGCAGTTGTGTTCTAAGCTCGCTGTCGCGTTCGCGTTCGCTTGCCTCGGTACTTCACTCGTTGCTCGGTACTTCGCCGGACCGCATACGGGTTAGTGCTGTACCAAGCTTTCGGCCTTGGTGGCAGAGACGGAGCTCACCGGACGGGTAAGCCTCTTCTTAACCCAATCAGCCTCGTGCATCCGCCAGTCCGGCAGAGCCTCCAACCCATTCCGACGCGTGCTTACCCAAACCCTGAATGATGTGGTAAGTGCCGTTGATTATGTTATAATTCAAATGCCACGTGACGTCCATATGCATACTAGCAATAATGGCACGCGCGTTCCTTATGTCGGCGGAGACACGAAAGCACAACTGATAAGACGGGACAATATATTGTTTGAAGATCTATCGCCGTGGCTGACGCTCGGCCCGTAACTTCGCCTCTTGTCCCTGGTTGCATCTTCACGTACCACAAGATATATTACTCGGCGTGGCCTTGAAGGCCGATTCCCACCATTCTTCTCTTCCTGCCATCGGATTTTTTTTGATCATCCATATCCTCCAGAGACCCGATCGATGGTTGTCGGTAGAGTACAGACGTAGAATAGCCAGGCCATCAGGAAAGATGGACTGTTCGGAAAAGGCGGTGGTGGAAACACAGCGGGAATTCACAGCAAAAGAAGTTTGAGCAAAGATTTTATCTGTCGAGTACCAGTACATCCGCCAACGGCCAGCCAATTACTCCCCAATACAAATCGAATGAGTGTCAACATAAAAACCATTCTCTCCAAGTGATCTCTTCCCAAATAGCCTTCCAAAATCCATCCCAATCCAATCCACCAGCCTAGCCCTCCATGTTCCTCCCTCGAAATTGTTCCCAAATCCTCCCGGTCCCGTGCTGCTGACGGGCTCTAAAGGGAGATGCAACCACCGATGTTGATGAGGCCGACCTGGTTGACTTCACAGCACTGGTTGCTACCACCGAGGATGGTGACGTCGCAGACTGGTGGGTGGAAATGTGTTAATACTGTTGCTTTCACTGGAGAAAGAGGAGAGAATACTCACTGCCGATAAGACAAGTGATGGCACTGAGCAGGCCAACACAGCAGACCTCCTTGCCCTCCGTCGATTCGTTGATGTTGCAGGTCTTACCGCTGCCACCGGCAGGAATGGCGACGGCCGAGACGGCGGCGGCAGCCATAAGGGTGGTGAAGATGGTGGAGAACTGCATTTTTATTGGAGTGATTGGGGGTGGTGGTGGTTTGGAAAGAGGGAAGTTTGGAGGTGAGGTTTGGAAGTGAGTGAAGTGAAGGCTGATGAGGCTGCTGTGAGGAGGACTGATGAGGATGAGGATGGGAATGGAAGATGCGGTTGCGGATGTAGGTTTATATACACCATGTATTCCTCTTGATTTTACAATTGTTAGGAATGGTTTCGAGGAGCTAATGAGCTAGGCTCAACGGAGGACAGCTTCCGAATCATTCCTGTGACGGGAGATAGGAGCGAGATAGCGCAGCTATTCTGAGTTTCTTGGATAGGCTGGCCCGAGGCGTCTATGCGTGTTTGCAGCCCCTTCCGCTTCTCTCCTACCGCGGTCAATACTGCATAACTAGGCGCTAAGGGGAAGCTGGAGACCTATCTGACCGGCAGTGCAAACAGGATACTTCGTGGGTTCTCCCCTCCCCATCTCCTGCGAAGAAAAGGAGAAGGGTGTCACAGCGATCCCTATCGGCGGTGGCGACAGAGTGCGGCGACGATCTTCAAGTTTTCAGCTCGAAAGTCTCCATCCATTCTGCACACGGGCAATCTACGGTGGGAGTCGCAAAATGAGAGGTGGCGATTCACTGTAAAGCACAATTTGCTAGCCAACAGAGAAAATGAACAGCACACCAGATCTACGAATCATGGAGCCCTTCGTCCGGCACTTCATCTACGTAGAGTCAGCTATGGTGCCGGCTACGAACACTCGAAGTCTCACTGAAGATTATCTTCCTGCAGCGCTGTACCTGGAGATATGGTTGGTTAGAACTTTGCCAACTTGATGTCAATTATTACTGCTTTTGGTTTTTCGTCGATGACGGATTTGTTTGCAGCGAAGTGGTGGTTGGTAGGATGGCGATGGTGAATGCCAATGTCCATGGCAGACGGCCCGGTTCGTGTATGAGAAGCCTCGGCCTCGCACATCTCAATCCCGGAGAACCTTGCAAGCCACGAACTAAAGTGCATAAAACAAGAAGAGCCTCCTGAAAGTCCGTTCAATTTGCGGCCTTCGTTATTCTGGCCCGAGCTGGAAGGCACCAGATGTCGGCATTGCAATTACCGACATGCCAGTATTAAGAATACCTGGGAATATCTACGCCGTCATGATATCAGCTACCTAGCCGCGTTCATCAGCGTTTCTGTAGAACGCTCTGAAACACCAGTAAGGTTCTCGGGTTCAGTTTCGTAGACATGTATTCTCATCACCGTACAACCTCGGTATTCACACCGGACCAACCAACTCTCTGACTCCACGCACCACCGTCTCCAGCCGATGCGCTCCGCTCTGTTCAATATTCGTCCTGTTAGCGGCTCGGCGGCACGATTTGCCCGCTGTATGTAACTGGTTCTTCGACCGGGGATCAGGTAACACCATGTGTGCTCTTGGAGATGTGGCACAGCAGTGATCGACCAGCCACTACCCCCAGACGTAACTATTTTATAACAGCTTCATGCTTGTTCCATCTGCCGACACACTTTGCTGCATCGATATACAAGGATGCCTGCCACTCAATCAACCCCTAGGGGTTCCTGCACCGAATCACCAAGGATCATACAGTAACAGCCGGTTTGGGCACCGATTTTCGGCGGGCCGTGTACAACTGCCGTTCAGATCGCTGATCAGCAACACGGAAGCTACGTGGAGTAGTTATGCGGAGCATTCCTCTTCCTTGCATACCCCGGTGGGCGATCAAAGCTTGCTTTGGTCCGAAATCGCAAAAATACGCGGACGGAAACGGACACGGAAAGGGCCACGGGTGGGGATAGCCCTACATCCCCCACCCCTGCTCCCCCTAATGAAGGTGCGCCTGCGTACCTGGTTCCGTGTTGTCTTGTCTCTCCTTAGAGCCCGGAATTGAGCACTAAATGGTCCGTTGGGAGCGCTGGACTGAGGCCAGCTAGACATCATGCGTGGCGGTGAACCCCTGAGTACGTACATACACGTACATCACCGGACTGACGGAGCAACGGCCAACGTCGCCATCCGCTTCCGATCTCGTCTCTGTGGTCCGAGTCCGAATCAGGTTTGAGACATTCGGTTCCGTTCTGGGGAAAAAATCTAATTCGGCGAATGATGACGGGTGCCTGGACGCATAAGAACATGTATGTTGGTATTATGTAGGATATAGAGTGTGCGCATTCGTGAGAGGCGCTAATGAACGCAATCTTCTGTTCAGCCTGAACTTCGTGGGGGGTTCCCTCGTTCCCAGATTGGCACGTCATCCTGCGTGACCTATTATATTGAGTGTGGACAAGTAGTTGTTGGTGATAAACCATGAATGAACCGCGGATTCATAGCCCGTGGTGATCGAAGGCTTGCTTGTTAAGTAATATATTTAGCTGAAGTTAGACGTCAAATATACATCTGTACTACGGTTCCAGTTCCTACAGGAGTAAAGCAGCGTAGGTAATAATAAGTTGATAACCAAGAAACCGAAACGGGGTGCATGTATCATGGAAAACTGCTAGGATGAACCTGTGGTACCTACTGAAGACAGGTGGACTTCGGAGATCAAGACTGGAAGAGTCTCGCCCCTCGTCTCCGTTTGTTGGGCTGGTCTCCACACCCAGCATCCGTAATCTACCAATATAGACGTCGCATAAGATGTACGGCCGGCCATGCTTCCAAGTTCATCAACTATAACAGCCGACCCTAATGCAACGTCCTACTCCTGGCTGTCCAAGGAAAACAAACAAAACTATCACTGCATATGTAACCAGGGGTGCACGTAAAATTGTGACTGCAGGAATAGAACGTACCTGCCGCAACAGAGACGTATTTTGAAGATCACTCGCGGATTACTCCCTCTCCCCCGTAGTTCCTTCACGGCACATTCCATCGTTGGCGATTCTGCAACCGGTTCCCCATCACTCAAGACCCGATTCTTCATGGAGATGAAGAAAAACTTGGAACTCGGTGATTCCGTGTGGTCAAAGATGGACTAGTGACGATGATAGTGGCGATATCGACAATAGGGACGGACGCTATCTCCCGCCACGGGAAGAGTACGGAAGCCGTTCTCGTCGAGCCAGACCATCAGCCAGACCAATCAGCCAAACCCATCAGCACCTTGAGAACGTCCCTAACAACCTGCCAACAAGTTTGACTTCAAGAGGAGCTGAAGGCGTATATAAACCTACATCCGCAACCGTAGCTTCCATTCCCATCCTCATCCTCATCAATCCTCATCCTCACAACAGCCTCATCAGCCTTCACTCCAATCACTTCCAATCTTCCTCTTTCCAAACCACCCCCACCCTCAATCACTCCCATCAAAATGCAGTTCTCCACCATCTTCACCACCCTCATGGCCGCCGCCGCCGTCTCGGCCGTCGCCATTCCCACCGGCTCGTCCGGCGATTCTTGCACCATCAACGACAGCACCACCGGCAAGAAGGTCTGCTGCAGCAGCCTGCTCGGCGGCATCACCTGCCTCATCGGCAGTGAGTATCCCCTCCTCCTCCTCCGGCTCTTTCTCCGGAGAACTTGAGCAACAGTACTAACACTTCTCCAGTCTGCGACCTCACCGTCCTCGGCGGCAGCAACCAGTGCTGCGAGGTCAACCAGCTCGGCCTCATCAACATCGGTGGCTGCATCGCCGCCTAAATCCGTCAGCAGCACGGACCGGCGCGAAATCGCGAGGGGGGATCGGGAGGATCGGGGGTGATTTCGAGGGGAGGAACACGGGAGGGGCTAGGCTGGTGGATTGGAAGGGTATCTCGGAAGTGAACGGTATGGGGATCGGAGGTCTTTATGTTGACATTCGTTTAATGATCTGTTATTGCGGGCATGAGTGGAGGAAACGGGTCTGGGAGTAATTGGTTGGCGGTTGGTGGATGTACTAGTAGTTACTCGGCAGATGATAAAACCTTTGCTTGAATCTTGGCTGCTCGTGCATCGTGAGGTTTTGGGTTTTGGGTTGTGAAGTTTCGGGTTGACTATTGGCGGTTTCGGCTTCCGACCGCTCTGGACGCCGCAAATCCGACCGCCTTACAAAGTACGCTCTTTCGCCGATCTAATCACCCACAACTCCCCCCTTGGGTACTAGACGGTAAAGTAGTTTACCAGCTCCCGTCAGAGCATCTATCCTAATCCTAATCAATTTCTTCACAACATAGTCTTTCCAGGTTCTCTCCAACATCTTGTATCCGACAGCTACCTAGATAGTGTTCCCAAAACCTCCATGCCGTCCAAAGCACCCCGTACCCCGATGTCACTCACCTGTCCTTTGCCTACTTACTTAAGGTTTCATCACACCCGACATTTTCCCTGTAGCCCACAATATAGTAATCCTATCAGCCATATATAGTTACTCGTCCAAGCCGGGCGTGAGACAATCTATAACATATCTATAAGCCATGATATCCGAGCCTTGCGCCTTGTCCAGGTTCGTGGATCGTGAAGATCACGATCGATAGTCACTCGATGGATGTATAGGCACGCGTGGGTAGAGTACTTGATACAAAAGCATTGCGCGCGGGCGTGGCGTGGCGGCGTGGCAAACATGGATCATCCACGAACACTGTCGCAGAATCGGATCTACACTTTCTATCCATCATTGATTGTGCGCGGGCCTATGCAGAGTCCAGACCGTGGTGAAATATCCTCGCACACACGCGACTGCGACTGCGTACGCGAGTGCTTATCTATGACTAGCTGGTAGTTACGGTCGCCTCTCCTCTCCGTTCCATTCCATCGCGGGACTATTCGCTGGTAGTATGCGTTGTGCCGAGCGGGTTGTACTATTGCGGGTATTCTTCTCCTGTTCCGTAGGTGGGTGGAACACCTAGGTGGACTCTTCTTCTCCTCCTCAAAGAGAGGGAGAGAGATCTTCAAATTATCTCGCAAGCAGCCTATTTAGACTATGGCGAACCGTCGCACTCCTTTCTTGCCCACTCTGGCCGGCCGGGATGGAGACCCCGCTGCCGGATGACCTGGAGTGTGAGTCTTGCTTTTTGAAGGGCCGTTCTGCTAGCTAGTGACAGTATCACTCGACCCTTCGAAGCACAACTAGCCCTAGGGCTCCCTCTTCTGCCCCACACATTCTACTTACTTCCCTTCCTTCTTTCTCTTCCTCTTCCTCTTCCTCTTCCTCTTCCTCACCACCAACACCAACACCACCACCAACACCACCATCACCAACACCAGGACACGACACTACCGGCGCCAATCGGAAAGAAAGTACAGCGGCATTCGTCCATATGCCACTTCTTGGTTTTCAATACCTTGACTGTGACAACGTGGGCTCATGGGGGACGTTTGGAATGGGAACCTGGGGACCAACTGGATGACACCAACCGGACAACACCAACTCGACGACAAACGCGTCGGATACTAATGGACTAGCTCACGGCGGATACTAACGGACCAGCCGGAATCGACTGGGAGCCGTGTAGGGAGGGATTGCGGACGTAATTCAGGCCGTACAGAAGAGCAAGAGACGGGATCACGTACTCGCGGTCCCGGCACGGACCAACAAATGCAGCAAATACTGGACCTGGACCTGGAATTTGCCATTATCAATGGACGTATATCAAAAGTGCATCCCTTCACCACGACCTCGGTTTTCAATACTCTGGTTGTAGTGGAGGCGAGCGTATGCAGACATACCGGCATTCGCACGGGTACATGTAATGCGGCACTGCCAGGAGCATACTTTATCACTCGTCCTCCCACGTAGTTAAGCGGAGTTTTTTTTGTATGATCATCGTAGAATTCGACCTTATCAGATCATGGTTGTATAAACAAACATAGGCGGAGGTCAAATCGGCTTCTCACGAGTCACAAGTCACGAACTTCCGCTTCGATGACTATCCCTACCGGCTATGTACCATTTGTGCGTTCGTTCGTTCGATCGATCTTCAAATTATTTCACATGCAGCCTCATATCTAGACTATTACGCCCCGTCGCACTCCCTTCCTACCCACTGTGACCGCCTTCATACCTGCAGGTGGCGCAGGAACTTAGGAGTCGAGTCGAGTCGCGGTGCGAGTTCGCGACCTTACGACTCCTCGGGTGGGTCTATGGATGAAACTGCATACACACCTACCTACCAAGATCGTTCCGGGCACGTTCTCGGAAGAGCCGGGTGGATAGGTAGCCCAGGCAGAGACTCAGAAACTCTAATGCTCTGCAGGCTCTCCGAGTACAGCGTGGCGCAGCGTGGCGCAGCCGAGTTGCGAAGATTCACGAGTCACGGTTGGTTTTGCTATGTACTCTACCATTGTACCTAATTATCTGATAGGTAGGAACTACTACCAGCACGGGGGGTGTCTGGTTCTGGGTTCTGGGTTCTGGCATGAGGTAGCACTCGGAAGCTGGGAATTGGAACGTAACGTAAGCGCTGGCTCATCATCCGTGCCGCGCGGGGTTTCGGAGTTGGTGTGGTGGGTAGCAAAACGCCGGTTCGACACTCGCGAGACAGCTTCACGAATTCACGGGCGCTTGGCCTAGGGGCAGGTGGTTCACGTCACTCGACTCGTCCTCGATTATAGTACACCCGACGTACGATCCTGGATTACCACAACGACGACGACTTGTAACGCAGGCTGTACATAGGTGCGCAATATCTTCGGCCCATCCATGCCACTGATAGTTTCCACCATACCATGTATCGCATAGCATCCCAAAACCTTCCTCCCCTGCGGCTTCCGGCCCCCTCTGCCCCCGCACCCCCCGTGGGATTCCCCAGATACTCAATGTCTCTACCGAAAGTACGTACTACCTATCATAAAGGTCAGTGAACACACCCTTTAACGCGAATCATTGAGTCCGGGGAACTGACACATTCGTGAAGCGCAGCCACCGCGGCGAGCTCCAGCCTCCGGCACTTCCAAGTTTCCAAGTTTCCAAGTTTCCAAGCGCCTGTCGAGTGATGCGTACGTAACTAGACGCCGAAGTGGGGGTGGACTCGTCACAAGCAAGCAACATCAACTTCCAAGCGCGACCCCTTCCCCGCGAAACCAACCATGCGCGCCAGCAGCCGCCGTATTAGAGTATATCCCCCAACTCCGTGAAACCCCATACCGTACTATTCCCGCATCCCGCAGCAGCACCCCATCTCCGCCGTCAACCCTCACCCTTCAGCCCTCACCCCACCACCACCGCCAGCGCCACGCCCACCAGAACCACCCGCAGCCATCCACCACTATCTGGTCTCCCACTCCCCCCCCCACTCCCACTCCCCCCACCCCCAGCACCCGTAGCTTCCGCGCGCAGCGTGGGCACACCCCCGTCCGCACGACTCATCGAGATCTCGCCCAGGAAATTGCCAACAGTCATGCTTGCCACAGGCGCCGAGCGCGTGTCGATCACCAGTGCCGTCGGTAGGCTGGCGGGTGCTTTGGGGGCTGTGATTATTGGTGAGTCTATGCCGGATTGTGCGGCTGTGGCTGAGGCGAGGGTGCGGGGGAGAAGGAGGAGAGCGAGGAGGAGCAGCAGGGGGAAGAGGGGGTGAGGGAGGAGCATTGTTGGAAAGAGGTTGGAGGGGTAGGAGAGACGTGGGTGGTGATGGAGGTGGAGATGGAGGAGTTGAAGCCTGTGGGAGAGAGGGATAAGTAATTGCCAGTGACGGGTATATGGAGGAGGGAAGATCTTACGACGATGAAAGGCAGCGATATCGGTACCTCTTGATTCAACCGACGATTCTTCCGTTCCCCACAGCGGCGATCCAAGTATCAAAGTCTCGATATTGCGTAAGTATGTAGTTGAGGCCTCCTTACAGCGTTCGTGCAGAATCCAGATTGCGGCAGTAGTAGTATCCCCCTCCGCTCCCCGCCTTGGATCCCAGGGGGGGAATCTCGTCAATAAGTATCCTCCTCCGAACAGAACAGAGCGGAAATGAAAATGGAAACGAAAAAAAAAAGATCTCCCTCCTCCACGCTCCAACAGTCCAACCCGCCCGCAAACCGACCGAACACATACGACTCGCTCCCTCCCGCCTCCCGCTGGATGTTTGTGTTCTTTATTATAGATAGATACCTGGCTGCAACATGTTTGCGGGAACAGGCGGGGGTTAGTTAGTTGGGGCTGGCGCCGGGATATGAGCAGGGAACACAGCCAGCCAACGGAGGTGAGGTGAAGAGGGCGTGCATGGATGATGGATGATGGATGATGGATGGGGAATTCTGGGGTGCAGAAATGCTGTGTTCGGAGGAGAAGTGGCGGAGAGGATCATGATAGGCTCGCGAATGCGGTTTCCTGGGTGGTGGAATGTAGGCGATGGAGGGGGTAGGGGGGACGGGGCGGGGTGGGCATGGAAGACGGCGGAAGCTGAGGTATGTTGCGGTGTGCTGTAGACAGCGAAGGAAGTACAGTATTCCGGAGTATGTACTCGCACGTAGAGTAGAGTAGAGTACGTAGAGTAAGGCAAAGATGCCTACATACACCATGCTGCAAACAAGAACTGCCGACATTCACATTCACATTCACATTCACAGCACGGCAGCAGCAGCACGGAAAGCCCGGTATGTGGGAATCTAAATCTTGTTTTGTTGTGGGTTGGGGGTTGTGGGGTGAGCGGGGTACGGTATGTGGTACGGTGTCTTCCACATCGTATGTGGTATGTACGGCTGGATGGGACGGATGTAACGTGCGATGCTCTCCCGATGATTGGCCTGTTGGAGTCCACGCCCACGCAGCCACCCGTCCCCTCACCTCCGCGCTCCGCCTCCAGGAGGCTTTCCGGTTTCATCTTTATTTTCGTCCTGGGAGTCTGGGACTGTGGGACATGGACCGGACGGAGTGTTCGCCGCACACCGCACACCGTGTCCGATCATTCGATGAGTGGCCGAGAATGGTTGCTTCTCTATCTTTATGCTCTGTTCCGAACTGCCGTAGGTAGGCGATGATCTTCGATCTGATTGGTTGCATACCGTATCGGCCGAGTTTGAGCGGCTGATTGGGTACCTAGTCGGCGTAGGTACTTTAGGTACATGTACTCGAGAGAGCACTCGTCTGGGAGGATTGTTCCGACGATAGAGGAGAACTGGTCGATGTCGGGAGTCGGGACGGAGAATGGATCTTTGCAACAGCGAAAGTGCAAAGTGCAAATGCAAGGGCCGAGAACGAACAGCTCCTTTGGGCTTCCAGGCTTCACTCTTGAGGCAGAAGCTGTTTTTCGTTCTTCGTTCTTCAGGGCCACCCCTTGAGTCTTTCACCGACCGACCGACCGGCAGCGTGTGCAACTCCAAATGCATGCATGTGCCGTATGTACCGTATTTGCTGTAGGGCTGAATGATGAATCCAATGACATCCAATGACATCCGCAACTGCAGTCACGACATGATCATCAGCCCTCGGCCCTCAGCCCTCAGCCCAACCGTTACACACCTCGTACAGCGCACCGATGCCACCGATCCCTTTCCCTTTCTCTCATTTGGTTACCAGACCCGGACAATCAGGCTCCAGCTGCAGGCTGCGTCGGCATTATCGCTCGCTGGCCATGACTGGCACTGCACTGCGCCGTCACTTCCGGTCCTCGAGTCTCGAGTCTCAATTCTCCGCTTACCTAGGCACCAGTGTGTGTATGCCCATAGGTACCCAACGAAGTCAGCGGCGCGTCTTGGGCATTTGGGCATACGGTGTGCGTGTTGCCTACACCGAACTTCAAAGGCAGTCCCTCGAGCTCATTCCTCATTTCTGGAGGAGGATATAACCGTATACCGGGGGCGGCGAAGCGATGGATGCAGTCGATCGAAGATTCGAAGCAACACCGTTCCGCATACCATGCTCGCGACGTCCGAAAGGTCAGTTCTGCGGTGGCCGGTGTCGGTGTCGATGGATGTTGCAGCGATACAGCGATGCTTCTCGCGACTGTTCGTTTGGGCAGGGGCACAGGAATGCGCTTTCGCGTGGACTTTCCTAATGCAGCACACACCTACACACACGGTCCGAAGAAAGAAGGTGCGCATCCACAACTTGAATATCGTTGAGCCGGGTTTCGCAGCTCTCTTCGGTAAAGTACAGGGCGCCGAAACAAAATTTTGGAAGCGAGCCGCGCCGCGGTTCGGATACATACTTTCGTCTCGCCCCGCCGTGGCTGATGTTGATGGGGAGCGGCGGGGCTGTTGCTAGGATGATATGTAGGATACCGGTCTCCTGCGGCTACGAGTTGCTACATACCGGTATGTATGCAGTTGGCTGTCGGTGCGAGACCCTCTTTGTTGGCGAAGGATATGTGCGTAGGAATTCCGTGTCCATCATCGCGATCGCCGCACCACCTAGAATCACAGGACACTAATGAGTACAGGAGCGTGCTTTCTTCAGCGAGACCAATCGAATCGGCGTGATTTCTGATGGGCATTGGACTTGAGGCCAGCGGTATTCCAGAGAGAGAGAACATCAATCTATTATCGCATACGGCCTTACCAAACCACAGCGACCACGAACCCAGCGGTATGCCAGAAGAATCCGACCTCCAAGTCACCTTCAACAATCGAGTGCTCTCGGACGGACCACCGTCAGTCGCAGCGCTGGTCCTGGATCCGACTGGCGCTGCAGACCAGACCGCCAGCGCCAACTCTTGGCTGCGTCTGGCGTCCGCCCAACTAAAAACCTCCGGCCCAGAAGCCCAAACACCCCCACGGTACCAAAGCGCGGCAGTAGATATGTAACGTCCTTCCGGATTCGTTACGCGTTTGCTGTCGTTCTACACACGTGGTCTTTACGCTAGCTATGCTTCACGCGGCGTGGGAGGTCGCTCTGGACTCTGGAGATGCTCATATCACAATTCTCGATGGTATGCGCCCGCTTCTTGCTCTAGAGATACCTAATTTACTTGCATATATCACAATTCTCCATGAAATCCGCCGACTGGCTGATAGGTCGGATAACAGCTTGCAGGTTACCACCTCTTTCCGTTAGTCCTCTTCTTTCTTTCTTTCTTTCTTTCTATCTTTCTTTCTTTCTTTCTTTCTTTCTTTCTTTCTTTCTTTCTTCCTTCCAGCCTTCGGCAGCCAGCTTGGTCGCATGTATGCATGCTGGCGCTTGAGTGTTGTCACCGTGCCCATTTCATTGCCCTTCTCACCTATGCTAAGCTCTAGTGGGACGGGTAGAACGGGTGTCTGGCGCCTCCGAACTCCGACATGCGCAAGTGCGGGGTTGGTGTTGGTGTCCAAGGGCCAAACCATCCGCCAAGCGGGAGCCTACCTAAGCTTCAGTGCTTCGCCGTACGTAATTGCATTCGACGTTGCAGCTATCGGCAAGCCTTTCGGTGACCCTGGTTTTCACTCAGCCCACTGCCCGCTGCCACTGCTGCCTGCACGGTTTTCGGCCAAACTGCCACCGCGGATCGGTCGTTGACTCGGTAACGGTAGGTATGATCTAGAGAGGGGCAGCAATTCACGAGGATGCCGTATCTAGCCTTATGTATGGAGCACACAGCTCGTAGCCGATCTTTATCACGGGACGAGCAATACACTTTCCCCACCCTGACTACCAGGTACACGGTACACCGTGTACCCTACCAGGTCGCGGCAACCGCGGGGTCTGGTGTGCTCCTCTCACTGCTGCCTGCGGTGCTTCGGCCACACATATCGTGTCGGGCTTGAGCGATACATAGCGTGGTGAGGAAGGTTTCAGGGATGCCATTGGCACGGGAAAGTTTAGTGGTGGTGCGCATGTTGGGTCTTGGGTGCATACCGATCGGTTATCGCAACTGGGTGGCCGGTCGACGTATCTCGACAAGCAAACTTGGAGCCATGTAGATATGTAGATACATAGCCTACCGTTCATGAACACGGGAGGCGTCGGCCGGAAGGTAGCTTAGAGTACTCTACAAGCATAGGTCGGATGGCTGTCGAGCCGGTATGTATGCATAAGTTTAGCGGTGCTAAGCAAGTAGAACTTGTTTAGTTACCGCCACGCCCCGGCACGATAACTTTGGCCTTTGGCGCACAGGTAGTCCGTGGCTGCTATTTCGATTCCGGCCAGTGGCATCTTAGGGAACCGGTCCTAGTAGTATACGGCTAGATGACATGGAAACCAGTAGCATTCTGAAGACTGGTCGGTTATATATCGATGGGACCTGCCCCGACCGTGGGAAAGTACATAGCACAGCATCAACGTCAAGCGAGCGAGTAACAGCACCACATATCATCATCAACTTTAACGAATCAGCACACACACCACAACAATGGGACAAAACGATAACATCGAGGTCGATCCGACGCTGGTAATTATACCCCCCCCCATTCTTCTCGCTTCCCTCTCGCTCGTGTCCCTGCTGACGATGACCGCCTCCGCTGCAGCTCGAAGCCGACGGCTCCGACTACGCGTCTTCGGGATACGATACTAGCACGGCAAGCTTGAGCTCCAGGTGGATCGCATACCGGCTCCTGTCGATTCCCCTCGGCTCTAACGGTTTGCAGCGTCAATGAATACATCTTCGAGAACGGTAGCTGCTCTGTCACTCGCGGATGGGGTATGGGTATGAAGGCTAACGCCTTGTTCAGGACGGCGTTATCACGCATACTACGGCATGGAAAAGAACCTGATGCCGACGGACGAGGTTTGACTTCTCTTTCTTACCCCCCGCCCCCGTTCCGCCACGGCTAGGCTAACCCACCGCCTTACAGAAAGAACAAGACCGGTACTTTTCTGTTTCCTGCCCGCGGCCCGACCAACTGGGCGACGTAGGAACTAGCCGCTGAATCCTCTAGCATGGACCTCCACCACGAAATCATCCTCCTCCTCCTCGGCGGCGAGCTGCACAAAGCACCGATAAATCCGAACCCGCACAAGATCCTGGACGTGGGCACGGGCACGGGTATCTGGGCGATCGATATGGCGGATCGGTATCCGTCCGCGGAGGTGATAGGTGTTGACCTTAGGTGCGTGCTGCAGCCAGGGGATGGATGGATAGGGCAGAATGTGAGGAGTGGTGCTGACGGTTTTGGGGTGGATAGTCCGATTCAGCCGAGGTGGTATGTGTGATTGCGGTTGCAGGAGTGGGGACTGAGGACTGAGGACTGATGTGTACGCTGCGAGATAGGGTGCCGCCGAACTGGTATGTCATCCCCCCCTCCCGGTGATCATCGCCCGCGGACAGCCACTGATATCTGTTCAGTAATTTCGAGGTCGACGATGCCGAGCTGGAATGGACATATCCCTCCGTACGTGAAATCGTCGGCAGCTAGAAACCGGAGTCCGTGCTTACACCGACGCAGTGCAATTTCGATTTTATCCATTTCCGCAATGTAGCCCAAGGCATTACCAAATGGCCACAGGTGCTTTCAGAGGCCTTCCGGTGCGTCCCCCCCTTCCCCGACCTAGTACCACAACTATGCTTACCTCCCGCCCAGCTGCATGAAACCCGGCGCGTTCATTGAACTCTCCGAATCCGGCGGTGGGCACACCCCCCCGCACTCCTCTTCACTCCACTAACCCCGCACAGCCCAGCTCTACAGCGACGACGAGTCACTCCCGCCGTCCAACCCCGCGCGGCAATGGGGCGAGCGAATGACCGATGCGATGGCGGCCTCTGGCCGCCTCGCACCAGTGAAAGGCAGCCTCTCCTCCCGTCTCGAAGCGGCCGGCTTCGTGGACGTGCGCGAGTTCCAGTTGAAGCAGCCGTTCGGGCCGTGGGCGAAGTCGCAGGACCTCAAGAAGCTGGGGGTCATGCTCCTGCTCCAGGGAGAACAGGGATTCCATTCTTACGGGATGCTCGCATTCGTGAAGCTCCTCGGAATGGACCCCGCCGTTGCGGATAAATTGTGTAAGGACGCCATCATGGCCACGAAGAATAAACATACGCATGCGTATGCGGTTCAGTAAGTCGCCTGCTTGATACTAATCGCGAATGCGAACGCATGCTAACTGATGGTGCACAGTTACGTCGCGTACGGAAGGCGGCCGGAGGAGTAGCTGGTTGGCGCAGGTGGGTGCGGAAAATGGTAGCGTTGCGCATCGCATACAGAATACAAGGAAGGGCATGCGCGTGTTGTTTTTCTAGGTGCTCGGTTGGTGTCTCCATGTTGTTTTACGAACCGTAACGGTAGTGTAATTGAGCTTTGCATCGCGTTGAAACATTGATCGCGGCTGGATAGATTCTGCAAAGTGATATCGCATGCATGACTGTAAAATCGGTTACGTAACTCTACCTACCTACTCAATCTGACGAAATCACCCACCTCGTAGGTTGTCCGTCGAGCATAGCATAGGCTTTTCATCTTGCATCTTCAAGAACCGTCACCGCTTCCGTTCCGATTACTTTACCACACACAACGCATCTTACGGGTATCCCCCATACACATGAAACACGACCACGATGAACTACTAGAACTGGTATCAAGTCATTCTTCGGTGTAGGGGAGACGCTTAACGAGTAGAGTGATAGCTAGCTAGTAGCACGTATTTCGCAGAAACTCTTGCACTTCCCCCTGCGGAGGAGCATCAGCGAGTGATAGGTAGCCAGTCGACTGGCTGGGATCTGGGTGGGGGTGGTGGTGGTTCTAAGGGGTTTGGGCTGCCGCGAGAAGAGAAGAGAAGAGATTCCTTCGAGAAGGGTCGGTGAACTCATTGATACTCGTGAATCGCGAATTGTGGCGGGGGAAGATGAGTTTATATGGGGTGGTGGGCTTCTCGGTGGACTCGTTGATGCTGGTAAACCGTGAATCGTGAATCGTGGCGGGGAGAAATGGTGCTGCAGAGCGATGGGAGAGCTGTAACTGGGCGGAAGTAGGCAGCGACAGGAGGACGTAGAATCGGCGGGAGGAAGCGAATTGGGTTAGTTAGTAGGCAGCACCAGCATCGGCGGTCCAGCGGGGCCGTATTCTCTCTTAGTCGCCTGCTCCTGCTTCTGCTTCTCCTTCTTCTTCTTTCTATCATCATCCAAATAGACAACCACTCTCTCTCACGTACATACAAATAGTACATAACCGGCGTGGGTAGTGATCGAAGCGGAGGTTCGTGACTTGTGACTCGTGAGAACCCGATTTGACGAAGCGGGCCGGGGGTAGCCCAATCTAGTCATAACTTCCGCCAGGCTGTGGTGCTGGCTGCATCTCTCCGAGCACTCGTCAACGGCGTGGTGTTACTTCAACTTCGTGAGCGTCACTTCATTGGTTTCACAGGCCGTACAATACACGCCCGTGGAACCTCGCGGATACCTCCGCTTACGTGGATGAGGCGAGTGATACACTATGCAACCAATGACACTTCTTACATACTACCGATCGACGTCCGTCCGTCGTCCGACATTAGAAGTCTAGGATCGTGGGCCCGCTGCACTATTGATCCGTGGAGAGGACCTAGGTAGATTGAAGCCATATTGACACGCGGAGATACTCGAGGCGCAATCTAAGACCGTGCATTGATGCCGCATCCCATGTACCCGGGCGAATGCCGGTATGTCTGCATACGCTCGCCTCCACCACAACCAGAGTATTGAAAACCGAGATCGCGGTGGAAGGATGCATTTTTGATATACGTCCATTAATAATGGTAAATTCCAGGTCCAGGTCCAGGTCCAGTAGTTGCCGCATTTGTTGGTCCGTGCCGAGGCTCTCCACCAAAGGCGATACGACATCGGAGTGTCACAAGATTAGACCGTGCAAATAATCAGACCTCCAGTTTCGCTTTCCAATTCACATACAAGTCCCTTAACTCAAGTATCGCATGTCCCAAATTCCAATGCAAATCCCTTGACCGAAGTATAGCATGCCCCAATACCACCAGTTCATGGTATGATGGATTCAAGTCGACAAATGGTCAGCCCATGTTTTCCTGTTGGCCGGTCATCCACGACGGCTCGTTGGCGGTTGTCCGTTGGTGATGTCTCCCAGGACCGTAGTTGCCACTACATGGGCACGGTCAGTTCACGTCGCTGCAGAAGGATGTGATTTGTCTTACCAGCAGGCTGCCGTGCGGGTGTTGGTACTCTGCCTGCCAACTGGCGGTTTGTTCGACGTCTGTTGCGAGAAGTGCGAGCAGTCAAGGTATTGAAAACCAAGATGTGGCGTATGAACGGCGGATGATCTACTTTCTTTCTAATCGGTGCCGGTAGTTTGGCGATGGTGTTAGTGATGTTAGTGGTGTCGGTGGTGGTGGTCTTGGTGTTGGTGTTGGTGAGGAAGAAGAAGAAGGAAGAGAAGGAAGGAAGAGAAGTAGAATATGTGGGGGAAAAGAAGCAGCCCTAGGGCTAGTTGTCCTTCGGAGGGTCGAGTGATACCGCCTCTAGCCGGCAAAATGAACCTTCGAATAGCAAGAGTCACCCTCCACGCCATCCAGCAGCAACGGCGTCACATCGTGCTGGCCGGTACAGGGGTCTGCACCCCGGCCGGCCAGAGTGGGCAGGAAATTAGTGCGACGGTTCACCACAATCTAGACTCTAGATAGGCTGCATGAGAAATATACTGAAGATCTCTCTCTCTCTCTCTGCTGGGGGCGGCGGCGGCATGCACAGGTAGTCACTCGCTCCCGTGTGATAATCCGTGAGTGTGCAACTTCCAGTCCAGGGGAAGAACTTCTCGGAGCGCGCGGGATGGGCGGCTGACGGTACAGACTCGGGACTTGGTAACTAGCTAGCTAGTCGATTGTCGATAAGGTTGTTCCGAATCTAGAAATCCCCACAATCTGCAACGAATTGTATCTTGATTGCGGGGGAGGAGGCCGTACGTACTTACTCTACCTACATAAGGGCTGGCGCGGTCCCTACCTCTGAGACTTGACTGGTCGTTCACATGCGACGTCGCACCAAGATCGAAGGCCTAAGGCGGCAGATTCTGCCGTATACTCCTATTCAGAGCAGTTAGAACTCCAGTATCCACATATTGGCACTCTGGTGAGAATCAGTGAGATAAGTAGTGTACTTGTGCACTCGGGCAAACTTTTCCTTCGTCCGTATGCATACCACAAAAGTGCCCAATACGGTACCCAGAGTACCTATAATGCAAAGCCCGCCCGGGAAGATTTGGTGAGAAACGCCAGCAAACGCAGCGGAAGTGCAGGAACAAGCGAAAGGAAACTCATATGGCACAGCCGACCAGTAAGACTTTGCTGTGACATATGTACACTTGAAGTCCACATACCTACAGAGTCCGTCTGCCAGCTGGACTGACGGACATCCGCCCTTCGTGGCTTCGCCTGAGGTCTCCTGCCTTGATGTTGTGCTCGATGGTTGTTGGAGTCACTTGGAGTGACATACGTCCCTCGATGGCGATGGCGATGTTGGAACGGGCCATGTAGAGTATCGGCTATTGAGACTGGAATGGGCCATTCATACTGGCAAGAATCATCGAGACTGAAACGAGTCATTCAGCCTGGCAAGATCCATTGACACCAGCGAGCGAGTGATCTGCAGTGGTGACTGGTTATGCGGGGGCCCTTTGCCAATGCCTCCCTTGGCCAGGCGAGAAAGCAAGCGCACATAGAGGAGAGAGAGGAGATGGGGTGTTGGCCGTCGATTCGATAGATGATGATCTAGAAAGAAGAAGAAGAAGAAGCAGAAGACCCTGCCATGCCCGCCATGCCCACCAACGTTGATACCCACTATTAACCACATTCGTTTTCTCCCGCCGACAGGAGTCCTCCCTCACTTCCTCCTCTCTCCAACAGCTCCTCCGTCACTGTGCTACAGCGCCGTCGACCGCGCAGCAAGCCATCGAGCCAGACCGCTGGACGACCGCACAACATATGGGCGCTAGTGAGAGGGCCTAGGCTATAGGAAAGAGACATTCTCATAATCGAGACTGGAACGAGTGACGCGCAATGGTGACTAAAATCTTGGGTTCATTGGATCCTCGATGGAGCCATTCAGACACGCCAAAGTCTACTACTACATATAAACCATGGACAATCGCCCGTCCAGTAGCTATTTTCCCTTTCCACCCACCCAAGCCTCAAGGTCCTCATTATCATTGATGTGCCTACTCTACTTCAGTACTCTATGTACTGTAAGCCGCCGCCGCCGCCGCCTCCCGCGCGCCGGCGGAAACGCAGCCCGCTACTAACTAACTAGCGCGCAGAGCTCTCTGCTATCTACTATACTCTACATAAATGTGTGTAGAGTACCGCCAGCTAGGCAACCTCGGGCCGATACCTACTCTACCATACCTGCGGCTCCGTCGTGTCGGCCGCGAAAGTAAGCGAAAACGCGACATCCCCCGGATCGTGCCCCCGGATCATGCCCCCGGTAGGTCCGGTATGTCTGTAGCAGCCACACAGCCGTTTCCGTTTCCATTTCCATTTCCGTCAACCAGGAATTTGAGTTGATGGGGGGGGGGGGAAGGGGGGGAAGGGGGAGCGGGGGGAGCGGGAATGAGGGTTGCGCCCCCAGATTACCGTTTTTGGTGGCGTAAACTGTGGAATGTGGAGAGCGAGGCGAGAGACGAGCGGGGAGCGGGCTGCGGGGGTTTACATTTTTATATGTAGTTGCACGGGTACTCACCCAACACGTACGAGGTTGAAGGTACTCACGCCGCATACGAGCGGGGAGAACCGAGAGGCCGGCTGGCGAGATATCTAGATACCGGTACATCCCCGTGCCAGGGGGCGGCGAGTTAGCCGAAGTTCGAAGCTCGCCTTCACGTGTGCAGCGTCTCGATGGAAACAAGTCTGTCCGTCTGTCTGTTTATGTGGTTGCGTTGATGGCGCATCAAGTACTGGTACATACTACATAGGGGGAGTATCGGCATAGTGACCGGACGTCGCATCGTATTGCAGCCTGCAATATGCCTGCCTACTCTACATACTACGGCGGGGACGATCCCGCCTCGGTCGGCTTCTACCAGTTATAGGTAACCATGCTGTGCTCAAACAGACCGACAAGAATTGGCAAATGCCCTGATACATACCACACTTTTCAGGGCTACAGCCTACATACCTGTGCTAGTACCTATGTGACTATGTCCGTCCCGGCTGCGCGTCTCCTCCGTTCTCCGTTCCCCGTAACTAACCCCGTTCTCCGGTCTCCGTGAATGCATCAAGTATCAAGTATCAGATATGTAACTATCCCGCTGCTATGATATGTATCCCGCTGCTATATCCCATCCCATCTCATCCCATCCCGCTGCCATCTCAAGACTTATCCTTCCCCATGATCCATCTCTTCCATCCGCCCGGAAAAAGCAACTATAAAACTTCGCCCCCACTTTGGGGAGAAATTGTCTCTGAGCAATTGCAATAGCGGCTGCCTCAGGCTTCTATGAGAATCAACCAGGTAACTACCTACCCAGATATCTACCTGGGTAGTGGTGTATCCAGTAGAGAACGCCTCCTACGTAATACGACATTGTGCTTCGCGCGGAGAGGAGAGGAGAGGAGAGACGACTAACAAAACCCGAGGAGGAGGGATTCGAGAGTCGAGAACGGTGCGGGATACAGGATAAGATGGGGGGAAGCATAAGCCAGATGTAGCAGTAGTGAGTACATGGCATACATCGCGTCGATTGTCGTTCTCCGTTCCCCAGCAACTAATCCCGAGCTCGTCGATTACTGGTACATACCAATTATCACGTACCTATATAATATCTATGGACACTGCCGCCTCCAGCCGTCACAGCCCCGAATCCCGATCCCACACGTGAGAACCCCGTGGCAGAGCCCTGGATAGAAATAACCCACAGAACAATATCGCAGCAGCGATCCGGAAGCACACCATCTAGTATCTACCTGGTTACCTACCCACCTACCTATATACCTACCTACATAGTATATAGTTGACGATCAGGAGCACGCGCGTGGAGAACATCGAAGCTCAGGAACATCCGGACTCGGGAGTCGGAGCAACAGTGCGTTGTCAGGCATGTATGTGTGTGTACCTGAAACTCGGAACGCAGACTCAGGGACTCAGGGACTCAGGGACTCAGGGACTCAGGGACAACCTACATACTCTGCTTACCTACCGGTACGTGCCGGTAGATAGGTGTCTACTACCGGTATACATACCTCTTGTATGTACATGTACGTAAATGTAAGTCTCTTCACCGTTCACCGTGGAAACGGTTCGATTCCGGCGCTTAGCTGCTTATCAACACGTTTGTATGTATGTATGTACATAGCGGATGTATTGTACCTACATAGACTACCGGTTTTGCGTTCATTTCAGTGGGGACATGCAGGGGAGTTACATACATGTGTATGTAGTATGTACGGCCGACCCTGCGTCGCATCGCGTCGCGTTTCTGTAGGGTGAGGATCAGGGTCGCTTTGGATTGAATTGGCTTGGAGGTTTCTTTCTCGGACGGAGGGAAAGGGGAGCTACCTATATGTACTTATAGTATGATCCTGTGGTCATGATGCTGTGCACCCGTGGTCACTGGGTGAGCTAAAAATAAGGATTATTCAAACTTCATCACAGAGCACAGAAGAAGAAGAAGAGGACTTATGAAGAAGAACGAGGATTGGGGGGCCGAATACGAGCGGGGTGGGGCGGGATGGGGACGGAAGAGCGTCGGAAAGCGAGTCTGCGACGAACATGGAACACTCACTGATCTCAAGCACTCACGGGACGGGGACGGATTCGCTGGAAATCCCTCACCGCGCCGGAATGTGTGATCGGACCATCGGGGTGATGCGCGCTATGTATGTACCATGTGTACTTGTACATACACCGCCCTGCCCTGCCCAGGCGGGTTGGTGAGTTACAGAGCTATCGGGATCCCGGTTGCATGCATGCTCTCCATGGTCCATAACGTTTCCCCCCCTCCGAACTCTCCGACATCTTATGTACATATGTACATGCTCCCGACCTTCACACGAGGTATGTATCTTATCGGAGTGGACCTGCGCATGTGGCGTGAGCGAGATTTCGGTAAAGCACGATCGCTGGGATTGAAGGGGGGGCGGATGACTGAACACCAAATTTGCCGGCTAGTTGGGTGGATGATGGGGAACAGATGAACTCTGACCGGCGCTGAGGGAAGAGAGATGGGACGGCAAGAGTGCAATTGCCGTGCCGACTTCTTTTGGGAGAGGTTGCAATCCATTCCGGTTAGGTGGATGGAGAGAGATGGATCGCCAAGATCCGGGAAGTTCCTCCTCATCCTCATCCTCCTCCACCCGGCTAAAGTTGATCGTTGCGAGAGGGGAGTGGATTCGGATGGACTAGGCCGAATTTCGGATGGTGTCGTTACTATAGTAGTGGTACTATACGGCGCTATAGTGGTTGTAGAAACCCTGGGTTTGCCAGAAGAGTGGGAATGATCAGACGCACTCGATAGGGCAGTTGATCTCACGAAAGTGCGAGCTGAAGACACACACAACCCCTTGCGCATGGTTGGAGTGAAGATGCACAATCAGGGATCACCCGCCCTCTCAGTGCGACGCGGCTATGTCTGCAGATCTCATTGTTCGAGTTTTCGGCTAACGACATTGCGAGTGTTGCTCCGTGCAGCATCAGCAGCAGCAACAACGGCCAGGCAGCGACCACCCCTCCAGGGAACCATATATGCTGGCCTCTGCCTCGCGCGCCTTCAGCCTATCTGACATGGCCCACACAATCCGACGTCGACAAGCGGTGGCATCACGATAAGAATCGATGGCAGTTCTTCCGTCACCAACAACAGTCGGCACGGACGGGTGGACGGCACCCACCGGCGTGGCCGCCCTGCTCGGGGTCGCCCAAGGCCAGGCCGCCGGACTAGCACCGTTCCCTTCAGGCTTCATCCCGCCAAACTTCTACCCCAACTACGTACCGGCTCACCGAGGTCCCACGATGGTGCTGGTCTGCAGCATCTCGATGGCGCTCGCATTCTTGGTCGCCGTGGCAAGGCTGGTGACGAGGAAGGTCGCCGCCGGGAAGCTGGGCCTCGACGACTGGATGATCGTCCCCGCTACGCTGTTCTGCATGGGCTTGACCACCGAGAACATCTTGGCTGCTACCGGCGGAGGCCTGGGGAAACACGCCTGGGACATGACATATTCTGAAGCGGTCGTAGGGGTACAGGTAAAGGGCACGCCCCCTCCCCGCCTCACCCATCCGAACGAGCCACTAACACGCGCGTGTCTCCGTATGTAGGTGTTCATCACGCACCTGCTCCTTTACAGTATGTGCATATTCTTCGTCAAGCTCTCGGTGCTCTTCTTCGTCAGCCGGCTCGCGAGCCCCACCGGGCTCATCCGCTGGGTCGTCAACTTCCTATTCGCCTTCCACATCGCCTTTATCGTCGGCTTCGTATTCGCAGCGACATTCCAGTGCGCGCCCGTCGGCGCCGGCTTCGATCTCTCGCTGCGCTTCCACCCGGCGACGAAATGCCGTGACTACACGGCCTTCTACTGGATCACCACCTCGATCCACACCGCCTCCGACATCGCCTCGCTGGCACTGCCGATATGCCTCGTCGTCGGCTTGCAGATGACATGGCAGAAGAAGGCGGTGGTGATCTTCATGTTCAATCTCGGCGGGCTGGCATGTCTCTGCTCCACAGTGCGAATGGGCTACATCGGCAAATTCGCCAATTCCTACGAGCCCTCATGTACACCCCCCCTCCCCCGCGCACTTCACGCATAACTAGTTACTAACCCCTCCTTTTCCAGGGGACGCATTCGACCCCTCGCTGTGGGGCCAGCTCGAAGCCACAATCAGCATCACCACCGTGTCCCTGCCGGCGCTGAAAGTCCTGTTTGCGCGCGTCATACCAGGGTTGCTCACCGAAGCGACGAGCGGCGCCAGCGACTCGGCGGGTAGATCCCGGAAGCGCGACTCGCTGTACGATCTGTTCCGGCGGGGGAGCCAGCTTCAGCAACAGGCGCAGGTGTCGCGGACGACGAGTATTACCACGCACACACTAGTGGAGGAGGAGGAGGAGGAGGGGGGGGGGCAGAAAGGAGACGGGGAGGATGACGAGGTGCGAACACTACCGCTGCCACCAAAGAAAAGGATCTCGACTGGTGGGGGAGGCGCGACGAATAGGGGCGGGTTTGGGAGCGATGTCGCCCTGGTGGGCGTCATCACCGAGAAGTTTACGGAGGCTATAGATCTCTCGCCAATGCCGCCACGAAGGGTGGTCAGTACGTCGTCGCATAGGGTTTCCTTTGGCGATAATTAGTGGAGTTTTACGAATGCAGCGCTGTTACATGACTTCTCGTGATGCGCGCCGTTTCTTCATTGATGCAAAGTTCCATCTGTGTGTTCTGTCTTCTCTCTTGATCTTAGGATCTGGCGTAGCTAGGAGTACTTTTCTGGGGGGTGGGGGGCGTTCGAATCGGGGTACGATAACATGATGCCCAACTAGGTTGTCCACTATTGGGCTTAGTTAACCATGGCCATCTCTACGGCGTTCTCCGACACTACCTTCACTACTGTAATGAAGCTTCCGATCCCCCCGCCGCCCACAGCAGACCCGAGGAACCAAGGACCCTCTAGAGTAGCGACCAGAAGGAGATCCAGAAACACCAAGCCAGCCCCCACCCGCAACGTAATGAAGCACAGCACATCATGCGACTCCGCAAAACGAATCATCAACTGGCATTCACCGCCAAGCGCGGTCCACCTGCTCTACTCTGGGTGGTTATGCACTTCTTGGTTAGCCATATGCATCTCCAGAATCTATCTAGGTAGCTGAGAGCGCCAGCACGAGCGCGGGAACTCACTCATTCACGCATGTCTCACAAGTAACAAGAAGCTATTCATTTGCCGAACATGCAATCAAATCAAACTCGACCGCACCACGGAAACTTCCATCCATCGTCTCGACTGAGTGAATGTTGGAACTATCTACCCTACTAACTAGTGTAGACTCATTTGACTTGCTCGAACGAACCAGAGCAGATAGCGCGAGTGGGTTGGTTCGAGTTCTGTTCGTGGCCCCCATGGCGATGTCTCACTATGCACAGCTAGTATCTATGGTACGGCGCCCGCATCCCGCATCTTGGATTCTTGGCTGGCCGATCTTGAGATGAAGATGGGGATGGGGATGGTGGATGCGGGGAGGTGATGTGGGGAGAACGAGAGGGGGAGGGGGAGGTCCGACGCCGCTCGCTAGTCGCGACTCGCGACTGTTATATCGAGTATCTAGAGTAGAGTAGAGTGCAAACGGCTGTGGCGTGCCTGGTTGGACAGCGAGCTTCTCGCACCTCGGTCTCACGAGGGTGGGAAATGTTCCTTCTTCGAAGACTAGTAGTGCGGTCGCCGTACAATAGTCTGGAAGCGCTGTATGCGAAATGCTACCTAGTAAAATCGACAGTCTCTTCATCAACATGCGCGATTCCCGTTACCTCCAGACACTCGGAGATTGTCGGTTTCCCGCCGGAAGCGGTGCGGAGCAAGATCGAGTCGAGAGTCGAGAGTCGAGAAGTCTCCGCTCGCGCATGCATCGTTAAACCTTCATCGCGGTCGACACGTGATATCAACTAGCACATGATGATGATGGAGTAGGTAGCGCGGATGATCTCGCGGTCGGATCACCGGCGATCGTTCGGCTCCCTCACCCCTCCCCCCCTCCCCCCCCTCCCCCCCTTCCCCGCCGACCTCGGATGCATGGCAACCACTCATCCAGCGGGTAACTATAATATGGCGTGATACGGATATCGCAGCCGAGACAACCCGCTGTTTCTCTTTCTGATTCTGATTCTGTTCCTGATTCTGTTTCTCGGTCGATGCTCGGTCGATGCTCGGAGCGTCCGGTACTCCGAGACACGTGGGGCCGCCGGGTTAGGGCATTCGGATCGGGAGAAACGGTAAGTAGTGCTACGAATTGAGAGACGCTCGACAGGTACATACGAGAATATCTGTTGGTTGATAATGTCAGATGTGTTGAACAATAGACCGGTCCGACAAGATGAACAGAAAAGCAGCAACAGAAAACATTTTAACGTTCAACGACCGCATCGGGTCTGCCCGCCATCACACCTTAGTTCCACCATACCGCCGCTCGCCGCAACACAGAGGCGTCAAGACGCTCGCTCTACCTTACTATTCACACTGGAGAGCTCTGGCTGGCTAGAGTACGTACATTGAGTGCGAGAATCTTCTTTTGTTTAATCATCATTGCATTCGTCCTTAGTACCTAGATCATAGCAGATTACATGTCCTTTTCCACCCGGATGTCACCGACCGCTGACCGTGAGCTCCCTATTGACCTCCGCCCTGCCCTCCCGATTTAGTGCGTGAACCTGCAAGGACAGAGAAAAAATCGGAGGTGGCCGGGTGTTGCGAGTGATATAATGTGAATCACTCGCAAACATCACACTTCTTCAGGGATTTCGCGGATTCGAGGGGTGCGGCTCTGTCGACTTACACGCGACGCACATAGAGATCTACCGGTAGGATTCCACAACTACTCTCACTACATACTCTGGAGAAAGGGTTGCATACTGACGTAGCCCGGCAAAGGGAACGGCGTAAATGAAGAATGATGAAGAAGTTGAGGTTCTAGATATTCAACTCCGAAGAGCCGTTCTGCTGCTATGTACCTCCTATCGATGGGCGGTGCGGAAGTACCATCGTACGGACAGGAGGTAGAGAGAAGGAAGCAAGAGATTATACAGCGAGAAAACAAGAAATGCAGTACTATATTGGACGACACCTGTCCTCCCAAATCCCAAGCCTTCCCTTCCCTCATTGCGTGTAACCGCTGCGTATACCATCACAATGTCCATTGCGAATGGCCATTGCGAATGGTCATTGCGTATCCTACTTTTCCCAAATTACGTGTCCTGGCTTTTGAGTTCGCCAGGCTGTGACGACGTAACTTTCTTCACCTCCATCGTTCGGTATCACCCAATCCGACTACCCGCTTCTCCTATCTTATCTGCTTCCTTATCCATCCTACGTATCGCTGCTCTCATGGTGAGAGTGCGTGAACTCGTAAGGATCAGGAAAAATGTGAGGTAGACAAGATTTCCGACATATCGCGTGATTCACTGATAAACGGCACGCTTCTCCACGGGCTTCGCGGATTCGAGGGGCGCGGCTCTGGCGACTTTCACGCGACAAACTTAAAGATCTATGATAGACTACTGCTAGGGTTCGATAACTACTCCTACTACTGTAAGACTGAACGGCCGTTCGCACGAAGTGACGAAACGGGTTGATATGTATGACCGGCGTGTCTGGTTCTGTATCCCAAGCGGGTTCGTACGTCTTCCTGTAACTGCGAATATAGTGAGCTCGCAAAGCTCCGATCTCCCAGTCCTTTGCGTCTGCCAGTAGGTATGGTACCGATCACCTCGCTGTCGATTGTCCGGACTCCTCCGGGTACGGACTCCTGAGTCCTGAGCGTCCAGCCACGCAGGAACCTTGAGGGAGGCAAAGCCGGATCACGAGCTCTCGAGTCTCGACTAGAGGCCCACTCGAATACTCGCTGGGAGCTCTGACGTCGCCGCGATGTCTCGCTGACGGGACTCGAGAGGAGGAGAGATAGTTTTGCGAGCTGTTAGTGTGCCAACACTCCTACAGGCTGGAGGCGGGATCTAGAAGAAAGCACACACAGTGGCACAGAGGAAGGAGAAGACGTGAGGGTTGATCGTCTGTGCGGATGATGATGATGGTGATGATGATGAAAAGAAGAAGCAGAAGGAGAAGAAGTAGGAGTAGAAGCAGACGCAGACGGCTATGAGATCATACGGCCCCGCTGGACCACCCAGCGCTGGTGCTGCCACTAATAATTATAACCCCATTCGCTTCCTCCCGCAAATACGTCCTCCTCCCGCAGCCTCCTTCCGCCGACAGCTCTCCCATCGCTTTACAATAATAGTGTGAAGAAAAGGAAACGATTCACTGCAAGCGGTGGTTGTGGTGTCGTGATACCCGTGCTCGCCACCGGTGAGACTACACGCAACGATGTCTATCGATTCGAAATCTATCTAACAAGAACCCGCTCTAGAGTAAACCTTCGGCTCCGCCCCGAGGCTGCCAAGCTCGCATGACAAAGACTAAGACAAAGACAGCCGCATCGCCACAGTAGCAGCCACGGTGGTAGCCACGGTGTGGCTCCGCCACACTATGTACCCCGAGAAAAGGTGGCGTGCGAAGATCACGTGAAAACTTTTTTTGGCACTGAGGTCCCCGCTTCGTTCCGAACCTGCCCGACGGCAATTTCCGAACACATGGCTTTCGGAACGAGATATCATAATGTTATGTATAAGAAAAATTACGACGGACAAGAACATGCGAGAGAGAGAGTACATCAATTTATTGTCGCATGCAGCCTTACTACTCGCAGACTATGGCGACCACCAACTTCCCAACCTTTCCTGCCAGCTCCGCGGGGTCGAGAGAAAGCTCTATTATACCACCACGGCCCGATGCTGCGCCGCTGTCTTGGAGAAGAACTGAATGCACTAGGCATTGTATTAACTCATCATATATCACGCCTTCAATCATCCGCCGCGATATGTTTAGGGATACGAAGAATAAATCGTATCACGAGGCGCCACGTTCGGAATCAGAGTAACCACGGCTGTAGCCTGTCCCTCTCCGAGCTTGTGGGTGTCCTCTTATCCCTCTTATCCTCCAAGGTCTCCATCGAAGTATCCTCAGCACTGTATCCGACAGGGCTGGCGCGCGGTGGCGAGTCATGCTGCTCAATTGTTCGTGGCCACTCCCTGGAACAAGCTTCCGCCGGCTGGACGACCTCTGGATCTAGTTAGGGTGTTCGGTTGGAGACTTGAACCTGAGCTTGTGCGTCCTCTTGGATCCTGTATGTAGCTCGTGAGAGACGTGTAGCGCGGGAGGATGCATCCCGCGACACCCCGTGACATGAGCCAGTAAGGTGTCTTCCTGCACGTTGACAGCCTCTCTCGCTCAATATTCTTTCCCATGACTTCCGTCGTTATATCTCTCTACTTGAGGTTCTCTTGCGAGACGAAAATAATCAGAAGTATAGAGTGAGAAGCACTGGGAATAGTATGAGTGGAGTTCGTGGATCCGGTCGGAGGTACGATGGAACGGGATGTAGGTAGTCGACAGAGCCGTTCGCAATCTCGTAAAACGTAGGGGCATAGTTGTTGAGCGGAAGTCGGGGATCGCAATCGAGCGCTGGAACTGTAAGCGGATGTCAAAGAAGATGCGACGAAGAAAGGGTAGAGCGTTCCGGATCTCAGGTGTCCACCTATTCATCATCCTCGGACGAAAACAGATGGGCCCCGCCGTTTCCTCATCCTGCCCTGACCCTTTACTAGAACCAAAGAAACGGGTATCACAAGGTCCAGCTTGCATGCTGCGCTGTTCATTCAGCAATGTTTCGATTGTTGCTGTGGCGGGATGGTGTAGTACGCGGTGGCAAAGGAGAGACTTGGGACACACTCCCAGTAGCTCCAACGAGCATCGCGACAGCAACAACGACCTCCCTCAGACCCTCCACTGCGATGAAACACTACTCCCTTGCCGTCTCGGCGGACAAGAAACGGGCGATGACATTGACAAGAGCGTGATCTTACGGTCGGCGACAACGTGGGCTTGCGCGACCGTGCCATCACTGCAGATGGAGTAGTTATGCTCGAACATTCGGCGACGGCCGGGTAGAGTTGGCAACGATGGATCTCATTCAATCGGGCTTGAAGATCTTCGACGATCTTGGTAGGCGATTTGGTGACTGTTTAGGGGTGGCGGAGGAACGATGTCGCGGGCGACTGGGAGAGGCACCGTGAACAGCGGGGCGAGCTGTATATCTTTCCGACGTAATGTTCACGTATGCGAACGCGGCTGCTAGAAGAGAACATGGCGCTGAGGCTGAGACGGCGAAGCTTTGGAACCGAGTCCGAAGATCCGGGGATGGGTGGGGTTGTTTGTCGAGGGGTCGAGGGGTCAAGCTGGAGCCTCATGTCGCGTGCACTGACGCCGAGTGTTATGTAAGCGATCATACATGTGCACAATGGGGCATATAGTAGATGCACATCCATGATTTCGAAGAACTGACATTGCGGCGGTAGCACTTCACAAACATTTGTCTTCCTCTGAAAAATTTCTTACAATTCTCAAATGTCCGCTTCATTGCTCCCACGCGTCTCCATGCTCTTGCTGGCACTCGGGCTTACGTGATACCTGTTTGTCCGTGGTCTTGGCATATCGTAGAGCCTCACCTACACACTTTATCGCCATTTGGCTCACCACTCTTACACAAAACGTGATCGCGTCCCACCGAAATGCGCATCGAAAACGAGTTTCGATTCCTGTCCTTTCACGCCTCTAGCGAAATCTCGAACTAGCCTCCCGCTTCAAACCCACCACCACCACCACCTTCTCCTCTTTCTCTTCCTCTCCTCTTCCTCTTCTCTTTCTCTTCCTTACACTAGAACCCAAGTAACTCACCCACACTTACTTGCACTTCTTTCGACCACCAACAACTCTCCCCCTCGCTCATCTACTTGTTCCTCACTGCAGCTGCACAAGTACATCTCTCTTCGCGCATACACACTGAGCACATACAGTCTCTCGAACCCCACGCTCCCGAACCCCCCGTCGTCCGTCGCACGTCCGTAAGGCTGCCCCGAGTCCGACGTCAACACACAACCCACGAGAGATGCCTGACAACTCCCGGGGCCGAAAGCGAAAGCAGCCCGCAACGCCGACTCCAACCAACCTCCGTCCCCCGCCCTACCACATCAACCCGAACGAAAACCGTGGTCCTTCCAACAGGGGAGGTCGCCAACAGCGTCGCGGTAATCCGAACACGCTACAGCAGCAACAACAACAACAACAGCAGCAGCAACAGCAGCAGCAACAGCAGCAGCAGCAGCAGCAGCAGCAGCAGCAGCAGCAGCAGCAGCAGCAGCAACCGCAGCAGCAGTTACAACAGCAGCAACAGTATTCGCCACCGATACAACGCGCGCCGCTAAACACGCGATTATCCATGCCTACTGCCGGCGATACCGCGTCGAATAACAGTCCTATCCTGCCTTCGAACCCTCCTCCTCCCCCAACGCCTCTGATCCCGGTTACATCGAGTCGAAGCTCTGCGACGACGCCGGCGATGGATACCACCGACGATGTCCAATTTCACACTCCGGTGGACGACAAGCCTAAGCAATTCTACCATTGGGACTTCGTGACTGACGATTCACTGAAAGACTGGAGTGGCGCGACTTCCGCAGTGATCAAGGAGCAGCTTAATGAGCTCGCGTCCGATAAGACTAATGACATCGAGATTTCAGTTATCTTCCAGGAGCTGATCAGAACCGCGGTCGACGGCCGGCTATCGCCTTTCATGGTCGCGCGTTTCCTTCAAGACTATTTCGAGACCCACGACCCGAACGCCAGCCAGTTGGATGTTCGCCGCATCTTCTTACAGTCGGTCGGAGTTTTCGAGCCGCTGGAGACTACCGCTTACCCACCCGAATCGCTGGTTAAGTTACTGAAGGGATTGACCCCGCGACCGTTTTCGGAGGTCGAATTGTCAAAATACCTCGAAGGGAACACTCTCTCCATGCTGAATATTGTGTCGAGTACGTACAGCAAGAAGGCCATTCGTGTTACTACCGCGATGGTCTACAAGCAGCGGAAACATAATCTTTTACGCGAGGAGACCGAGGGCTTTTCGAAGCTCATCACCGAGTTCTTTACGGCTTCATATTCGGCGCAGCCATTGGAAGTTGTGGGGAGGACCGGTGAGAGAGTGAAAGGTCTGATTGGTGCGTTTGAGCTGGATCCGGGAAGAGTATTGGATATTCTGCTGGATACGGCGGCTTGCACGGTGGTTTCGAATGCCAGATTTTTTGTCCGGCTACTCAAGTGTTCCGCCTGGTGGCCTCAGCAGCTACAGGGTGTCGTCGAGGAAGAAACCCAGAAGGGCCGGTCGAAAGAAGAGAAGGAACGAGAGAAGGAGCAAGAGAAGGAACGGGCGGATCGGGAATTCTTCGACAAGCTGGGCCGGGACGGCATCTCCACTTTCTTCGAGAACCTGGACAAGGGAACTGGAAATAAGGTCGCAGCGCAGCTGTTGGGTTTCAAGTTCCGGTACTACCAGAAGGAAGAAGTCAACGATCCGACTCCTGAAAATCTGCTCGTGCTCTCAGCATTGCTAATCAAGATTGGTTTTATCGACTTGGCCGATCTCTACCCCCACCTTGCGCCCCTAGACGATGAAGGCATGATGTCGGTGCTTTATGCGTGGAGAGCGAAGCTCGACGAGAAACAAGTTGACCGGAAGCGGAACGCGCTGATGATGGCCGGTGCTTTGGCGGACGATACTGCCCCTTCTATGCGGGGGATGAAACCGAACGGCAACGCTGGAAATGACGATAAGAAGGCGGAGGAACAGAAGAAAGAAGAAGAGGCGAAGCCGAAGAAGGACGACAACCAGAAGCTTGTGCTGCTGAAGTATCTTTTGGCCGTCGGCGCCCTTCCAGAAGCAATGTTTATTCTCGGCAAGTATCCGTGGTTACCGGGTCCGTCGGACGACATCACCGAACACCTCGCGCGAGTCATCACCCAGTCTTTGGAGGGCATTTACCCTTCTCACAGTCCGCCGAATATCGAAATGGGATCCAAGGTCATAGCTTCGACACAGACAGGAAAGACAGGCGGTGTCCAGAGAGACCAGCAACCTCGGCGGAAGCCAATGGTTACATTCACGGTTTCCAATTTGAAGCTCAAGACCGGGGACATCGAATACCGGTTCTTCTGGGAAGAGTGGAAAGAAGGCGTACCGATATGCAGAGAACCGAAGCATGTTGTTGTCTTGATGGAAACGCTCGGCCGGGTTCTCGGAGTGAGGATTGGCCGCGATGCGGGAGTCATCACCAAAGTTTGTCGCATAGGACGTGACCGCCTTCGGAGCCCCTCGTGCACACCAGAAGAGAGACAGTCGTGGATCGGCCTGGCTAGAAGCCTGTTGGTCCCCGCGATCAGTTTGACGGACGGAAATCAAGGCATTGTCAACGAAATCTGGAAGCTGCTCGAATGTTTCTCTACCCAGACAAGATACTCCCTCTATGGAGAATGGACTTCGGTCACCAGCAAACGCATTCCCGAACTCAAGAATGAAGTCGCGGCGACGGAGCGGAAGACGAGAGATCTCCTGAAGCGTATCAGCAAAACGAACGTGACCAAGATGGCGATGGAGCTGGCGAAGATTGCTACCAGTAATCCGGTCACCGTCATGCAGATTGTCTTGGGTCAGGTCGAAGGTTACGATAACCTGATCGAGTGTGTGGTCGATGCTGCGCGGTACTTTACGCCGCTCGGATTTGATGCCGTGGGCTTTTGTGTTTTGAATAGGTAAGTTCAATCAGTGGTGGTGGCGGGATTATTGTGCAGTCGCTAACATATGGGTCATAGCATGAGCAACGAAAACAAGATGAGAGTGCAGGCCGATGGAATGTTAACCAGTAAATGGCTGCAATGTATGTCCCTCTCCACCGCAAATTGTGTTACCGGTCATGTATGCTAACGTATGTCCCAGCCCTCGCCAATTTTTGCGGCAAGATCTACACCCGATATCACAAAAAGATGGATACTGGTCCTATCCTCGAATACGTCGCCCGGCAATTGAAACGCAATCGCTCTGTTGAGTTAATTGTCTTGCAGCAGTTGATGCAGTCTATGGCTGGCGTCAACCCCGAGACGAACCTCAACGATGCCCAATTGCAGGGTCTTGCCGGCGGCGAATGTCTTCGAAAGCAGATTCTCAAGGCGTTCCGCGATCGAAAGGCTGAGGATTCAGAAGCTACTGTGACCTCGCTCAAGAATGCGTTGCTGAACGAGAACCTTGCTTCGCAGTTGTTGATCCTGATCGCTCAGGAACGACAGACGTCGATCTTCCGCACAGAGTTGAGCTCCGCTCCTCTGAAGGTTCTTGCCAACCTTTTCGACGAGATTCATGTGGTGCTCAGTCAGTACCTCGATCTCATGAAGATGTCTTTAACACCCGACCGTTTCCAGAGCGTCATCCCTAGTGTTGGTGCGCTTTGTCAGAAGTATGGTATCGAGCCGCCAATTGCTTGGTGGATCTACCGGCGTGGACTTCGGAGCAAGATGGATCGCGCGGAGTCTTTGGACAGTGAGGACGTTGAAATGAAGGATACCACGGTCGCCGAAGCAACAACGGACGCCCCCGAGAAAAAATCTCCGTGGAACCCGGTCTTGGAGAAGATGTTCGACGAGGTCAAGCAGATTCTCCCGGAGTCGGTATGGACTAAGATGAGCGTCGGTTTCTACATCACCTTCTGGCAGCTCGAGACATACGATATCCTCGTCTCCATAGATGCATATGGTAGCGAACAGGCCCGGCTAAAGGTACAAATCCAAGCGTTTCAGGAAGACAAGTCGGATACTTCCCTAGCTGGACAACGCAGGAAGAAGGAAAAGATTGACGAAAATACCAATCTAATTGCTCGCATTGGCGCAGAAGTCAAGGAGCATATGAGGCATCACCAAGTCGTGCGCCGTCGGCTGAACGTCGAGAAGGATCACTGGTTCAAGGACGATGGCTTCAATCAGCGAGAAATTACCGATGCTTTCATCCAACACTGCATCTTCCCGCGCATCATGATCTCCCCCAATGATGCTAGTTTTTGCTCCAGATTTATCCGAGAGGCTCACAGATTGGGAACCCCGAAATTCCATACCATCGGCGTGTACGACAGTATCTTCGGAAGAGGATTGAGCACAGTTCTGTTCATTTGCACCCAGCGTGAGGCGGAGAATTACGGGCGATTCCTGAAGGAGGTGCTTTACGATCTGCACGCATGGCACGGTAGCCGCGAGCTATACGAGAAGGAAGCCCACGGAAACAACAAGAACTTGGTTGGATTCAACGTCAAGGGTGCGCCTTTCGACTACGAGGACTTCCGGAAGATACTTTACAAGTGGCACAAGACTCTGCACACAGCGGTTAAGAACTGTCTATCGAGCAAGGAATACATGCACATTCGCAACGCGATAGTTGTTTTGAAGCATGTTGCAGACTTCTTCCCCGCCGTGGACTGGATCGGTAGAACGGTGGTGGAGCGCGTTGAGGACCTGGTCAAGAGCGAGAAGAGGGAGGATCTGAAGATTGCGGCAATGACTCTCCTTGGAATGCTGAAGAAGAGGGAAAAGGATTGGGTTATTGTTGCTGCGTTCCAGAAGAGCGAGGCACCCCCGGCGATGGCGAAGAATGATGGAAATAGTAAGCCCGGCACTCCCATGCAGCAGCAGCAGCAACGGCCAGTATTACGGCAGAATCCACCCAGGTTAGTTACACACCCAATCGAAGTTATCCGGATGGACGGCAGCTAAGTATATTTTTTTTCTCGAAGTTCTAGCGATTCCTCTTCCAATGCTCAGAGTCAGAACCAGAACCTGGCGAAGAGTTCGACTACTCCTGTCACGTCCTTGCCCTCGAAGCCGCAGATCGGTGATAAGGAGGATGGCGAAGTCGACGATCGACGAGGCGGTGGAAGGACTCTTCCAGTTGTGCCGAACCTTCCTCAGCGTCCGCAGCAGATTCCGGTTGGAAGGAGAGAGATGGCCACCCCGGTTAGAGAGCCTCCTCAACACCCACAGGGTCAGCAACCGTCGAATAATCGCGTTCCCACTCCGAGAAACGATACGAGGCAGCAGCAGCCCAACGATATTCGTCGGCAGCAGCAAGAGATGACGCGGACGCCTTCTGGCCGTGGACTCGTCCAACCCCACCCTCAGCATCAGCTTCCTGAGAGGCCTGATTTGCCCAGACAAACGACTCTTGAGAGGAGAGAGACGATCCGGGATGCCCGTGATCCGTCTAGACAGGACAATCGGGGAAGACCAGAGAGCAGGTTGCCGGAGAAGCCGGTGGAACAGCGACGCCACTCTCCTCGTCGGGACTCAAGGGGCGACCCGCGAGATTCCAGAGACACCATGCCGCACCGCCATGAGCCTGAGCGACGTGGGCCGACGGGGAGGGAGGCCGAGTTCCAGCGTTCGGCTATGCCGCAACAGCTGAGGGACGAGAGGGGCCCCAGGAAGGATGAGCCTCCGAATATGGGGCGGGGCATGCAGCAACCCATGCCGGAGCCTGACGATCGGAGGATCTCAGGACGGGACGAGAGGGACAGTCGCCGGCGCAGCGATCGCCATGAGCCTGCCCCCCAGAGTGGGAGGCTCAACGACTACCCGATGGACCGGGCCGACCATGGGGATCACAGGATGCCTCTGCAAGATCAGAGCATCCGGAAGCCGGAGGTTCAGCCAGCGCCGGCTCGGTATGGGGAGGACATGGTGGCTCAGCGTCAGCCGCCTGCTGGTCCTAGATCGGCGGCGTTTGAGCGACGCAACCAGCCGTCGAAGGAGCTCTTCACGGGACCTCAAGCGGCGAACCAGATGCGGGCTCCCCCATCTGGTCCGTCGCATGAGCAGTTCCGCGAGGGAAGGCATCCTCCGGCTGGGAGCTACCATCAAGACCCCAACCACGGCCGGCTCAATCCTCCGGAGCCCGTGATCCCCAAGGGTCCCCGTGGGAGGGAGGCGCCGCTTGGTCCTAGAGGTACCGGGGGTGCCCAAGTTGGTGGCGGCGGAGCGGTGAACATCCGTGGCAGCGCCAACCAGGCCGCCCAGCAGCAGCAGCAGCAGCAGCAGCAGGCACAAGCCCAGGCTATGCCGCAGCAGCAGCAGTCGCAGCAGCAACAGCAGCAGCAGCAGCAGGTGCAATCTGCCCCTGCCACGCCACGATCTTCTGGGCCGGAGCGGAAGATCGAGATGCCACCGCCGAACGTTGAGCGCGGCGGTGCGGCCACCCCGGCCATTGACACGATCGGTATCCATCCCGATCGTCTCAAGGCCATGGGGGTGGCTGGCGGGCCGACCATCTCGCAGCAGCAGCAGCAGCAGCGCTCGGTGCCTGGCACCACTCCGTCCGCTCCTCCTTCCGGTCCCCGCGCAGATCCGCCTGCCGCCACGCCGACTCCTTCCGCTCTGGTACCTCCTGCGCAGAAGGCCGCGAGTCCGCCTACCGGACCGGCCCGAAGCGAGGAGGCTCGCAACAATCGCCGGCGCATTCTCAATGTGCAATCACACCTCGCCGGCGATGAGCGCGAGATCCGGGGACGGGGCCGTCGGACTGGTGGCGGAGGCGGTGGCAGTGCGGCGACGACCCCGACCACTTCCGCTGCTCCCCCGAGCCTCCTCAGCCGAACCGGTTCTGCTGCCGACCTGACCGGCGCAGTTCCGGAGGAGAGAGAACCCCACTCTCGCCGCGGTTCTGAGGAGCACACTCCGCGCAGCAGCCGCCACCATCGCTCCGAGCGTGACCGGGAGCACCGGGAACGCAGAGAGGGTGACTCCCGCAAGGGTAGTGACCGTGGCGGCAGCGGCAAGGAGCGTGAGCGGGAGAGGGAGGGGCGGAGCCGGCGCGGGGAGGAGCGCGAAGAGAGGAGAGAGAGGGAGAGGGAGAGGGAACGGGATGTTAGCAGGAAACATCCCCGACCCGAAGACCCGAAGCGGGAGGGCGGCGGCGGCGACGAGGTGAAGCGTCGGAGGAGGGGGGGTGGTGAGAGGTGGTGAGGCCCTGGCGGAGATGGGGGCGGGGGGGTGAGAGGTGTTGAGGCCTTGGCGGAGATAGGGGGTGGGGGGTGTACGGGGGTGAAAATGGGGTAGGGACTGTACGATAGACGGAGATGGGAGGGTGGAGGGGGTGTGTTGATGCCATAGTTCCTTTTTTCAATTTCCGTTGGCCTGAAAATGGTCATTTGCTTGACATTCGTTTTCTTTTTTTCCTTGAGTTTTGAGTACATTTTTTTTTGCATACATGCATATGGGGGGGGGGTTTGGGCGGTGGCGAGAATAGTAATTTTCGGGTTGAGACACTTCACATATGGGCGTCACGTCAATGCAGTGATCATTATTGAGACTTCTTCACATCTGGTGAATGCGCGTGCGTGACTTCGCGATGTCCGGGACGAGCTCGGCGAGCGTTTGGCACGCTTTACGGTACGACTACGGGATGTGAAAGACATGGGGTAAATGGCGGTGAAGAGACTGTTGAGTCGGTTGTGGGAGATATGGGGAGGAGGGCAGACGTTGGTAGTAATGGGAAGGCCGGCAGTCTTCACGAAAGTGGAGTTGATCGCGAGAGGGCGTAGCAATGGTCGGGAAGGTCCCGGGGAGGGGCCGCCTTCCGGTCACGTTGGAAGCCTCTTGATGGACCGTGCCATACCGTACATACTGTAAAGCATGACTACCGAAAGCTCAATTATTGGAGATCACGATTGAAGACCGAGAAATTAGAATCGAAGTGTCCTTGGCTGTCCAAAAAGTTAAAATAAGATGCAGCACAAGACCGACTGAATAGACGTAAGTAATTATGTACGAGGTTTAGGCTGCATGAAAACGGGCAGTTCCGGTGTAAAACGGGCCCTGTCACTGGTCAGCTTTTCGTTACCGGGGATGGGGACGGCTTTGTGTGCTGGGCACCATCTGATCTCAATGGCAATTTCAGGCGCTCTGTGTCGTAGAGTGGCAACTAACTAATTGTGATGCAAGATTCCTGCATTGTGTATGCTGTTGTACTGGTAATATCTCACTCGTTGCTTAGTCGCTTACACAGACATGAAGGCGGGAAGCACTGACCGCCCATGTACCACCCCTCTTTTCTGTTTTCTCTCGAGGCTTTAGACTCAATATAATACTTGTTCATACTTGGTACTTTCCAACATGTGCAATCACTCGGAGAGCGAGTGATATACCGTACCCGACTCCAGCAAAAGTTCGTACTGTGTGCCTATCTACTAGTAATAGTATCTCTCGACCTCAAGAATCATGAATGTGTGTGAGAGAGAACATCAATTTATTGTCGCATGCACTTACTAGACTATGGCAACCACCAACTTCCCAGCCTTTCCTTCTAGCTCCGCGGGGTCGAGAGAAAGCTCTACCAGCACTGGTCGTCGCCTCGCTGCTCGGTCCACTTCATATGGATCGCTGTGAGGGCATGTCCTGACTTCAGCTGGTAGTACCGGGCGGCCAGCCGCTTCGGGACTCTCCCTGGAGTTGGGTCGATTGTCTTCATCTTCGTCGGTATTTTGAACCTCTTATGTGTGATGCGCGCTGCTGACCATTGTATACCTAGCTTCTTTCCATTTCTCGTCGCTTATCCGCCGCTTGAGGTGAATCATGAATGTGCCACCTACTACCACAAGCCCCCACGCAACAATCGAATGATCGGGAACATGAAACGCCAGATGGAAATACATTGCCAGGAACCGCATACTCTACCATAGTCTGAGGGTTCACTTACATGTGTACAACCGTATCATAGGCGGCGACAACGCGGTGTTCGGGTTTGCAGCTCTTAGTCGAATCTCGAAAGCTGTAGTCTACTCTAGCTGTAGACTACTCTAGCTGTAGTCTACTCTGGTAGGACTCTGCTGGTGCTGATTTGCGCGGCCCAGTCCTCCCTAACTACTCATTCAAGGAAATTGATGCTTAAAACATCGAGCTGTTCGATGGCTTGTTGCTGGAGCTGCTTTGCCGGTCCTACTTGAGGGTTGGTGCTTAAAACGCTGAGCTGGTTGATCACCAACGGCTAACTTCCACCTGTCATCCGTGGAGGATGGTTAGCTCATACCTCAATTACCGGTATTCTGCCGTGCTGAGCCGCGAGCGCGTACATACCCTCCATTTGCGCTGCACGGCAGTCGGTCGCGACGATTGCGCTTGGACTTGCCCGTATCTCTGCAGAGTACGAAGTAGTCGTGCTCGATCGAAGGGCTAGTCGTTCCTCGAGTAGACGGTGGCTAAGACCTTCCAACAGTTACCGGTTACCAGTGGGCGGATAGTAGCCTGGAGGTGGTTCGCCTGGGTTTCCGGCTGTAGAATTCGCAGTTGCTAGTGCACTGTGCAGTTTGCTCACGATCTTTCTCCAGCTCAACCATCAACGAACGGTTAAACCGCCTGGGAAGTGAGGAACCAGAAGTCCGAGTTTACAAGTTGCAGCCGCCTCTCATCTGGTACAGTGGTACAGTTGGTCTTCGGCCAGGAATTGACGAGAGTGCGTCGAAGGTGGCCCGATAGCTAGTGTGGAGCGAGATGTCCGGTGACCGTAGAGAAGACACTGGAGCCTTTCTTGCTTGAGAACCAGCGGCCAGCTAACCACCGCAAGAGTAACAGGTGTAATTACAGTCCCCCTTCTTGGCTGCGCATTCGACCATACACCTACAGGCTCTAAACTGTCAGCGGTGAGGATTTCATAGGTACAGCAGTGAATACCTACTTGTCGTGCGTTTTTGTCCTTGTTGCCGATTTACCATATACTCAAGGTATCGCCTGATATGCAATGGCGATGTTGTAGTCTGGGAAATTGGAAGGATCCAATAGACTGGTCCTGCTGGGTTGCTGTAGTTGATATTACCGTCCAGGTATCGCCTGATATGAAATGGCATTGTTGTGATCTGTGAACTTGGAAGGAGTCGAAGGACTAGCCCTGCTTGATCATTGCCGTTGATATAGTGTCGGTATGATCGGTTTTTGTGGTGGTGGATGTGAAAGGTCGAGAACACCATGGAATTTTGAACGTTTGCCGAATCAAACAACAGCAATCTTTCCATATCATTCCATTCCACTATACTTGTCCAACACATTCTATCCACTTCGCCTCTTCCCTCGGTACACGTTCACCCCTCCACTACAGCCCCCCCACCTCCGCCACCTCATCCCCTCCCTCCCGCAGCACGCTCATCACATCCTCGATCCCCGCAACCGCACCAAAGATCCCGCCCTCGCACGCGACCATGTCCAGCGCCGCTTGCCCTAGTTCCTCCACGGCGGCGGCACACGCCTCCCTAACAAGCAGACACTCAATCCCCCTATCATCCGCGTCCCTCATAGTAGTATGGACACACACATCCGTCGTAACACCCACAATAACCAACTTCGTCACACCCCTGATTCTCAGCAACAGCTCAAAGTCCGTATTCGCGAACGCGCTTCTACCCGGCTTATCGATCACCGGCTCCCCAAACCATGGGTATAGCTCGGGTATGATATCGTGCCCGGCCTCGCCACGGATCAGTAGGCGGCCCATGGGGCCCGCGTCGCCGATTCCTAGTCCTGACGGATTCCTCCGTGACCGGAATAGTTCTCGCGGCGTGCAGTCCGACAGGTCTGCGCGGTGGCCCTCGCGCGTGTGGTATACGGGCCAGCCCTTCGATCGCCACAGGGAGAGGAGCCGCGCGATGTGCGGGATTGGCGCGCGCATGGGAAAAATGGGGTAGCCTTGGTGCGCGAGGTAACCGGTGGAAGTGCAGACTGTTCGGCTTGGTCAGCGGGAGTGGGGGAGAGTGACGGGGAGGGTGGGGGTGCACAGTCGTTCTGCATGTCGATTATTACCAGCGCTGTGCTACTGGCGAGGTCCCCGTCGTGCGGCCAGGCGTAGGGGTGCGCGGGTATGTGGAGTTTGGGGTCCGGCATGGCGCGGGATCTCGAGGCCGGTCGGGATCGGGGTTGGGTACACGGACGGTGTCTGGTCGGTGGTGTAGATATCTTGAGACGGAGAAACACCTCCGAGCTTCGAAGGTGGGGGTGGGGTGCCGGCATGCAGCTATCCCTCCATCCTTGTCGTCCCCTCTGGTGTGGTGGAAATAATTCAGACGAGTCGGATATCCATAGGGAACGGCAGATTTATTGAATTCGGGATTAATGACATGGCTAATGAAATATATTGATCTATCTCCAGCAGTTAAATGAGCAGAACCCCACCGTGAAAACAAAAGCAAACTCCATAAATGACATGAACCCATGATCCCAACCCAAGAAAAGAAAAACAAAAACAAAAACAAGAAAGAAAAACAAGAAACAAAAAACAAAAAACAAAAACAGCTCTTGAACCAGCTGTGGAAGTGAGTTAGTAAGATATTCAATGTGGGGGGGGGGGGGAGGGCAAGCGGAAGGGGAAAGGGAACATACCCTCTCAGGCGCCTTGAGGGTCTTACGGTTCCTCAAGTCATACCGAGGCTTGACGGTCTTTTTCTTGATGCGGGCCATGATCGTGCTGGCTGCACCTGTGGTGCACCCCCGCCCCTCATGAAAACCTCCATCGCCGCCGAATCGAGTCTCCCCCAGAGTCGAAAGGGCGTTTGCTTTGATGGCGGGAGCATCTATCCTTTCGCGGTGTTGCGGGGGGATTTCGAACCGTTGATCGGTCGATGCGCCACCACCGACGAGAAGACTCCCAAGCGCAACATGAAGTGCTGAGCATCATTTTCGGCGTCGTTTTCATCCTGCGCGGTCCCAGCGGATTTGTCAGCGTGTGATCAGCATTGAATTTCTCGCGGCCATGTTCATCGGCTTTTCTGCAGACTTGGTTGACGCTTCCGGAGTCGATACCGGAGGTTTCTTCTGCTGGCGTTTCTGCCCCTTTGGATTCGCGGTCTTGACGCGAAGCCACATCACAGCCCATTGACGCTGTCACACTCGTCACACCCTGCCCCACATGGAAACCTCCATCGCCGCCGAACCGAGTGCGCTCGGAAAACTGGGAGGATCGGCACAATTTCCAGCAGGCGCCTATCACTATTATTAGTCCAATTCGATTCGTGGCAGCAACAGTAGTTGAAGAGAATATATACATCGCACCAACCGTTGTCGAACGGTTTGGATTAGGCTCCGCCACTCCGTCCTCAGGCGGAGTGGGGACTTGATCCGATGCCGCCACCAGGGCGGGATCGGAATAGTCACACCTGGAAACTCTTCCAGGGTGTCCTTGGGCCGGTAGAGCCAGACAATTTTGAGTTGCCGGCCTAACCACGGGCCTCTTCCTTGGAGACAGGATTCTTGTCCTTCGTAGCAGTAGCGACAGCTTTAGCATTGGTGACAACTTTCTCCTTGGTGAGATCTGCAGTGACGGCTTTCTTGGGCGGGTGTGCAGGGGAGATCGAGCGGCTTCTGGTGACTGAGCCAGAGCGACGACGGTGCCAGCTTCGTCACGTATCCAAACCACTTCTCTTCTTCCTAAGCTGAGCGCGGGCGACGGTACCGCCGAGGCGGTGGGGGTCAGACCGGGAAGTTATTGCTCGTTGGCAGACAGGATTTCTGAAATGCTCCCAGCATGTGGATGGAGTAGAACGAACGGAGATGTAAAAGGACGAATGGTGAAGATATTCGGAAGATTGCTCTTTGGTTCCAGTTAGTTGAAAAGAAACGTAGAAGGAAGGATAAGGAGGAGTAAGTGAGAAGATATCTGTGAAGAGAAAGATAGGGAAAGAAGAAGGGAGGAAAAGAAGGAAGGGAGGGAGGTTCTTATAGAAAATCCTAGAACAGATTTAGCCGAGATCCTGGGTAAGCGCACACTCGCAATTGAATTGTGAGTTGTGAGTTTCCGCCAGCGGCGGAGAATTTACTCACATAATATTCTCCTTGTGATTGCGAGCAAATTCAAAGTGGTGCCGAGTGAGACTTAGAGTTAGCGCGAGTGTGAGGCATGCGAGCGAAACAAACACGAGCAAACACGAGCAAACATGTGAATGTTAGGACTTTCTCTCTGCTAGTTGGCTGGCTTCTCCACCGAGAGAAGTTTCTTTTTTTTTTTGGAACAAGTGCTCTCCGAGTGATTGCTTGGTGGCAGGGCCTGTTGCACCACCAACACCAGCTGCGGTCGGAAATCCAGGTAGGTACTAGGTAGGTGCTGCTGCTGTGAGTCTTGCTTTTCGAAGGGTCGTTCTGCTAGCTAGTGATGGTATCACCCGACCCTTTGAAGGAAAACCCCAGCTAGGGCTTCTTCTTCCCCACACATTCTACTTCCCTCCCTTCTTTCTCTTCCTCTTTCTCTTTCTCTTTCTCTTTCTCTTTCTCTTCCTCACCACCACCACCAACACCACTACCACCATCACCACACTACCGACGCCGATCGGAAAGAGAGTACATCGACATTCGGCCATACGCCACAGCTTGGTCTTCAATACCTCGACTGTGATCGCGTGGGATGTTTGTAGTGGGAACCTGGGGACCAACTGGACAACACCAACTGGACGACACCAACTCGACGACACCAACTGGACAACAAACGCGGCGGATAGTACTAATGGACCAGCAGGAATCGACTGGGAGCCGTGTGGGGAGGGAGTGCGGACGTAATGCAGGCCGCACAGAAGAGCAAAATACGGGATCACGTACCCGCGGTCCCGGCACGGACCACCAAATGCGGCAACTACTGGACCTGGACCTAGAATTCACCCATGATCAATGGACGTATATCAAAAATGCATCCTTCCACCACGCCCTCGGTTTTTAATACTCTAGTTGTGGTGGAGGTGAGCGTATGCAGACATACCGGCATTCGCCCGGGTACATGTAATGCAGCATCAACGCACTGTCGTAAATTACGCCTCGAGTATATCCGCGTGTCAAGATGGCTTTGATTCGTGCCCTCTCCGCGGATCAACCGTGCAGCGCGACGAGCCGAGACTTCTTACGGACGACTGACGTCAATCGGCAGGCACTAGGTATTCTGGGGCAGAAGCAAAAAACGTTCGACCCCGCCGGATCCGGGAGAGGATACCCTACTTGTTCACATCTGTGTCGCCACAACCGCATGATTCCTACACGCCATATAGTACAGTGCATCAAATCCCAGAGATGTACAATGACAACGGAAGGCCGCGAAGTGCGCCAGTTGCATAATGTATCACTCGCCAAAACACGTGATTGGCAGGAGAAGCCTACGAGAAGGCGAGTGGATATATAGTCAAGTCGGGAGGCTGGAGCCGACCCTAGGATTAGTCTGTTTTGGGCAGCATAAGATGGCGTTAAGTCACGGAGAGCTACATCAGGCAGATATTGAGCAGTAGACAGCTAGAAGGATAACCTATTCACATCACACTTTCGTTGGGTCCGGCGGTGCTGTGCATCAGCAAAATATTGGCCTTTGTAAACTGCAGGCAAAATAGCTTCCGCGATTTAAAGATAAAAAATGAAACATGAAACAGCAAAAACAGCAAAAAATAGCAAAAAACGATTCCCAACCAACAACACCCCCCCCCCCCCCCCAAAAAAAAAAAAAAAAAAAAAAAAAACGTGAACTCCCGGCGCCTTCAAATGTAAAACATCAGCCGTGCGACCTCCTCCCTAGGACCCGATCCCCAAGTCTTGATGGCCTCGGCCATCGTGGCGGCCTCCTCCGCCGCCTTCTTGTCGGCCTCAACTGGGCCGGCCGCTTTCCTCACCTCGGCCATATTTGTAATCGGGTGTCCCGCCAGCAAGGCCTGCAGATAGCAGCGGCCACGATCACACAGGATATCGGCATAGTACGCGGGCGGGACGTAACTGACGCTCTTGGTCGCCCGGGCGAAGAGATAGCTCATCTCGTGGACCAGGGCCTGCAAGTTATCTGCCGAAAACCCAATCTCGTCGTGCACGGCGAAGTAGTGGGCGCTCCTCGCCGTCCCCTGGAGGCCCACATGCGCCTGGAGGTAAAAGTCCATGTGTGCTACGGAGGTGACGCCGCGATCGACGACGGTTCCCGGGGCTGAGTTGCCCTTGCCGTCCATGTGCCTCGGGTCGGTGGGGTAGAAACGCGCGTGGTGGCGCTTTCCGCAGACGATAATGCTGATTTTGGGATTGTACTCAGGGTCCTGTTTGGAGGCTACCTGGCCTGCCTTTTTGATTAAAGGCAGTTCGTCCGTGTTTAGCTGCCGGTATTGTGACTCCGAGACGCCGTCGCGGAAGTAGATAATGCGTTGCGGAAGCTTTCCGTTATGTTTGGCGTAAAATGCCAGGCGCTCGGCCACTTGTTCGTCCAGGTGTTGGATTATCTAGGGAAAGTTAGCACGTGTGGGCGAAGCAAGGTGGACTGATGGGCAAACCTCTTGCCTAGTTTTCTGTAGGCGTATGCTACCCGGGTACACACTGTATGTGTTTTCGTAGCTGCCTACAACTGCCGCGATACTGGGAGTGCCCCTTGTACTAACTTTTGCGGTGGGATGGGTGACATCCGCGCCCAAAATGATGGTGTCAGTGCCCAGCAACGTGGCGAGCATGCCGTTGGCGGATACTCTATGATTCATCCCCCCCAACTTCAAGTTGGCCTTCATCGCGATGTTTGCGAGGTATTGTGGCTGACCCTTCTCCTTCTTGATCTTTTCCGAATGGCAGCACATCGTCGAGATGCCAAACTCGCAGTCTACAAGCGTTCGGATGTAGTTGTAGATCTGCTTGCTGTCGTTCGACAACATCACGAGTAGGAAATCCGGAGTCGGTCTGGCACTTGCTGACTTCCGGCCGCTCTTGCAGATAGTGGAGAGAGCAGCTCTCAGAGCGGGTAAAGCCGCTGTCCTCATCGGGTCTCCGGGATTCTTCGGCGGAAGCTCACATTTCTGCCACACGCGCGGCTCCCTCTCGACCACCGCAATGCCACATTCCGTGCACTTGTCGACAAAGAGCTGGGTGATGTATTTGAGCTCGTTCACATCGGCAAAGTCCGTCCTCCCACCATCTCCGATCGCCAGAACCGCCCAGTTCTGCAACTTGCCGCCCACAGGGAACTTTATTCCGATGAGGTTCCAAGATGCACTGTTTTCTCGTATGCTGACGGTTCTGTTCTTGTAGGTCACTTGCGGGGGTCTCAACACCCTCGCGGAGATGACTTCCATGTACTTGCTCACTTTGAGCCCGAACGTGTCGAGTATCTGGTTCGCGCCGCCCGAATGCCCGAGGACATCGAGTCCCTCGCCGGTTATGAGCTCCGCATTGCTTTTGGGCGACCGACATGCTACTTGTAGCATCCTACTGGTCTGATTCCCGGTGAGGAATGACCCGAACAGCTGCCCCTCGACGATGGTGCACAATTCCGCTGGAATGAAGGCTTTTCTGCCTCCGGCGCCGAACCAGAATCCGCAACGTCCGTTAGGATTTAGGTCTTTCGCGTATTCTGGGGAAGTCAGAGATAAGTAGTTAAAAGCAGGAAGGTGAACTTACTCTTCTTGAAGTAATACGCAACCGTTACCATGCGCTTCTCTTCGTCCCAGTCGAACTTCTCCTCGACAACCGTGCCACCGAGGCCCTTCAACGTGAAGATCTTGGGTTTTCCAAGATAAGTGGTCATAACTCGCAGCCCATCGATCGACTTCAAGCCAATCCCACCTTTCGGACTCACGGGGGCTCCGCCGGGCCACACGTCGTTGATCATGGCAGTCAAGCTCTGCGACTTGAAGAATGCCCCCGTGCACACATTGATGTTGCAGAGTACGCGACCGTAGGTGGGCCGGATGGAGGAATAGTATCCCCGGTAAGCAACTAGGCCACTGCCCAGTTCTTCGGGCTGGGTTTCGAGAATAAAGAATTTGTTGTCTCCGCTGCCAACTTTCATGACCTTCCTGTTGCCGGCCAAGCCGGACACAGGAAACTTTGCCAGAATGATGTTGAGTGCGCGGATAATCACGCTGGCGTCGTATGGCGGGTAATTCATCACTCCCGATACGAACTTCTGGAGATCCTTCGTATTGAACTCATGAGCAAAGGTGATGGTAGCCTTGTAGCACTTGTCGGTGGCCCGCTCTGCCTCATCCACGTAGTAAAACCGCACGTCGAACACCCTCTGCCTCTGGGGCATGTTGAGTTGGACCGCGGAGATGAAGGTCTTGGAGTTATCGGTCGCAATGCAGTTGGGGTTCGGCACCAGTTTCCGGAAGTCCGGAGTCTTCTGCAAGAGTTCGAACAATCTGGTTCGAACCCCGGCTTTCTTCTCGTTGGGAGAGAAGTCCACATCGTATTGGTACAACGGCTTTTCCGGCAAGTCCACCTTGAAGAAGTTGGCGCGTACGACGGTCGAGGCGCCTTGTTTCCCGAAGTCCTGGCGATACGGGAAATCGCCCTGGACTCTGTTGCTGGCAAGGGTGCGTATAAGAGCGTCGGCGTCGGCGTTGAGCTTTTGGTTTGGTATCTGTGTATCGCCGCTGGCGTGGAACAGACCGTAATCCGCGACTAGACGTCCTCCACCACCTCTCCCGCGTCCACCGCCTCCGCCGTATGCGGGACCACGGCCGCCCTGGTATCCACCCCGGGGAGCCCCTCCGCCCCCACCATCACCACCGCCACGGTAGCCACCACCACCACCCCCACGGCCGCCTCCGCTACCCCCACCCCGACCTTCTCCAACTCTCATAAAGCCCCCTCTTCCTCGTCCATAGCGGCTAAAGTCGCCGCAACGACCGCCACGAGATCCCCATTCAGACATGTAGTCTTCTCTTGCTGGTAGTGTGTGTAGTACAGTTCGTACGAACGAGACGGTATCAAAAATCGGTAGGTTGGTGATGAAGCCAGAGTGTCGAACCTTAAGTGTGCCGCAAGAGGAGGAAGGATTAACTCACTATAAATAGTTGAGCGTCAACCTTTAAGTGCAGGCTTAAATTGAAGGCAGCCATCTGTCGAGTGGCCATGTGGACGATGGAAGCTCTTCAAAACTGGGCGAAGAGAGGGTGGTGATGCATCTCAACAGTTTCGATTTGAATCATGATTGGGTGTGTGGTAAGTAGATTCGTGCGGAAAAGTCAATGTACGGGTATGTTCTTTGTCTTTCTATTGTGGTGAGTCAAACTGGTGAGTCGACAACCGGATGGATACATACTTTTCAATCGCAGCCATGTGGCAGATCGTCGACAAAAGTTGGGAAGGCTAACGTTGACAGCTCGTGACGAACTCTAATCCGAATACGAATGATAACCTAGTTTGATCAACATTCAAGGTTAAAATTATACATAAGAAGTGATTGAACTTGACAGATATTCAAGAGGTTCGACGGAAAGTCAAGCTGGGGGGATCGGCTGTTTACGTTACGGTGTTCATCAGGATACATCTGAACAGGTCTCCGCCAGACTGAGGATTGTATTGGTTGACCCTAGAAGACCAGGCAGCCACTTCTGCTCAATGAACACTGTCTCGTAGCCGTCCGAAGGTGCCTGTGCGTTCTTGGGTACTGCCTCCGGATCGATCCACTTCAACGATGCAAGAGTTCCCCGCTTGTATGCCGTGATCGGAATCTTAGAAAGACGGGGTTGCCAACAATAGTGCGCCTTCGTCCGTATTGAGGTAGCGGGCGACGGAACCGGCGAATTGAAGGATCATGGAGAGGTTGAGGTTCTATTCAACTTCAGAGCCTGTGGCCCTTCTCCGCTGCTGCAGACTAACCTAAAGGCGCCTAGCGACGCATCTCACCCTTTCGGAACCATCCGATTCGGCTAGTCCTGCTCGCCTCTTCTCCTTATCTTATCCATCGATCGCTATAACACATCCACCATCTCTATGAAGCCAACGGACTCGGATGTCCCCAACCGAATACAGACAGCGGCGGCGATAATAGTTAGTTCCTTTCACACACCTCCGACCGGCGAGAACCCCACTGGCAACCTTCAAAAATGCGAAGATTGTCCGCTGGCACACCAAATGCGCTGCTCACGTTAGCTCCAGGATTCTGGGATTCACGCGGTGTATGTGTGTGTGTCCACTCTTTCTGACCGCGGATCGAGTGCCGCGACCGACAGGTTCGACGAGGGTGAGAGGGATCAATCGAGCAGATAGTTACTCACCTGTTGGTTACCACTCGCCTGCTCAAGAGTCAAGAGGTCACTCCATATTCAATGACTCCCGCCGATCACGTGGTCACCATACAATTATCGACAGACAAGGGGCACTGGGGCAGAAAAGCTTGGAGGTGCAGGAAGTTGGAATTCGGGATGGAGCAGGGATGCTACTATGCATATGGCGGGGGGGGGGGCTGGGAGTGCGGGCGGCCATGCAGGTGCCCTCTCCCGCACCTCGGACGTCGGACCTTGGCATCTCGGTCCGTGCTCTTTGTCCCGTCCCGTCACCATCTTGGCAATTTTATCTGGCAACTTTATCCAGGCAATTTTATCTGGTAACTTTATCCAGTGACGAACCAACATCAGAGAAGTCTGGGTTATGCATGCATACATAGGCCATGGACAGAATCATCGGATTTGGCGTGTCGTCCGCCCGCCTTCATTCTTGCTTTTCGTACATATGCTTAGGAGGGGTTCACCGCGGCACGAATTACATACCACCGCCGAAAGAATCGCCCATGATCCAGGCAAACATAACACTTCGCAGATCCAGTCTCGAAAAGTGCAATACACAGGTCGGAAGGAAAGCAACAGATTAGGCACCAAAGAGAAAAGAAGAAAAAAAAACTCAAGATTTGGCTTCACACACATACACACACACACATCCCACGCAGCAGCTTCGGTAGACATGTTTTAATGGACCACAGTACGCAAGGAATTCCTATTTGCAAATGTATAACTCCCGCCGGCCCTAGCAATATCCAGATTTGCGCAGAGATATCTGATATAGTGTGCGGCATACACGACGGCGGGGCAATTGATATTTGCGCCATAGTGACCGCACAGGGAGATAGTGCCGCCCTTGGCGCTCTCCAACTTGGAGCATTTGGACTTGATGCCGTTGTAGTTTGTGCACGGCTTATTGTTGGGTCTGCGCATGACCTGCGAGACCATCTGGTCGATCTCGGTGAACGTCGGCGACGCCCAGGACGTCTCACACTTGAGCTTGCCGCGCCACCGGTTCACGTACCGGCCCGACGAGGACGCCGACGGCGTCAGGTAGTACGTCGTGTTGTCGTGCGGGTCGATGTGGATATCCGGCACGTCGCCGAACATCGGTGATGAGGGATCGCTGTCGTCGTCGTCGCGGGTGGGTGCGCCGCCGAAGATCGGTGATGAGGGATTGCCGCCGTCGTCGTCGTCGCCCTCCGAGTCGATGCCGGACAGCCCGAAGGATCCGGGGTCGGCTCGCGTGGTGCCCTTCGTTGGTGTGCTGCCTTTGGAGGGGGGGGCACCACCAGCACCGGGGAGGGCGCGGGGTGAAGCAGTGACTGCGACGGCGATGATCCAGAGGACCGTCAGAATCTCGAGACAGAATCGCCGCATGTTAATGGTCGCTGGAGAATATTATGGGTAATCCGGTCGCTGTATCTCCAAAAAACATGGGGCAAAATCCCAGATTATAAGCAAAGTCTGGCGATATGGCAGCGACATCTGACTCCATCCGCCGGTGATCAATCTAATTATGCTTTTGCACCGCATGCACATCACATTCCTACATCACAAAGGATTTGGATATATCCGGTCATTCCATCACTCGCAGCTACGAGCGCCACATTCCACGTACTCCAAATCCAACCAGCGTGAAAGAAACTTCCACGCAGGGAGGTGTCACAGGCTTGATATCACCGCCCTCTCGTCAGGAATGAAGCCGAAGAGAGCGGGGTACTTGTACAGTTACTTGATGGTATGTAAGGGGCAATGGCTTCCGCCAGACTCCAGTCACTCGGGCACACATCTTCCCCATGCCCACGACAGTCCCAAGCTTCACTAGCCCTTCGAAGATGGAATGATGTGTCTCCGAAAGTGGCAGCCGAGTGACTTATGTGCAGACGCCGGAATCCCTATGGAGCGGTTAGAGGGAGGTCGCTGCTTGAGGATGCCCTTCGTCCTCTGTTCGCCTCGGAGCCAATACTCAAAGCGGAGCGGTTATTCCGAACTCAATGGCCTCTCACATTCAAATGGCTCGTTAGGTACCTAGGTCGCTTGGTAGCTGGCTTCTGGCAGTGTTAAAGACCCCCGCCGCCAACCTTAAGTTCCAACAAGCTGAGATTCACTGCCCCCGCAACTTGTGAGCGAACGGTTGGCAGCAAGCGGGAGCTTACAGGACATGAAGGGGACGTCAAGATTCGGTACAGTTGCTGACGGAAGTTATCGAGTCTCGCAAGAGCCAAAAAGCCTACTTACCGAACTGGTGAGTGAGTGAAAGGTGGGAACCATCGGGTCTCGTAGTAGCTATAGGCAGGAGCTATATATCGAGTCTCGCCGGAGCTATCGAGTCTCGCTGGAGTCAAAGAGCCCACCCTACCGGACTTGTGAGCGAGTGACAGCCTACAGGTGGGAGCTTGAGCGTGCAACAGATCTACGGATCCCAGTAACTTACATACTCCAGCCGGTGCAATGTAAACTTTATTCAGCGTGGGTGATGACCGATATGCATTACCGATCCCCCCCCCCCCCCCCCCCCACCCTCCCCCCACCCTCCCCCACCGCCACCCCAGCCAACAATCCATCCCCTCACCATCCCTCACTCGCCATGACGTCACGCGTACCTAGAGTAGAGTATGTTACCTAGAGCACCATCCAGCGATCTGCCGTGTCTTGTTTGTTTGTTTGTTTGTTTCAACTTTCAGCAGGTATGTAGAGTATGTAGACGATCATGCCGCACGGGACGAGCACATACTCTACCTACTCTGTGAACTCTCAACCCACCGAGCGCGCTGCTGCTGGGTGCACCGGGCCCCTCCCCTCCCCTCCCCTCAGGACGTCAACCGTGCGATACCTACCAACATACATAGAGTAGATTTCCTGCCCAATCTCCTCCCCCCTGCGACCCCGGTGTTGTGTTGCAACTTACAGCCCCCACCTCGCACAAAGTTCCCGCGGCAGATCCCAGAGGATCCCAGAGGATCCGCCTCCACGTCCCGTCCGTGCGTACGTACTATCCACGGGAAGACCCGCTTTCTCGCGAATCATCTCCCAATTGTTTGGCAGCAAACATCAGACGTGCAGTTGGTCATACTCATAACCAACTTGGTAAGTTACGGCTGAGGTGCGCGTGCAGCAGGATTTGACGGTAATATTGCTTTGAAATCTTTCAAATCCTGCAGCGATTGGGTTGTGGGATTGGGCCAATCGCTCGGGGCTGCACTGAAAACGAGGAGGTGGTAGCACCTTTGACGGTATGGGTTTGCTGGGTTTGCCGGGGGAAGGGGGAACGGGGAAGGGACTTCTTCTGTGGTGATCTCCAAAAATGCGCCCGTGAATTGCTCGCTCGCTAAACCCGCTCCCACAAACGCTGTACCGGTAATCTAATATGACAAAAATCCGACGATGCAAGTACTATCTATGCTATGCTATGCTGTAATTATGCTCCAGAATCCAAAATAAAACCGAAACGCCCTTCACTTCCCCAATCCCCGATGCCATAACCGCCGAAACAATCCTACCGGTTTCCACGGCTTCTCCGCCGCTGCCTTCGCCTGCTGCTGATGCTTCTGCTGCTTCTTCTCCACCGCCGCTGGACTCGGCTTCACCAGCTTCGCGGCCGTCCCGCCACTAGTGCTCGGCCTGTATGGCGTTCTTCCCCCGCCCCTTGCGCCGGTAACACTCGGCGCCCTGACCGACCCAGTCGCCCTCGACACGCTCCTTACCGGCAACGCACCACGCACCGTTTCCTCGCCGCTCCCACTCCTCGACGCGGCCTCCTCCTCCTCCTCCTCAAAGCTATCACTCTCCGTCGCTGTGCCCGTCGCCGTCGCCGTGCCCGTCCCCGCCCCCGAGCCCACCTGCCTCTTCCACGTCCTAATCTGCTCCCTCGCGGCGCGCTCCAGATGTTCCTCTGCGGTAGTAGTACCGTCGCTCACGACCGTCGAGAACGAGGAATTCCTGCCGCTCTTCGGGCGCGCCCTATTCTTTGGCGGCGGCGGCGGCGGCGGCCCCTCCGCGCTGAGTATCGCGTCCAGCTGCGCCAGATCCAGCGCCTGGCTCAGCCTGCGGCCGTTCTTCGGCGGCACGGGGGGGGACAGCCGTCCCCCCGCCCCCACACCGGCCTCGTACACGGGCGGCATGGAGCGCGGCGAGAGATTTGGTGATGTTGGGAGGGGACGCAGCTGCCGCTCGAGCCGCGCGATGTGCTCCGCCTGCTGGAAGATCAGCGACTCCTGCAGTCGCAGGATCGCGTTGTACCCGTCCTTGAGCTCCTGGATCGCGCGCGCGTGGTGCACGTCCATCGTGTCGAGCAGCGCACGATAGCGGTTGTCGATGCGGTGGAGGAGGTAGTGCGGATGCTGCTGCTGCTGCTGGTGGGTTGTGTCGGTGTCGCTGTCGCTGTCGGTGTCGGTGTCGGTGTCGGTGTCGCTGTCGGTGTCGGTGTCACAGTCTTCTTCTTCTTCTTCTACTTCTGCGGAAGAGCGAGTGCGCGAGGGCATGCTGGAGAGTACGTGCGTGCGTGCGGGGGGCTGGCTGGGTCTTGGAGGATGGATGGATGGGTGGATGGGGCGGGGGGCGTGGGGCGGGGGGCTGATGTGCTGCTGCCGGCGCCGGAATGTGGTGTATCGTATCGTATCGTATGGAGAGTAGAAGCACAGATCCGGGGACAAGGTCGAAAGGGAAATCCGTTCCCCAGCTGAAAAAAATAAAGTACTCTACTCACGGCGGCGGGGGGGTCGACAGGATAGGTGTGGGTTCGTTCGGGCCACCATGCGTTGCTGGCAACAGCAGCAGCCTTGTTGCAGACTTGCAGTGTTGTTCCTATGGTGTGTGAGACCACGTACTTAGCTTAGCTTGCTAGCTAGCTGTCAGCCATCCATCGCATCGCCCGCCCGCGCGCCCACCCGCACCTCCGAGCCAATCTGTCTCAGGATCCGGCAATCTGTATGGCGGAATTGCTGCGCACGAATTGGTTGCCCTACCCGAATCCGGCGCTGTACGTAGGATACCGGTATGTATATCTCCAGGTGTTTCTTGGTCGGGCGCAGACGGAGGTGCGGGAGGGAGGGAGGGAGGGAGGGAGGGAGGGAGGGAGGGAGGGAGGGAGGGAGGGAGGGAGGGAGGGAGGGAGGGAGGGAGGGAGGGAGCTGGATGTGACGCGGCCATCCGGACGGGATAGGCTAATGGCCGCTGTCCTCATGTCGGTCGTCGGCAGGTGGCTGCAGAAGGCTGCAGGCGCGCCGTGGTCCAGACTTGCTATTGGCGAACCCTGGTACGTGTCTCAGCTTCGGGATTTTAGCTATTGGAGCTGAATGGGGATTTCCGAGGTGATTGCTGTGGAATGTAGAGTGCAGTAGAGTACCGGGAGCTTCGCCATCGTCAATTGGGGATTTTCCACGCGATTCAGGTGACGAGTTCGACTCGATGGGTGGGCTGAACCGCGTGATGATCTGTGTCGCGAGCGAATCATATCCCGTGAAGACTGGAGCTGATCGAGTTACTCTAGCACAAACTCATTTCAGATCACGAGTCTACTACCGGGAAGGGACGGCAAAAATCAAGAGTTATGGAGAAACTGAGGTTTTATTCAACTTCGAAGAGCCATCTGCGCGAGTCCGCTGCCTACTTCGGTGCTCACAACGCTGGGTGTCACTCGGTCCGACTGGCCACGAGACTTATCTTATCGGATCATCTAGATATCCTGCATAGATATCGCTTCTCTCATGGATGATGGTGGTGGTAGACAACACCCATCAGCTGCCGTACCTAGAGTACGGTATCTCACTCAAGAGTTGATGGTTTATCGCCATATCCGTCAACAAGCTTTCAGTACTGTGCGTCTTGGCCTGTGATATGAAGAGCAATTGTACAGTTTTATTTGGTTTACTTCCTGTTCAGCCATGATATGTGGGTACACAGCTGAGACGTGGATTTGTTGCTGGAGCCTGGCGGTTGTATGTAGCGTTGCCCACAGCCGTGTTGTGATGAGCGAGCATAGTAGAGCATGCAGGATGAGCTCGTGTGTATCGTACCACACCCGCGTCGATCAAACGAGCGGGGTAGGTATGTATGTACGTGCGGATGCATCACGTACTATATAATCCGTATCCCGCTCCTCCGCTCTCCGCACCCTGCCCTCCCACCTTCCCCCGATGCCACGCAAACTCCACGAAGGCGTCACGCCCGCGTGGCCGCTCACGACGCTGCCGATCCCGCCAACGTACGAATTCGACGACATCAACGTCACTCAGCACGCGGTGACGGCGTTGACGTCATACGACATCCTTCCCACGATCCTTGGCGTGGAGCGCATCGTCGTGCCGGGTCACCCTCGCATATTCCACGCACCTGCGCTGCCGTTGACACTCCCCCGCGACCCTCCCGCCGAGCTGATAATCGAAGCGTTCCCTTCGTGCCCGCTGGAGCCACTGTTCCGCGCACTGGCTGTTACCGCGCCGCACGTGGATCCCGGAAGCTTCGATATCGTTACGGACCGTAGGAATCTAAGACTGCTGCTGGATTTTGTCAATGATGCGCCGCAGGAGTTTAGGCTTAATGCGGAGGTCGTCGATGGCACGGTTATGTTAAGTAGGTGGATCGATTGGGAAATGAGGGTTGACGCCGTTGGGTGGGGAGGGGCGTGGGAGGGCGCGTGTACTACGGATGGGGATGGGGATGCGGGAGGGGAAGGGGGGGGCAAGGGAGGGGATGGGGGAAGGAGGGAGGTGCTGGCGCATAAAAGAGCTGTTGGGTATACGCTGGGTGGACTCAGGCTGTGTGTGAGCAGTTTGACTAATGCGAGGGTGCCGGGGCCGGGGGAGGATGCGATGGCGGAGGGGGAGGGGCATGAGGGAGTGGGAGGGGAGAAGGCGGAGACTGAGGGAGACAAAGAGGAGACTGGAGGAGAGAAGGAGACAGTCGGCGAGAATGTGGAGACAGGAGTCTCGAAGTCGGAGCCATCACCACTCACCCCACCGCCCCCGACGGCGCCCCCGGAGCTAACCACGCCGACAGGCCACCGGCTGATTTTCTCCGGGACGTTCGTGCCGCAATCCTCCGTGCTGCAGATCAAATCCTGCAGCCTAAAAGCCCCGCCGGCCTCCATTCTCGCGCGCGCCCTACCACAGATGTGGTTCAGCCGCACGCCTCTATTCTGCAAAGGCCTTCGCAGCGGCGACATGTTCAGCAGGCTGCTGCTGAACAACCTCGAGGAGGAGGGCACGTTCCAGAAGTGGCAGGACGAGAATGCGGATAGCCTAGCGAAGGTCGTTAAGACCCTCTATGCCCTCAAGAATACTATGGCGAGGCTGGCCGGGAAGGACGGCAGGAGGAGGTTTGCGATTATATGTAGGAGGCCCAGAGGGAAGTTGCTGGTTAAGACGAAGCTCGAGGTCTATGGACTGGATGAGGCGTATGATTTCGGACTACCTGAGGATCTGGTAGAGAAGCTGCGGGGGACCGGCGGGAGTGCGGCGGGGTTGGAGGCGGCGTTGATGGGGTTGGATATTGACGACGACTTCGAGCAGGATACGCCGCCGCCGCCGCTGAATACTCCGCTAAGGAGGGGGGGTTTCAGAGGAGGTCGCGGTGAGGTGCTACACTGACCGCTTACTTGTGGAAATGAAATCGGTATCGAAATATGTACTATGGCATGAGCGGGGTTCTAATGTATAAACCCCTGATGAATAGCTTCAAGAATAAACTGAACGAAGCGAAACAATCAAAGCTTCCCTAGTCGGAAGTGATCGATTCCGTAGACGCGAGTACATTTGGAACTCGAGCTGTGAAATTCGAGTCACTCCGCCAAAGTGAGGAGGATGGGATTAGGTAGGGAGAATAGTAATGGTACGTAGGAACTGTGAATGGTTGTATAATAAGTAGCCGGACTGGGCCTTTTATACCCACAGTCCCACTCCACCACTGCCTACCAACTACCAACTACCACCTACTGCCCGCTTCCCGCTTCGTTGCAATTGTCACTCGACACGCCATTCTGAACAAATGTTGGAATTGAGAGACGAACTTTACCCGATTGATGTATTGATACCAGAAAGATAAGAAAGATGAGAACGAAGAGAACGAAGAGAAAGGGGACTGCTTATAAAGGGAAACGAGCCCGTGTAGAGTCTAGACGACGAGATGAAGCCGGGCATCAGACAGCGGATGCGACGCCGACGACAGCCGTCGCCGTCACCGGACTATGTGGGCTGGGGGTTTGAAGGCGCGAAGGCCTGAAGGCTTGAAAGCTCAAGAGAATGACTCTGGTGGGCACTGACTCCTGAGAAGCCATGGATGATGATAAGCAGCCATGAAGGAAATAAGCTGAGGGCAGTATGAAAACAGCAAAAAGACAGTGGAAAGGACAGTGGAAAGCAGCAGTGACACTGGAACAGGTAGTGAGATGCATAATATCAACAATTCTGAATACTTGGGTAGGTAAACGAGGAAACAGCTAGATACGCAATGATCAATGATCAATCCTTATCAATCATGCTTTCGCATCCGCACTCTCAGCTCTCGAGGCTGGAGTCAGGAGTCTGAAGTCCGCATTGCCATCAATTGCGGCGCGAAGTGCAAGTGCAAGTGCTGTTCTTGAATCCTCTCCTTGCTTTACCGTCAAGCCCGAGCGGACTGTGGTGGAAGACACCACCGGTTCTACATACATATGACGGACGGCTGGAGCCGATCCGTGTTTCGCACGGCTGAGCTAGGAGGATCCATCCTTACCGCCTCCGGACCTCCAGTCTCACTCGGTTGGGATAGTAGAGTCTAGGTAGCCGTTTGAGGCGTCGTAGGGAGGCGTCGCACAGATCGGCGTCTCCCGCTCCAGGAGGTCGACGGATCCGCCAGTATGGTATCCAGTGGTCGAGATGTTACGGGGAGACTCTGAGTCATCGATACGGCTCTCAACGCCTGTCACCGCTCCGGTAGGTAGCACCACTAGTTACACAGGCTGACTGCAGTGAGCACGACGGCTGAGCACTTCAGCAGCCAGCAGCCAGCAGCCAGCAGCCAGCCTCAGTGAGTCAGCTCCACCTCTTCCCCCTCCTATATCTCCATGCCATCCCAGCCGCAGCCGCAACCGCAGCCTCAGATCTGGGCCCTCCTCTTCTTCAATGCACAATCTGTCACTCCGTCACTCCGGTCAGAAAAGTGCATTGTAGCATGTGCATCAATGGTCTAAATCTAGATGTGACGTATGGAATATGTATCACTGGAATATTCACCAAACGATTGGAGCTAGCTAAGTTGCCCAGGTGGTTACTGCGGGCATGCGGTGGGCATGTGGTGGGCAGGGCTGGGGGTATATACGGCAGAAAGTAAGAAGTGGTTATGCTTGCCGCCTGTGGGGCACATGATGACACGAGACGAGACGGGGGATTATGTAGGTAGCATGCTGGTTACCGCTATGTAGGCTTTTTGAGTTTGTGTATTGAATCTTGTACGTACATATCAAGTGTGTACTGTGGTTGTAGTGAAGTGTGGAGACCGGGAGTGGGAGGGAGGGAAATAGTGTCCACGTATTGCCGACATGAGGAAGCGGGAGGATTAAGAGGCTGTATAGTACTAGTGCTAGTAGGTATTCCCCCCGCAATCGCTCAGCACCCAGCACTGAGCAATCAGCACTCATGAATCAGTAATCAGTCAGCAGCCCCCAGCCATCACCACCAGTAAGCCCAGTGAACCCTGAAGACGAACCCCCAATTATCTGAGCAAACTCTCCCAGCCGAACGCTACCTAGGATTCGCGATTCCCAGAGTCCAATACGCGATTCCGCCCGCCGATCCACGGCATGGCCGACAATCATCTGACGGGATCACGAGCGTGCGCGCACGCCCGCGTATGTACACTGCAGGCAGCCGTGTTCTCTCTTTTTCTCTCGTTCTCTCAGGCCGGATAACCGCGCTGCCTTCCCATATGTACGGTCGCCCGTCTCCCGTCTCCCGTCTCTCGATCGAGTCACGGTTTCCCGCCATACAGCCATCATCGTCGCGGGCGGCACATATAGTAGAGTCCGTGGTTGTGGCTGCCTTGCGCATAGTGTGCCAACGCGCAAGCCCGGACTGTAAGCGCTGGGAATGACTCATATCCAGGATCCGCACCTGCTATGTATGATGTAAGTATGTAAGACCCAGACGAGCCGAACCCGAAACCGAGTGTTCCATAGGGCTGATCCAAGCCTCTGGTCTGCGGTCGTGGGTCAGGGGCCTACTTACAGATCTCCACAGATCCTCGTGGGGGCGGTGCGGTGCGGGGCGGGGGTGGAGGTGGAGGTGGGGGGGAGTTTCCTGCTGCCTGGTGGCTCGGAGGAGGCGGCTGAGCCGCATCAAGCATGGGGCTTGTTCAATCCGACCCCGCTCGGCAATCGCCGAGCAAATGGGAGATTCCAGCTGCGAGCTCGAAGATTGCAAGTGCAAAACAAGTCTGTGACTGCCTGACTGGCAACGTTCCAACTACCCTGCGTGAGTCGTGACGACCCACGGTGCGGTCAATCCGACGACGGGAGAGAGACGAAGGGGAGCAAAGACACGCATCCCCCCCGCCTGCCTGCGTGCGGAAATTGATTGATAATCTGCATATCTGCACATGCGATGCGTGTGATAAACGTCGCTGGGGTGTATACGAGTAGTACTACGGTAGTTAGTGCAACAAGCCTCCAGGCATCCATCCATCTCGTCAGATGTATTTGTGTAAACCATCATCATAGACGAACTCGTACTTAAATGCCAGCAATGCCCGGATTGATTCTTTTCGTGATATTTTCGATACCGGCATCGAAAGCGTCAGCGCGCCGCTTTGCCGTTGCGCACACCCTTCCAGACCGGTTGAAGCCAGTGCAACATAACGACAGCGACCACAAACAAACACAAACACAAACACCATCACTACCACCACTCCCTCCCCCACCCTCCGCACTCCCTCCCCTCCGATCCCGCACCCCCCACTCCACCTGCTTCCCCACTCCAACCCCCCACCCGCCACCATGAGCGACGACGGCGGCCTTGGCAGCTTCAGCGGCAGCCTTCTCGGCGCGGTATCGATGACGACGATCGCGAACCAGATTCTCGAGCAAGCGCGGCCCTTGCTGGAGTCGACGCTGGGGATCGACCTGAACGTCGTGATCACGTTCTGCATCTTCGGCGCGATGGTGTTTGCGGGGTGGAGCCACGTCGACAGCTTTGTGCGCAACACGCTGCTGGACGAGCACTACACCTGCCACATCCGTGTGTCGTCCGAGGACAGTGTCTACACCGCACTCATGGAGTATCTCGAGGAGAATAGGATCTTTGGTGGCGAGGAGCGCGCAGTCGCTGGAGGCAGCAGCGGTAAGACGGCTGATGCGGAGAGCGATGTGTACCCCATCGGAAAGACGAGCAAGATGGCGTGGTATGCGAAGCCGACGCGGAATCTGGAGGCGAATCTGGACGGGTGGAAGGGCAGCCTCTTCGGTGATGAGTCCGACTCCGACGACGAGAGCGACGACGACGACATGATGCACGTTAAGAACAAGAAGAAGATCAAGTACGCGCCGACCCCCGGGTACAGCCACTACTTCTACTTCAAGCCAACGGGACACACCGTGACGATCACGCGCAGCGAGCCGGCGGACGGCAACCCCGGCGCCTGGTGGAAGAAGCGCCGCGAGCTCGTCGAGCTCTCCATCTATGGCCGCGACACGGCGCCGCTGAAGATGCTGCTGCAGCGCGTGTGCGACCGCAGGAACCAGAAGGATGTCGGCCGCACGGTGGTGTTCAAGGCGACGCAGGGGATGGATGGCGGTGGCCCGGGCTGGGAGCGCTGCTTCTCGCGCGCTATCAGGCCGATCCAGACCGTCGTCCTCGATGAGTCCCAGAAGGATATGATCTGCAGCGATATCGCCGAGTACCTCATGCCTGCTACCAGCAAGTGGTACGCTAACCGCGGCCTGCCCTATCGGCGTGGATACCTCCTCTACGGACCTCCAGGTGCGCCATCCCCCGCACCCCTCTCTATGACCGCAATCACTAACAGCTCCCAGGCACCGGAAAAACCTCGTTGACCGTCGCGCTCGCCGGCAAGTTCAACCTGCAAGTGTACTCCCTGTCACTCTCCGCCACCTGGATGAACGACGACATCCTGGCGCACCTCTTCAGCCGCCTCCCCCGCTCCTGCATCGTTCTCCTCGAAGACGTCGACGCCTGCGGTGTGACGCGAGACTCGGACTCCAGCAGTTCAACCAGCATGCCGACCAAGTCCACCACGGGGCCCCCCAGCAGCAGCCCCGCCGACTCCTCCAGCAGCGCGAAAGTAACCTTCTCGGGCCTTCTCAACGCCATTGACGGCGTCGCCTCCAAGGAGGGGCGACTACTAATCATGACGACGAACCACCGCGCGCGGCTGGACGAGGCGCTTATCCGTCCGGGGCGAGTGGACGTACAAGTGAAGTTTTCCTTCGCCGACCGGGCGATAGTGCACAACCTGTTCCAGGCTTTGTACACCGTCGACGCGTCCGACCGTCTCCTGCTAAACTTCCCATCCGACTTCCCGGGCGCGGCGGAGCTGGCCACGCTCGCCGCCGCGTTCGCCGCAAGAGTCCCCGAGGGAACGTTCTCGCCCGCCGAGGTCCAGGGATTGCTGCTGAGGTTCAAGAAGGATCCCCGTGGGGCGGTTGAGGGGGTGCGTGACTGGGTCGATAGGGTCGAGGCGGAGAAGCGCGAGAAGGAGCGAAGAGAGGAGGAGCGTGTCGCCCGCGAGAAGCTGGCGGAGGTCGAGAGGAAGGTCGCGGACGTTAAGGAGCTGCTCGATAATGGTACTGTCTCCGAGGGCGCGCTGACGAGGAGTTTGACGGGTGGCCTGGGTGAGGGACCGCTCGCGAGATCGCTGTCCGGTGGCCTCGGTGGGCTCACGGAGGGTAACCTCAGGAGACGCACGTCGACGGGGGGACTCACCGCTGGCGCGCTGAGGAGGGCGGACACGGGAGGGCTGGCGGATGGTCCTGCAACGCTCACGCGCTCGTTGACTGGCGCTGCTAAGGGCGGCGTGGGAGTTAGCGCGATGCAGAATGGCGACAACCCGAAGGAGCAGAGACCGAACACGCTCAAGCGAACGCCGACGAATGGAAGTTTGACGGGCGGATCGCTCGTCTAGTCTTGACTACGGCACTGGTGTTTCGAACGGCGTAGCTTAAAAAAAAACGATCACGCGTTACTTCTTACTGCTCCTGGAGTTTCTACCTCGCCAATTTCTCAAAATCTCATCACTCCATCAATTTTAATTCCGGTTTCTAGTTCAAGTTCACATCTCCACCCGATAGTTCCCTCTTTTTTGTTCTTTTTTCTTCTTTCCAGCCTGGTAGTTACGGGCTATCTTTTTCGTGAGAAGAAGATGGTGCATACTAGGTACTAGGCAGTGGTGTTCGGAGTTACGTTTCGGGGTGGTTGGGCATGGTGGATGGGGTAGATGAATGAACTGAATGATTTGGATGGATTGGATGATGTGAATGATGTGGATGATGTAGATGATGTGAACGAGATGAACGGGATCCTGAACTGAGTGAAGCAACTCGAGTTGATTACTTGCTTGCCTACCTACCTGCCTGCGTGTCTATATGAGAAACAGCGGGGATCTACGGTAATGTGCGCAGCACCAAAACGTAATCTGGATTCTGGAGTGATGGAACTACATGTGCGATCCAACTTCGATGTCTTCTGGGGGACGCGGACGGCGGCTGTCGGCGATGCAGATAGTACCGTACTCGTCCTCTCTGCCCAGTGCCGACAACAGCACACTACGGTACGGTATCAACAGAAGAGTCGGGCACGACATCGTGCGCACGAATTTACGAACCCACAGTGTCATTATCTAGTCCATACCGGGCCTAAGCTTTCGGCATCCACCGCCGCGACAGCTACGGTACTGAATACATCTTGAACACTATATAGTAGTACGGTACATGATGGAACATCCAGCCTACAGCCCAGCAGCCCAGCACGGCTCCCATCCCCGATCCTCACTCCCCCTCCAACTCAGTGGCAGGACTCAAAAGATGCGTGATATCCCATGATTTCCCGTTAGCACCTAGTACCAAGTACATAGTTACCCGAATTTCCGATAACTGCACTCCTAGCTGGTGGTGGAGCAACAGGCCCGCCGCACGCCCACCAAGCAATCACTCGGAGAGCACATGTCCCAAAAAAAAAAAAAAAAAAAACTACGATCGGTGGACTCGTGGAGAAGCTAGCCCGCCAGCAGAGAGAAAGTCTTCGGAGAGCACTTGTTCCAAAAAAAAAACTGCTCTCGGTGGAGAAGCCAGCCAGCCAGCAGAGAGAAAGTCTTAACATTCAAATGTTTACTCGTGTTTGCTCGTGTTTGCTCGTGTTTGCTCGTGTTTGTTTCGCTCGCAAGCCTCACACTCACGCTAACTCCCAGTCTCACTCGCGCTAACTCTAAGTCTCACTCGGGACCAACCACTTTGAAGTTTGCTCGCGATCACGCGGAGAATACTATGTGAGGAAATGCGCCCTCACAATTCAATTGTGAGTTGTGCGCCTGCCCAGGATTTCGGCCAAATCTCCTTCAAGATATTGAATAAGAACTTTCCTCCCTTCCTCCCTTCCTTCTTTTCCTCCCTTCTTCTTTCCCCATCTTTTTCTTCATAACAAACAAACAATCTTCTTCGTCTCTTCCTTTTATACCTATCTCCTTCACCCCAACATACAGCACCCCCCCCCCCACAGGGGGATCTGCCGCCGATCTGGCATCGAGGTCGACACCACTTTCAATTGCAACGAGGTGATGAAGCTGGTAGGCCGGCAAATCAAAATTGTCTGGCTCTACCGACCCATTGAAGGACACCATTCTGAATGGCCGTCACTACCCATACAAAAACGAGGTAAGTTGCGCGTCTTCCACCTCTGCTCATAGCTGACCGAACCTAACTAGGACAGCAAGGAGCGCCAGACCGGCTGCGTGTCCAGGGTCGTGAGTCATGACCCCCACCGCCTTGGCAGTTCCGTCGCCGGCGCCCCCGCGGCTATCGCCACTCCTCCGAACGCTGAGGAGGCCCCCAAGGATCTCGATCCTCCAAAGGCTCCACGCAAGAAGAAGGGCACCCAGGAGAATGGCGAGGATATCTGGGACTTCGAAGTTGACGAGGTCAACCGGTTGGCGCGGTGTATGTCTTCTCTTCTTCCGCTGTTGCTGCCACGAATCGAATTGGACTAATCAGTGATTGGCTCCTGCCGGAAACCGCCCCTCCCCTCTCCGGTTTCCGAGCGCACGTGACTCGGCTCGGCGGCGGTGGAGGGTTTCATGCACTGTGGTGCAGGGTGTGATGTGCTGTGATGTGGCCTCGCGTCCAGACCGCGAAGCCAAGATGGAAGAAACTCCAGCACAAGAAACCTCTGGTAACGACTCCGGAAGCATCGACCAAGTCGGCAGAATAGCCGGCAAAGTCTGAGGGAGAGGCAAAGGGTACTACGAAGAGGACCCAAACCCGGTTCGAATTCCCCCCGCAAGACTGCGAGGGAGTAGATGCTGCCGCCAGCGCAGCAAACGCCCTTTCGACTCTGGGGAAGACTCGATTCGACGGCGATGGAGGTTTTCATGTGGGGCAGGAGTGCACCGCATGTGCACCCAGCGCGATCATGGCCCGCATCAAGAAAAAGACCGTCAAGCCTCGATATGACTTGAGGAACCGTAAGGCCCTCGGGGCGCCCGAGAGGGTATGTTCCCCTCCCCCTTCCGCTTCCCCATTGAATATCTTACTGACTTCCACAACTGGTTCAAGAGCTGTTTTTGTTTTTGTTTTGTTTTTCTTGTTTTTTCTTCTTTCCTGTTTTGTTTTTCTTTCTTGTTTTCTTGGGTTGGGATCATGGGTTCATGTCATTTATGGAGGTTGCTTTTGTTTTCACGGTGGGGTTCTGCTCATTTAACTGCTGGAGATAGATCATCAATATATTTCATTAGCCAGGTCATTAATCCCGAATTCAATAACTCTGCCGTTCCCTATGGATATCCGACTCGTCTGAGGCCCTGAGCAGCTCCACCGGCCGGCAGGGAGCGTAGTAAAATAGATACCCTAGAACTTAGAAGAGTGGCGGAACTGAGCTGCCTGTGTCGGACTACTGTTATAGTAGTTTGTCTCTCTGTCCCCAGACAGCGCATGGATACCGCGTGTATGTTCTGAGCTCGTCTTCGTACACTATCCGCAGCTCCTGCTGGGAGACGGCCTTGGAAAGGTTTCACGATACCTGCGCAGGCTGCTGGAGGCTCTGGGGATCCTGGTGTTGAGGCTGGAGCTGCTGTTGCTGGCGCGAAGCTGCGAAACAGCCATCTGCTCCACCGCTGGCTTTTGTACTAGTAGTATCAATTGCGAACTCGGTTGCGGCGGAGGATTTGGCGGGTGAAGTTGCGGAGGCGGTTTTGACTGGTGGCCACTGGTGCTAATCGTGTTCCTGCTGGACAGTCGGCTGCTGGGACAGGTGTCGCTTCGGAAGCTGCTGTGTGTTTGGAAGTAGGTTCGCAGCGTTCTCTATCGTTGGCAGCGGTGGGCTCGCCACTTGTGTTCGACATTATCGGCGTGAAGAACTTGGCGAGTGGCCCATGATTCTTCATTCCAAGAATTTGCTTGCATTTCATAACCGTCCAATGGCCGATTTGTCTCTAGTCGCGCGTTGTGGACAGCGCAGACCAGATGAGTCGAATTTGCGCTTGAGGCATAAAAGTTACTGACTCGCTATGCGCACATCTAGTGACTTGCCAGTACGATGGATTGACTGGTCACTAAATTGGATTGACTCGTCACTGAAATACTGGCCAAAATCTTACTTCTCAACTGATGGATGGAACACATAACCCACAAAAAAATCCTTATAAAAGTTGGGAAAGCAGCACCATGGCGAGCTCCAGTGCTTGGATAAAATAGAAAAGCATTCACTTTCTCTCTGTTAAACTCTCGTTGCCCAGTCGACTGCTTCAAAACACTTGGTTTTGTACGCAGAATTAGGGTGGCGGTGCAGCGGGCATCGCGTACCGCAGTCCGCCGAGGGTACCGGGTACCTTTTTAGCTCCACCGCGGGCATATTATACCTTCGCTCTTTATTGTTTGTTTGTTTGGCAGGCAGCAGCGCCACATCAAGCTAGCCAGTAGCGGGGTCTCCGCCGCGGCCGTCCAGAGTGGGCAGGAAAGGAGTGCGAAGGTTCGCCATAGTCTAGATACTTGGTTGCATGCGAAATAAATTGAAGATCTCGCTCTCTCACGTACGCGCAAATGGTACATAACCGCCGTGGATAGTGATTGGAGCGGAGGATTGTGACTTGTGACTCGTGAGAAACCGATTGGACGAAGCGGGGTGGTCATAACTTCCGTCATGCTGTGGTGCTGGCTGAACCTCTCGGAGCGCTCGTCAACGGCGTGATGCTACTTTACCTTGGTGAGCGTCACTTCCTTGGCTTCGCAGGCCTTAAGTGAAGGTGGCGAGTGATACACTATGCACCTGGCAGTGCTGCTTTTGGAGCGGAATTTACGACAGTGCGTTGATACCGCGTTTACAGCAATTGCGCGATATCGCATTACATGTACCCCGAGTACCGGTATGTCTGCATACGCCCGCCTCCACTACAACTAGAGTATTAAAAACTGAGGTCGTGGTGGAAGGATGCATTTTTGATATACATCCACTGATCATGGGTGAAGTCCAGGTCCAGGTCCAGTGTTTGCCGCATTTGTTGGTCCGTGCCGGACCGCGGGTACGTGATCCCGTCTTTTGCTCTTCTGTGCGGCCTGCATACGTCCGCACTCCCTCCCTACACGGCTCTCCCCGTTGATTCCTGCTGGTCTGTTAGTACTATCCGCCGCGTTTGTTGTCCAGTGGTGTTCCAGGTCTAGGTCCAGTAGTTGCCGTATTGTTGGTCCGTGCCGGGACCGCGGGTACGTGATCCCGTCTTTTGCCCTTCTGTGCGGCCTGCATACGTCCGCACTCCTCCCCACAAAATTCCCAGTCGATTCTTGCTGGTCCATTGGTTAGTATCCGCCGCTTTTGTCGATCCGCCGCGAGCTGGTCCATTAGCATCTGCCGCGTTTGTTGTCCAGTTGGTGTCAGGTTGGTGTCGTCCAGTTGGTGTCGTCCAGTTGGTCCCCAGGTTCCCACTGCAAACGTCCCCATGTTGTCACAGGCAAGGTATTGAAAACCAAGATGCGGCGTATGGACGATTGTTGGTGTACTTTTTTTCGGATTGGCGCCGGTAGTGTCGTGTCCTGATGATGGTGAAGGTGGTGGTGATGGAGGTGGTCTTGGTGTTGGTGGTGAGGAAGAAGAAGGAGGAGGAAGGAGGAAGAGAAAGAAGGGAGGGAAGTGGAATGTGTGGGGAAGAAGGAGCCCTAGTTAGTAGCTAGGGTTTTCCTGCAAAGGGTCGAGTGATACCATCGCTAGCTAGTACTAGAACCACCCTTCATATAGCAAGACTCACACTACAAGCCATCCGGCTGCGAAAGCGGCGCCATATAATGCTAGCCGGTAATGAGGTCTCCACTAGCCCGCTAGAGTGGGCAGGAAAGGATTGCGACGGTTCACCATAGTCTAGATAGGCTGCATGCGAAATAAATTGAAGATATCTTTCTCTCTCCATCCGGCAGCGATGCCTACGAAATATACATTCAACGTCATGGGTTAAGATCATCAAGATGTAATCGTGGTGAGCGGCATCAAATATGAGACCCATCCTAATTTTCGCAGTGCCTGGTATCTACATAAATCCACATACCAAATAAAACTCCAAACCACCATCTAAAAGCACCCCAGACGCCGCGGAAAGCAAAACAACCCCCAAACTAGTCATAAAGGGAAAGAAGCAACCACCGTTAAGTCATCACTGGTTCTGCCTGTCTTCCGCGAACAACGGCTCCTGACTCTTATAATTCCTGATCCCGTGTGGAATCGTGACGTCTTCTTCAACTGTGAGATTCCAGACCGTAATAGTATCCATAGGGACGCCCTGCTGCTCCTGCCTCATTGGCTGGGCCGCAATCTCTTCATCCGCCGATGATGCCGGCCGATTCCAGAACCTGAAACTCGGTGTCTTCTCCGTGAAAGCTCTCACGACCATGATGACCAGCGGCCACAAAGCCGGAGCACTGGCGGCCACAATCCCCATCGCGATCTCAGCCCTGAAATCCGTCAATATGTACCGCATGACCGATGGGTGTGTGTTTACTCACGACGTCCACAACCCCAACACGGGCGCTCTCCTACTCGGATCCCTACCGCCGGGCGTGCGGAACAAGATCACCACGCGCATGACACCGGCAATGCACGCGATCACGCCCATCCCCAGCAGTCCCACAGCGATAGTCTTCTTCTTCCAACCCAGGAACTGCACGCGCACGACGAGGACCACGGGCAGCACCCACACGAGGAAATCAAGCACTGCACTCCCGGCGGGAACCACCCGCTGGATCGTGTAGTAGTTTAGACACTGCGCCTTCCGTCGCATGGGCGGCGGCTGGAAAGATGCGCTGACCGGGTTGCACGTGAAGATGATCAGGAAGACCATGAGGATCGCAAACACAACGTTGCAGATCGTTAGGACTGTGGTGCTGTGCCGCACCCAGCAGTAGGGCGAGAGGCGGCGCGTCAGGAGGAGCACCGACACCCGGATCAGTGCCGTGGCGGGAAGGTAGAGGATGCGCGCGATACCGCCGATGAGTGCTTGCGTGCGGATGTCTGTTTGCGCGAGAGTTGCGGTTGACTTGCCGAGATGGTAGTCGAACACCATCACGCTGTGCAGTACGACGAGGGCTATGAAGAGGAGCTGCTATCGGTCAGTGTTTGCTGTGTGGGAAGTGGAATTCGGGGGGACTCACGGTGGAAAGAAGGATGAACACATCATCACTCCTCAGCTTTCCCTGCATCTTGAATCTCGAGAAGACTCGGCCGGCGACGACTATGACGGTCAACGCGAGCAGCGAGAAGTCGACATCCAGCAAGACACGTCCTCCATTTTCCCCCTCGGGTATCAACATGGCGATCGAGAAAAGTGAAGAACATGGTGAATATGGCGAAGAGAGCACACTTATCCATAATTATCGACCGGCCGGGGGAAGAATCGGACGTCATTGAGACATATAAGAGGAGTTCTATAGCAACGGAGGATATTCGGTTTGTCAATGCGTAATTTCGTGGGTCCAGTTAGCTGGCTCTGGTCGCGTGGATCGGCGGGCCCGTCCCGATTTCTCGTCCGACCGTATCTCACGCCTTCGAGAGACTGGCGCCCGTAGGCCGTCGCCACATTTCCCGAATTCTTCACAAATGTCACAGGAATTCTGCAGACATCATCGTCGTCGCTTTTCCGATCCCCCCACGAAAGGCCACGGCATTGGGGAAGTCGCCCGTCCCTAGCGCTGACGCAGGAACCAACCAGACACGAGATTACCCGCAACAAGCATGTGTGAACCCAAGATTCGGTAAATGATCGCCGAAAGCGAGCCTATTCGCCAATCGGAAGTGTCTTGGCCATAGATTTGCATGGCTGGTTGGCAGGTTGTCACACGAAGCTGGGTTTCGGGTAGGTGGGCATGGGACCCCCAGGTGATCGACCCCACAATTCCCACGGCGGAAAAACCTACACCGGAACTCGACCGAGCGCACCATCATGTGCGTGAAAGCGGAAGCTGTGTAAATTCGCGTGCTGTGAAGATATCGGTAGTGAAACCGGTGCTGAGGTCCCGGTACGAGGGGGCCACCTTGACAGTTTCTGTCCAACGTCCCGGCTCCGGCGGTGTGGGCTCGTAAAGGGAAATCGACTCCTCAGACCCCTAAATACCAAGAGAATATCTAACGAAACACGGCACGCAAGACAATCACATCGAGGGTCGCCGCATTGGCAGCCGGTCTGCACCCGACCCAGCCGCTGCGTGGATTTGGACCTCCCAGCCTCACCGCTAGTCAAATCGCTTGGACTGAGGCGAGCGACGGGCAAAAAGCAAATAAAAGCTTGGAGAAGTTGAAAGCTTGATGCTTGGCCCCCATACTATACAGCCACGCCATCCTACGCGTCCTCTGTCTATTATTTTATATGGGGGAGCGTTGCGGTACCCCGGGTTAAAAGGCGCCATGGTGGCGGACGCCCACGACTCTCTCCCGAAAAATAAACTTACCGTGATACATCTGCTACATAGGCATGTGGTTCTCCTGGGAGAAGAAATGCTCAAGCCCCAGCCCGATGACTTACTTGGTCGTGTCCTCCGGGATAGTGAATGTGTGAAGCTTGTCATCTCCATTAAGCCGAGTCATCGGTGCTTTCACTAAGGCTAGGAAATGCTCGCGAGCTTACGGTAGATACGATAGAGGACATGCCGTGATCCAAGTATATTGTTCAAATGCATCAGCGAGAGGCGGGAAAGCCAGTCATTCTTATGTATGTACGGGCATAGTATCACTCTTGAGCTGCCGCGCGGGCAATAGCGGATTTGAACCTACTTCTGGTGTTACCGGTAGCAACTCTTGATGAGGTTGCTGCCACATTCTGCGTAGGCAAATAACTAGAGACGTCGTGTGTGGACTGCTAACGGTCGACATGAAACCCGAGTGTACCCCATGATCTATGCTAAGCACCTAACTCTTCGTTTCGTCGCCCCTCATAAACACCCTCTTTCCGGCAACCCAGGTCTCCTTCACGGCGGTCTCGTCTCTCAACCACTCCCACCCCTGTTTGGACTCCTCCAACCTCTTGTCGAGCACCACCCAATCTGCCCAGGCCCCCCCTTCAATCTTGCCCGCTTTCTTCATGCCAGCAGCTGCAGCGACGTTCCTTGTAAAACCCCTCAACGCTTCCCCAATGGTTAGCACTTCATCCGTGTGCCATCCGCCCCCACCGCCTACACTCTTTCCCGTTTTCGGATCACGTCTGGTCACGGCGGCGTAGATACCAGCCAGCACGCTCGGTGGCTCAACGGGGAAGTCACTGCCGAGCACTGGCTTCAACGGTAGAAACGACTTCATCCGGTACGCGCTCTTCTGCACTCGCTCCTCGCCCAGACGCGCCAGCGCGTAGAACTGATCGCTCGTCGCGTGTGTGGGCTGGATGCTGGGGATTATCTTCAGGGAGAACAAGCGTTTCTGGTCGTCGGGGTGGATGATCTGGGCGTGTTCGATTCTGAAGCCGGCGGAGGAGGGTGAGGCGGAGGAGATGGCAGCGATGGCCGCGCGGTTCGCGAAGTCGCCGATGGCGTGGATGCACACCGTGTAGCCGGCACGGGCCCATTGCGATGTGACCTCAGTAAGAGCCGAAGGAGCGAGCAGCATCGTTCCGTTCGTAGTGGGATCGTCGGAGTAAGGCTCGAGCAGGGCGGCGCCCCAGGATCCGAGTGCACCATCTGCCCCATTCATCAGTTTCTTCTCACTACCCCCGCCGAGTGGGGTACTCACCAGCAAACAGCTTTACCGAAGCCACAGTCACCATGCCATCCTCCCGCTTCACCATCTCCGCCTCCTCGGGGCAGAAGGTGTTCAGAGCCCGGCATTGAATCATCGCGTACACCCTCAGCTTCAGCTCACCCTTCTCCGCCATCTCCACGTACAATTCACGGTCATCGACGACAACGCCAGCGTCGTGCATTCCCACTATTCCGTACGAGTGTAGACTCTTCTGCGCCGTCTTGACAAACAATCTCTTCTCTTCACGCGTAGGCGAGGGGACGAACGGCAGGACCAGATCCATCGCATCATCGCAAAACACACCGGGAGAGGGAATGCTCCCTCCGGGCGGCGATACCGGCGGCTCATCGCCCAGCAAGTCGAGCACAGCCCGCGAAACCCAGATACAATGCACATCCACCCGATACAGCAGGACATACAGGCTCTCGGGCAGATCACTCGCCATTGGCATTCCGTCCGGAAGGAGTGACTGATCCCAGCCATTGCCTTTGATCCAATTCCCCTTCGTTCCAGACGTGGGGTGCTGCATGTGGTAGTCGCATATCTGCTCGAGGATCTCGGGAATGCTGTGCGTGTTGTAGACTTTCACGGTGCCGAGCATTTCGCCGTACTGGAAAAGATGAGCGTGGCCGTCCCAAAGGCCGGGGATGACGTGTTTCGAGAGGTTTACGGGCCATCCGCGCCGCAGGATTTGGGGCTCGGTTGCGGAGAATGGAGAGTTGAAGGTGCCATCGCTGTTGACACTGAGGCAGCCGGGAGTGAACTCGCGCGAGGTGCTGTCAAGAGTTGTGATTGAGCCGTAGCAATAGATTGTCGGCTTATCGGCGACGAAGGGAAGGGACGGGAGGTATTGTTGAAGGGTTTCGAGCGAGACGGAGAATGCGAAGAAGACGACCGGGAGCGAGAGAAGAAGGAGAAGGCGAAGCATCGCAACGAAAGAAGTGGTGTAGAGCCACTGAGCCGGATCGATGAGTGAGGATGGCGAGCTGAAGGACAGTGATGGTGGGGTTGACGTGTCAATTGGGTGCCGTGGACTAATGCAGATGCATGCATGAACAACGGGGTAAAACTGGCCGGATAATGTGCAGCGGACAATGCCAAAAGCCATAAGGCTGTGAAGTGAGAACTTGTGAAGGCATTTCGGGTGATCTGGGGCACTACTCATCGGGTGAAGACCACATATCACAGTCGGTGCTTGTTAGTTTCTTCAGCAGTGCAAACAATGAAGTAGTGGGAATTCTCAATATCATTAGGGAACTCAGCGATAGATCAGCTCTTCCTCGAGTAGATGTATAGTAGGTATGATTATTGTACGAGCAAAATTAATTCGGGCTGTTCCTGCCGCATCTTTCAGAAGTCTAGTCTGTTTTGGCCCGGTTCAACAATTGTATAGATATCCGGCCAGAGACTGTAAGTACTTCCTTCAAAGGGTACGCCCTTCTTCCACACCGCTAGGTGTATGAGCAGACCCTCTACAGAAGAAAGCCTTCAAAGGCCACACAACCAAGGTGGATGACTTCAGCTGCAATCAATCGGTCCAACAATATCTTCATTTTCGGCGGCACCCAATCAAGTTACATCTTCATCTTCCTAAACGATCCAATAGCCCAACAATACGCCGCGGTCTCGTCTAAGATACTCGGTCCTAACATCTTGGTCGCCGCCGCCACAATCGCAACATCCGAGTTGCTCGGACGGTACTTCCGAAGAGAAATCGAGATCTAACTCCACCGCACCACACCCTCATTCTTTCTACCGAACCAACTTCAACTTCACATGTCACAATATGCACCTCGAGCGACCATACCGGCCCCTGCCCGGCAGAATCGAGTGCCGCCGGCGCCAACAGAATGCCCGACAACACTCCCGCTTGTCCGCCAAACACTCCCGCTTGTCCGCCAAACACTCCCGCTTGTCCGCCAAACACTCCCGAAGGATGGGTTTCCATCAGCGGTGTTGACCACACTCGCATTGCATACACCCGCCCGTACTGCCAAGCAATCGCGAAATATCGCGGACCCTTCGAATACCCACCCGAAAACTCTCTCGACCGGGTCGCCGAGCTTGATGAGGCCACCGTGCTGCAGATCATCGACTGCGCACGGCATTATTGGCGGTGGCATAAGGAGAGGAATCCTGAGTGCGGAATATCTTTCATCACCCAACAGGGTGACTAGTTTGGTAAGGGCGAGCTCACGCAGTTAGTAGTCTATGTCATTCGAAAGCACTGCGGCATGACGGTGTATCAAATCTTTACTCGATTCCTGGAGGCTTTCCTCTAGGAGGTGCTCATGCGCCATGTTCGGCGAAGGAGAACCGCCGAGGGAAGCGATTTCACTTCCATTGGTCCCCACTCCACCTCTTACAGCGTTTCCAGCGACGAAACAACCGATTCTAGCTCTGCCGCGACGAGTGATGTAAGCACTTCCGCAATCGTCGAGAGATCCAACAAGGCGGATAATACTATCTAGGGTGTCCTGACCGGCCTTATTCTTATAGTCGGGAAGATGGTCAGGGGGGTTAGGGTCGATGATGAGTGCTCGGGTTGGGCAGTTGTGCTGCTCACCTGAATGATGGGATTTGTCTTGTTGATTTGATGTCGCGTTTTCTTCGCAGGAGTTATGGCGCTTGGGCTCTATCAATACTGGTTTCTTCTTGAGTTCTTCAACGCGCACCGGGCTCATGTATGCATCCATTACCAAATGTTACGTATCGCGTGTCAAAGTACAGATTCATCATCAATCCCAACAGCCGTCAAGGCAATGTGTGCGAGTGAACTCCTATGGAGGCGTGTAGCGATCTGACGTAATGCTTCACTTAACGTCACTCAGCCTGACGAATTCTTTCCGCTTTCCTGAATATTGGATCTCCACTCCGAAACGGAGTGTGTGTTTGTATATTACCTTGATCTAAGCAAGTCACACATGAAGTCAATAATTAAGCAAAAAAATTGAATCACCATTCTGGAGAGATAGGGATCTCCAGCCGCTGGATAGCCACACCACAAAGCCTGATGTAGGCAGGTAGACAAAAGATTTCTATTGTATCGGGCCGCGAGCTGCAGAGTGTATTGTACACTTCGCTCGACCCAACGAGAAAAATTCTAGCATCCACCCATCTTCGTATCCCCCTCAGCGTCACGCGGGTTCAGATCAACCGGCTCACTCTTTACCGGAGGATTCAGGTCCCTTGCTATGAAAACCTTCGCGGTTGCTTCTCCGGGGCAAAATTGTTCAGCCACTGCCAATGGAATTGGCATATCTGTCACCACCTCGCCATAGTTAACGTAGTGGGCAACCAGAATGTTCCAGTGCGCCTCCTCCATCACACGATACAATACTCCGCGGGTTTCCTTGCCAGGTGATTTGCGCTTCTTCCTGAAGAGGATCCGGAAGCCGTTGTCCATTGTGCGGAGTTCCATGCCTTGGCAGGAGCACTTGTGCAGCTTGGGGGGCTCCGGAAGGTTCAGCAGTCTCTGGACATTGTAAGGCACCATCAGTGTGTCGGCGAAGAAGACAACTATCGGCTTCCAAGGTACCGGAGTGTGGGGGTTGGATCGAACGGTAGACTTGCCGGGCACGGTGACTGGTTACGATGGGTTTGGTTAGATCACCGGCCGTGTGTGACAACTGAAGCGGGGAATCTCGTTACCTTTCTGAGCCGACATGTCTAGTTCTCGTCGTTCGAAAACTACCGGGCAGGTCGCGTGGGTAGAATTGGTGTATCGACGTAGTGTAATCAGAGGTGGTGTGTGAGCAAAGGAAGTGATACACATGTCGGAGGGGTACCTATCGGCTTGCTCCCATTTACGTTAGGCGTGGGTGGGTTAAGGTTAGGGTTACCACTAGTTACCCAGTGGAACCTGCCATGCAACAAGCGCGTTTGGCACCTTGTTGGCTAGACAATCGCGTTCCCAGCATCGGCAGCGAACAACGTGAGCAACGTCAACCGCAACCAGGTTTCGTTCGTCAACGGCTGGTGCGGAAGACGTCGTTCGTTCCTGCGGCACATCGCCAACCCTGATGCTTTACTGTTAACTATCCGACGGCACATGAAGGAGGTCCTCGAGGACTGCAAGCTCGTGGATACGCTCTCAACAGCGGTATCGAACTACAAGTCGACAATTGGCACCTTGCTCAGCTTCTCGAATGATACGTTTTCAAGCCTCGACGTCAACATGGGACGACTGGCGAGCGAATTCGGCAAATCTGTCGTACGTACGTGGTGTAAATGAAGGGATGATGGTGCGGGGATATCAGAGTTGCGGTATGTAGATGAACACGCGAGAGCATGGTCGAAACTAAACTGATCTTCCCGAGATTGGCATGGGTTATCCGATCGCGATCCACATAGTTTTGTATCTATCCCGGCTATTTCGAACTGTCTAATCTATCCCTCGAGGCCAAAAACCTCACATCAGACCTCCCAGTCCCAACGCCAAGTCTCCATCCGGCTCCTTTCCCGCTGCGATGCGTTTGATCTGTCCCTCATGCCATGCCTATATCATCGTCAGCACAGCCTTCGCACTCACGCACGCCCCCGATAACTTGCACGCCAACTTACCGTCTCGGCCCTCAACCCTACCACCGGGACCCACTTCATCCACCAGCCTCCCACAATCTTGAAACTCTTCACCACCGCATCCTCATCTGTGACCTCTTTCGCAAGTAGTTTTGACTTGGGAAGTTGCGGCTCGAGGCAGGTAGGTCTTGCAAGACCGATCAGATCACAAGAGCCGTCGGTGATGGTCCCGGCCATACCTAGCCGCGACCGGAAGCCGCCGCTGAGCATTATCGCCACATCCTTCCCAGCGGCCACGCGGGCTTTGGCCGCGAACGCAGCGAAGTAAGCTTCCCTGGCCACCGTTGATTGTCTAGGCGGCGCTGGGCCTTCGCGAGAAGCTCCCATCTACTCTACATCAGCTTTATTCCGTATGGAGCCGGAGAGCAGCGCACTCACCAAGGGTTTTTCGTAAGTGCCTCCGCTGATCTCTATCAGATCCACACCCGCCTTCGATATCTCCTCGACTTGGTGGAGAACCTCCTCCTCTTCCAGTCCCATCGTCGCGAAATCCGCGGAGTTGAGCTTGATGGCTATGCAGAACTCCTTAGAGGTAGCGGCGCGGACGGACGCGATAATACGGAGGAGTAGCGAGAGGCGCGCGGCGGCGCTACCACCGAAGGCGTCGGCGCGACGATTGATCTATCAGGGTCAGTGGGGTGATGGATGCGTGACGGGAGGGGAGAGGTAAGTGCCTTCGGCGACAGGAACTGTGTGAGTAGGTATCCGTGCGCGGCATGAATCTGCACACCCTTGAATCCCGCCGCTTTTGACAGCTTCGCGGCGAGCGTGAACTGGTCCACCAGTGTATCGATTTCTGCCACCGTCATCGCCTTCGGCGTGCCGAGGATGATCTTCCCCGCAAGCCGGTCCACACAGCTTCCGGGAAACTCCAGGGGCAGCGCGCTCGGCGCAATGTTCTTGGAGAAGAAAGAGCGCGTGCCGGAGAAGGGGTGGCTTTGTCGCCCCGGGTGGTTCAGTTGTACAATCGTCGGGGTGCCGGAGGCTTGCGCGGCTGTTGCCCAGGCTGTCCAGCGGGAGAGCGCGAGCGGCGTGTCTAAGGCGGAAGGGAGCACGGAGATATCGCCGGGAATGCCGAGATAGCGTGGGTCGACTTCGACATTGCCTGCGGAGCGGAAGGTCAGAAGTGTGGGTTGGAAGTGTGGGGTGGTATCATATGCGCATGTGTGTACCAGTAATCAACATCCCGTACTCGCCCTCGCTCCAGGCTCTGTACACGGCTAAATGCTTGTCGTTGGGCAGGTTGTCCTCTGAAGGGATGGCCATGTTCTCGGCCATTGGCGCCTACAATCTCATTAGCTCTGCGGAAACATCGATTCACCCTCCATCCGAGTCAACAAACCTTCACCAACCGGTTGGGCAACACCAGCCCACATCGCAACTTCAGCGGTGATGAGAGAGTGTCAATAGCGTTTGAGTTCATCGTATGAAGTATGTTGTGTCGTGACTTTTGAGTTTGTGTGCAGTTCCGCGTGTCGGATGCACCTTTTAAACCTAGAATCACATGTTGTTAGGTGTAATTATCGGAGTTCCACACGGGCGGCATGGAGGATTTGCCGACCGACCGGAGTTTTCGGAATCCCGGTGACGAAAAATCGGTAAGTTCCGGCCGCCCAAGTTCAGCGCCGAGAACCACACAAGTCACGTGTAGTCTAGCATGGCATGATATTACTCAGCAACGACGTCTTATTTCGCCGCAAAAGACCGTCGACGCGGTCCGACGGTCGGGATATGTGATGAACCGGGCGTAGTGGGGAAATTATCTCTGTCCATCACCTGAATATTCCAACAGCTTTTGCTCGAGTGTTTCAATCAAACCCCACTCACCTCAGAACGGTACAAGACGAAACCATCCGATACCAGCGAGGAAATTTCGAAGGAGGTTTCAAATGGGGTACGCTCTGCACATGCGATTGATGCTCAATGGGATGCGATGAAGGATCCCTTTACCCGAGCCTTTACCTTTCTTTCCGCTCTTCATCCTAGGCTATCCTCCACTTCCACTGAGAATGGCTGGGTGGCACCAACAGGCGCAGTGTTTTGAGAGCTTCCGGGCCTGAGCCCCAGCACTTGAAAGTGTATATAACCCAGACTGATAAATTTGTGTTGCTCAATCGTGCTGCAGTCTAGGTAGCGGTGGTAGCGGTGGTAGCGGTGGTGGAAATGGAGGTGGTAACGGTAATCGGTGCTCGCTGAGGAGGAAAGATGTTGATAGGGAAATGGAAGCGGACTCGAGAACTGGAGGTCATGCCATCATGTCAATCAACACCTGTTTTCAACCATCAGCGGGTGTTCATACATGTTCGGGGAGTACACCAAACCTGGCCTACCTTCTGGCTTCTTCCCGTTCCCCACGTGTCGCTGTTGGAATATTTGGGTAGAAGGGTAGAGATAATTTATTCGATGCAGCAACGGTATCATCTGCGGCGAGGTCTCTCTTTATATACAGACTTCAGACTTCTTATTACGATGGTTGCGCGCCCCCAAGGTGTCGCCGAAGGTTGCTCGCCCCCAGCAGCTCTCGGTCTCGACCGTCCGCCGCGGACCTTATTCTCGCCAATACTCGGTCTCGAACGTCCGCCACGAAACCTTATGTATTCGCGCCAGCATCTCTGGGCGTCGAAATTTGACAGTCGCATGCATCTTTTGTTGTTTCGTTGTATTGCAGGCGCCGAAGAAAAAAAAACTCCCGGTCGCCTTGCCGCCACCCCCTGCTCTCCGTGATCGCCATTGATAGTCGAGAATGTTTGAAAGTAGTGCGTCCCGTTCGGCCGGGTACATATGTGATGATTTCCTAGCACTAGTCACTCGACTAGGTACTATGCACCTGACGATTCCGGCTAGGAGCGCAAAGTCTAAACTTGTAGGAAACAGGACGAACTGGGAGGTGGCCCGGTGGAGGACATGGAAAACACCGCGGGTGGCAGGGACGAGGAACTGGATTTCTTAATTGAACTCACAGAAGGTTGGACGGAGCGAAAACTGGACTGACGAATACCTCAATTCATTGATTATCTCTGTCCTTCTTCCTTCTTTTCTGCCTTTCTTTCTGTCGGGCTGAGTTGAGCGGGAAGGGAGCAGGGTGGGTGGACCCGCGGGGAGGGCTAAATGGAGAACATTGGGAACCAGTAGCAAGCTCGCGGCCAACGGTCGGTGACCGCCGGGGGAAAAAGGATACTTATGTCATTTGCCATGATTTACTAAGGTCGCAAGTACTTCCTGATTAAACAAAAGAAAAAACGGAACCGTGGCTTGAACCAAAAACCTTCACCACCCCCGGTGGGTGGCTTGGAAACCCCGATAGATGGACCGCGGTCCATGCGAACTTCGCCGGGTGCGTGACCGTTAGGCCACGCGGTGGTTTTTTCCGTGCTGTAGATTTACTACGCGCGGTTTATGAACCCGTTGAAGCTCTGCCAACACAGCGTCAGGACCCATATCTTCACCTTCGATATCTCGACCCTTCGAGCTATCAACAACGGAGAACCTGCGTAAAGCCTACACCCGCGATTTCCGCCCGAAGAATGTTGATTCCGATTATAACTAGATTGCGCGTAGAAGTATGAGTAACTGGATTATCGACCACGCTGGGTTGTGTGCCATCGTGGTATTCATAGCCTAATATGGTGCCCACAACTATAAAACGTTCAACTGTAGGACCAATTAGCTGCTGCTACTTTGTTTTCTGATCGCCGGCTAGTACGGCATGTACATATACGCATAATGGCAGCTGCTACTCCATCTACTTTAAAAGTTCCAGGGCATTCTGCTCACTCTCACATCCGCCTCCATCTCAGGCATAGGATCACCACATATCACGCACAATAGCAAGGATTCTGCGTGCCCCACTAGAAAGGGAAGGAAGATCCAAGACGACGGGTGCATGGAAACTGAGCAACGTCTTTATGTCCGCGTGTTGTATCTGCAGACATAGTTGTACCACCGACATCCTGCAACATGATACTACAGTGACTCGTGCGGATACCGTGTGGACTTTATGCGAAGCAGTGTATACCAAATGATACGGACACTGCATGTATTGAAGGCTACTTCTTCGGAGGACATTGTACGATAAATTATACTCCATATCTTCTTGGGGATGTCTGCTAACATGCAAGTTACCTTGTATGTTTTCTCGAACAAAGGCTAAATTCAACAGCAACGGATGATATATCATGATGCATATCCAAGAAGCACATACCGATAATACGATTTTGAGACGGCGATTCGTTCCAAGCGCCATGATATGTGCGCTATAGTGGCTACGGCGGGTATTCTCGACTAACAAATAGAGTCTTTCCCGGAGGTTATACGACTTCTGACCGTCATTCCTGCTTCTGTTATTGTGGGGTTTAGTGGTGGAGTTCTATAGCAAAGCTTCGCTGCAGCAGTTACAGCGGCATGTATCTGCAGATATATGAACTATTAATTAACTAAGCTTGCATTCGTTTAGGGCCTTATTGCTGCCTTACTGTTCTGTCTTCACCGGACCCCTGTCCCCAGTTGGCAATTCCTACCCCACGTCCTAGTCATCTGGCACAGGTACAGAAAATCGAGGGCCATTATGAAGTTGGGGGCCTTCGCCTAAGTTTTACTGGCAATTTAATAGGCATCAATAAAGTTATTGGCGTGGATTCCGACACAGAAACGAGATCGATTGCAAGGGGCAGCGTCGACGAGTCACGATGGCAAAGAGATGCGATCTCAATTCACCATAGGTGAATCAATCGAGATCAAGAATATGGCAGAGCAATGATATCGATTGTATAGGCAACAGGCAACCATCACTAGGTATATATTCTGCAAATTCCTCCAGGTAATCCATCACACACCAGTCCCGCATCCCCCACATCCCCCCTCCGAGTCCCCTCGCCTCCCGTCCCATATCCCATCTCTACCCCATCCATAATCTATACGCCGATCCCATCTGTCTAGCACTGGTAGGTCTTCTGGACGGTACCCGAGTTGCAAATCTTGGAGTACGAGTTGTCGGCCTTGCAGTTGGCGTTGAAGTTGCCGTTCTGGTTGAGCCAGAGCGGCCCGCCGCATCCCTCGAGCGTGAGTCCCGTGTAACCTCCGGTCGCGAACACGCGTCCGCACGGGCTGGCGGGGACGACCGAGAGGAACTCGGCCGCACAGGCGTCGGTGCCCACGAGCCATGCGAGGTTGCGACGGCTGCCGTCGGGGCGGTCCTGGTAGCCGATAGCGACCGCTGCGTTGGCGGCAGAGGCGAGGAGGAAGGAGGCGATGAGGGATTGGAAGAGCATAGTTGCGGTGATCTTGAGGGGGTTAGTTTGTGGAGGAGAAGACGGGAGTGGGAGGAGATGTACTAGTGAGTGTGTGAGTAACTGATGTGGATGTTGTGGAAGAGGCGAAGATGGAAGCTGATGATTGCTGTGATGAAGAACTGACCTTGGGGGAGGATATAGGGACTTTTATATTCGATTCTGGATGCCCACGATGGAATGGAAACCCGAGGGCTGTGGGCTCACCGCACACCACCAGGCAGCAGCGATCGTTCAGTAAGCCGAGAGTCAAGACCCAGCAGGCATCCATCACGATCAAGCACCGAGGTTTGTTTGCCAACATTAACTCCAGTAATCATCTACTGTAGGGAATCCTGCGCCGTAGGGCCTCCTACAAAGTTGGGAAAGTCTATAGTTCTCTATGGTCATTGGTTACTAGCATACTAATTCTTGATATACTAGCTCCAGGCTTTAACGCTAAACGGATAGCGATGCGGAGCTATCTATCCACCATCCAGTAGACATTCGAAGACAGGAAACTCTCAGTTCCAAAGGAACAACAGTTTATCAGTCTAATACGGCCGAACCAGATCGCGTTTTATTAAGAACTCCACCAACGTACAATATCGACCAAGAACAAGAGACCTGCGTGGAACCAGCTTCTGAACAAACCAGTTCGCAAGTTGAACCTGGTTTAACTGGCAAACAGATATTCTGTCCCTCTTACTACTAGTTACTCTGTCCCCTCAGAGAAGACGACCGTAGAATTGATATACAGCGTTTTAATTATTGGGTTTCCGTGCACTCGCCCACTCGATCATGTAGATCAATCATGATCATTGAAGAAGTATCGGATAAGCCGGATAGTGACCTAACCTAGCTATAGAAATCGGCATTGAGTTGTTGCCTCGACGATTCAGTTATCTCGGTAGATGGTTACCAAGAGTTGAGGGTTGAGGGTAAACCTTCCTTCGCGAGGGAGAGAGAGAACATCAATCTATTGTCGCATGCAGCCTTACCAAACCTTCCTTCGCAAGAGCCGCAATCCCGCTTAGGCAGGAACCTGTCAAGTGACACTTCATGAGCGTGTACGACGCGGAAGAAAGCCGGCACCTGCATTTCCCCTCGCAAACGCGGAGAAAACAGCTCATATAATGTATTCCGACCAGCGATCATGATTACTCGTTGGTGTATATTTCCCATAGCGCGTTTCCACCAGCACTGGCAATGTGCGGAACCTAGCGGAAGTCCCTGCATGGATCCGCTCCCATACCTATTTAGTGATGGTTTAGCGGAAGCTCGGTACATGGATAAATTCAACAGGCAGCAATCCAACAGGCAGCAATGTAGGTAGGTCATCCACGCATTCCATTAGTCAAGAAAACAGACTGAAAAACTAATCATCGAGCGGTGACGACCAATCCGCAGTAGGAGTGCCCCAGGTTGCGAGCCTGCGAGCGACTGGGGGTGGTAGTTACTAGCCACCTTGGCACGAGTAGTTATGCGTGACCGTGACATCCCCGGACTGAGGCCCGCTCTGCACCATTACTATGAGTTGCATGAGCGAATCGGTCATCCGGCTCTGCTCGAACTCGGCAAAATGTTGCCGTCAGCATGTGTAACCGCCACTGTGATCAAATAAGGTCGAATGCCGATGATGATTAAACAGAAAAGAAACGAAAAATGGTTGCCATCAGTCCGTTGCGTTAGGTACATACCGTATCCCCTACATGTCCGGGGCGTGTGTAAATATGCTGCACTGCAAAGTATGCCTGATTGGGAGGCGGCAGTGCATCTACAAAACCACACGGCTCACTTTCTCGATTAGTCTGGCCGCAGCTGTGCTGATAGTAGTCACGGTTGCTACCAGTCACGGGTGCAGACGGGCCACCGGCAGATACTACCACACCGGCGGCGGATTCAACTACCTACTACACTTTCAAATGTTTAGAAAAGCTTCAGGAGAAGGGATGTGGGAATATACGCTGCTAGATACATAATGTTGGAGAGCCTGTTTGTACTAATTTACACATGTTGCTTTGCGGAAGAGCCCACTCGCCGAATGATTTAGATATCACTCGTTGCCAACCTTTCTGCGCCACATACTACCGCCGGACATGTAGGGAATAAACCCGGATATCTAATATGGTTGGGACATCTACTTAGTGCCGGCGTAAGGGGGCATTCGGATCTGGGGAATTACAATACAAACGCGGTAATATATTAGCATTTATCAAATTAAATCAATCTATTTTTCCACGCGTTCGCAGCCAGCTCTAGAGCTACATGGCCCCGCCGAGAACGAAAATCACAATATCTCGGCCCGTTTTTGCCCGTTTTCTTCGATAAAAACACTCCTGCGGACCGCACAGGTGCGCTCATTCTATCGGTTCCATTATTCTGCCGGTCTGTCGCCGTTGACTGGGCGTCCGCAGCCCACTCCAGAGCTCCGTGGCTCCGCCAGGGCCGAAAATTACAATTTCACAGCCATTTCCTGCCCGTTTCCTTCGATCAAACACTCCTCTGGATCGCATGGGCGCGCTCATTTCAGCAGTACCATCGTCCCATCGGCCCGACGCCGGTGACCGGCCGTCCGTAGCCCACTCCACAGCTCCGGCGCTCCACAGCCCCACCGGGACCGAAAATCGCAATTTCTCGGCTAGTTCTTGCCCGTCTTCCAAGGCACAGATATACAAAGCTCATCGACAGGTTAACAATAAGCCGAGATTGTAGTAAATTTGTGGGTAATTATTATCTATTTATGTACATAACATTCTTTATTAGGACAATTAGCCACCATGTCGTGGTGCCAAGTCTGCCCAATCGGGCATTGTGGCTGTCCAGTTGCTGGACATTCCCAGGGCCTCCCCATACTAAATCGTTTTTCGTTTATTTATTTTGGATTTTTATTGCCATTCAACCACACCATTTAAAAGAAAAAACGCGCTGTATAAATTATCTTCTGCCTCTTCTCTATCACTGTACAGAGCCTTTTTTCCAAATCAGGTTGTTGTCAACTAACCGACGTCAAAAGTGGGTGTGGTTTCACCCCGGGACAAAGCGCTTAGTCAGTAACAGATTTACTAGCGTAAATCCCTCATGAAGAATCCCCCCGGCCTCAAACCTCGCCTCTCCAACATAATTCCACACCATCATCATCATCTTCAGTCTTGCTAATACTAGGGAACAGCTCTGCAACCATCTACTACCTACGCACTCCTTCTAGTCTGTTCTTTTAGCTAAACGTATTGGTTCAACAGGAGGTTTTCCCCTCGCGCGCGCGCCGAGCCCGTCGAAAGTACGCCCGTTGAGCCTGCCGAGAGAGCGTCCACCGAGCCTGTCGAGAGCGTGTCCGCTGGAGTACGGAGAGCACATCATTAGGTCCCGCTGTGAGCGCGTTCGCCGAGAGCGCGTCTACCGAGAGCGCGTCGGCCGAGCCTACCGAGAATATGCCTGCCGAGTCTGCTGCGAGCGCACTCGTTGAGGAAGAGTGGACAGCGGCTGTGAGAGGTTGGAATATTAGTAAAACCAGACAGTTAGTTAAATGGCGATGGCCTAACAGGGAATTCAAGGGCCCAGTGACTGCGGCGACTGTATGTGAGCCGTCGGCAGTGAGTGAGCTCGACAAAGAAAAAGGTTCATCTTCATCGCTGCTGTCAATCTCGGTGAGGTTTTCTATAAAGCTGTACATCAACCGCTGTTCAGTTCAGGAGCGGACAGCCCACTGCTATTCTCACGCACTCAGCCTTCCAAATCGACATCAGGTGACGTTGTGTTGAATTCCATTTCACAGGGAGGACTATTATCCGGGTTTACACGGTATTCGAATGCACGTTGCAGAGTTGAGTATCCCCTTGGGTGGCAAGCCAGGGTGGGGTACTACGTACAGTGCATTAGAGTGTATGATATGCATTAGCGCGAACAATTCAGGTCAGTTGTAGTATAGCGTATTTGGCAGCGAACCTCATCTCATGAGCTGTTTGGTTCCTAAACATACCAATCATCTGTTGGGCAGGAGCGCTTACTGCTGCGAAACCGGGTGTGAGGGAATGTTGATGCTTTTGATATCACTCGGTGTAACCATCTTCAAGCTAAGGCTCTAATGCATATCACACACGCTAATGCACTGTACGTAGTACCCACCCTGGACTTGCCACACAAGGGGATAGTAGCACCGCAAATGAAATCTGGACCTGCGTCCACTTTTTATCCCGGTAAAGTAGAGAAGGCTTACTCCATATGTAGGCTTCGGCGATCGGATCGGCCTACATAGGGTCTTCTTTAGGTCCGAAATCACCTACCGCATCCTACACGATTCGATCAGAAGACGGAGGGAAATTTTAGTGTACATAGAAGATGAACTGCAGGAACAACGGGCCGGAGAAGTGAAATTCCGTACATGTAGAGATGCGGCGGCTCCCCGCAACTCGTAGCGGGAACTCGTCAAGTCCTTAACGCCGATCTCTACATACCTACGTTCGCGCTTGTATGGGGTGCCCACTCTTGCCGACTCGTTGGATCCGGAAAGATAATCAACGGTACATATGAAAGGACGATGTGGTCGCACCACCATGTCTCGTCTCTGGACTACCCTCGCCGCTCCACCCTGCGAGGTGGCACTGAAGATGCCTGCTCTGACATGTGGTATCCGCTAGCCGGGAGAGTTGGGCATCGAATAGTTATCGCCAGCCTTGATATCAACACGTTTCGTTTTCCATCTTGTGTTCATGGCATATCACTAGCCATAACGGCCGCATCATTCCCGATTCGGTAGGAGGCTTCACGGCGCATACGACCTCACTATAGATGATTACTGGAGTTGAGACGACCATCCACTCTCGACAGATCCTCGTGGGTGAAAGCTGCTCAGCTGGGTCTTGACGTACTCAACAATCTCTATTAGCTGCTTGGAGCTGTGCAGTTGTCCCACAGCGCTCGGATTTTCCATGCCATCATGGCCATCCGGAATCGTATATAAGGATGCCTAAATTCCCCCCTAAGGTCAGTTCTTCACCACAGCAATCATCAGCTTCCATCCTCACCTCTTCTACAACATCCACTCATCGGTTACTCACACACTCACCAGTAAATCACCTCCCACTCCCGTCTTTTCCTCTAAAAAACCAACCCCCTCCAGACCCACCTTCACCATGCTCTTCCAATCCCTCATCGCCTCCTTCCTCCTGGCCTCCGCCGCCAACGCGGCGGTCGCCATCGGCTACCAGGACCGCAGCGACGGCAGCAGGCGCAACCTCGCATGGCTCGTGGGCACCGACGCCTGTGCAGCCGAGTACCTCTCCACCGTCCCCGCCAGCCCTTGCGGACAGGTGTTCGAGACCGGAGGTTACCAGGGACTCACGCTCGAGGGATGCGGAGGATCGCTCTACCTCGCTCAGAACGATAACTTCAACGCCAACTGCAATGCCGATACTTCCTACTCCAAGTCTTGCAACTCGGGAGTCGTCCACAAGACCTACCAGTGCTAGAGGGGTTGGATTGGGTAGATTAGAGACGGGGTAGTGAGGGAATATGGGACGGGAGGCGGGGGGATGAGGGAGGTCTAGGAGAGTGCGGGAAAGGCGTGTGTGCCATGGACGAACTGGAGAAAACTGCAGGTTGGATAGGATAGTTTTATTTTACAATCGATCTCGCTTCTATGCTCCATTTTTGTGGTCGTGATTGGTGCATCCGCGGTCAAAAATCGATTGCGCATCTACAAACTTTGCTGTCTTCGGCGAGGGGGTATTGACCACTGTGAAACAGAGCTCTCCGTGAGACACAAAGACTTGAGGACTTGCCACGGTCCACTGTTAATGCTCCGCTTCTTACATACGTTGAACAGAAATTGCATGACATGGAAAACTGGAAACACTTCTTCCTGCGAAATGCGTAGATAGCAGTGTGGGCTCCCGGCTCCTCCCGTGGCCTCTTCACCGCTCCATTGATTTCGGCGTACTCGGACTTCTACCTTGGACTTTCTGAGCAAGATGTAGGATCTAGTCGGTATCCTCAATGATTACACCCTCTCGGGAAAGCCGGAAAAAGAGCAGCTCTGATAATTCGAGCCAGCTACGTCCTCCACGCATACAACGATGTGGTTCGTGGCAGTCCCGAATCGGCCAGCCCGTATCTTCCGTACACCTACCAATGCCCATCGCCAACATATCCGACGACTTCCGGGCCGGCCGTTCCAGGAGCCACGCAACTTGTTTGAGAAGAGAGGTTGAGACTTGAGTAACCGATCGGCGTTAAGCGACGCCGTAGGCAAATCTTGTGTAGCGATCACGACAGACGCGCCGGCCCGCACCGCTATGGCTTGCATGAGCTGACCATGTTCCGAGTCTCCGACCGGTACCCGTTTATCCAAAGTGTAGGCAATGCGAAATTAGCGCGTTACTTGTTCATCGGTGAGATACCGTAGAGTATGCTTATTCTTTAGTCGCGGGGGATCGGAGTAAGCCAAGTCGCTTCGCTATATCCGAACAAGGCTATTATACCATCGGCTTTACTCGTATGTAATATCGAGAGATGGAGGACGTAGGAGCTCCATCGGATCAAGCTTTAGGGCCCACGAGGGACATAGATTCGTACCAGAGCTTCCAAGTTCCTCCCCTGCATCATCGAACGACAGAGATATAGGAAACCGGCAGTTGACGATAACTTGCTTTTCGAGGTGTGTGTTAGTTTGTAGCTCGTCCGCGCCACCGTCACCATCCCGCTCGCTTGGATTCAGGTGCGTCTGTTCGAATCTCCTTCCTGGCAGCATACGCATACGTGTAAATGGCCTGGACGACCGGTCCCTTCAACTGGTCGAAGCCGATTCAAAAGCATGGCTTCCGGGATATGATAACAATCCCCCATGTCCTTTCCGGTGTGTCGCCCTCTCCGGCCCCTTCACGGCCGGTTCCTACGGGACCATTGCTCCAACCAATCCCCCAGCAGATCGTATCGCACCGTAGCCTCCGTGGTTTCACGGTACGATCATTGCCGACCATGCAGTTGGCTAGGGTTCCACCTCAATGGCGGATGCATTCAGTTATCCATGTATTAGTAGATTTTGCTGGCTTCAACGACATCGTGAGTGGGCGGGCGCCGGGCGGACTGCGGAGCAAGGTATTTACATACAGGTACCAACAGTGCATCTGCTCCTCCTATTACCATACTCGTATTCGCATGCCTGACTGGGCCTCTGCTAATGAGATCTTACATATGTCTCGGAGTTTTGTACACAGTGTGATATAAAGATTGATAAGACATCGGTAGCCCGGCACCGTGCTAGCCGGAAGTGTACGGAAGAAGTGCGTCTACATGTAATCCATCAAAGTTGAAGATCATGATTACATACACACCCCCAGTATACGGTCTGACCCACGCCCCACGGGGCCCAAGAGTTGGCTCGGTGCCGAAACCCCAGGCCCGGCCATTGCAGCGCACATCGTTTCCAGATTGGAAATAGTGCTAAATACTAGAGCAACGAGTGATATCGACGGCATTCATTCAGGTGAGAAATAATTCGCAACGTCTATGCACGAGACATAGCCCAAGCAGCGATTACAGATGTATTTCCTCGAAATCCAGCGAAGCTTCCCCGACCCAGAAACAGCTCGCACCAACATAGGATATCACTGCGCATCCCTGTACATACCGTAGTGTGACTCACCCGGAATTCCCCCTCTTTTATGCCAGTCTCCACGATGGCGGATCACAGACGGATCAACTCCGAGGACAGAAGCACCTCAACAGCGCAAGCGAAATGTGAAATGGGTATATTCAAATGATCTTCCAGCTCATCATTACCTAGGTATGTAGGTACTTTGGTATTTATTTCTAGTGACATCTCCTATGTGCAAATATACCAAAGCTTCCACCAGCACCGTGGCGGTAAGACCATCCCTACCGCCCACTGTCGCATAGTTCTTTCCTCGTGCCCTCGCATACAGCCAGAGCAACGATGAACGAAGATAATACGTTCGCATCAACTGGAGGCAGTGAAATACCAGCGACACAGTGGGCCTCGACATGCGCACGCACAGCGGCCAGGGCCCGAGCAACAAAAATAAGGTCAACATTTGAACCGATACATGATCGGATTTCAGCTGTTAAACTGAAAAGAACAGATACTACACTTGATCTAAGCCAGATGGCTGTTGGACACGGGTTTGTTAGCGAAGCTTCAGAGTGAAAGGAAATTTTGGGGGCGGGGGTCGACATACCAAAGGAGCTAAGGAAGAAAAAAAGGGAGAAGGAAGTGGGAGAGGAGTGCTTCTTTTATACATAAGTTGGAGGGTGGGACGCTTGCGCGAAATTTTGGCCGATGGGGGTATGTTCGGGTATGCACCGAGTGACTCTTACATTGTTGAGACTCAAGTGAATCTTACGGTATCTACATCATTGAGTGACTCATGTGTCCTTGGCGACGGAGGGGCCCCGCATACAAATAAACAAGTTTAATATCGATCTTGTGCAACGTCACGGCCTAGGCACTCGCAGAGTGGCACGAAGATGTGTAGAGTACACATGATATAGGAGCAGAGCTCGACAGAACACCAACTCGAAGTTTAGGGATACCCTTTTGCCGATTTTGTTCTAGGTGCGGTGATATGATTCCCGTGTATCTACTCTACCCTACCCTCTCTATTCTCATGCCGAAGAGATTTCGTCGCGTGGTTCTCTCACCCGTAACCCGTTTCTGCGACTGCTTATACGTGAGTATATTGTAACCAGAAACCGGCATGTTATGTACTGCAGAAGGCTGTGCAAAAAGAATGTCACAACTGGCAGCTTTCATACGCGACTTCCAGTATCGAGAGAGGAATCCCGAGATTATTTATCATGTGTAAATCGAGTAACGTACGGCTCAAAACCATGCCCGTCGGACGGACCTTCACATCGGCCTGGGCCGACGGAAATGTGATCGCGAAGGATCGGCGGCTTTGGATCGGCTTGAAGATAGCTTGGCTTTTATTAGTCAGCTTTACTCTATTATGTTACACCTCGACACTGTTGCACGCTATGAAGGGAGAGCTATCTGAGGAAGGATGACCATCACGTGACCGTCACGTGGAAAGACAGTGATAGATTGGGCGGTAGATGCCGACCATACGATAACTATCTGGTATCATACATAGTTGGGGTGTGTCGCGACGAGCTCGAAAGGATACAAAGTCATTGGGGATGCAATTATTCGCAATAAAATTTTCAACAAAGAAAGAAAAAAATAGCTCCCTGAGCCTCAGCCATCCCCCTCGTCCGTGCTCTCCAGTCCCAGTCCTCCTGGTCCTCTCCTCCTCCGTCCTCCTTCTCGTTCTCCTCCTCCTCCCAGTCCCAGTCCTGCTGGTCCTCTCCGCCTCACTGCTCGTCAATTTCCATCTCGTCGTCCTCCACATCCTCCCAGTCCTCCTCGTCGTCGTCCTCCTCGATTTCAATCAGCTCGTTCTCGTCGCCTCCCTTGTCGTTGGTGTTGCCCTCCTCCTCGTCGGCAGCGTCGGTAGCGTCTGCGTCGGCTTCGTTCTGAACCGCGGAAGTTGCGGCGAGATATTTAGCCACCAAGGCCAAAATCTTGAGATACTCGGCGTATGCCTCATCGGTTTGGTGGTTGGGGGTGGGGATAATAGTATTGTCGCCCATTATTTCATTCGTTTGGTTGTTTTGTGTTGGTGGGTTTGACTGGGCTTTAATTGGAAGTTGTCGGGCGATAAGTTGATCGTGTGCTTGATGGTGTGGGAGGAAGAAGAGGGAGGAAGAAGGGAGGGAGAGAAAAGAGAAAGCCCACGAGGTTCTTGGAACTGAATCGCCGTTGAGAGTCGCTAATGAGGCTTGTCGCTGCCGTCGCGGCATCCTAGGACACTCGTGCATCGAGTGATGATCTATGCGTCACTGCCACCCGAGAACCACCGAGCAGCGGGTAGTTGCCCTAGCTTGCATTCCGTAAATAGACTCCAGTATGTACGGAGAAATCAAACGTTCCGTTTCTACGAGAACGCAGGTTGCGTATCGCCGCCTCTAACCGCAGTCGGCGAGTCCAGTCTCAGTAAAGTCTCGCCACCGCTTCCCCACACAGCATCATCGGGTTTTGTCATTCTCAAAGAGCCTGTTCAGCGGGCGAGATAGCCACAGTGGAGGGGGAATGAACTCCAGGGGAGATCTCGGCGCTTTGCGCATGTACCACGTCGAATCATGACAACTAGCAATTTCCCAACCCCGCATTGGATCTAAATACGTTCCGCTGCTATTCGTCGGGCCTCAGCCTTAACAGATAAGCAAGCCCAGAGACGACGATTCCTTTCTGCTTCAGGGTTTTGGTGGTGGAATTTCTTTATCAAATACATTATTGTGGATACCTCTGCCGGCCATAACCTTGGGGTTCCATTCTGTATGAACTATCAAGCAATCAGTCATAGGTAGTACACCTTGACACTGTTCCACGCTATGAAAGTAGATCTAACTCAGGAAGGATGACTGGCACGCGACTTTAACGTGGAACACCAGTGATAGGTTGGGCAGCAGATGCCGACTCTGCGAAAGCTACATTATCAGGTACATCGCTGGGGTGCGTTGCGACGAGCTTGAAAGGATATAAAGTCATTGGGATGCGATTATTTGCGATAAAAATTTTAAAAAAGAAAGAAAAAAAACAGCTCCTTAAGCTTCAATCAGCCTCCTCCGAGTCCGTAACCCACTCCCAGTCCTCCTGGCCCCCTGCCCCCTCCTTCGATTCCGAGTCCGTACCCCACTCCCAGTCCTCCTGATCCACTCCGCCTCCCTGCTCGTCAATTCCCATCTCGTCGTCCTCCACGTCGTCCTCCACGTTCTCCCACTCGTCCTCCTCCTCCGTGTCAACCTCCAGCTGCTCGGTGGCGACGGTGACGGCGGTTGTGGTCGTGGCGGCGGTCATGGCGGCGGCTTTTTCCCTGACCGCAGAATTGACGGGGAGAAATTTACCCCATAAGGCTAAGTTCTGGAGGGTCTCCAGGTTCGCGGAGCGGATGATGGTAATGTCGCTCATAATGGTTGTCGCTGGGTGACTGGTGGTAGCGGGTTTCGTTTAGTGTTGTTTGCGACTTTCGTGTGGTGGTTTGTCGGGCGATTGGTGGTGTGGGGAGGAAGAGAGAAATGGGGAGAGAGAGAAACGGGGGGGGGAGAAGATATAACCCACCAGGTGCTTGGAACTCAATCGCAGTTGAGAGTCGTGATTGGGGCTTGTGGCTACAGTTGAGATATGCAAAGTCACTCGCATAGAGAGTGATTCCGTGTGAAGCGCCGCGTGAGAACCATGCAATCTGGATTCCACAGTTCTTGACGACATCTGTGATCATCAACACTATCTCTCTACTTTAACTTCTTGTACAGTAATTACGTGGGGCCTGAGCAGGTAGATCATGGCAATGTGGCAGCTTTTATGTACAGTTCTCCTACCGCCGGCATTGCATCGATAGAGGGATCCCGACTCCCGAGTATTGTTTTATGTACAAACTACATACATGGAGGAGTACCGTACATAGGGCTCAAAAACATGCCCGCGACGTCGGGCGGTCGGTCGCAAGAATCCGCGTGTTCCGGCGGAGATGTGATCGATCAGGTAGGACTCCCGACGGCTTTAAATCAACTCCGAGAAGATAGCTTAGAGTTAAATAGTCAACTTTACTCTACGTTGTGTAGAATACTGGCTACGAGCCTACTATAACTACTTATTTAAAGGGTACATAACTGGAGTGCGCCCCGACGAGCACAAAAGAATACAATTGAAGTCATTGAGGATGCGGTATAAAATTGAAAAACAATGTGGAAAAATACAGTGCACTCGGCCTCAATCCTCCTCCTCGTCGGTCTCCCACTCCCAGTCCTCCTGGTCCTCTCTGGCTTTCTCCTCATCCTAACCCTCCTCCTCCCAGTCCCAGTCATCCTGGTCCTGCCCGCCTCCCTCCTCCACCTCGTCCGTATCCTCATCGTCCTCTCAGTCCCAGTCCTCCTGGTTCACTCCCCCTCCCTCCTCGTCCATCTCCGTCTCGTCCTCCTCCTCGTCCTCCCACTCGTCCTCCTCCTCGGTCTTTACCACCTCCTTCTCGGCGCCTCCCTTCTCGGCGCCTCTCTTCTCGTCGATGTCAACCGCCATTTTCTCGGCGGCATCGGCGGTGGTGGTGGTGTCGGCGGAGGTGGTGTGCATGATGTTTGCCATTGGGTGAATAGTGGTAGCGGGTTGTATTTGTTCTTATTTGCGATTTCCGTGCGGTTGGTTATCGGGCGGTTGGTGGTGTGTAAGGAAGAAGGAGGAGGAAGAAGGGAGAGAGGAAGGAAGGGGGAAAAGGAATCTGGTGGGGTGAAAAGGGAAAACATACTAGGTTATTGGAACTGAATCGCCAGCAAGAGTCGTTATTGAGGCTTGTCGCTGCTGGCGTGGCATGCGAGGTCATTCGCTTGGCGAGTGATGACATTTGATGTGCAGTCAGAGAACCACTTATCGCTGCCTCTAGCCGCAGTCGGCATGTCCATGGTTAGTATAGTATAGCTGGCTACGATGATGACTGAGTCGGTTGTTGTATTCTCCCATCTGGGCCTTGGTACCGGCCTGTGCCGACGAAGATGGAATCGTGAAGGACTTCCGAGCCCCGGCGGCTTCGAATCAACTCGAAGATGCCTTAACTTATCTTTCAGTAGTCAGCTTTACTCTACTGGGTATACACAACTCTGAATACGAGTCTATAATAACTATCTGATATACAACTGGGGTGCTTCGCGACAAGCTCGAAAGGATAAACTCAGAAGACATTGAGGATGCAGTTATTTGCGACAAAATTTAAATGTAAAAAAAAAGACTCCCTCAACCTCACATCTCCTCATCCGCACCCTCCTCCCAGTCCTCCCAGTCCTCTACGCCTCCCACCTCCTCTTCGTCCGTATCCTCCTCCCAGTCCCAGTCCCAGTCCTCCTGGTCCAGCTCCTCCTGGTGCTCCTCGTCAATCTTCTCCTCGTCCTCTTTTCCCTCCTCTTCGTCCTCCCACTCGTCCTCCTCCTCGTCCTCTCTGTCCTCCTCCTCGTCCTCCTCCTTGATGGCCATCAGCTCCTTCTCAGTGCCTCACTTCTGGTCCCGGTCAACCTGCATTGCCTTGGTGGCGATGGCGATGGCGGTGGTGGTAGTGGTGGTGGTGGTGACAATGTCGTGCATGATTTCGGTCGCTGGTAGATCTTTGGTGACGAGTTGGATTGTGTTTATTTGCGACTTTGAGCGAAGGTTGATCGTGCGACTGGTGGTGTGGGAGGAGGAAGGAGGAGGAAGAAGGGAGAGAGAGAGAAAGGGGGGAAGGGAAGAAGGGGAACCCTGGAGGTGCTTGGAACTCAATCACCGTTAAGAGTCGGGGTTGAGGCTTGTCGCTACCGCCCAGGCATGCGATGTCACTCGCGGAGCGGGTGATGCTTTGTGTTGTAATATCTGTCTAGATTAGTCATGGTAGAAGGCACGGACCTTTACTCCTATTCCATATATCTTCTGTTCTCACGAGGCTACAGCCTTACACTTCAATACTACACTGTTCACCACCACATCTTACTTTATATTTCCAACACTTTGTGTTGGAATTTGGAGAAGAACTTGACTTGATTGATGTATTAGTACGAGAAAGATGAGAAAGAAGACTGCTTATAAAGGGAGACGAGCTCGTGTAGAGGAGAAGACCGGGACTCAGACAGAGGATGCGACGATACTCGTCGCCGGACTCGGGCTGGGGGCCTGAAGGCTGAAGGTCTAAACGGGCTGATTCTGGTGAGAAGCCAGGGAAAATGCTAGGAAGCCACGTAGGCCTCGAAGGCCGTGAAGGCGGTATGCGACGATGCAAAAGGATGGAGGATAGAGAAAGTAGCAGTGACACCGGAACAGACAATAAGACGCATAATATCAACACTTTGTGAAGCATCGCCCGTGCTGCCTCGAGCCGCAGCCGGCAAGTCCATAGTTAGGTAGTAGAGCTGTTTACAATGATGGCTGGCCCAGTCTGTGTATGCTTTGATTAGCACCGTGGCATCCGCCTATGCCAACGGAGATGCGATTGTGAAAGACTCCCGGGCCCCGACGGCTTTGAAACGACTCGAAGGCACCGACGGCTTTCATCCGTCAACTTTACTTTACTAGTTATGTAGAAAACTGGCTACGCGCCTCTGGTAACTACCTGGTACATAACTGGGGTGGGTCACGACGAGCTCGAAAGCATACAAAGTCGTAGGGGATAATGGATTCAATTATTTGCGGTAAAACTTTTTAAAAACGCCTCCCTGAGCCTCAATGCTCCTCCTCGTCCGTATCCCAGTCATAGTCCTCCCAGTCCTCTTGGCCCCCCTCCTTTCCCTCGCCCCTGCCCTCCTCCGGCCAGTCCCAGTCCTCCTGGTTCACCCCGCCTCCCTCCTCGTCAACCTCCATTTCGTCCTCCTCCCAGTCTTCCCACTCCTCCTCCCCTCCCTCCTCGTTCATCTTCTCCTCATGCTTCGCGTCCTCTTTCTGGTCACCTCCCTTGTGTTTCTTGACCACCTCAACTTTCTCGGCGGCGGTGGTGGTGGAGGCAGCGTTGTCGTCGGCGGCAGCCTCGTTCTGAATCTCGGAAGTCGCGGCGAGATATTCGGCCACCAAGGCCAAAATTGCGAGGTTCTTGGTGTAGGCCTCGTCGCTCAGGTGGTTGGGGGTGGGGATGATATTGGTGTTGTCCCTGATTTAGTTCGTTATGAGTTGTGGTGAGTGGTGACGGCTTCGAAGTTCGATTTGTGTTTATTTTGAGCGGTGGGTTATGATAGTATAGGAGAAAGAAGGGAGAGAGAGAGAAAGGTGAGAGAATTTAAGAAAGGGGACAACTCATGAGGTGGTTGGAACTGAATCGCGGCCGAGAGTCGTTGAGGCTTGCCCACTAGGCATGCAATATCACTCACTGCACGGGTGATCCCTCGTGAAGCGCCGCCTGAGAACCACGGAGCAGCGGGTAGTTACAACAGCTTGAATTCCGTACATGACCTTCAGTACAGAGAAGTACGGAAAAACCAAAAGCTCCACCACTATCTCTCCATTCTTTCCATAGTACTTGTACATACACAGCATCCCAAGAATGGCGGAACGTGACTCGTACGGTGAGATTCTGAAGTTGCCGGTACCATAGCACTCGTGATTATTCTACCGTCAGCCTCAAGATGTTCGTACAGGTGTTCTAGAAAAGGAATGGAAGCAACGGAAAATGGACATCTTCAATGTTAACGGGCCAGCCGAGTTTAACTTCGCTCGGTTCATGATCTGAGGGAGAGTAAAAGGTGGGGTAGGTACAGTACATAAGCTGTCTCGGTTTCCACGGTACGATATCATTGTTTTGATTGTTCCATGTTCGCAACGAAGGGCAGGGGGCGAAGCACCAAGCCGCCCCTCAGGGTCCTTCTAGCCTTCATGCGCACAGCCGGACTACAGACAGGATGCGAAATAAGCACTGTGGAGTGTTATGATCTAGCTGGTAGAATTCAATTGATGATTTAGTTAACAATCTCCTCACTTCTTCCCATTCTACTCCATCCCACCACTCTCCCAGCCCACAGAGTACGGCGGCACAATGTATCACTCGACAGCGTGCGCCGGAGCGACGCCACACCTAAGCGCTGCGACTGCGCCACACGTACCTCGGGATACAGAGTAACATGGAGCCTTGCGGGAAGATAGTATTGATTCGCAAAACATAGAGGATGACCAGCTAGCCATACCAGAAACAAGCATGAAAATAAACTGGATTCTCTTTCGCGGCGTGCAAACATTACCAATATGACCAATGTGCAAAATCGTCGACGAGTGACGATGTGGCTTGATGATCTGAGTTTCGAACGAGAATCGGAACGTGTGCTGCTGGGGCACGTTACAGTGGTCAATGTTCATCTAAGCTTTGGTTGTCCGACGTATGCTGGGATACGGTAATGGTGTACCTACCACTCCTGGCCGCGCACCCCCGGAACATGGAGTTTCCTCTCGCCATCCCGACTCAGCAATACAGCTGGGACATCATCTTTTGCATAGACATCTGCTTGAGTACATACGAGCTGCATCATGGCCACATCGAGAAGTAATCAAAGAATGAATTGATATCCCGACCCCGCACCCAGCACCGCAACTCCCCAACACCCAACTTCCGCTCCAGCCCCCCCCCCCCCCCCCCATCCCCGACCCAAAAATCACCACAACATGAGCAAACTTTCCATAACCGTAAAACTCTCCCTAGAGTCCTCATGCTCCTCACCCAACGTTTTGACCCTCGTCTCGTAGGCGCGCCTTAAGCACTCGCGTCCGCGCGCAGGCTCATAGCTCTCTACATACGTGACCCCCAGGTAGTGGAGAGTAGTGAGCGTAGCGGGGTCCTCATCACCAAGCACGCGCTTCCTGGCGTCCAGACAGCGCTCGAGGTGCAGTCGTGCGCCCGCGTGGTCGCGGCTGTGGTAGCACGTGCGCCCCAGCTCGTGCAGGGAGTCGAGGGTATCCCGCGCTTCCGGCCCGAGCACGGATTCGCGGCCGAGGACGGCCCGCGAGAAACACTCTTGTGCTGCGCTGAGGCGGTGGAGCCTGCGTAGGATGAGGCCGACGCTGTGCAGTGACGCAAGAGTGTCCGGGTGCGAGTCCCCGAGGGTCTTGGAGCGGCCTTGGAAGGCGAGCTCGAGGTGGTGGAGGGCGTCGGAGAGGTCGAGGGAGGGTTGTGGCGGTGGTGATGCCGGTAGCTGCCGCGAGAGGGCTTGGTGATAGATTGTTAGCCCCAGCCAGTGGAGGGAGTCCAGGGTCTGTGGGTCTTCGTCGCCGAGGACACGCGCACGACCGGCGAAGGCACTTTCGAAGCATTCCCGAGCCTTGCGGAAGTATTTCAGTTGGTTGTAGGCGATGCCGATCTTGTGGCTGAATGCGAAGGTCTCCGGGTCGTCGTCGCCGAGTGTTTGCGACGGCGAAGAGTAATAGCTGTTGGCTTTCCAGTAGCTGTCGGCTTCGAGCATCAGTTTATCCAGTTCGCTGTCGGCGATGGGATCTTCGAGTGTGGAGGGGGTTTCGGAACGTGGTCGGAAGATGCTTGGGAGCCAAGCGAGACGGGGACTGGGCGCACGGCTGTGGACCTGGCTGTGAGCCTGGCTGTGGATGCCGCTGGGCGAGTCGATCAGAGCGGTGAGATGCTCGGTGGTTAGCTCCGGAGAGGAGACATCTATGGATGGTGAACTAGAGAGTTTGGGTGTCGGCCGTCGGCCGTGAGAGACGTTCCTGCCGCATCCCACAAAGTCGTCCGCTCCTTCTGGCCTGGTAATGATGTCGAAGTTGGGCGTCCAGTATGTGACGAACGAAGGCGTCTCTACAAGCATGATTAGTCAGAAAGATGCACGTATCAACCCGGTTGCCACAAACAGAAGAAACAACATACCAGTCGAGCTGGAAGCCTCTGGCGGGTTCCCGAACCGCTTTCTCGCTCTCTCTATCTTGTCTTCGTCGAGCACGAGCCCATGCCAAGCGAAGATGGTATCCTTCCCCTGGGCCTTCCTCCGGTCGGCCACCTGGATGATGGCCGCCATCTTCCGCTTCGAGATATTCTTCTCCATCCGCCATATCCTGAGACGTTTCTTGTACTGCGCCTCACTGCGGAAGGTTAGCCATAGCAAAAATGAATAGGGGATGGAGTATTTACGTGGCATAGAACTCCCACCGCTCCCACAGTGTCTTACGGAGGTCCCGGATCTTGACACCCTCCTGGAGGTACATCTGTCTAATCCACTCTCGATGGGTCTCCCATTCCTCTTCACGGATCTCTCGGGCTTTGAGGCCCCTTTCCCAGTCGTCGGGATGGAGGTTGGACGGTGATTCCATTGAGAATGAAGGATGCCCCGGGGGTGGGCGGGGGTGTGAATATCGATTCGATCCGTGGGATGGTGGAAAAAAGTACAGAAGATTGATGGCTGTCTGTAGGTTTTTTCAAGACACGTACACACTTATATTAAACTCTGTTGACGGTAGTGAACTGAACATCACCATCTATTCTCCTCGGAAACCCAGTTTTATATCAGTGTCGCCTTGAGTCACTCGTCCATGCTGTCCCCAGTGATGATCATGATCCGACGACCACCATCCAATGCTAGTGGTAGGCGACACCGGTGCTGTGCACTAACTATCCCTAGGGCTGAGTAGATCCTACTCCGGAAAACATGGCTCGGGCATGCTACATGCAGAGGTTCCACGAAGCGGGCAGCGGCAGGCAGGAGGATTAAGCATATCGATAGTGTTTACTATGGTAGTGGCAAATAGTCGCAAGGGCAAGACAACATATGTCCTAGGACTCTGACTGTAAGGAACATACTACAGCCGGTGGTGGGGGCAGTAGTTCGTGTTCGCCTCGCAGCCATGTTGAGCGGGGGAGTGGGGGGATGGTGGGGCTGATGTGGCTATCCCCGAAGTGCACATCAGAGCAGCAGCAGCAGCAGTGGGGGATGAGAGCACCGGCCCGTCCGCTTCCCGTCACCGACTGACCGGCATAGGCCTCCAATGCGGCTCTCGAGCATGACTTCACCCATCCTGCAGAGTCATCTTTAACATGTGTTTTTGCTGATGGTGATCCCATTGGTTTCCACCTCCGGTTTATTTACCGCCGAGTCTCGCGGTAGGTCGGAGTCGAAGTCGTTCCGGATGACTGATGTGAAGCACTCCACTCTCATGACGGTCGATGCCCATGTGCTAACTCCGGAAGAACTAATCCTCCCTCGAGCGGTCAGTCAAAGCGCTGAAGATGAGTACATCAGGCTCTATACACTTGTATTCAAACCTCCATATCAGTCCCTCAGGGAGGAGGATGAGTCCACGGGTTTGGTGTTTGTCGGTTTCAATCCATCTGATCGACCGGCGGTCGATGGCATAAGGCTCTCAGGGGTGGAATTGAATCACACCTACAAACACACCTCGTTCAGTGGACAGATCTGGCGCCGGGCTCCGTCATCTAAGCCTTTCACCGACAGCACCCCCTAGCTAGCTTTGCTTTTAGCCCTGAAGATATAAATCCGTTTGTGGGGATGGAGGAGTGGAGGATGGAGGATATGAGTGCGGTGTGGTGAGAAACGATAGCAGGCTCGAGCATGTGAAGCTTTTCTCGATCTGGACGTTCTGAAATCTTGGGAATATCGGATGCCTAGAATGGAATCATCTTCAGCCCTCTAGGAGTGGGACAGTGAGACTCAATCAAAACCCAATCACGACTTGAGAGTCGACTTTGACCGAGTCAACCAACCACGGCATACGTAGGTATCGCGCGAGGTCAGATCAATCCGCGGTGAGCACCCCCAAATGCGCAGCCACCGTTAAATCTCCGTATCTACATAGTATGTACGTAGAGTATGTATACCGGCCGGTTGTTCGGCGGTACGGTAGGGACCAGTAGGGTGATGATTCGTGCAGGATCTCGATCCGATCGACGCGTTAAACGCCTGTGCGCACACGTCGGAGCACGTCCGTAGAGAGTTTTGGCAGGTCTGAAACTTTTGTGACAGGGGTCGGTCGGATCCGAAACACAGGGCGACGGGATTTCTATTATTCCTTAATGCAGGGTACCACGTCATCTCGGCTCTGCCGCAATTCATCCCCTGCAGACTTTATCCCTATGTAGCTGGTTTGCCCGTGCAGACGCGACGGAAGCAGGAGGGGGATTCTAGACTTGCAACGGCCATCTGAAGGTAAGCTATTAGTTGGGTACTGCGCGATGAGAGACAGAACGGGAGCTATAGTATAGTTGCCGGTATTAAAGACCGGTCGGATACGACAGTCCCTACGCTCTAGGGGGCCACCAGAGCGACAACTTCCGGCACGGAGCGTCGGCACGTTCTGGTGCCATGGCCGAAGCAAAGTGAATGACTGTGGAGTGGAAGCAAGTACTGCCCAATACCCAGCGAGAACTTGGCGGTCGCACCGTGTTGCTGAGCTAGGTAGGTACAATAGGTAGTCCGAGTGAATGAGGCGATTGAACGCGGCGATTGAATGCGACGAGTGACATCAGATGCCAGCATGCGTGTGTGCAGTTGGCGTGTGCGGGCCGCAAAAAAGTCCCGCTGGAGGATCATTCAAGGGATTCCGAGTGTCTGAATGGTGGTGGTGTTGGCCTGACGACAGTGTCCCTGTCCATCCATGTCCATCAATTAGCCGAAAACCAAAAACCCATAAAATGTCAGCCCTACGGACATGACCCAAAGCACATGACCGCGTTGCAACTCGCAGGCGGATAAGCGCTATGTAACACAAGATTGGCCCGTCGGCCTCCACCGCCACAACTCAAACCGCATCGGCATCGAATCGTGGCGCAGTGAGTGCAGCACACCACCGAGAAACCAACTTATCACCACCACCACTCAATCCACCCGAAACCCTGTTTTAATGCGACCAGTCGCGCAGACACGGTGCCCCGGTGAACCTCCTCGGAATTAATATGATGCTCGTCACCAGTCTCCACTCTAGGAGATCTACCAGCAGCCCTCCGCTGATATCATAGGTCCAATCGACGGAGAGTGGGGGATTGATGTGACGGAGACATCTCCTGCGCTGAGATGCTGTCGAGCCCGCCAGCCAGCCCTACCCCTCCCGCATTTCCAGTGCACCCAGCCAGAACCGGAGACTCCGATCCTGACTGCGACTTCGTTTTCCCCACCGACCGTGCTAATCCTACGAGAGTGGGGGGAAGTTCCGCAGCGGTTCGAGTGTGATACGAACGTCTCCCTATAGTTGCGTCAATGCGTTTGCTCGTGGCAAGTTTGTATGTCTGGACTCTGTACCTACCTCTTACCTACCTACCGCCGACCGGTACGTTACTGATTGCGATAATTGTCGCGCGCGCACCCGGTGAAGCGTACCCACCGTAGTGCCTGCGAACCACCATTCGCATTGACCGAAGTTACCGGTACCATGCGCTGCACACTGCACGCTAGTGATCTGCTGTTCGCACCGCCTTCTAGTCGAACCGCAGGGATGCCGACCCAATTAGCCGTCACCGGATCATAGCGCATCACGCGATGAGCCGGGGCCGGGCCATTGGCGACGATGTTGCCCCAAGCATGACCGAGACCGAGACCATGCCCTAGGCTGGGCGGAAGCAGTACCGATTGCCGTACGGTGATGTGCCCAACGCACGCTCCAGGAAAAGGTGGGGTGTTAGGTCTGACTCGACGACAACGAGCAGGGGCGGCCGGGGCGGCCGACGGGCTTCAAATCTTGACATGGGCCTCACGTGATGTGGAATGTGAGATGTCGATTGCGCGCACTACCGCAACGGTCATTGAAGAGTCCAAGCTAGCATATAGTTTTATTACTTCCTTCAATGTCCTACTCACTCTGACCAACAGAGCGTCACTGAATATCATACCAAATCTAGAGTATGAAGAGTACACCGAGGGAATCGAGCTAACAGCCCCCCCTTCCCCCCTCCCCCCCCCCCCCCCCACCGCCGTAGGGAAGACTACTCTGGTGTAGCGCTGGGTGCATTAACCCGCCCCCAAGTTCCAACTTCCACTGCTTATCACGATGGGAATATATAATTACATACAGCGGACCAGACCATGTCGATTCACCACCCACTCACCCACCCAAAGATCAAGATTTTGGTAAGATTCTAGGCGTGCGCGTATCTGCTATATCTGCTGCTGTCATCCCCCTAACTGACTGTTGACGGGGATGGAAGACCGGACGCATGCACCGGATATCACTCGGATTACCATACATACTCGACAATTTCTAAGTAGGTATGTCCGTGTTCTCAATTCCTCTGGTATCGTATTGCGGTGATCTAGATAGGCCGAAAGCAAACAAAACAAAATACTTCTTCTAGGACACTGTCGGTAGGCGGGTTCTGGGGACAATACTCCGGTACATAGGCTGGAGCCTGGCTTGCAGTGCCCCCTAGGGTACAAGGAATGCGAGTCTGCATGTAAACTGGCTGTTTGCACAAAGTGCGGCCCATTTGCACTGGTAATTTGGGATTCTGCTTGTAAACCGGCCTTTTTCCTCATAGCGTACAAGTTGCAATTGGTATTTGGGTGAAGCCGAGTCAATAGGCGGTTGGTAGTAATTGCGGCCAGTTTATAATAGTCAAACTGGGCTCTTATACTTAATTTGGCTGTCAATACTCAATGTGTCGATTGAACAGAAGCCTGATTTGGCGTTGAGGTGTTAACTGGCGGTTGGCAGTAAATGCAATGTCTCTCCACCACTCTCTTCGGGCATCCGTTGGTAAAAAGATACCTTACCACTCATCAAGCTTCCGGCTCGAGTGATGAATAGGCTTCAGTTTATAAATGGAGCATTTTCTCCTTACTCGGCCAACCCCGCCATGCGTGCCCCCGCCATGCCCGCTGCCATGCCGACCAACGTTGATGCCCACTACTAACCACATTCGCTTCCTCCCGCCGACAGCACATCCATGACTTCACCCTCTCGCCAACAACTCCTCCTCTCCTCCTTCTCGCTGACAGCTACTCATCTCCTCCTTCTCGCTAACAGCTACTCCTATCCTCCTTCTTCTTCTCGTCAACAGCTCCTCACCTACTGCTTCTCGCGAACAGCTCCTTCTCTCGCGAAAATTTCCTCCTTCACTTCCTCCTCTCACTGACGGCTCCTCCATCACTACGTCATCGTCTCACCGGCACGGTGGCACCCACAGCTCCTCCGTCACTTCCTCCTCCATCACTTCCTCCTCTCGCTAACAGCTCCTCTCCATCTCTTCCTCTTCTCGCTGACAGGCTACAGCTCCCTCATCAGTCCGCCACACAGCGTTCCCCTTCGCCGCCGTTCGCTCTCTGACCGTCTCTGGTCTTCTTCAGCAGGTATGCATCATATTCCCATGCTATCCTACAGACCTGCTTCGTTGCGGATACCCCACTGTCATCGCCGCTAATAGCACACTGTCCTCGCCCTCCTTCGCTGTCTAACAGCCGCTGGCCCTCTTGCAGCCGGTACGTCTTCCCCTCCTATCCCGTCCTATACTATCAGGCCTGTGTAGCCGTAGATACCACACTGACCTCGCCGCGGATGCTAGCAGATTGTCTATTGAGAACGCCGGTCATTTTGAATGTGTGCTAAGATGCCGGAATGAAAGCCGGCGAGCAGGGAAATCCGGGGAAAGCGGGGTGGAGGCCGGAGAGCAGGGAGAAGCGGGTTTCGGTTTGCATAGGCGCGGAGGGGAGGATATGTATGGGGTGACCAGCAGTAGCTATCATACATAGAACCACAGTAATTTCAAGCAGCAGTTCCCGCTCGTGTAATTGTTGAGGACAGCCATGTAAGCTCCTAAAAGCCATACAAGTTCCTAAAAGCCATATTGTCACCCATGCCCTTTGGAACCCTTGTGTGTAGAGCCCTTTAAGACTATGGAGCCCTTTAATAGCCGGATTAGGGCCTTTCTAGTAGCCCTTTTAGAGCCGTTTGACTGTCATCCTCCCAGGCCGGAATAACGCGTGCAAATTTAGTTAATACGGCAGTGCCGCATTCCTTGTACCCTAGGGCGCCGCGGCTCAAGGTATGGCAATTCTTATCCGTGCCTTAGTATGTTCGTGCGGTAAGTACCACACCTACACGGAGATCTTCTATCGGTGAGCAGCGGAGCCTCAGTGTCCGAGCTACCTACCGATGTATGATGTTTCAAGCCCAGTCCAGACTCCATAATTATGTGGGTACTGCTTAGCTCCGAACCAGCTTCAAGCTTGTGGCAGCAACGAGCGTTCGTTCGTATGTACCTACTGTACATACTTCCTATGTACCTACTGTACATACTTCCTATGTATAACACGATCTCCACTTCGGCAATGGGCACGTGCGAAATACCTACAAGGTTGACACCGGCGAAGTTCGTGGCTTCTTTAGCGAAGCCACCGGTAGGTGCTCTACACTCTCCCGAGTCCCGACACGCCGCATGAGGCAAAATCCTCGAGAACCTGGGTAGGTATTCACTCACCGGCAACGCGCAGCTCGACAAGCGCATCGGCACCGGTAGCCAGGACTTATGTACGAGTCTAACTTCATTTCCATTTCCGTGCTACATATTATAAGACATTGTGTTTCGTTTCGTGAATTCGTCGACTCCATGTCCCACGACCCTGCCGCAACCGTGTCGCGCCGTCAGAGCTCTTTTCGAGATTGTCATTGAGGAGAACTCGTGCGACCCAGCGAAGATCGGGCGTCTTTTGTAAATACTTACTTGACAGGGCTGTTACGGTCGGGGATGCTGCCAGCATTCTGCCTGTCGGAATAACGCGACGTCCTCCTCATCCTCCTTTTTGAGCCCGTCAGAACCGCGGTGAACCGGTCACCGTGACGGCATTTTGCAACCGCAGTGCGTAATGGATGTACAACGGATGTACAACGGATGTGCTCTGTCCTATCGCGGATCTTCATTCCTCGGCTGGCGGAGCCTCGGAGGCATCCGACGGAACGACACTGGAAATCCCGACTACCTAGCTATCGATGTCGGTGAGGGTATGTATATTATAATTCGTTCAACGTCGCACAGTAACGCAGTACTTGGGGACCATTGCCTATAGTATTGTGGATACTTTAGGGATGTGATACAGTGGAGGCTTGACAGTTCGCCTCAACTTGCGTGATATCATCTTGGGTTGCATATCCCTTGCGGAGCGAACGCGCCCAATCTTGAGAGAATCTTAAGAGTCTTTGTACTTTGAAGCACGATTCGTATGGACTTACCTTATCGAGATGACCTTCGCGATGCTCTAGGAAGTCGGATTCATCATCTAGGTGTTAGAGACGAGGTACGGTACCCATCATTTACAATAAGCTGAGCATCGGTCTCCGATATGTGCAAGATAATAAGGCGAATCACTCGCTCACTTTCTTCGGCACCAAAAGATTCCAAACAACCAAGAATGCAGCTCGGGGTATTACACTCTCTATATCTAACGGCAGGAAAGCAATCGAATCCCACCCACTACTTCTTCCCCTCCTCCGCCGGCACATCCGCCATCCCAAAAACACCGCCAACAACCCACGCCGGCTCCTCGACCCTGCCATGGGCGTAGCCCATGACCGCGATACCGCCGGGATCCAAGACAAGCAACAACGGGCTCGCGAGCGGCAACCCGACCCAGCGCTTCACAAACGCTCTAAGGAAATGCCCATGGGCGACGACCAGCACGTCCCTATCATCCTCCTCCACCCTCTCGCCACCCTTCAGCGCCTGCTTCTGAATGGCCTTCACATCCTCAATCACCGCATCGATCCTAGCAGCCAGGCTCTCAGGGCTCTCCCCACCCTCACCAGGCGTACCATCAACCCAAATATCCCACGGCCGTTCGGTATCCAATCCCTGCTCCCTCCTCCTCTTTCTAATCTCCGCGGGCGGCAGACCCTCATACTCGCCGTACCCCCACTCGCGACAGCGATCGTCGGTAGTAACAGCCACGTGCGCGGGAGGCTGCGGCAGCAGCAAGTCGAGCGTCTCACGCGCGCGCAGCCGCGGGGAAACGAAGACGTGCGAGAGCCGTGCCGGGTCGATAGCGCGCCCGCGGCCGACGGAGGATGACGCGACGAGAGAGATTGTTGCGCGACCACGCGCGGTCAGCGGAAGGTCCGTCGTCGACGTGTGTGCGCCGGTCAGCGTCCATGCGGTTTCGCCGTGGCGCGCGAGGATTAGGCGCGGTGACATCGTGGGTATAGAGGGTGGGTGCGGTGGCGGGCGGGGATGGGGAGCGGTGGTTGCGTGTGTGGTCGGTGGAGTTGGGCGGTGGTGATGGGCGGGGATGGTGGTGGGGTTGTTAGCGGGGTTGGCGGCCCCCGCGGAGAGGTATTCGCTGAACGGAGATTTGGAGATCGTACATAACCGAAAAATCTTCAAACACATGTAGCGGTTTCCTAACGCCTTAATGCTTTGTATCCGGAAGACACGCTGTTTCGTACATTTTTTGAAAAGGCGTAAAGATCTGCGGACATTACCGAGTGATTATATGTGATAGACTTGATGGACGAGAATCCATGAACGCAGCAATCGAGGCCAACTTTCAAGATGCTTTATACGAGACAGTGGTGCTACTGACCAGGATCACTACTACTTAGGATTTGGGATGAAGGCTTCCATACAATATCTCTGTCGGTAGCGAACCTTCCAAAACACGCAAGAACTGAGTCCCTGCCACAAGCACAAAACCAGCCGGCTTTTGCACCCAGTCGTCTTACCACATGCACTACATACACCCAGCAACTAAGCAACTATCCTCCATACCCAATAATCTTATCCAAAGTTCCAAATTGCGCACAAGTTATGCAACCCACCACCACGCAATCGCCACCGAGTGCATCAAGTGCGACCCCATCCCCATACGCCACGCTCCGCATCACCGAGCCGGCAATCTTCCTGGCACCTCACCTACTCTCGAGGCTAATGTGGCTGATGTGCTGCACCTTCGTGCTCATCTTCCGCGAGCAACTATTTCTGCTGCTTGTTGCCCTGGTGTCTATCGGCGGATACAGCAGGGCAGCGGGGTTGCGGGGGCGGTGGGAGTTGGGGTGGATGTGGGCGATGTGGAGGGAGGAGAGGGAGCAGAGGGAGCAGACATAGGATAATGAGGTATGATGTTTGCAATCGACCTGCCTGGGTGATTGCATGGGCATCCTGTCGATACGATTTCGGAAAGTTGAGATCGGAATCCACAGAGGAAGGTTGCGGAAGAACGACACGGAGCACGTCCCCTATATATAAACACTGCAGAGTAATCTGGCAGTTGGGCCAGACCACTCGTGGACGGACTGGCCCAGAAACCAGAAATTCATATTTGTGGCTGGGCCAGACCAAGCACCAGAATCTATCTGTGGATCGTCCGGCCAACTGGCAGATCGGGACTATTCATGGCCGGGCTGGTCTATCTCCGGTGGGCTGGCCAATCTAAGGATGGAATAATCTTCCGTGTGGGCTAGAACATATATACTTACAGCTCTGCTCTGCTCTCTACCGCCAGGCCCGCCATGCCGGTGCAGGACAATCACACATTCGCACTCGCATTGATGACGCCACACCCCGGTTGCGCCACACACTGGGGCTCGACTGAAGCCGACACTCGCTTCCCAGCGACCGACGACGAATCACGGTTCCCCGCTTCCAGTCGGTCGGATCCGAAGCCTCGCTATATGGTGGCTATATACTTCATTCCCCTCGTTATTATATATATATATATATATATTGAGGGGCCGCGGGATCAAGGCGCCCCTGGGGTGCGAGAAGCGGCGGAATCGTGCCTCTGGGGTGCGAAAAGCGGCGGAATGTTTTCTGTTGCTGTTTTTCTGTTTAATTTGTTGGTCCATCTCTTGTTCAACACATCAGACATTATCAAACACCATAGATATTCACAAGTTCATATGCCAGTCTTTGTTTCTAGTTTCAATTGAATCATGTTCTTCTTTTCTCGTATGTACCCGTTGAGGGTCTCTCACTTGCAAACCGCCGACGAATCATGAATCACGGTTCTCAGCTTCCACTCAGATCCGAACTGACGACATCATTCCTCCGCGTCGTTGTATTCGCTTACCATGTCGTTCGGTATCTTCGAAGCGCAATCCACACCCAGTTTTGATAGCCAAGTAATCACAGATTCGCACTCGCACTCGCATCAGCAACGTCACACACCTGGTGATCGCGCCACACTGTGGCTCGCCTCTCGACTGCCAGTTGCCGTCCGAGAAGAAACTCGCTTCCCAGCGACGAATCACGGTCCAAAACCTCGCCACTTCATTTCCCTCGATCGCGCCGTTGTGTAGGTACCTTTTCGCTTACCATGGCACCATGCCATCATGCTGGCCGGTATCTCCGATTCTCCGAAACTCTCCGAAGCGCAATCTCGAGTATCCGCATAGGTAGAGTGGGTACCTGCTGCCCGTTCGTCGCTCACCATACCTAAAACATTCCCGTGCCGAGCCGAGCAATTGAGTTGTTCTTCCGCATTCCGTCTCCCTTCGAGTCCGCATCCATTTGATACATGTCACTGCCCCTCAAGGGAAGGGAGGCCTCGTTACCGCTCGAGAGTCAACGTGGATAGCCAAAAACTCCGGCACGTCTCCCCATCTTCCGTCTCCCGTCTTCATCGTATCCGAGTGTTCCTCCCATAGGTATCATACCAGACGCGACGGAGATTGAATTGAATGCATGCCTGCATCCATCATGGCCATACCGCCATACATTTGGCACAGCCCATCGTCGTGGGGGAAGTCTGATCCCCATCGGCTGGGTCGGCTGGGTAGGCTGGGTATATGCATGATCCAAGCCGAAGGAAATGACGAGTTGGCTTCCTTCCTGGGGACCTCCTTGATTCGGCGGGGGTAGATTGGGCGCGGCGGAGGTTCGTTTTCGAGTTTTGTGGTTTCCGTGCGCGCCTCCGGGACTCCGGGACTTGGTGGACACTGGGCAGCATTGGCTCAACGGCTCATGGTCCGGCCGTCTCTGGGGTCTTGAGTCTGTGGTTACCGACTGTACCGATGTTGCCGCGAGGAGAAGGTCTGAAGTGGCTCGAGCGGTCAGATACATAGGGAGGTAGATTCGAGCAGATCAACTGTTGGTTTTGGCTGGGTATGTGTGTACTTACGGTAGATAATGGGTACTGGGCGTGCTTTGTCGTGTCTGTTTCCTTGACGTCTTGGAGCTGTAAAGTACTATGTATCTGTGGCCGAACGCATGTGACAAAGCTGGAAGTATATGTACAAGGTTGACTCTTGAGATCTGTGCGCTTGTTTTTGTAGCCGTGACGTGGGGCGGAACGGTTAGGTTGGTGATTCGAACTCACTTCTAGTGACAAGGCGGTACTACTAGTAGTAGAGTCAGCCTGCCGAGGCAGCAAAGACTGTCCTCGGACAATGATCGTCGTATTCTGCCAGTCGCCGCGGCGCCCAAATCTACGGTATCTATCAGTAGTAAAGAGGAGGACGGAACCACAACTAGTACTCTGGTGTCACAAGTCGAGAGTCTCGAGCACCAACACTCAACTCCGCAAGAGAGAAATATAGAGACCTCCAAGTTCCAACTCGTATCCCGGAACGAGGCGGCAACCAACTATTGACTCCCCATCAGTTTAGTGCATCCCATCCCGCCCGTGCGGTGCCTGTATAATACATAAGGCCAAGCTGCCGCGCCCTCCCGAGAGTCGAGGCTCTCGTGGTCCACCTGCAAGGCCCGAGAACATTACTAGTACTCTAGAGCACATCATATCATAGTTACTCTCTCTCCAGCACAGCCACGCCGAAGTCGCGGCTGTTTCAGATTGCTCTCGAGTCTCGGCACTGTCTGCTCGGCGCGGGGAGGTCTCCGTTTCACCGTCGTCGTAAGCCTATGTAGAGTAGTATGTAACAGCACATCGATTAGGTGACGCGCGACGCGAGGTTTGATCGGCGGAGAACTGGGATGTTCGTTGTTCGATGGACGATAGAGTAGCGGTCGTAGGGATAGGTAGTTCTTCTTGATCTTTGAAGATTCAAGAGTCGTTGCTTCGTGCGGATATGCAGAGTACTCTAGAGTACGGCTTGCATGCACGTCGGCACCTCCCGGTTGGGAGTACCTACTTCGTTATCCAGAGTAGAGTGTGTACGCGCGGTGAAGAGTCGAGACTCGTTGAGTGACAACGATCAACCGCGGAAGACGCTCCACCTTCTGGTGTCTCCGTTGTCTCCTGCAGTGTCCTTCGCAGCCAGGCCAGCACGCGACCGAGAACGAGAATCGAGAAGAATTCCAACGCCGAGGAAGGATTGGATTAGATTAGATTGCGGGGGCCACGCTCTGTCCCTTCCCCTTGTCCTTCCACTTGTTTCCCATTGCCATTCCCCTTCTCTTTCCCCTTCCCCTTCTTTTCCTCCTTCTCCTTCCCCTTATCCTCCTCGTCGATGCGGTCCAATTTCCATCGCAAGATCTGATCGCCGCCAGCCCCCGCAAGCGAAATGATCGCCGGATGCAGGCGTGGATGCGGCGTGGCGTAAGCCACACGCCGCAAGCCCCGCGCCGCCAAGCCCCGTGCCATGCGCCACACGGCTGAGCGACCAGGCTGACACGGCTGAGCGGTCGCAGACAGACACGGAGACGGAAAGGGAAAGGAGAGTCGCGAGTCGCGAGTCGCGACTCAGGCGGGTGGTGTTAGTTCTTGGTGGTGCTATCGGCGGCGGGGAGAGGTTACGAGTTCAATGCGTTTTTCCGGCGGGGCTGCGTGGCTCGCAGCACCGCAGGCGACGCGTCCCCCGGGGCTGAGTCGCGAGCTGTGGAGATCCGAGATGCACTACGGTAGCACGGCAAGGCTGGCTGGGTCCTGGCTGGGATCGTTGAGCTTGGGCGACGGGCGAACCGGGGCGATGAGCACTTTATTTTTGGAACACGCGAGCAAAAACGAAAAACGCGAGAAAAAGCGAAAAACGCACTGGCTTGCGTATTGCACCTTGGGCTCTGCGAGAAGAGAATTATCGTCGGAATGGAGAGTGTCGCACGCCGAGAGAGAAAGAGAAAGAGAAAGAGAACGACGAGGATTATTATTCTCCTTGCTTCCTTGAAGCCTGAAGGCCGAGCCGAGACCCAGAAAAATCCCATGACGAGGCCACTCTTGGCAGCAGCCGGCGGCGACGTCAATCCTGGCCCACCAGGCCCATCCACCAAGCGCATCCTTGCTTTTCGTCTAAGCCTCGCCCCACACGTCATGGCCGCCAACCAACCCCGACCAACCCTCACGCGGCCGGTGATCGGGTAGCAAACAGGGTATTTTCACTGAGTGTGGACTGGACTGTGTGGAGGACGTGAGACCGTGAGACCGTGAGATGGTGAGATCCATTTACTAGTACCACCAACTAGTAGATACCGCACGTTATATTAAGAACGGCCTGCTTCCCTCTCTCGTTGTCGATACCCTCCCACCACCACCACCCAGTCTGCTATCGTTATTTGCTGCTGTCAACACAACGACACCCCCCCACACATTCAACTCAATCACACAGACAAAGACAAAGACAACCCGTCGCAGCACATCCCCCCGACGCATCATCACCAATGTTTCGCTTCACCGCTATCTTCCCGATCCTGCTCAGCATCGCGGCGTTCATCCTCTCACTGCTAGTGCTTCTGGCGGGCAAAGACACCTCATTCCTAAACGATGTGTTCGTACTGAAGGTAGCCCTCGCTCCCCTACAGCTACCGCTACATCCAACTAACCTTGCGATCAGATCGATACCTCGCAAATAGCGACCAACATCGACGCCTCAACGATCCTTCGCTCGGCGGGCATCGACCCAAACAACACCGGCATCTCCCAGTTGGACGACATCCTCGCCTCCCTCTCCAGCGACGAAGTCGGCCGCATCCTGAACACCGCGGCGCACGAGCTCGGCTTGCACGACTTCTACACCGCGCACGTATCCACATGGTGCGAGGGGACATTACTCTCCGACAACACCACGACCAGCAACAGCGTCGCCAGAAACTCCACCTCCGCCTCCGCCGAGCAGCGCGTAACCGTGTGCACCAGCCCGAAATACCCATTCTCGTTCGACCCGGTCGGCATTCTCGAGAGCGAGCTCCTGCAGGGGCTGACGCTGGAGCAAGTCGGCTTTCCAACGCAGGATGTGGACAAGGTCGTCAGCGCTTTGGAAACGGCATACAAGGCGATGAGCATATGCTATCTCGTCGGCACGATCCTCGCGGGACTCAGCATCCTGACCGGGCTCCTCGCGTTCCGTCCCAGCCGCTTGCTAGAGGCACTGAACCACCTCGTCGCCCTCGCCGCGTTCATCCTGCTCGGCGTCGGCTCGGCTATCGCGACCACGATTGCCATCAAGGTCAAGGACGTGTTTAATGATCGCGCGGCGGTGGTCAACGTCACCGCGCGGAACTCGGTGCGCTTCCTGGGGATGACGTGGGCGGCGGTGGCCTGCATGCTCCTTGTCAGTCTGCTGTGGTGCTGTGTTTGCTGCTGTGGTGGCCATAGAAGAAAGGAGAATAGGCGCGAGAGCGAGATGCCCATGGTCGAGGAGAAGCGGGAGCAGCAGAGGGCTTCGCGGTTTTCGAGGTTTGGAAGGGGGAGGAGGGTTTAAACGGATGATGGGACGGATAAAGGGGGGGATGGGGAAAGGGGAGGGAAAAGGGGAGGGGAGGGGATGAGGGTGCATTCTTTGGCGTTTGGGATAGTCTTTCTTTGAGAATCGACGGAGCATAGCGGTTGTATGGGTTATGTCTTATGCCTTTCATTTTTTTTGTTCGAGTCGTGTCGTGTCGAAGGAGTCGATGGTAATTGCGGAGGATTGAATAGCAGTAGAATGGCAGTTTTGAAGAAGTAGTAGAAGAAATCGCAGTTGAAGCAAATCAAGAATACAGAATACTCGCAGTCCATTGTCTGCGTATCTCTCTATCCCATCTACAGTAGTATCAACGTCATACACGAACACTATCACTGCGGTACTGAGCACAATTGCGAAAGCCTCAGTACTGGAAATCAGAAACTGCGAATACCCCACAACTCACAAGCGTGTGAAACGCGAGTGATATTGTGTGCAGCAGACCATTTCGCGCCGGCGGCCAGGCAGCAGGCAACACCCAACACGTACATGGCAGCGGCAGAACCAGAGTCAGATACTAGTACGGTATCTGGGTATCAAGCTGAACCCCCCGCGTCTGCGTTCGCATCAGCGAGAACCCGGCCGTTTGGCGGTACCGATGATCTCAGCCCGTTGTCAGCCCCAGCTGTGCAGTTTGCACTGCAGTACAGCTGCACCACCCCGCGCGCGTCAGCAGTTACAGCAGCTGTAATTCAGTAGCTGCAGAGTCGGCAAGTATCGAACGCCTGCACGTGTCAAAAGCTGAAAAAGAAGAATCCAGTGCCATGTGCGTGCGTAGGTTTCAGCCGATCACCTCGTATGCGCGCGTCGCGGTGGGGGACGGCGGGGGTGGGCGGGGAGTATTTATATCCCGGTGCACATTGCAATGCGAATCACGGTGCGCACTGCACAATGGAACAATATGATTATACGATAATACGATTAGGTATACGGTGTATCACGGACCACGGAGTACAAATCACGAACTGCGGAGTCAGCCTTCAGCCGCACGTGTGCAGCTGTTGGTCATACATGTTTTCGTGCGCCGTATGTAAGCACCCGACAGCAGCAGCAGTAGGCACGGGAGGATCCGTTCGAGGTTTTTAGATGGATAGAGGCTATTATTATATTATCTATACGGCCGGCCGCTGGTGCGCTGGTGCGCTGACCGCGGGAGTGAGCCACTGTGCGCGGGGATTGGTAAGAATAGGATGGATGGTTATCAGATGTATTGATGTACCTATAAGTACATATATGCAACGGAGAGAAGGCTGACAGCCTCGACAGGAGTACTCTAAGCGCGCGTGCTTTTTGGTTTGTTTAGATAATCAGCAATTGCTTGCGACCCAAGTAAGTAAATCATGTGGCAATATGGCAGCTTCTATGTACAGTTTTCCTACCCCCGGCTTTGCATCCAGGGTGGGATCCCGAGTATCATGCCCGTCGGGCCGACCTTGGCAAGTTAGCATCGACCTGTGCCAACGGAAATGTGATCGTAAAGGACTCCCGAGTCCCCGGCGGCTTTGAATCGACTCCGAGAAGTCACCTTGGCTTTCATCACTCGTTTTTACTCTCTAGATATGTACAAGACTGGCTACGAGTCTTTGATAACTACCTAGTACATAACTGTAGTGCGTCGCGAAGAGCTCGAAAGGATACAATTAGAAGTCATGGGAAATGCAGCTATTGGTGATACAATTTAAAGGTTAAAAAAAAGACTCCCTCGGCCTCAATCCTCCGAAGTCGTCCGTCTCCCACTCCCCGTCCTCCTTGTCCTCTTCGGCTCCCTCCTCCTCCTCCTCCTCCCAGTCCCAGTCCTTCTGGTCCACCTCCCCTCCCTCCTCGTTTATCTTCTCCTCGTCCTCCTCGTCCTCCTCCATGTCCTCCCACTCGTCCTCCTCCTCGAGCTACATCACCTCCATTTACTCGGTGGCGATGGCGGTGACGGCGGCGGCGGCGGCGGCGGTGATCGTGGCGGCGGTGGAAGTAGTGATAAACGCGCGCGTGATTTCGGTCATTATTAATTGTGGTGGTGGGCGCTTCGGTTGGTTTTATTTTGCGACTTATTCGATGTGGATTATCCGGCGGTTGGTGGTGTGGGAAGAAGAGAGAGGAAAAGGGAGAGAGAGAAAGAGGAAAAATAGAGAGAAAAGGGTGAGGAGGGAGAGAAAAAACCGACACTGTGCTTACACTGAATCGCAGTTGAGCTTGTCGCTGCCGTCGAGGCATGCTGTGTCACTCGCTCCGCAGGTGATACTGTGTGAAGCGCCGTACGAGAACCACCAAGCAGGCTACGACTCGACTGAGCCTAGTCAGTATGTTTTCTCATCAGGATAATGCATGAATCCGTGACTACTAGGAAAATGAGCGTGGTTGAGTAGGTGGGCAGTACTCACTCGGCCTTCATCCCCGCCGGCACACTTTTTTTTAGTTTATTCATTAATTGCATGCGACATCTCTAGATCATGGCAATATTTACCCGTGCAGACACCCGTTTCTACTTCATTTTCCAACTCGACTCTCATCGAGCGATCTGGTGTTGCTCTGCCTGCTCTCCGCCCCGGCCCCCGGCCTGTTGCAACGATGAAGATAGAGCGCACTAAGGAAATGACACTAGGAAAAGACAAATTACGCTCCCACTCCCTAATCGGCACCCCTCGCGCCTCTTCATCAGGGGGTGCCATAAAGGATTTCTTCCATCGCTACCGTCCGAAATACCTACTCTACCTATTCTAACGCGTGCACTTGTTTGTGCTTGTGCAGAATCACTCGCGAGTTCTCCTTTTGTTGTAGCGCACAATGGCCATCTGGTTTAGTCATGCATTCGTATCAACCATATCTCACTCGGACTGGCTCAACATATTCTAGCGCCTCAGTGCCGAGTGATTGCACAAAAGGTCGCGTGTAGAACTGCCGCAGTGGGGCAGTTGGCGATCGGTCGGTCGCCACACCAGCACAATCACACATACGCAATCCCAAATCATCCCGAAGAATAAAACAAAACGCAGCGAGAACTCGTTTGCAACGATTTTTTCTTACGACAACTATGTGACGAGCTGTGCATACTCCCTTATCGCGACCGTCGGTAGTTATGTCTGTTATAGGTAGGGCCGAATTAGAATGCAGCTTCGCCGGCAAACGCCCAACGCGCGGTGCATATGATTGGGCATGTGACATCTCAGCGGATTTTGATTTTCGAAACGAATGCTGTGGTCTCGTTTTGAACCCGTCAGTGATGGTTCCGAAGGCAGACAGTTGACAACCTTTTTGTGGATTTCTCGGGACAAGACGGGCCGGCGGTAGATTGAGAAGAGAGAAAAAGTCTGCGAATCCGGACGGAAACAAGTCGATTTTAAACTACGAGTGAAACAACATCCTATGAAAGAAAACCATCGAAAGAAGAGCGAAAATGCAAAGGCGGTAAAAGTTCGTAAAACACCCGAAGAAATCCCCCTATACCTCAAGAAATCCCTGAATAATAACCAGAAAAGTCCCCCTAACACGTCCCATAGCCAGTCCTCTAGATTCCCGAAACCCCAATCCCTTATCCTCCCTCCCATGATGAATTCCAATTCCCATCGTTCCTCGAAAGTCCTCCCAAATCCTCCCAACCATGATAAATCCCAATTACCATCCTTCCTTGAAAGTCCTCCAGCAAACAAAAATTTCCCTGAGCGATAATCAGCTCGAAAAAAACATATCCTCCATGGCTATCCCGCAACAATGAAACCGTCACCCCTATATGTATCCACCATAAAGAAATGAAATAGCTAATGAGCCCAAAATCGTGAAAGAAATCCTGAAACTGCCTTGCTACCCGATCACTTCAGCAGACAAATACCGCCAGCACCCAACGCAGTTCTAAGCTCCTTGCACTTGTCTTGGTCATGATTATGCCGCTTCCCACGGACCTTGACCCTGACCGTGACCGTTACCGATTCCTCAGCATCACCTTCCTCGCACACCACCTGGAGATTCAAAGTCGGTGTAACTGATGAACCCCCCTTCGCCTGCAATTGACCGAGCAGTGCTTGAAGCTGTTGGATCAGATCCGCCGCGGAGGCGGTATCCGGCACGAGCTCGTCTCCACCACCGCAGTCGCACCGGACGAAGCCGTGACCGCACACCTCAGAGGATTCGGAGTGCGCGGCATGGCCGCGAACCGCTACGTGGCCGGCGCCTGATCCTGAACCGGAACCGCCACTACCCCCACAAGTTCCGCTGCCTGAGCTGTGGCTACTTCCAGAAGAACCAGAACCGCCACTACCACCGCATGTGCCGCTGCCCGAGCCGTGACTGCTACCGGAGGTGTCGCCCCCAGTAGGAGAGAATAGACGCTTTGCTAGGGTCGGAGTCATATTCTTAGGGATGACGGGCGGCTGCGTAGGTGTCCAAGGCCGTGTTACCCGCTTGAACTCCGGTGACGCGGGAGGTGTCAATAGATTATTGGGGATAGCCAGTTTGCCGGGTTTCCTAGGCGGTGTCGTTGGCTCCGCCATGGGAGGAACAGCAGGTTTGTCCATCAGAGTGGTCACAGGCGGGTCCTTAGGAGTAACCACAGGTGCCACAGGCTTGTCCTCGGGAGTAGTCACCGGCTTGTCCTTAGGAGTGATCGCCGGTGGGTCCTTAGGAGTGTCCACAGGTGCGGGAGGCTTGTCGTCGGGAGTGGTCGCCGACGGGTCCTTAGGAGTAACCACAGGTGCCACAGGCTTGTCCTCGGGAGTAGTCACCGGCTCGTCCTTGGGAGTGATCGCCGGTGGGTCCTTAGGAGTGTCCACAGGTGCGAGAGGCTTGTCATCGGGAGTGGTCGCCGGCGGGTCCTTAGGAGTAACCACAGGTGCCACAGGCTTGTCGTCGGGAGTGGCCACCGGCTTCACTTCGGGAGTGTCCACAGGATCGTCCTTGGGAGTGACAGGCTCGTCCTTCGACGGTGTCGCCGGCGTGTCTACCTTCGGCGCGTCGTCCTTCGGTGGTGGCGTAACCGGCTCATCTTCCTCAGGCGGTGGCGTAGCGGGCTTCTCTTTCTTCGGTACCTCCGGGTCTTCATCCTTCAGCGGCGGTGTGACCGGTTTAATCTCCTTCGGTGCTTGGGTAATCGGTAGATCCACCTTCGGTACCTCCGGTTCGTCTTCCTTCGTCGGCGGCGTGACCGGTTCAGCTGCCTTAGGGGGCGGGACAGCTGGTTCAGTTTTCTTGGGCGGCGGTGTGACCGGCTCATCTTCCTTCGGGACGTCCGGCGCGTCCACTTTCGGGACTTCCGGCGCATCCACTTTCGGTATCTCCGGCGCGTCGTCTTTCGGTGGTAGTGGCATGACTGATGCGTTCACCTTCGGTACCTCAGGCTCCTCATCCTTGATCGCGTTAGCAAACTCACGATATTTTGAGGATAATTCAAGGGCATCTTCTACCTTTGGTGGAGTGATCGGTTCCTCTTCCTTGGGAGGCGGCGTAACCGGCTCCTCTTCCTTATTAGGTGGTGTGATCGGCAAATCCACCTTCGGTACCTCCGGCGCATCCACCTTCGGCACCTCTGGCACATCCACCTTAGGTGGCAGTGCGATCGGGTCTACCGCCTTGGGAGGTAGTGCGACCGGCTCATCGTCATTTGGCGGGAGTTTTGCCGGCTCGTCGTCCTTCGGCGGTGTCATGACGGGCATATCCACCTTCGGTACCTCTGACACATCATCTCCAGGGGGCGGTGCGATCACCTCAGGCACATCGACCTTCGGTACCTCCGGCGTATCCTCCTTAGGCGGCGGTGCGGCTGGTTCATCTTCCTTGGGCGGCGGTGTGGCCGGCGTATCTACCTTTGGCGCGTCGACCTTCGGTGATGGCACAATCGGCTCCTGTTCCTTCGCCGGCGGTGTGACTGGTTCATCGTTCTTGGGAGGCGGGGTGACCGGCTCGCTCTCCTTCGGTGCTTCCAGCGCATCCACCTTCGGCACCTCGGGCTTGTCCTCCTTTGGTGGTGGCGCGACCAGCTCCTCTTCCTTAGGTGGCGTAATCAGCTCATCAACCTCCGGCTCGTCGGCCGTCGGTGGTGGTGGCGTGACTGGTGTGTCCACCTGCGGCGGCTTAGGCTCCTCATCCTTCTCCGAGTCAGCGAACGCAAGATATCTTGAGGATATAACCAGGGAATATTTTACCTTTGGTGGAGTGATTGGCTTGGCTTCCTTAGGTGGCGGTGTCACTGACGCGTCCTCCTTCGGTGGTGGCACAACCGGCGCATCATCCTTAGGTGGCGGTGTTGCCGGCATGTCTTCCTTCGGTACTTCCAGCTCATCCACCTCCGGTACCTTCGGCGCGTCGACCTTTGGCGGTGGTGTGACCGGCTCCTCTTCCTTAGAAGGCGGCGTAACACGCTCATCCTCCTTAGGCGGCGGGGTGATCGGCTCGTCTTCCTTCGGTGGTGGCGTGACCGGCTCGATCTCTTTAGGTGGCGGCACGACGGGCTCAACCACCTTGGGCGGCCTGATCGGCTCGGCTTCTTTAGGTGGCGGGACGATTGGCTCATCTTCTTTAGACAGGGGTGTCAATGGCTCAACATCCTTAAGCGGCGTCAGTGGTTCGACGTCGTTAGGTGGTAGCACGACGGGCTCAACCCCTTCAGGCGGCGTGACCGGCTCTTCCTCCTTCTGTGGCGGCACCACTGTCTCCTCCTCCTTCGGTGGTGGCGTAACAGGCTCATCCTCCTTAGGCGGCGGGGTGATCGGCTCGTCTTCCTTCGGTGGTGGCGTGACCGGCTCGACCTCTTTAAGTGGCGGCAAGACGGGCTCAACCACCTTGGGCGGCGTGATCGACTCGGCTTCTTTAGATGGCGGGGCGATTGGTTCATCTTCTTTAGACAGGGGTGTCAATGGCTCAACATCCTTAGGTGGTAGCTCGACGGGCTCAACTCCTTCAGGCGGCGTGACCGGCTCTTCCTCCTTCGGTGGCGGCACCACTGTCTCCTCCTCCTTCGGTGGTGGCGGGACAGGCTCGGCGTCCTTAGGCGGCACGACGGGCTCATCCTCCTTAGGTGGCGGCGTCAACGGCTCGACTTCTTTCGGTGGTGGCGTCACCGGCTCCTCTTCCTTCGGCGGCCGCACCACTGGCTCATCCTCCTTAGGCGGCGCGGCTGTCTCATCTGCATTAGGCGGCTGGACGTCTTTAGGCGGCATCACCGGCTCGTCTTCCTTAGGCGGCGGCATGATCGGCTCATCTTCCTTAGGTGATGGTGTGACCGGTGCATCAACCACTGGCTGAACATCCTTCGGGGGTGGCGTGACAGGCTCATCATCCTTTGGTGGCGGAGCGACCGGGTCCTCTACCTCGGGCTCAACCTCCACAGGCGGCGGCGTGACTAGCGTATCAACAACCGGCTCGTCCTCCTTAGGCGGCGGTGTTGCCGGCGTATCCACAACCGGTTCAGCCTCCTCAGGTGGCGGTGTGACTGGATCCTCTTGCCTTGGTGGTGGTGGGACGGCATCCGCTTCCTTGGGTTGCGGGATGACTGGCTCCAATTCCTTAGGCGGCGGCGTGACTGGTTCGTCTTCCTTAGGAGGAGCAACCGGCGCATCATCCTTCGGTGGTAGTGCAACAAGATCTGCTTCTTTAGGTGGCGGCACGACGGGCTCATCCACCTTGGGTACCTCTGGCGCATCCTCTTTATGCGGCGGCGTCACTGGCTCCTCTTCCTTCGGTGGTGGCACGGCGGGCTCAACCTCCTTAGCCGGCGTAACCAGCTCATCGACCTTCGATATCTCCGGCTCGTCGTCCTTTGGTGGTGGCGTGACTGGCTCGTCCACCTCCGGGTCCTTAGGCTCGGCGAGCGGCGGCAGGATAGGAGGCTTCTCATCCTAAGCCGGGTCAGCAAACGCACGATATCTTGAGGATAGCACAGGGGCATCTTTTACCTTTGGTGGACTGGTTGGCTCAACGTGCTTAGGCGCCGGTGGCACCGGCACATCCAATTTGGGCACATCCGGAACATCTACCCTCAGTACCTCCGGCACATCTACCTCCGGTAACTCCCGCACATCGTCCTTGAGTGGTGGTAGGACGGTATCAGCTTCCTTGGGTGGTGGAACGACCGGCTCCGCTTCCTTAGGTGGTGGTGGAACTGGATCCGCTTCTTTAGGTGGCGGCACGACGTGCTCCTCCTCCTTCGGTGGTGGCATGACCGGCTCCTCTTCCTTCGGCGGCGGCACCTCCGGCTCATCCTGCTTAGGCGGCGGCGTGATCGGCTTGACTTCCTTAGGAGGCGGCACGACAGGCGCATCTAGCGGCGGCTCATCATCCTTCGGTCGTGGCGTCACCGGCTCCTCTTCCTTCGGCGGCCGCACCTCCGGCTCATCCTGCTTAGGTGGCGGCGTGATCGGCTCGACTTCCTTAGGAGGCGGCACGACAGGCGCATCTAGCGGCGGCTCATCATCCTTCGGTGGCGGCGTCACCGGCTCCTCTTCCTTCGGCGGCCGCACCACTGGCTCATCCTCCTTCGGCGGCGGCACCTCCGGCTCATCCTGCTTAGGCGGCGGCGTGATTGGCTCGACTTCTTTCGACGGTGGCACGACGGGCTCAACCTCCTTAGGCGGCGTGATCGGCTTGACATCTTTCGGTGGCGGCACAACGGGCTCATCTTCCTTCGGTGGTAGCGTCACCGGTTCCTCTTCCTTCTGTGGCGGCACTACGGGCTCAACCTCCTGAGGCGGCGTGATCGGCTCGACATCTTTCGGTGGCGGCACAACGGGCTCATCTTCCTTCGGTGGTGGCGTCGCCGGTTCCTCTTCCTTCGGTGGCGGCACCTCTGGCTCATCTTGCTTAGACGGCGGCGTGATCGGCTCGACTTCTTTCGGCGGTGGCACGACGGGCTCATCTTCCTTCGGTGGCGGTACGGCGGGCTCAACCTCCTTAGACGGCGCAATCGGCTCATCTTCTTTCGGTGGTGGCGTAACAGGCTCCTCTGCCTCAGGCGGCGGCGTGACCGGCTCATCTTCTTTAAGTGGCGGTAACACGGGCTCATCCTGCTTAGGCGGCGGTGTTAACGGCTCGACTTCCTTCGGCGGCGGCACGACGGGCGCAACCTCCTTAGGCGGCGTGATCGGTTCGACTTCCTTAGGAGGCGGCACGACAGGCGCATCTAGCGGCGGCTCATCATCCTTCGGTGGTGGCGTCGCCGGCTCCTCTTCCTTCGGTGGCGGCACCTTTGGCTCATCCTCCTTCGGTGGCGGCGTGACCGGCTCCTCTTCTTTCGGTGGTGGCACGACCGGCTCTTCTTCCTTCGGTGGCGGCAAGACGGGCTCAACCTCCTTCGGCGGCGTCACCGGCTCGACCTCTTTGGGTGGCTGCACCACTGGCTCTTCCTCCTTCGGCGGCGGCACGACGGGCTCAACCTCCTTCGGCGGCACAATTGGCTCGGCCTGTTTAGGTGGCGGCAGGACGGGCTCAACCTCGTTGGGAGGTGGCGTGACTAGATCCGCTTGCTTAGGTGGCGGCACAACGGGGGCATCCTCCTTTGGAGCTGGCGTGACTGGATCCGCTTCTTTAGGAGGCGTCACAGGCTCAACCTCCTTAGGCGTCACGATGGGCTGAACCTCCTTAGGCGGCGCGATCGGCTCCTCTTCCTTCGGCGGCCGCACCACTGGCTCATCCTCCTTAGGCGGCGGCGTGATTGGCTCGACTTCTTTCGACGGTGGCACGACGGGCTCAACCTCCTTAGGCGGCGCGATAGGCTCTTCCTGCTTCGGTGGTGGGGTAACTGTATCGGCTTCTTTCGGTGGCGGCACAACGGGCTCATCTTCCTTCGGTGGTGGCGTCACCGGTTCCTCTTCCTTCGGTGGCGTCACGACGGGCTCATCCTCCTTAGGCAGTGTGACCGGCGCTTCCTCTTTTGGCGGCGGCACGATCGACTCATCTTCCTTCGGTGGTGGCGTGACCGGCTCTTCCACCTTCGGAACCTCCGGCTCCACCTCCTTCGGCGTCACGATCGGCGCATCTTCTTTCGGTGGTGGGGTGACTGGGTCCGCTTGTTTAGGTGGCGGCACGACGGGCTCATCTTCCTTAGGCGGCGCGATAGGCTCTTCCTCCTTCGGTGGTGGGGTGACTGGATCGGCTTCTTTTGTTGGCGGCACGACGGGCTCATCGTCCTCAGGCGGCGGTGTCACCAGCTCGACGTCTTTCGGTGGCGGCACCACTGGCTCATCCTTCGGTAGTGGCGTGACCGGCTCGACTTCCTTCGGTGGCGGCAGGACGGGCTCAATCTCCTTGAGCGGCGCGATCGGCTCTGCCTCCTTCGGTGGCAGCGTAACTAGATCCGCTTCTTTAGGCGGCGGCACGACAGGCTCAACCTCCTTAGGCGGCACGATCGGCTCTTCGTCCTTCGGGGGCGGTAGGACGGGCTCAACCTCTTTAAGCGGCGGCGTCAATGGCTCGACCTCTTTCGGTGGCGGCACGACGGGCTCTTCTTCCTTCGGTGGTGGGATCACCGGCTCAACTTCCTTGGGTGGCAGTACGACGGGCTCAACGTCCTTAGGCGGCGTCACCGGCTCCTCATCCTCCGATGGTGGCGTAACAGGCTCCGCTACGTCCTGCGACGGCACTACGGGTTCTGCCTCCATGGGCGGCGGCGCGACTGGCTCCTCAGGCGCTTTCGGTAATGCCGGAGTATCTTTCGGCACTTCCGGCACTTCCGGCACCTCCGGCACTTCCGGCTTGGGTGTCTCCACAGGGGCCTTCACTGGCTCTTCAGGAGCTTTAGGTGGTGCCGGAGTATCCCTAGGAGTCTCTCCCGGTGGGGATGAAGGAACTTCAGGTGTGTCCGCAAGGGGCTTCACTGGCTCCTCCGGCACCGTGGGTGGATTGACAGGCTCCTCAGGAGTTTTCGGTGGTGCTGGTGTATCTTTCGGTACCTCTGGCTCGGCTGGTTTTGGCGTCTCCACAGGCGACTTCACTGGCTCTTCAGGAGCCTTAGGTTCTGGCAGAGTATCCTTAGGTGTGTCTACCGGTGGCACTGGGAGAACGTCAGGGCTTTCCGCGGGTGGTTTCACCAGCTCCGTCGGCGGCTTCGGAGTCTCCACCAATGGCGGCGGCGTTTCCCCGATCGGCAGCGACTCCCTCGGCGTTTCCGGCGGGGGCATCGGAAGTTTCTTCTCCTCCAGTACCGGCGGGGGCGGGGGCGGGGGCAGCAATTCGACTTTGACATTATCAAAGTCCTTATTAAACAGCTCCTTGATGATATCCTGGACCTTATTTTTCTGTTTCTCAAAGTCTGCAGCTGCATCACCATCGACGGCGGCTACGAGCTGCAGCTTGACAACCATGATCATCGGCCCCAGAGACGTGATCGATACCGCATTGTTGATGTCTGGAAGCTCCTTGTCCGCGCCCGAGCAGCACTTGGATGACTTGCAGCTGGTGCACCCCGACGCCTTGCGCGGTGGGCAGCACCCCTTGCCGTGACAGTAGTGCCAGGTTGGCTCACCGAGTTCTATGGGCGAGTGGGAGTGGCTGTCCTCGTGGGAGTGGTTGTCTGACTGGGAGTGACCCTCCGAGTGGGAGTGGCCCTTCGAGTGGGAGTAGCTCTCCTCATGGGAGTGGGAGTGGGAATGTGATTGTGAATGAAAGTGGGATTCCGAGTGGGAATGGGATTCTGAATGGGATTGTGCATGGGAACGTGATTGGGAGAGGCAATGGGATTCCGACTGGGACTGCTCGTGGTTGTGTTCTGGAGAGATGTCAGCACCACCGCCCAACTATGTCTGGGGATTGTATTGACCGACCTGTACTGTACTCCGCCTCCCTCGTCTGCATCACCGGTACCGGCAACCTCACCAGCTCTAGCTCCTCTTCCTTCTCCATCTCCGGCACCTCCCTGGGCACCTCCACGCTCTCCACGCTCTCCACCTGCTCATCGCTACTATACTCTACCGGCTCAATCTCATCCCCGGTCGAGGGCGCATCACCATCGGAGTCGTCCGAGTCGTCATCCGCACTCTCTTCAGACTCCTCACACCTGTCGGCGTCGATAGTGTGCTTCACCCATCGCCGCAGATTGTCGATCGAGAGGTAATACGCCCGGTCGGGGTGTATGTCCAGGTCGTCGAAAGCGTCGCCGAACATCTCCTTAACGGTGAGCTTGATCGCCTGCAGCGGGCGGTCGTAGTTTTCTTCCATATCCATGGCCTTTTCACGCACTCATCAGCCGCCGCCTCTCCACACCAGTGTCTCCACGCCAGTTTCTCCACGCAGGTAACATACCAACTCCTGCACCAGTTTCCCGCCGATGACGACTGGTCCATCGTCATCCTCCTCCTCGCCCAGCTGGGGCTCATACGCCTCCAGCGTGCACGCCACGACGTCCTCGCTCAGCTCCGTGAACACGAGCAGGATGACCTTCCGCACCGTGCGCGCGCTGCACGACATCCACGCGTGCATCTCTGACAGCAGCTGGTCGCGCTGCGCGATCCACGCCGAGAGGACAACTACCGTTGGGTACTCGCTCTCCGAGGGCCGGAGGCCCACGTCGTGTTCCGGGCGTGGAACGCCGGGGAGGGAGAGTGTTTTGTAGACTATGGGGGAACGGGGGTTAGTGAGCCAGGCTGCGAGGAGAGGAGGGGAGACTTTGACAGTACCGTTCCCACTCCAGTGCCGTAGCTCGTCGGCATCCTGCGGCGATAGCACCTCGAGCTTGACGAAGTTTGCCTTCTCGTCGAAGAACCACCTGTGCGGCGCCATTTTTGCAACCGTCGACGCCATAGCCATGGTTTCAGACATTGGGAGGAATTTTCGGGGGTTGAAGGTGCGTTCTGAGGGTTTCCTGGCCCAACCGTGCGAGTGCGAGTGCGTACGTTACTGCAGCTATACCGAACAGAACATCGGCGGTATTTATCGATTGAGGACGAAATGCCTCCTCGCCGCGAACACTCGGTCTCGAGGTGGTGGTGGAGGCGGTTTCGCGGCCGCAGTCATTCTACGGGCACTACGAGCACTATTCCGAGGCTAGTCATGCCAGGCTAGGCTAGAGGTCCAAGCAAGCAAGCAAGCAGCGATCATCACCATGTCGTGCCTCTGCGCCTCTCTCTATGCCTCTTTACGAGCGTTCGAGACAAAAACACATTCACGAAGTTCCGCCTGACGAAACCGATCCGCTGTGCCTCAAGGAATCACGCCAATCATCACCGCCGCTTCAAAAAAGAGGCGTAATTTCTTCCCCGAGAGCCTCATTTCCAATATCGATGCAAATGCAAGGCTGCTGTTTCTGCGGCGCACTGAGCTCCTAGCTGGACAGTGGAAGCAATTTGTTAGTCAGCGTGACGACGACGACGATGCGATACGATAGGAACGACAGAAATTGGAGGAACAATCACCACCCTGCTCGGCGCTGCATCAATCTACCTTCTGGGATCAATCGAGACCGACCCATTCAATTCGCGCCGCCTCGAGCAATCCCAGCAACCAGCATGTCTGTCTATCGAAGAAGCATATAGCGCTGGCCTATCCATGCACCCCGGACATCGCTTTAGTTACTGTACTTTAGTTACGTGTCAGCACAGGAGTCGAGAGAGGCCGCTCTTTTGAGCCGCAGTGCGGGGTAAGGTAGGTTACTCCAGCGATAAGCTGAAGTCACAGTGCAGGCAGCGTCGTCATCGTATCGTGGTTATCCGGCACCTGAAACCTGGACTGTCGGAGTTCTCGACTACTTGCCGCAGGCGAGGACGGAGAATGAGAGTACCGACTCCTGCTCCTGCTCCTGCAGCAGCTCCAGTATTTGATTCGCAACGTGGGGCGGCGTGGAATGTCTGTCTGCCTGTAGGATACTGGCGGGGGATGGGGAGGTGTTGGTGGGGGCCGCGTCTGGGGTGATGGATGTCGATCCGAGCAGAAAACCAACCCTAACCGCAGGTGCGCCGCGGCTTTGGAGTGGCCAGCTTGCCGAAATTCGTGCATCGCCAGACAGACGTCGACGACGACAAGGCGACGACGATGATACGACAAGGACACGCCTAGAGTACGCTCACGTTCGTCCCAACCCAACGCTGCTGATGCACTGCTGCACAGTGACGGCATATCAGCTCCGTTCGTATCGGTCGGTATCGGAGATCGAAATAATGTCCGGCGCTTTCGATCCGGCGTGTGCACCCTCACTCTGCGGACTCTGCGGACTCTGCACACTCTGCACACTCTGCACACTCTGACTACACTGCGCACACTGTAACTACGAGAATGGGCAGAAAGATGTGCTTATCGAGCGCGATAGTCCCCCCACACGGGAAGGACAAAGTTCGCTCCCCCACCCCCCGCCCATACGCGTCAAGAAGTTCTTTCTGCACCCTACCTTGGCCATAGTAGCAGCCGGCAGCCAGCAGCCAGCTTGTCGGGGCGGGCGGGGCGATATCCTCCTAACTGGGCCTGCGCTTCTGGGCTGCATCGATCTTGCGAGGAGCAGAAAAAATCTTCGTGGGCGGCAGGCCGCGAGCGCGAGGAAATATATCTATGTAGTTTGGCCAATCTTCCCACCTGCTTGATCCCCCCAGTGTTCACTGTGCTCGTCGTCGTCGTCGTCCTTCGAGGTCAGCTAGTAGCAGCACCAAGCAGCAAGCAGAGGCAAGCAGAGGCATGAGCAGCTGAGGGACATCGCCACATCCATCCACACACACACACGTCCAATCCCAACCCAACCCATCAAATCCTCCGCACCACTCGCTCTTCCACACCATACCATACCAGTTCCCACACACCTACCATCTTCTAGTACCATCCCCAACCCCATCCCCAACCCCATCCCCAACCCCATCCCCAACCTCATCCCAGGAGCGCAGCCATGCCCGGCGCCGTCGAGATTCTACCGCCATCGCCGGCTCTGCGGGCATCCAAACTCCCCGATGCGCGCATCCGCGACCACGCGATCCGGGTCGCGCCACTGCTCGACAACTTCCACGTGACATGGCTGGAAAAAGAGAAGGACCGCTGGGTCCAGGAGGGCTGGATCACGAAGGCGCACAAGGACGCGCTGGTCACCGGCGTGGGGTTTAGTACGTACTCTACCATCCTACCCACCGTGTTTCGCGTTCCCTCGGTGGATGTTTGCTGACGGTGGTGGTGCGGGAAAAAGTCTCCTCCGTGAAAGGCATGGGCAGCAATCGCGGCAGCAAGCGGGATATCCAAGACGTGTACCTGATGCCGCCGGGGGCGACCAAGCCGTCGCTCGTCGTTGAGGGCGGCGCCGCGCACGACGAGAAGGAAATGGTCAAGGACATGAAGAACTGGCTGAAGAAGGGCCAGAACCAGGTCAAGAAGGTTATCTTGATTATCTGGATCATGCTGCCTGGCGGCATCATGGGTGGCCGCATCGAGGTCTATGAAATGGACGAGAAGAAGAAAAATACGGTGCTGGTGGATGAGTGGGTATGTTGATGCCGTGCCGGAGGTGGCGAGCGCTGGATGGACCGTGTTAATGGCCGGGTGTCTGCAGATCTACGTACCGGAGGACCCAGATTCGGAGTCGCAGTCGGTGCGGTTGACGTTGGGGGAGCTGTACAGCACGAAAGCGGACCGGCTGCCCCCGCACGAGCGCGAGATCATCATCGACATGCAGATCGAGAAGTTGTGCGATGACGCGGTCGAGGCGATCGGGTCGTCGAACCTGCAGTGCGCCGACCCGGACGTGGGGCTGTGGCACTTCCAGAACCCGCAGCGGCTGCTCGCGAGCGAGAAAGATGGCCCTGGGGGCGGCAGCGGCAGAAGCATCAACTCACATAATACCAATGGCAGCTACAATACAACCATCGACAACTCCAACCGTGCCGTGCAGAACTTTCATTTCTACCACTTTGTAAGCCTGCCCGCGAGCCGTGCTCTGTGTAGCCGAGCGAGCTGACTGACCTGACCTTCGCAGCCTACTTCCCCAACAGACTTCCTCACATACATGCACAACATGATGCAGAAGCTCCCGGCGTTCACCGCCGACTACCCAACCATGGAGGCGAAAGCGCGGAAATTCGCGAGCAACATCAACCCCGCGCTGCGCGACCTGCACCTCGCGCAGCCGGACACCTTCAACCTGACCAAAGTCGCGCTGTACGACGTGATCATCCTCTGCGGTCCGTGTCCTCCCCCCGCCCCCCCCCCCCCCCGTCCCGCCCCACTGACCAAGCGCAGACGACAGCGGCTCCATGAACCTCGGCAACCGCAACGCGCTGCTGGCAGAGACGATCGACCGGATCCTGCCGGTGGCGACTCGGCTGAACGAGGCCGGCGTCTCCCTGCGCTTCATCAACTACAATCAGGACCGCGAGTTCAACGACTTGACGTCGCAGCCGCAGGTGGCGAAGACGCTGCGTATGGTGTCGCCCGCGGGGACGACGCGGATCGGGACTGTGCTACGGCATAAAATCGTTAAGCCCATACTCGCGAAGGCGAGGGCGAATACGCTGGTTTCGCCCGTGTTGGTGGTTATTGTTACGGATGGAGAGGTGAGCTGAGTTGAAGAGCGGTGGGGGTAGATAGGGGGCAGCAGCTAACGCCCCGCGTGACAGCCGTCGAGAGAACCACTCGACACCCTCAAAAACACTATCATCTCGTGCAAACACGACCTCGACGAGATTACGAACGCGTCGGGCAGCGCGTACGGTCGCTCTTGTGCGTTTCTCCCCCCTCCCTTCCCTTCTTTCCCCACCTTTTACTGATTAGAAGGATAGCGGTGGTATTCCAACTATCGCACGTAGGCGACAACGCGGACGCGGAGCAGTTCGTGCACAGCCTGTCCGTAGACCCAGAGCTCGAGGGCATGGTCTACTGTAACCTCAAAAAGCTCGATGAGCAGCTCGCTAGTGGGTCGTCGGCGACGAAGAATCGTTCGGTATGTTGCACACTTACCTGGGAGGCGGTGAGGGAGGGGTGGGGGTGTAAGGGGGTTTATTGGAGATGTTGCAGGGGCTAATGAATGGGTGGGATGAACAGTTGCTGGAATTGTTGTCGGTTGCGATTAATAGGTCGTGATCAGTGCGTGATGAGTGGATGCCGGAGGGGGAGGTTTGTCTGATTGGAGAGTGTATTATGCGTGATTAATGATCGACGACGACGATTGATGTTGATGATGATTTATGATGATTTATGACGGTTTTGGGGAGGTTTATTGGCGTTGATTTTTTATTTCTTGGGAGGAGGGGGAATGGGGTTGACTGCGAGGCTACGGGGCTACGAGGCTGCGAAGGGTGGTGACCTGCGAATGGGGCAGGTGCTCCCATGAGACGATCACCGCGGGATTGGACTTGGATCACGACAGCGTGCCGAGTGGCCGAGGAATATGAAGTCAGGCCGCACATGCGGGGAACGAGCCATTGGCCGGGCGCCATGGCGGGGATTCGGGAATGGATATGGCAGCCTCGGTGGGGAATGGATTATGGGCGTGGGTTGCGTGCTCGAGGCGTTTGGGTGGTGTTTACTGTTTTCTTGCTTTTCAGATGTACATACAATATTTATGAACGGCTATCATTTCCGTGGACGTGCTGTTCTCCCGGGAAATGGGAGTCTATCTCCATCTCCATCTCCATCTCCATCTCCATCTCCATCTCCATCTCCATCTCTGGCCGTGCAAACAGCCAGCGCGGTTGGGTTGTCGAGTCGAAGAACAGGATGCCTGCCGATCTCTTGCTGTTTACATCCTATAGGTGTTCAGCCAGTGGCCGTAGTACCTGCCGCACAACGCAACCAACAGTTCAACTCCAATCGGGCAGATGCCAGATGGATCATTTGTCTGGAACCTGCAGGATTTGGGGGGTGCGGCTGAATGCGTGTTGTGGATGCACGAGAGCTGGTGGTGCGGATGCCGAATTTCGTCTGGTATTGAGGATGCTCTGGTACCGCGCGCGGCAGTTGGGAGAGGTGGTGCCGCGGATCGAAGCTGGAGAGCTGGTGTTGCAAACCGTGTAGGTGTTTGGTAGTTGCTGGTACCGTGGTGTTGGTAGGTACTGGGCTGGTGTCTTCGGTGTTCACTGAGGTATGGCGAAGAGAGAAAAGTGGGGCGACAATGTGTCTACTAGGTGTTAACGTTCTGGTGAAGCCTATTACTCAGACGTATGGCTGAGTATACCGAAAACTGCCAAACTGAAATTCGGTGTCCCGGCCCGGTGGGGAACTGAATTTGGCTCGAAAACTGGAACTGAAAAGAGTGCCTATCCAACCGGGTCCGAAATGGCTCTTCGAAGTTGAAAGGGTATCATACAACCTCCGCTTCTTCATCATCTTTCACTTTTGCCGTCTTCCTTCCAGAACTACGCAAGAATGTGACTGCCACTCACCGGCTCGTCGATCAGTTCCCCCACGTTCCGGCTTCGGGGCCAGTCGTTGTATGTACCGGCTTGGAGGGAATCAAGATGCTCATCCGGTGTCCGAACTGGGAAAACAAACCCGCACACGTTTCGGCAATGTGAGCAGTCACCGGCGTGCGGACTAAATCCGAGGGCTCGCGACCGAGGGCACGCGACTGAGGGCGGCGCCACACCCACGGCGCGAGGGGTTGCCGACTCGTCACTCGTCGACCACCGGTCCACACCCCGACCCAAACGCGGAATCACGTTCGCTCGACGACCGATCCCTGGCTGACTAGCGCCAGCGCACCCCGGTTAATCCGCCGACACGCTGATCTACTTACTAGTACCAAAGCGAACCCCGGACCGCCTAGCCAGATGCCTAGAGCCGGAGACGACGGAAATATCCTAGAAGCACATCCTGCGCCCTGGTAATGCAGGTTGCGATCGAACAGGGATAGCGAGGTACGTACTCTACATGGATTAGAGGTTTCGCGGCGGGGTGAACTTTGAACTTTGAACTTTGAAGACGGCAGTCGCGGGGTCACTGGTCAGGCCATGCCAGGGTGGACTGTGGACAATGCAGCTTCTTCGCGTCGACGGTGGCGAGGAGCCTCCTACATCACCAACCCCGCCTACCTACTCTAATTAAGTATCCCCACGCCAATGAGTCCCCCGAATATACCTAGAAAACATGTAGCCTAGACCTGTGCGGGTAGCCATCTTCGACTCTGGGGTCTGGAGAGTCGAGACTGGAGTACTCGTACATTGCGTGGAAGTTTAGATATCAACCGGCTCGGCTTTGCACTTCTCGCAACGGCGATAGCAGATGTACTGACCGTACGCAATATCTTCAGCCTTCATTGGAGCCGAGAAGCCGAAGAGGCAGCGCTATGCGTGTACCCATTAGGGCCCGTTTGGATGGCCTCAGTTTTAGCGAAAACTGTCAGTTTTTCGAGAAACCGAGGAAACAAAACTGAGACCCCGTTTGAATGGCACAAAAACTTCAAAAAACCGAAACTGTGCGGCTCCAGCGACGGAACTGGTACTAACCTCGAGAGGTCATTTCTCTGCCGCCACTCAGTATCGCATTTTAACTTCAACCATGGACTCCCTTTACAGGGAAAGCGGGGCCACAATGTGTCCACTATTAAAGTTCTGGTAAAGCCTATTATTCAGACTTATGGCTGAGTAATCTGAGAACTGCCAAACACGCTATTAATCTCACAGTTCTCCAGAAACTGAAACTGGACAGAATTCGGTGTCCAGTCCGGGAACTGAATTTCGCTCTAATACTGGAACTGAAAACTGAGGCCATTCAAACGGCCCCTTAGTAGGTGTTCTGACGTCGTTGGACTCGTGGAGATTTTGTTTTTTCGAAGTATGATACGAGTATTCAGCCTAAATGGTAGAGACACTGTGACGACGTAATTCTCGCCAATCCCCCCGATAACGTACCGTAGTCTGTACCTATCACTGGCTCGGTGTATCATGTGCATAATCCCTTATCAACACGGCGGTCTTCATTGAAATTTGACTTTTGAACTATGTACTCGATACCAGACAATTGCAGGTTGCCTCGGATATGGAGTGGTTGCTGGCTCGAGCTTTCGGACATGCACCCTGCGTCGCACGTACCCTGACATTAATTCAGCAGTGCCAGCCTTGGAGCTATGGCAGTATGACTCCCCGTCGGATGTATTCACCACGTCCCAGTTACTAAATTACTTGCATTGTGCTTCTATAAGCGTCATGTATTGCACAGATGTAGATCTTGCGAGGCTTGCGTTCGTAGAGTTAGAGTAGCTGAGCGCGGTGATGCCTAACTATCGCCGACAATGCCGACAATTCCTAGTCGAACAATGTTTCGCAAGTGCGTGATTCCTCTGCGCTGCTACTGTGCCGATACGGTGGGAATACGCTGTCTAGATACTGGTACAGTGGCTGCGTGGCGTGTCCTGTCACTGGTTCGTTTAGAGCACAGATGTGCTTTTAGAAGTCGGAAGTCCTACGGTCCTCCGGTCCTACTGAGTGTATGTACGGTAGTTTGCCAGCATATTGCTCGGAGTCCACTGCGGAGGTAGGGAAGTGGGGCAGCTGAGCTTCACGACACACTGACACGTTATGGTGATGTGTGTACCGGTTACCACGGATGGACTAGCTGCAGATGTTTCCTAATCATTCTGCCTTGTCGCCAGCCAACCCACCAGACTCTACTTTCTCTATGTAGCAGTGCGCTTCTAGAAGCCGTAATGCTTCCAGCTATTTACATACTAGCGCCCATTAGCCTCCACCGTCCGCCGAGCATGCGTGCAGGGATAGTCAACCATTCCAAGCCATGACCACGCTACCAAGCTACCCATCAGCTACCCCGCAGTTCAAACAACCAACGACGTGGACGTCGTTTGCACCACCCGTTCGCGACACTCACCTCGCTCTACTCCGGACGAAATGCAAACGAACGCGACAAGTCACGGATCAGACGGTATCTACAGTCGACTACTGACCGGCGGAGGAGGGGGTGAGGGGAGGAGTGAGGGGCTGGGCAATGCGGGGAGAGGAATGAGGGACGAACAGGTACGGGGACGAGGTTGAGGGGAATAGGGATGGACTCTGGTGAGGGGATGAAGGGCTATAAGTCCGCCGATCATCCCCAAGGGAGAACGGATCCTCAGCCAGCAACTCGCAGTTCACAGTTCTCAGCCCTCAGTCCCCAACACTCTCCAGCCTAAACATCCTCCGCCGCCCAAACACCTCTCCAAACAACCGTACACACTCCCACCCATCCATCTCCCCGCCGGTTTCCGTCCCACTGACAATCCCCAGACCCCAAGCAAAAATGCCTTACACCACCGCGACCGTGCCCACCGGCAGCAACGTGAAGCAGCAAGCCGCGGGCCGCGACAACACCGAGACGGCCGACTCCAACAACACGGCCGCCAACCGCAGCAACAACACGCACACCTGGGGTAGCAACAACACCACCAACTCCAACAACACCACCGACTCCCACAATGTCCACAACGACCACAGCACACATGACAACCACACCAAGAACACGCAGCTGCATAACACTGGCGCTGGCCACCAGACCTTCGGAGACGTTTCTTTCTAGTTGTCTGTGGGGGTGGAGTTTGCGAGCAATGGTCATGTAGCGGAGTTGAGAAGACGCGAAAGACTTGAGACTGAAGCTTGTGCCGTTCGTGCCGAGTGATCGTGACCGTGACTTAATGAAACTTCCCCAGAAGACTGCGTTTCTTTTCCAGTGATAGTGACCTTGACACCATGAAGGCTCCCCAACCGACCGCTTTTCCACTCCATCTGTTTTACTTTGCCTACTGGCATCGATCGTAGCAGAATCCGACATTTCGAAATCCGAAGCCCAGTAATTGTACCCTACCAGCCCCACCAGACCCTGCCTGTATACCTACATTCGTCCCCAACACCTTAGGGCTCGGATGCCTGCGGCACACATGGTCTAGCGAGATTGTCGAACGGGCATTTCTGAGTACATACCGTAGCAAAGAGGTTTCCAGCAGGCATCCGAGCGAGGTGCAAAAGCCGCGGGCGGGCGTGGCAGGGACTCTACATACTCTATATCTGCAGCCTGCAGGGAGCCGGAGCCATCGGAAACATCCTAGAAGCACATCCCCGGGGACCCTGGAAGATTGGCAATGCAGGTTGAGATCGAACAGGGATAGCGAGGTTAGAGTAGGACGTATATAGGACGATTGTTATGCAGGGCTGTCAACCGTCCGTCCGGACTACAGTCCATTAGTGGAACGTAGTCCCGTCCCGTCTCGGACAGGCTTTCCAGAGGACTGATCCATTCCGTCCGGAGGATGAAATGCCCGGATACCCGCCAGGTACCTATAGGTACCTAATAGCACTACCGTGCTATGCTGACTACTATTTTGCAGAGCAGTAGTACATAGCGCGGTGGCTACCATTAGAGTTTTCAGAGTCGTCAAACAGGTTCAGGGGATAGACACGTGCTGGAAGTAGGAACGGGGGTGGTGTAAAGGTTCAATACCGTGAAAGACACTGTGAAATACAGCTGCACAGCAACACATCCGCACACCGGTGCCGCTGTGTGGCGCCACGCCGCTTGCATTGTCCCAGTGTTCCAGTCAATTCCGGGCCCTGTAAGGTATCCGTCCTCATTTCTCCAGCCCGGAAGACTAAAGTCCTTGGTCTCCTCAGCCCGACTAATTCCGTCCCGGGCCGGGCAACCTCAAAGATGGACTGGACGGACGCTTGACAGCCCTGTTGTTATGTAAGTATTATGTAACTACAGGCCTCGTGGCGGGGTGGCGACAGCGACGGTGGAGTGAAGTTTGAACTTTGAAGGCAGAAATGGCGGGGTCATGCCATGCTATGCTAGGCTGGACAATTTATGTACAAGATGGTGGTGGTGGTGGTGGTGGTACTACGTACAGGCGAAGAGGCTTCGTCATCACAGTCCCCGCCTCTCCCCACGCCGATGAGTCCCGGGAGTATTTCTAATACCGGCAGTGTAGACCTGCCCGGGCAGCTATCTTAGAGTATTTTCATATATTCCGTGCAAGTTTGGATGTCGACTGTCTTGGGTTTGCACTTCTCCAGAGTCGAGACGGCAATAGCATGGGCAGCAGCTTCAGCCTTCAGTTGAAACTTGAGGCCCTGAGGGGACAGCCGAGCAGCCGAAGAGGCATTGACATGTTCTACTCACGATGTCTTAGTTACTGGATATCTGCATTGTGCGTCTGTAAGCGGTTTGTATGTGGGTCTTGCGAGGCTTGATTTCGTAAAAGTGCAGGAGTGATACAGTACAGAGAGATACGCGGTCTAGGTACTAGTACAGTGGCCGCGTGTCATTTCCTGTCACCGGTTCCTATACAGTACGGATGCGCGTTTACAAGTCGGATGTCCTACGGAGTCTACTGTAGCCATGGCGGATCATATCGCTCGGCGCTCACTGCGGGGTGAGGGGAGTGGAGCAGATGAGCTTCACGACACAAAGCAGCCTGTGATCTTCAGGCTGAACAACCTCAAAGTATCTCCGCGATGTTGAAGTAAATTGTAATCATTTCTGCGGTGGTGATAAATGTCTGAGGTCTCGCGTTGAGACCGACCGACGTGTTGTACAATACATAAACGTAGCAACAGAGGACGTTTCAACGTTGAGGCGACCGAATCGGGCCCGGCCCCCGAATCCCACAGCAGTTAGCAGTGCGCTTCTAGAAGCCGCAATCCTTCCAGCTATATACCATACTAGCTCGCATTGGCCTCCTCCCAACGCCGCGCGTGCATGCAGGGATAGTTAACCCCACCAAGCTACCAAGCTCCCAGCTACCCCGCAGTTCGAACAACCAACGACGTGGACGCCGTTTGCACCTCCCTCCACTCTGGACGAGATGCAAACGAACGGGACAGCTCACGGACTCGGCAGTGCGACAGCCGACTACGGAAGCAGTGGCTGAAGGGAGGAGTGAGGGGATGAACAGATGCGGGGACGAGATTGAGGGGAAACGAAAGAGGATGGAGAGGCGATGAGGGTGAGGGTATAAGTCCGTCGATGATCCCCGAGGAAGAAGAGATCCTCAGCCAGCAACTCGCAGTTCACAGTCCTCAGTCTCCAAGCAACCAACACACTCCGCAGCCAAAACCACCTATTCAAACAACCGTAAGCACCCACACCCCCCTTCCATCTCCTCGCCGGTTGCAGTCCCACTGACATTGCCATTCCCTCCGCAGACCCCAAACCAAACATGCCCCAGACCACCGCCACCGCTCCCGCAGGCAGCAACGTCAAGCAGCAAGCTGCCGGCCGCGACAACACCGACACCGCCAACTCCAACAACTCGGCGCCCAACCAGAGCGGCAACACGCACACGTGGAGCAGCAACAACGTCACCGGCAGCAACAACCGGACCGACTCCAACGACAGACACGACGACTACAGCAAACACGACGACAACACCAAGAACACACAGCTGCACAACACCGGCGAAGGCTCGCAGAAGTTCGGAAACCTCAAGTTCTAGTTGTCCGTGCGGTGAGTGCGAAGGAATGGGTGCAATGCAGTTTCAGAAGAGAGGGGTCATGTAGCGGAGGTGTGCGCACGCGAAAGACTCTGAGACTGAATCTTGTGCCGTTCTTTCCCGGTGATCGTGACCGTGACACAATGAATCTTCCCCAACTAACTGTCTTTCCACTACGTGAGCTGTAAGGCTTTGCCTACACACTGGCATTGATCGTAGCAGTATTGTTATCCAACAGTCCGACATTATTCCGAAGCCCGGTCGTTGTGCCCCACCAGCCCCACCAGACCCTGTCTGCATGCATGATGATGCACTCGTCCCGCCAACACCCTGTGATAGAGACGGTGGATAAGATCATGGCGAGCGATAAGATAAGATAAGGTGGAAGGCTAGCCGGACTAGCCAGATCGGGTGGTTCCGAGCGTTGAAAGCAGCGGAGCAGCCATGTACTGTAAGATGGCCTTTGAAGTTGAACAGAACCTCAACTTCGCCATCATCCTTCGTTTCACCGTTCCCAGTGCGGGAGTACGTCAACACTCTGGACAGCACAGCACCCTACTATACAGCGCTGTGAAGCCCCTCCTAGACCGCCGAACTGACGCACACGGCACTACGTACAGGTCTATCGTACTGGGTGTGAGGGCAAGTGCTGGCTCACCAGTTTTTCCCCCATACAACTTAGTCACAACCACTCACTCATTTAATTGTATCGAGTGCTTATAATTCGTAATGGTGGTGAGGCACCACTTATTGGCAGCTCCTGATACAGAGTTAGAGTACGCACACAGGCGAGTACGTTACTACCATCGTCAGGTGGCAGATGATCGCTGATCAGGTCGAAGCTAACGCAGCAGCATACCTACTCTACATAGGTAGAAGAAACACGCCTACAACACGAGAATCTCGCCTGCACGATACTCCAGGAGTGTTCTGCGGCGATAGTATCCACCACCACCACCATCACCGCGCATTACATAGAGCTCGTACGCACGGGGATCTACGATTACCGACATCGCGCTCTGTACTCTACATAGAGTAACGTTGAAGCAGTACGGTGGTTAGCTCCAGCGCCTCTGCATGGTGACGCTGGGACGCGGGGACGCGGGGACAAGCCACTAAAAAAATAGAGTTTTCAGGGCCGCAGAATCGTTTCTTTTCTTTTTCTTTTTCTTTTTCTTTTTCTTTTCTATTTTTAATTGATTTCATTTTTTGGCGAGGTGTTGCTATCGGTACTGCGGGGTGTTGTGAATCGTGATTGGTTGCGATGAGGTGGAGAAGGTGTCCCGCTTTGCGGCCGTGCGGGTGGGATTTACGGACGGATCCGGAGCGGTGATTCGAGGCGTCGGGGATCGCTGGGTAAGTATTTCCATCCGAGCAAGACAACGATCTCCATAACTAACACTCGTCCGTACGTAAAAAGAAGTACGTACCCTGCGACGTCACCCGTCCGGTGCAGCGTTTTCTTGCTTTGCAGACGTGTGGACCTCCGATTGCCCGCGCGGACGGGCCACTCCTCAAGCCTTCAACGGCAATTACCGGTATCATTATCACCGCTATATCAGGCAAATATCCCTCTCCATTTTTCAGCTGCGATCTTCAGTTCCTTCGCACCCGTCACCTCCGGCCGGCCAGCCTGACCTTCAGGACCCAGCTTCATGCAATACCCGACGCAGATATGCAGAATATGCACCGTATCGCAGCGATACGGTATGTATCTTGGCCCTCCAATCAATTTGACATTCATGATTTGCGAGCCCCGCCTCCATTCGCCCCACGGGGTCTCGGAACAATATCGTCGGTCCCGCGGAGGACGTGCAAACGAGGACGTTTCGAGATGGTCCAATGGATCTCCTATATATACTAGCCTTGTGCCTCTACTAAGGCGCGTACGAAACTCCGGCCTTCCGGGGGTGCAGCTAGGCAAACGGTCGATGGATCGATGGATCGGTTCTAGACCGAGGGAAACATCGTAACCAGATGAACATGAGGGTTGTATAATGCATCCTGCATCCTGCGACCTGCAGACCGCGGGGGCCAATGGGTGTGCAATACGTAGCACAGTACGAGATGCGGCTCAGAAGTGGGGTTCGTTTTCGTCACGGACGTTTGGTCTCGAGTGTTTTGTGCGGACAGAGGAATCGAAACATTAGGACTTGATCAGTGAGCTTTGCTCGAACGGAAACATCCATCCTCAATCTCCAGCTCTGCCACCACCAGCACCACCGAAACATCGCCCTCAGCCCCCCAGCGCCCACGATGTCCCGCCGCCCCACCACCTTCCGCGTAGGCAACATCCCCTCGTCCGCAACCCTCCCGGAGCTCAAGGATGCGCTCGTGAACGCCATGGCGGTTGAGGAGTGCGACGCCATAACCATCGAGGCAACGATCGCACCCGCAACCACGCACGCGGACGACGACACCAACACCGCGCTCGTCACATTCTCGCCGCAAGCGCCCAAGTTCCTGGGCCCATTGTGCAAAGCCGAAGATGTTCAGATCGACACGCCCCTGGGAGATCTGTCTTTCGATAAGACGTTCTACGGGCTGACGCAGCTGTATCCTACCACTCCCGATAAGCGGATCGAAGCTGAGTGAGTTCCTCCCCGCCCACCGCTTTCCGATGGTGGAGGTAGACTGACGACGGACAGTATCGTCGCGGTCACGGGGCTCGACGGCCACGCCTTCGGCTCGTGGCGCGGGAAGGGCGAGCTCGCGCGGATGTGGCTGCGAGACTTCTTGGCGAAGGATCTACCGACGTGTCGCACGATGGCGTACGGGTACAACACGAAGCTGGGACACCATTCGATCCATACGATTGCCGACTACAAGATCGATCTGTTGGAGCAGATCAAAAATGCCCGGACTACCCCGGAGGTGCGCAGCGAGTGCGAGTGAGAGGTTGTGATACAGGCTGATGATCGGCATAGCAAAAACGACGGCCGCTGATCTTTATCGGACATAGTTTTGGCGGTATTGTGACTTTACAGGTATACTTATTTTCTTCCGCAACTCCGTCTGGGCTGATAATCTGCAATCCTGTAGGCGCTGGTCAAATCCGAAGAAGCCCTGGAATGGGATGACGATCCGGAGACGCACTCCATCTACCAAGCCACCAAAGCCGTCATGTTCTTCGGTACACCGCACCACGGCCTCCCGACTGACGACATCCTCAGCATGATCGACGCCAAAAACAACGGCGAGCGCGCGGAGCTCGTCAAGTCCATCGGTGTCGGCTCGCCGGTGCTCTCGGAGCACCTCACCAAGTTTGGGCATTTTGCCGACAGGCTCAAGATCTTCAATTTCTACGAGCGGCAGAAGACAAGGGCCATCGACATAGTTCGTCCCCGCTGCGCCTCCCCGTGCGGATCCTGCTGACTTGTGGCGGGGAAAAAGACGGATGGCCGACCAGCGCGAACAGGCGACTACATAATCCCGGTGGACACAGACTCGGCGCTGCTGAACCTGCCCTACGTACAGGAGACCGCAATCCCCGTCGACGGCGACCACAGCACGATGGTAAAGTTCAACAGCCAGACCGACCGCACCTACAAGACGATCCTGTCGCACCTGCGGACGCTGCTGAAGTCGCTTGCGGACGACGTGCCGCCCGTACCCTCGGCCACACAGACCTACACGCCCATCCCGCCCGGCCCCAAGGCTACCAAAGACCTCATCGACGCTGTCACCCGCTGGGACGCGGCAAACGTTCGCATGATGCTCGAGTCCGGCGTCTCGCCTAACGTGCGGGATTTGAAGGGTGTCACCGTGCTGCATCATGCCGCGAGAACGGGCGATGAGGAGATTGTTACCATGCTCGTGAAGAAGGGCGCGGATACTAATGTGAGGGACTTTAAGATGAAGACGCCGGGGGATTATGCGCGTTCCGCTGGGCACGGGGGGCTGGCGGGGAGGCTGATGGCGGGTATGTTGTGAGGCGTGCGGAATAGGGATAGCGGCAGGAGTAATTTACCTAGTGTAGGCAGTTACGGTAGCTATTTATCACGTCTTATGTCGCTGAAGACTGTACGGATCGGGTTTTGGAGATGAAATGTCACGCGCTGGAATCGGGGCCGGTCTTCCCACTGCGGGCATACTCGTCGTTCTCCATCCGCTTGTCGACTCGTTTCGGAACGACAAGCGGATGGAGAACGATGAAGTGTGCGCCGTGGGAAGGCTGGCCATTAGGTAAAAGAAATCCAACCGGCCCTAGATACATCATACATCATACAGAACTTTGAATCGTAGGAGATGAGAAGAAGGAATGCGTACGGGAGGGCCAAGAAGCCACTGCGCGACTCGTGCAATCTGCCTATATGTTGTACGACTTCAGAGAATTTTGTACAAACCCATGTGTTCTCTGCCACCGTAATGAGAGGAGCGCGATGTAGGGTGTAGATGTTTGACAAGATCGGGACATAGAGATCGATAAGATAACGCAGGGGAGAGGCTCGCCGGAATCCCCACTGCTGGAGAATCTACGCTATGCCTGGTTGGGTTGGTCTGTACTATGAAAGATGATCCTGCTCTCGAATCTTGGAAAGACAAAAGCTGATCCTTATACTGCAAGTTAAAGCAACACCATGCTGTTGATGCATCATGATTCGCGACCGCACAGCCCCAGCGAGACTTCAAGACGACGCGAGTCATTATTTTATTTGGGAAGCAAGATTGGAGGCTCGTTCCGATAACTGGAGTGTATACTGTATGCTATATCCTGGGCGTTGCAAACTTATTAGGTAACTACCGTCTCGCGAGGCTCGTAACTATAGTTATTCCTGGTACCGTAGCCTGTGGGTGAGGGCGAACTGGCGCATTGGACCCCGGTTGCTGTCATGGACTAGCACTCGCTACTGAGGCATCTCGGTAATGTCGAAAAAGGTGGTATCGTGAAGTGCGTAGTTTACAGTGTATCAGACATAGCCGGAAGAAATGGATATGTAGAGGGAAGCCTGGGGTGCTTCGGATAGAGGCCTCTCGCCCCCTCGTGAGAGAACGGATACCGGAACAATCTAGACATATAGAGTGATCTCGTGTGACGCGGCACACGGAAGTTCGTGATTTTATGACACCGGTAACGGGAGTGACGATGGCGTCTGGGACTCCCGGGTCCGCAATTAAGCAGCGGTCTACGTAGTTATCGTGCCCTGGATCATATGAGCGTATATCTGGAGGGAATCCGTAGCCCAGCGCGAAGCACGGGAATGATGAATCAATAGTATCATCGTCTCATGATCCACATTATTCGAACGCGAGTAAAAAAAGCAGAACAGTCAGAACGATGGCCCAAATGAAGGCCTCGGTAGCGCAGCATCTATGACTACTATCTGGATCGGGATTCTTCAGAATATATCGAGCTCTATATACAGGCGGCTATTTACCCGTGGCAAGGCTTCAATCGAGAAAACTCTTCCTCTCTCGCTCTCCATTGCTCCGGCAGAAACATCCAACAACAACCCGGATAACCGCCATTCCGAAACGCCACGCTACATATGCGGCCAGATGGTATCCGCAGACCATAGAAATTCCTGCGCAGCACACGGGGAGGACACACATGCCGATACAGCAGGTAAGCCAGAGCGTGCGCTCGATCTCCGTGGGGAACGGCAGGAGCCATGGAGCCGCATGCAGGACCCCCGCTGTGATCAGGAAGAAGATGCCCATCAACATCTCCATCGAGCCCGGCTTGAGCCAGTGCTTCGACGCGACGGAGGAGTCCGTGCTCGAGGGTTCCGCGATCGCCATGTTCACTACAATGTCGTAGTACGCCTTCGTGAACATCGCGACGGCACGGTTGCTGGATGTCCCCTTGTATGTGAACGTCGTGTCGGATCGTTCGTACTGTGCGCCAGGGAAAGTTGTCTCTACGGCCGGTGGGATCGAAGGGTCGGCGGTGGCGGAGAGGGTGATGGCGAGAGGTTCGCCGGAGGTGAGGTCCTCAGCACCGCAGAGTGTGGTATTCGATCTTCGCCCGTCGGGCAGCTCGCCTGGGAAAGGGCTCTCCGGTGCCAGTGGAATCGAACGGTTCGTGGTATTGGAGGGTATGGCGGAGAGAGGTTCGCCTGGAGTGCGATCTTGAGTACCGTGGAGTGTTGCGTCAGATGTTCGGCGATGAAGCTGGTTGGTGGGGAGTGGGCGGTTGGGGGGTGTTGGGATGTAACGATTTCGGAGGGTGATCTCGAAATCGAGAGGCTGCAGGTAAGACATCGACCGAGCACCTCCTGTGCACGCGGTGAGGTGAGGATTTCGAGGGGGCGGCGATTGCAGAAAATGAGCCAAGTGATCAGGCGTGCCAGCGCAGACGAACAATCGTAGTGTATCCTAGACTTCACATTCACTTCCCCGCACCCGACGATCAGCGCACAGACCGAACACCTTTCTGTTTTTGCCTTGAACCGGGTAACTGGGACCGGGAAATTCTAGTCTTCCAAAGGTTGCATTCCCAAAATTATGGGCAAAATACCAATCTCCGGCTCCCGCATGCGAAAAATCGGTCGTTGGCGAATCTCCTCTGCCGAAGCGCGGGTCGGAAAAGTGAAAACAATTGCAAAGATGGGATTGGAGTCACCAACGTGTGAGGTACTCCTCCTATAGAACCGATGACTCCCTGAGTACCTCGTTGGTGAACATATCGCATACCGTTGTGTGGAAAGATGGGGATACCACAGGCATGATTTCAGCCTGTAGAAAATGAGAGTCGATCACCGATCAGGGCTGTCAACCGCCCGTCCGGACTACAGTCCACTAGTGGACTGTAGTCCTGTCCCGTCCCGGGTAGGCTTTGTAGAGGACTGATCAATTCCGTCCGGAGGATGAAATACCCGGATACCCACCAGGTACCTATAGGTACCTGATAACATTAGCGTACTATGGTGAATATTAGTTTGCGGAGTAGCGCGGTAGCTACCAACAGAATTTTCAGCCTTGAGCAGAATTCTCAGAGTTATCAAACGCTCAGGGGATAGACACTGCTGGAAGTGGGAACGGGGATGGTGTGAAAGTTCTATACCGTGAGGGACACTGCGAAAGAGAGCTGCACAGCCACACATCCGCACACCGGCGCCACTGTGTGGCGCCATTCCGCTAGTAGTGTACTAGTGTCCCAGTAAATTCCGGGCCCTGTAGGGTATCTGTCCTCAGGTCACCAGCCCGGAGGACTGTAGTCCTTGTTTTTCTCAGCCCGAATAATTCCGTCCCGGGCCGGGCAACCTCAAAGACGGACGGGACGGACGGTTGACAGCCCTGTCACCGATGCTGATTGACCGGCCAAAAAAGAAAGGAATCTCGTCCGTGCGGCCAGGTCTGAGGTTGGAGGGAGTGCACATATTCACCACACCAGTAGAGGAGGCGAGGTTACGGCATACTCCCAATGTGCCCCTAGAGGCGCCTATAGGAAGATTGGCTCGCTAGCGCGAGGCTGCTCTCTGAAACCTCGCTTTGGAAAATGCACTCTGCTCAGTGGATGTCTCACTCGCACGACGAGGATTGGTGTCCTCCATGCCGCTACAAACCCAACCATGCAGGGTAAGCTTCTAAGATTTTTATTCTGCTCATTCGAGCACGAATAATCATAGAATGTACTGATACATCCACCAGGCTGTCGATTTGCTCTCTATCCTCTTGGCATGTGCTTTGGCCAGTATGTCAGTCGCCTTCAGGGACTCTTCGTGAAGCCGCAGAATACTGATGTTCTTCGAGTGGAACTCCCAGGTAACGTTGATGATATCCTGCTGGTAGCCCCAGGGAATTGCCATTACCGCAAGGCATACGGGAAAGATGCAAATCCCGACGGTGGAGACGCGCCAGAGGATGCGCTCGACGGAGGAGGGAAACTCCACGTTCCAAGCGGTGGCATGGAAGATCCCGACGCTCACGACGAAGAACAGCTCCATGAGGATGCGCATGTTGCTGTATATGAAGCTCATGGATGATTCGTCGTCCGTTTCTTCGTCGAGATCGATGGGAGAGAAGTTGACGAGTATGTCGTAGAAAGCCTTTGCGATGACTGCAATCACGCTAGAGGGACACTGTTCCTTGATGTAAAGCAGTTTTCTGGGGCGTTCGTACTCGTGCTCGAGGAGAGGAGCGCGACGGATGTGACGGTGGGTGTCCGGTGAGGGGGGATCTTCAGTTTTGGGTGGGCGGAGGCTGATGGTGAGGGGTTCGTTGATATCGAGTGGCTTGTTCCACCAGAAGGCGAAGGTGAACATTGTGCATCCTACTTGAATCAGGACGTGAATCTCGAGTAGCGTCAGCGGAAGATTCGCATTCCACCGTGCAAAGCACGAGGCGAACAGCCATATAGCCTGGAAGCTGGAAAACAACTTCATGATGTTGCTGACTTTGCACTTGTCCAATATCGCAGCTTTGTCAAAGGTTTTCGTATCGATCCGGTGGTCCCTGAGGTGTTTTAGGAAGCCCGCCGACGTCAGTGTTGCCGTATCCGCCGTGTATTCCGGTATTGTTGGTACCCTCTCCCCAGCTTCCTTTGTCACGCTGGGATCAAGTACGAACCCCCCCATGACAACAAAAAACGCCCCATCCATCCCCAAATAATCCGGTTGATTGGCGCAGTGAGTCTTCCAGGCTTTATTCAGCTTGCGGGCCTCCCACCACTCGCCGAACGCACACACGATCATGCCCTCGGGAACGATGATCGACACGACCATCAGTGCCGCCTTATGACAGAACCGGTACCGGTTTGCGACCCCGCGGATGATGTTTGGGTGTACTGCCGTCCAGACGCAGAATCCAAAGGTCACGGTACAGCTGAAAAGTAGGCCCCATGTTCCGCGCCCTTTGGGCTCCGGTTCGAACGTACCGAATCGTGTGTGTTTCGTTCTGGCGGACTCGGCACCGTCCGTGATATTTGGCGATGCCGGTGCTGCCAATGCCAGTACGATGCAAGACGTCAACAGCACTGGTAGGTAATGTAGCGACATCGCGGGATACGGGTCCGCTGAACAAGGCGGAGGCTTGGCTGAAACGCCCCGGGGGAGTGACAGTGTGCTTAGTATTGAATTGTTTCCCCCTTAGTACCTTCAGGTATGATTGCCGGAGGTTACTACAAGCGTCGGCCAACCTAGCAACCTCATACGATTGAGAATGAATCTCCAGGGCACTGGAAGTACCTTCTATGAATTAATTACCACAACCAAAGAGAATACTATGATGGCGGAAAACGAGATGAACTTACAATGCGCCGATAAGTCTCAATAGGTTTCGTTATGAGTGAGATGGATATCGAGGCTGTCCGTTTTGATGTACTATGGGCGGTGGCGATGTGACCGTAGATATACGCATTGATTCTACGCGTCACGGCGGGGACCGCAAGTCATGTTACGCACAGAATACAGGCCGTAAATGTCTATACTATTGCATGATTATGATAGCTGCGGCCATGGCACGAATAGGCATCAGCGGCTGAGACATCGACTAGGTGTGGTGGGTGCATATAGATGATCATAGGCTACGGTTTCGGAAGTTCAGCCGCACGAAATAAGCAAAGTTGAAAGGTTATCATAGGTCGGCCAAGAGGCCCAATTTACTCTATGTACATACTCTTGATGTAACCTGTAGCATCGCCTAGTTTGCGAAGAGGTTGAGTTACCCCGCCCTTGAGGCTTAGCAACCGGTAAGGAATCAGGAACTCTTTCCATATTCCCTCAGCGGTCTCCTCGGATCTCCAGTCTCTTTGGCAAGGGACCAGTCACTTTGCCTGGGGACCAGGCCTGTGATTCGTCCGTCCAGTCCGTCCAGTCCGTTCTGGGCTATGCATCGACGGGACCGAATCTGTCTGGCCCGGACCGCGGGGAATATCAAGGACTATATAGTTCCGGGCAAAATCAGGAAAAACAATTTCTCTATGAACGTGGCCGGCTGCGTGTACAAACGTGCGACGTTCAGCGCGTCAAGTGAGTTGGAAGCGTGTGTACGGACCCGCGCCACCATATTCCCTGGCAACGACGTCAGCTGGGGTGGGGTGTTCGAACGTTCGTTGGAACGCTGTTAGGCGAAACATCATACCCAGAAATCAGTGTGATTTTATTGTTATTCATTACTTGCATCTTGGCGGTATCTACAACCCGTCCGGTCCCACAACTCTTCTTAGCATCGCCCTTAACTGGCCCGTTCCTACAACTCTTCCCCAGCCTCGCCTTGCTCTCACAACTCCTCCCTAGCCTTGCCCTTGACTGACCCCTTCCCTCAACTCTTCCGTGCCATGACTCTTCCGCCACCTGACTCTTCCGGGGCCTTGCCTCCCTCTCTGAGCTCTTCCACGCTCTCAGCCTCAACCGGCCGGTTCCCTCAACTCTTCCCCCGCCGCGCACTTGACTGGCCGTTCAATCGGCTCTTCCACGCCCTCGCTGTGCTGCCTGGAAATTACTAGGCATTCACTCTGTGCAATAGCTCGAGGACTTTCCCAGCGTTACCGGAGTCAGGACCGCCTATACGCACCTGACGGATTTTGTTTTCTTCCTGATGCTGTTAGTCTTTGTAAAGTCGCCTAATATCATGCACGCTCCGTGGAATCGTACCCATCGTGATTTCCCCACGTCTTACATCCGGGCGATCGCGGAGCTTCCCCACTGCCCAAGAAAAATCTGAATCCAACTCTAGCAGGCGTGACGGTGGACATCATTTTAAATAAGGACGCGTTGCGCACTCCGCAGATGATGAGGGACGAAGCCGCTGTTACTGTTGAAGCCGCTGTGCTTGTCGAGACAGTGCTTGCATATCCAGTGACGTTCATCCTCGACCGCTAAAGGATCCTCATGCTGCCAGATGACAGACGCCAGCTTCTGCTGGCCTGCAGTCTGCGCAGGTGCCGGTTCCGCAACTGTCGCCGGTGGATCTAGCGTGGTCGGGACCCTGTGGTACATCAACTTGCTCAGGACGTGGTCAGGGGAACTCAATAACAACTCCAACCGAAAGTTTGCTTGCTCCCAGTTGAGTTGTCTGGTAGCGAGTGTTGTTTGAGTAATCCGCTCTCTCCCACGACCAAGACTCACGAAAGGGACTTTGCCGGCTTCTAGATGCTTGACTGGAGGGTGACGTCGAGATCTCAGCTGGGTGGTAGCAAGTGTTGCTTGAGTAATCCGCCCTCTCCTACGAGGTGCTTGACCGGAGGGTGACGTCGATGACGGACCAGATGATGGTGGTGACGGTGCCCTTGAGTCTCTTGACGAGCATGCCAACGCAAGTCTCCATGTTCGCCGGGAGCCTGGTGATAATGACCGGGACCTCTTCCGTGATCTTGCCGACCTTCCAGTCCCAACCGTTGTCAAACCTACAGGGCGATTAGCGAAACGAAGAGCTGTAAGTGACTCTGAGTCGAAGAAACTTACATGCGTTCGATTGAGCTGTTCATTGTGTATTGCAGACGAAGAAAAAGCCCGATTGGATACCTTCCTGAGGAGAAGAAAAAGAAAAAGGAGAAGAGACGACAGTCAGAGGTGGACGAGGATTGCGGGTTCTGGCTTTTGGTTACGGGTTCGGACTTGCGATGCGGGATGTGGGTTGGCTGCAAGGTGTGAAGGAAAGAAGGGTGAAGTGGAGAAGGGGATTGAAGTGCAGGAGGATAGTGTGGGAGTAGGGATCAGTGTGATCAGGGGTTTCCTGCGACGGGAGACATAATGTAAGTGGTGTTTTGGCAAGCTGAGTATTGGCCGACTCACAACTCACTGCATTCAAAGACTGGTGGGTGAAAGTGTCTTTTGAAAATGTACCCAGAACCTTCCCCACAAATGCGGAGTGTACGAGCAAGACCAATGTAATACTAGTACGAACAGTTCGATCTGCTCCCTTCGACGGGTGGAAGTAGTCCCGTTCAAGAGGTCGACCAACGCTCCGACGCTTTCTATATCTTTCTCCGCACTTACAACACCGCACACAGCTACGCCAATGAATCAGCCCCTTCGACGGGTGGCAGCAATCTCGCTCAAGACGTCGACTACCTCTCCGACGGTCTCGCTATCCTTCTCGTCAGGTACAACACCGCACACAGCGACGCCAACGACTCCGCCCCTTCGATGGTTCGCAGCAGTGCCGCTCAGTGTGATCGCAGCTACAAAGGAGGATGTATTGCAGGTACGCATCAGCATAAATCATAGGTTCCAATAAGTATCTAATGAGGCGGATGTGGCACAGCTGCGGTGGAGGAAATATCGCCGGTACGAATAAGGATGAATGTGAGCTACGAAGGAGGATGTATCGCAGCTACGAAGTTGAATGTTATAGCAATTGAGAGAATGTTGGCCGCTCTTTGTGAGGAGGATCTGGTGTAATATCAAGAGTCTATATCAAAGAGTTGCTCCTACTTAGTGGCTTAAGAATATTCTGCAAGTTCCCCCTTTTGTGACCCGACAGGTTATTCCGACGTCTGCAGATAGCAGAAACATGCTCAGTCGGTCTTGATACACTATCCCCACCAGTCCCGAAAGAAACATCCACCTGTGTGTAAACTGGTCAATGTGGGAGGGCCACGCTGCCGTGTATAGAGGTCACTGCTAACCTACCGTCTCACGAAAAAATCGTTATAAATGTTGGGAAAGCAGCACCATAGCGAGCTTCAGTGTTTCGATCAAATAGACAAGCATTTTCTTTCTCTCTGTCTCTCAACTGGCCCGTTCCCACAACTCTTCCGCGCCCTCGCCCTTGACTGGTCAGATCTCTCAACTATTCCTTGATGCCAGCCTAAACCAGAGGAGGACGGGAGGCTGGAGCCTCATTGAGGCCCCGAAGTGTGGTCGCTAGTGGTACATGTCGTGGCGCGGTGACCCAGCAGGCTGGCACTGGTATGATGCCGTCTCTCCTCAATTTTATCGTTTTTCACCAATACTCCTGGAACCAGGCGTGCCAGACAGGATTAAAATGATGATCAGGGGTTGAATAAACTACAGAATGCTACTACTGCCTACAGCACGGCCATTTCCCTCGAGTCCGACTGAAGTCATGCTATGTGAATGTCTGTTGCTCGCTGCTGACTTTCAAGTTGACATTCCACTGTGATAAGATAAGAAATAATGTGGGCTACGGTATCCGATCAACTGCAAGACTTTCACCGAACTAACCGATGAAAGTTCGGGTTTGCGATGCCGCACCAAACGTTTCCGGACCGTACGGAGCCGGTCAGGCTCCGTGTATTTTGTACATTGTACCGGACTGCTCTAGTCTGAATAATCCTTGCCCCGGGCGGGACTGCGTCGCCGGGCCCTAATGGTCTTCCGTCCGGACAGACTAATCCCAGGCCTCTGGGGTCCGACCGATGGATCAACCGCGGTATGGTTTCCCGGCAAACTAGAAAAGATGTATAGCTGATGTTAGAGCGGCGCGCGGAATAGGTACATATGCAAGGATGTCGCATGAAGCGTTGGTGATCGATGGTTTGGAGTATTGTTTGAACGGTGGTAGTTTATTTAGACAGGAACCCATCTATCTGCTGCCCGCCCGCATCTTACTTGCTGCCACCACTCTTCTCATCGTTGCCAATACCGGCCCTCAAGATTCATCCTACTTACTGTCACGCCGGTCCACCACTCTTGTCATCGTTGCCGTTACTGATTGCCTTGTCCTGAGGGACACCGTTCTTCTTGAAGTTCTTCAACGCCTCCTGGACGTTAAGATGTCCAAGGCGCGAGGATGTGAAGGAAGTTCTTCCATTGGCTGCACACAACAGTCTTGATGCAAGTTGAAGCAGCAGCGAAATCAGACAGTCTTGATGCAAGTTGAAGTAGTAGCGAAATCCGACGGAAGTGTCGAGTAACGCGTCCAACCCTTGTGTATCCGGCGGCCAACTTTGGCCGACCGGAGGGTTGGGACGGATGGACGCGATCGGGGCGCTGAACGTGTCGGAGGCGGCAACGCCGCACACCGACAACGTCCCGCTCCGGCGTCCACCTATTGGAACAAAACTCATTAGTTATCAATTTCAGAGCTCAGTACATGAAGAAACATGGTTTTTCAGAGGAGGGGAAACGGATGTACGTACCTGGTCGCATCCCTGCGATCGATGGACGCAGGACAAAACATGGCTTGCGGGCCATCTGAACGACCCAGCCCTACACTCACCCGTCCGCATTCCCATGGTTGGCGACTAGTGAGGGAGCGAGCACGAACCATATCGTTCGCAAGCATACCCCCGCTGACAAAGGGTGGTATGCTGATGCTGCGCCAGCCGGTTACCGTCTGTATGTACCGGTAAAAATCTGGTCCCATCATTTTCCACAACTTTACCTCCTTGTCGGCTGTGGCGAAGTCGGGATCTTCCTGCGCCAGGAGCCACTCCAGACCCTATAATATTAGTCGGACATGGATGAGAGTGGGGGGTGAGGACGATGTCTCTTCGTCTTGACATTTCTAAATACGTTCGCGCACCGTGCCTATTGCCCGAAAACCTTACTGAGCATGGCGTCCTGGCTGCCGGCCACGTTTTCGAGTATCTGGTTTCCCTATGCGACGCTTCTTGGATCGATTCTCCAGCACCACAGGTTGTTGAGGACCTCGTTGCTGGACGGTATTGTTCTTCATGGTCGAGGTTGAAGTTGGTAGATAGAAGGTATACCTAATGGTATTTGAGAATGTTGTGATGTTTGTGGGAGAGAAAGTTGAACGAAGAAGGAAGGAGGGAGAGAGGTATGTTTTATAAGAAGTGGCGCTGGAGATTTGGCCGAAAACCTTGGTACACGCACCGTTGTACGTTGGCGCTAGCGGCTGAACCCCCTCGTGCCACAACTACGGTTGCTGTTGTGCGAAACCTGATTTTATGGGGAAAGACAACGCCTACCGTAGAGTTCATCATCGTGGCCAGAAACGGGGCAATCAGGCTATCCTGCACTTCCTGTAATAACCGTTTCCCTGTGAAGGATTATGAGCATGAACATGGCTACTCTACACCACGTAACGACAGAATTGGACGGTGTGAGTGTGCTCATCATGTCGCCTAAAGTGTATCGCAAAGAAAAGAAGAAAAATCAGTGTCATCTTAAAAGCGGAGACAAGGTCGGTTAAGCTTCGAACTCACAGAGGTTTCGATATTAGAGGCATGAGCAATTTACATCATCTTCCTTCTCCGTACCCACTTCATTACCAGTCACGCGGTGCTTGAAATCACTTTCGTCGTCGGTACTTGACATTAGATGACATTTCCCGAAGATTTGATTGAAATAAAGGTTGAGAGGAAAGCTCCGCCAGACTTGGATGGCGAGGCGGGGGAGGGAAGGGAAGCATTTGGGGCAGAACACGACGGCCCAGCAGAATACTGTGTCTGCGGCCTGTCTAGGGAGGCGACGAGTGACGATATGTGACTGTCTATTCTTGGTGCCATTTCCAGTGTACTTGTTTTGGTACGCAGCGGCGCCGTACGGTACTGACCGGTAGCGTGGTTGCTAGTCGGCCGAGCGGTTGAGACGCCGCTACCGGCCAGCACTGTGTGGCCTCGCTGCCTAACAAATAAGGCTGCGGGCGAAATATATTGAAGAACTTTCTACCTCTCCCTCATCGCCAACGAAGTTGACGATCTGGGGGGGCTTGATGTCGGCGAGCGTGGCACTAAGCATCTGCGAATCAGGAATGAAGAACCGGCAACGATAGAACGAACCGGAGATTGATCGCGAGACGGCCGTTGGGCAAAAGTAATGCGAAGCTGCATTCATGTAAATTCTAGTCTGCATGTAGTGTAAGGTGTGTCACGTGATACTACCGAGTGATATTTACATATGGTGTCCCCTCGGTCACTCCCGGTACGAACGCAAAAACTGTTACCACCTCCTGCCGGTAAGAGGCTTGAGTACCGCAAGAACCAAATACAGAGGTCTTCTACCCGGGCTGAACTCAGCAATTTCACTCAAATCCCCTCGCCGATTGCATGGCCCAGAGCATTAGACTACGCGGTGGTTTTTGCCGTACTGGAAACATTAATCCGATACCTATGAAGCGCGGGTGCACTCACCACGAAGAACCTCAGCCGCAAGACTGTCTGCGTTGAATGAGCGATCAACATGACGTATGCTTTGAATGGATCTGATGCGAATTCTTTCTACGTTTGAACGAACGATAAAGACAGCACGGTTATCACGGCGAGGAGCAGCACGAGGACACGTTATTTGCGACGGGGCCAGCGAGCTATTCGTCGTCACACAACGGGCAAGAATCGATGTTCGTCGCCGTACTTCGATGTCTACCTGCTCTTCCTACAGCCGGTACGCCTTGTTCTCCTATGACGTCCTGCAGTACCACTATCACCGCGGATCTAGCACTCTGGCCTCTTCGTCGTTTGACGCCTGATATTTTGTAGCTTGCTTACAGCCATATACCATCTGGGTAGAAAATAAACGGGCACTCTGCAGCATCGGTGCTTGACGAAGTGACGGTTGAGAATGCCAAAGGAGATGAGATCCCAGACGAATATTCCCGCTCTTCCTTGTGGCCGCGGGTGGCACACAGGAAGCGGGATTCCACGAGGGATATTTTTGTCGTCCTTTGCAGCCGCGGGTGGCCCGCAGGAGATGATGGAATCCCACGAGGAATATCTCTATTCTCCCTTACAGCCGCGATTGGCCCGCAGCAGATGCGATCCCACGAGGGATCTTCTCACCACCCACTGTGCTTCATAGCCGTGTTTGCCTCGCGGATTAATGTAGCAGGCTTGTTCCCGACGCTCTTGCACCGCGGATGGTCGCGACCAGACGAGCGTATGATATCGAACTCGTAGACGGTAGTAGTAACGATTCATCTATTTGCGAAATCACCTTTGAAGCACTGGAACCTGCACAAGATTCTCGACCAACGAGTCTTCCAAACGATCAACACCATACACAGACAACCACAAACCCATTCTCCACGCAATCCGGCACCAGATTTCCCACAGAACCCGTTCTTCAGAAAGCCACCAGGACGCACACCCTCACCTACAATTGTTGCGCAAACCAGTAACCGAAGCGGCAATCCGCAGCGAATCCTCCCAAAGCAGATCCTTTACGCTTTGATATGGCGCCCCAACGTAGGTCCCGATCTATCTACCTAATATGTAACTTCAAATAACGGATTATGATCTCTAGCCACCATTAAACTGTCGCTGTACTACCGCAAGCCACCGCCACATCCGGTCGGTATCCCGATCTTTCCCGATCGGTTCCAGGCCCAAGTGTTCAAGCCCATCCTCGACATCTTCGGGGTGACAAATTATGACCAAATCAGGTTTGATTTTCGCTTCGAGGTGCTGCGGATGTTCCGTCAGCAACCGGAGCTGATGGGTTTGCCGGTCAGAAGCACGGCTCAGAAGGACGATTACGTGCTGCATCTGGCAGTGGGACCTGTGCCGTCAAGAGGTCGAGCCGCTCCTCACGAAGATGGACGACTATTTCGGCAACGTGGGACTGGACGAGCGACACAAGAGACACGCGAAGGGATACCTCCTGTATCTCCTGATATGAGTCATTGCTCGGGCTGGGCGGCACGCGGACCGGCATAACTTCGACTACGAGGCGGCGGCAAGGGGGAGCTCGGGCAATTAGACGTAGATGGAATCATGGAATACTGTTGGTGGACAAGGGCTTCAAATGCGGCTGTTTGGAATTAGAGGACCCTGCGAACGGTAGCGATTGAGTCGGGCAATGTGTAGTCCCACTCCTTAGATAGCTGTTTTCTTTGCTTTCTGTACTACCACAAATGCTATCGAATACTGGACCTTCTTAATGCAGACTGCTTTTATTGTTTCGCAGTCGACTACCATCGACTGCCGCAGAGCCGACCGTACAGGAGTAACACTTCCTAGGAATGCCCCCATTGAATCGACGACTCTGAACGGAGTGCACATCTGGATGGCAAAGTGTAGAGCTGGTTGCCAGGCTGTAGCTTTTGTGATCATCCAATGCCTCATGTGATTCATTACTGATTACCCATGCTGCGGCGGAGAATCGCCATGATAGAGACTTCAATTATAGCCTCACTAGAAACTCGTCCAGGCTCTGCACTTATTGCGGGAATACTCAAATACTCGAGTGCCGTCGACAGTCGTCCGTGCCGGTGAAATGTTAGACAGCCTGACTACACACCCAGCATTCCATCTGATGGACTCGACTATCGCGAGCACTTCCTACCCAGTATGCGAACGGGTATCAATAATTGGATAATCTGGGAATCAGCACTAATGCTTGAACAATTTCGCGCTGAAGCCAGGATCCATTCAGGTTGTGTATGTATTTATGAATCGTTCGTTGTCTAGTATTACCTCCCGAACTTTTCATTTCTGTCATGTGTTGGTTTCCATCCGCTGTGTTACATGCGAGGATTTCTCGCGTGGCACCCTCGGGTGTATGTACGACTAGGGTAAAAGGTACATAGCGTGGGCGGGCCGCGGTCATCCTGGAGATCTGCGAATATGTAGCCCAATGCGGCAGCTTTCGCCTCCACCCGGCCCCCGGGTGGCAATTACACCGCGGAGGCGCAGTATGCAGCATGTCCCCACATCAGTCGATATAACCATTGCGATCGCCCTCGCATTCATGCAATCCCCCAACAACCAACATGTCTTCAACTCGCGCCCCCGATGAGGCCGACCCGCTCGCAGCCCTCTCTGGCGTGCAGCGCCAGGAGCTGATCCGCCTAGTCATGTCGATCGCAAAGCACATGCGTCACGCACTCCGCCTCGCCACCAGCACCCCGCAGCCCTCCTCCGACAAACGACTCAGCACGCGCCTCTACCGTCTGGCAATGCGCAGCTTCGATGGGTGGCGTGACGAAGTTCTTGTGCGGATCAGCGCGGTGCTGCAGGTGCCGGTGCCGAAAGACGTGGACGACAAGCGAGAAGTTACCCCGCACGAAGACCCGTTCCTGCACGTGCACTTCCCGCCGTTCGCGACAACTCTCACGCACCTCGAGAAGCGAGAGGTTATCGTCGAGTCGCTGCTGCTGTTGCTGCTCTCGCTGAAGTCGTATGATGCACGCTCCCGCGTCCTACTCCTGCATGTCGTGTCCTCCCTCGCCCTCCCGCTCGACTCCCTCCTCGACATCGAAGCGAAAACCGCCAAGACGCTCCTCGAAACCGTGCAGATGACTGCCGAAGCCGAGTCCGCGAAGCGCGTCGAGGCGTCCCGCTCGTCGAACAGATGGAAGATCGGACTGGCGTCCGTCGCGGGGGCCGCGCTGATCGGTGTTACCGGTGGTCTCGCAGCACCAGTTGTGGCGGCAGGTATCGGAAGTTTGATGGGGGGCGTCGGACTCGGTGCTGTGGCAGGGTACCTTGGTGTTGTCGCTGGCAGTAGTACCATCATTGGTGCGCTTTTTGGGGCGTACGGCGGGAGAATGGGCGGGCAAATGATGCAGCGGTATGCGAAGGAGGTGGAAGATTTCAAGTTTATCCCTGTCGACGGGTCCTCCGAATCGCGATTGCGCGTCGGGGTGGCAATAACGGGCTGGGTTGTCGATGGGGAAGCGGAGGTTGTGGATCCCTGGCGGAGTGTTGGCGGGGGTCTCGAAGCCTATGCGCTGCGGTGGGAACTCGACGCGTTAACGGAGCTCGGCGTATCGCTTTCGGAGATCTTGACCAGTACCGCCATGAGCTGGGTCAAGCTCGAACTCGCCAAAATCACCCTATCCGCTGCGTTATACTCCGTCATCTGGCCGTTGGCAATGCTCCAGACCGCGCGCGTCATCGACAACCCGTTCTCGATCGCGAAGCACCGCGCCGACAAGGCTGGGCTGGTTTTGGCGGACGCGATCATCAACAAGGCGCAGGGAAATCGGCCGATTACGCTCGTCGGATACTCTCTCGGCGCGAGGGTGGTTTATAGCTGTCTCCGCTCGCTTGCGGAACGTGGTGCTTATGGTATGGTGGAGAATGTGGTGTTGATGGGCGCACCCGTGCCGGCAACAGTGGCGGAATGGCGGGAGCTCCGCTCGGTCGTGGCTGGGAGAGTCGTCAATGTCTACAGCAAGCAGGACTATGTCCTCGCATTTCTGTATCGGACGAGCAGTGTGCAATTGGGTGTGGGAGGGCTTCAGGAGATTCAGTTGGAGGGAGTGGAGAACGTCGATGAGGGAAAGCTGGTAAGCGGGCATTTGATGTATCGGCATGCGGTTGGAAGGATCCTGAAGGGCCTATTGGTGGGAGATATGGTGCTTGCGGAGGTGGAGAAAGGAGAGATTACTTTGAAGGATCTGGTCGAGCAGGAGGAGAGAGCGGCGGACCGGACGATCAAGATGGTGGAGAACGACAAGGAGATGGAGACAAAAAACGACACGAGTAACGAAAGCCAGAAGGAGGTCTCCCTGCTCGACTACGAAGCGTCCGAACCGGTGAAGACCATGCATTTCGAGACGCTGCATACTGACCACCGCAACGGACCTAGCAAAAACCGATTACAGACGCAACATCCGCTCGATTCAGACGTCGGCGAACTTCAGCAACTCGAAATGAGGCCTGATCAGCAACACGGCCTCAGCAAGAACCTGTTACAAATGAAACAGCCACTTGATTTAGACGTTGGCGATCTTCAGCAGTTGGAGGCAAGGCCATACACTCCCGTGTCCGAGCCCGATCCTGAGGTAAAGGATCTAGAGTCGGGAGAGCACAAAGCAATCCCAGAGGAGGATCGTGAGCGGAATATGGATGCTGTTTTGTCACGTGTGGAAGCAAAGCTTGCTGCGATGAGGATGAAACGCGGGGGAGCGAATAGATAGTGGTCGATAAAGTGGCGCAAACGAATATAACAGTAATTTCATCAACCAATGAAGCCGTGGGTATGATTGCGGTGCACAGTGACGGGTGTAAAGCCCGTGTAGATCGTGGAAGTGGGGGGTTTCCAGCTCGATAAAGCTGATTCAGAGTGAATGCGCTGGAAGTGCATACGTGAAGATCGACAATCGCCGCCATATTCAACATCAAGTGGGCTTTTTTAGGCGGCAATGCGATAGCATATCCATCCATATTTTCAGAACAGCCCGTCTGTACGGGCTCCGTAGGTTTCCAAAAGAAGAATCGATTTAGGCGCTGTGATCTCTGTCGCTAGCTCTATTCTACACCCCCGGCCTATGATGCAACCAGCCAACGAGATAATGCCGCCCCACATGAAGCCTGCAACGCCACAACAGCATAACTCACGTGATGGCGTTGTTACCACCACCGTTCTCTACCAAATATAAAGTTGTGACTGGGTTTCGCTTATGTTAAACCCTAATTTCATCCCACAGACCCTTCTACCACACACACAACCCTCGCTCCATCCTACTTCTACTTTGCACCCATCCATTTTCCCTTCTTCCCCACAATCATCTCTCTTTCTTGCCCACTAGCATCCCCAATCAATGCTACTTAGCAACCATCCTTCGAACGCCCCTCCACAACAATGCCGCTCATCAACCCCGCCTCCCACAACAACAACAAGACAAGAAAAAGAATGGCCGGCGAAACCATCTTCAATGTGGGTACGCCCAGCGAGGACGCAGCCGCCACGACGGAACACACCCAAGCACTGCCGGTCATTGCCGACGATTCTTGGGTCGAAAACTGGGACTTGAACGTCCTTCACTGCGGATCTTGCGAGAGACCGTTTGTGACCAAAGACGTGTTGCTTTCTTCGCCGCGCACATGTGAATGTGAGAACCTTTAATCTTCCCACCCGCATGGATGGTACATACTGATGCAGACCTATAGGCAGTGGCGCATGACTCCCGTTCGGGCGGGAGTTGGTCGCTTCCGCAATCCGTTGCGGAAACTGGCCAAGAAGGGAGGAAGCAGAGAGGGGGCCTGTGTGGGTGGAGTAGGGGGTAAGAACCGATCACATTTTCTACTTTTACTGTTAGTTCATACTAAGCGACCCATAGGTTATCCCCCACTCCGGTAGCTGCGCACAGCCTAGGAGCTGTTGTGCGTGGAATAGGGGTAAGAATCGCCCACATATTCTGCTTTGATTGGTCGTTCATGCTGACTGAGTCATAGGTTTTCCCCTATTCCACATTGGCTCACTGCGGGGAGGGGATGTGTCCTTGAAGAAGGAGTAGCTGTGTGCGGAGGAGGGGCAATAGATGAAAGACTGGTCCGCGAACCACAACACGGACTGCGGTTACTCCAAACTCGGGGACGATGCGCTTGGTAATACGTATCACCTATTTACGCAGCGTTACTCGATGGAGGAAGACTAGTGTTGGGTGTGGAGTAGGGGTAAGAATCGGTCACATTTTCCTCTTTTACTGGTATTGCATACTAATCGATTGGTAGGTTATCTCGCACTTGGACTACACGATCGAGGTTGTCATCTCGATGTGATCGAGGGGATCAAAGCCTTCTATATTTCAGGGGGCTTCCCCCTCCAACAGAAACAGCATCAACTGGGATCTCTGCGATGGATAGGGGTTGGTCATTAGAGTTTGCGATCATTGTCAAGAATATTGATGATGAAGATAGGGATGAATAGATGGATAGAAAATGTTCAGTTAATTCTTTACTACTGGTCGGGCTAGATAGGCCCTCTATATACACGTTCGTCTGGGCCAAGGCAGAATACTCTTACTTGAGAGATACTCAGGTCCTTCCGCTTCTGAGACGAGCAGTGTTCTACATAGACCAGTCCCGACCAAATTTGGGTATAGTCGGGTTGGTCGGGATATATTCCGGCAAAAAAAAACTCTCGTCTGGTCGGTTGGGGTATATCCCGACTAAAAAAAACTCTGGTCTAGTCGGTCGGAATATATCCCGACTAAAAAAAACTCTCGTCTGGTCGGTCGGTCGGTCGATCGGTCTGGTCTATGTAGAAAGCGGGAGACGAGCACGGTCCGTGCCGCGTCAGCAGGTGGAGCCATTGGGATCGTGAGTCTACTAGAGCCTTCCGGACGTCTAATCTTGACAATCATGAAGCAAACGATGGGTTGCGGGAATTTACTGTTTGCATGAGTGTGCGAAGCGTTAATGCAATACCTTTTTTGGGGCAACATGTGTTATTCGACTATCTGAGCGCATGGTGGATGTGTCGTGCTGTCTTTCCTGTTTGCATAATGCTCCATTCTACCCACTCTAGGCACCCCATAGCGAACTGTGACTCCTTGTGACCTTGTCTTGCACTCGCACTGTGGACTGGCCCAGACGAAGGTATATACCAACTCCGCATTGCCGTGAATATCTGGATCCAACGAATATCCGGGTCGTAGCAACCGTCAGGACATATATCATAGAGGTACTCAGGGTAAATGATGCGTGGGTTTAGAGTGGTAGCGGTAATGGTTTCTTCGTCTTTGTTTTGTCGGAAGCTGTGGGAGCAGAGTGAAGTAGTGCTCACATCGAGCACGCATGCGCAAGGAAAAGGATGCGTAAAAGAGGGAGTAGCAGTAGTGATGAAGCTGGACACGCCGCTGAGCCTTTGAGAGGACAAGACTTGTCTCCGCGCGCCCATCGCCCCACAGGAACTGCGCTTCGGGTCGCACTTTGCGAGTGATATATGCTGTATTAAATGCCACAGGACTGAGTAGCAGCTGGCAAAGTGTTGACGCCACGCGAGAAAATTACACGAATAGTATATGATCCTACGAACGCTCTCGAGCAATCCAGGCGCACAAACAGCCGTCGACTCCGACGCTTGAACATGGCGATCCTTTGTGTGCAATTCGCATACGACTCGAAGCGGCATTCATCCACCGTTCTTTGATTCACTCCCTCTTATTCTCTCAACCCACTTTGTGCATTCGAAGCCCCTGTTTATCGGTGAGTACTGTCTGAACTCACCTTGGACACCCCGCAACCCTGCCACAGTTATGTACACCCGCAAGGCAACCTGCAGATGCATGATCAGCTCGCGATGCAAGCTTTTCCGGCGGTCTGGATTAGTCGTCGACGCTACGCAAGGCGTCAAGTTCTTCCCCTGCGATCACTATATCCAGGCGCTTTGTCTAGCGAAGTGGGCGAAGAAGCAGGTTGCGGGGTCCATCGACGAGCATGTGCTCCCGTGCAACTGTAAGGTCCTTTACTCAGTGAGGGAGGCGGCTAAGATGTATTACGACGAGTTTAAGCATTTGCTGAAGACTCAGTGAAGCAGGGAATGGACTGTGCGTCCTGTGGCGGTGAGATTTCTGGTACCATGTATCTGGAGGTTATAGACGGTGTTTTTACATTCTTTTACCAGTATTTGGTAGCAATACAAAAGAATCTTGCGCATTAAAAATGTTGCCAGAACGCGTGCTTTAGCCTGACTCCTTCGACTAGAATTCAATCAGAGTTGACAACAGGCCTGGGATTCGTCCGTCCCGTCCGTCCTTGTCTATGCCCCGAACGAGACGGAATTTGTCGGGCCCGGAATATCAAGGACTATAGGGCTCCGGGCAAACCGGGGGCGACTGGGGCACCATTCGGGCCCGGAAATTCGGCGCTAGTACTAGCCTGGGGCAGTAGCGCAGTGGCGCAGCAGGCAGGAATGATACTAAGGAGTTGGCAGCACGGCGAAGAATAGACGACTATAGGAAGTAGACGGCCAAGGAGACACCTCTGCCGGCAGATCTTAAACTCTGTGGATGTCTGTTTCTCGCTGCTTAATCTCGTATCCGATCCGATCCAAAATTTTCATTGGCCAAAATATTCCAGATAGCCGGCACCGTACACTTAATAGCCAGCTACTTCCGCACTAAAGATTTCCGGGCCCCGGGCTTTTTGGACCTGGGACGGAGCCGTGTCGTCCGGCCAAATGCTTGCCCCAGACGGGACGGCGCCGCTGGGCCCCAATAGTTTTCCGTCCGGGCGGACTATTCCCAGGCCTGGTTGACAATTCCATTCATTGTCCACGACATTCGGTGACCGAGGTAATTGTAGTATAGTGCAAGTTATTGAACAGGGTGGGAATGCGGAAGACTCGAGAGAAGCAAGGTGAAGACAAACGTAACGATGACATTTTATTAAAGTGAGCTGGGAAGTATGTAGTTGGGCCAGTCAGTACCAGACGATTTCGGCACTGTCATCCACCACCGCTGATCGCCTCGCAATGGAACATCCTTGGATAAAATCGAATAAGCGAGCACGTTAACTAGATCCTGGCCTTCAAAAAGGACGTTGAGTTAACCTTGTCGTGTCGCTTATTCAAATCGTACATTCTCGTCAAGGGTGACCATTGGCGTGGCTTCACGAGCTACATAGCTGACGAGGGAGATGATACGGCTGTAGATTTGATGCCCAGAATTTGTTGCCATCTTTTTTTGTTGTTTCGGAGTATAAGTTTTGACTAGGACGCGCATGTATCTCCGCAATTCAAAATCTTCCGTCCTTGCTGGGCTTGGTGTGACTAGCGTAGCCCTAAAGTCACGTGGATGAAACCGGGTAAACGATTGTCCGATGTGATCGCGGGTTGCTTCACCCCCACCCACACCAACTCTTCCTTCCTGCTACATCCTGCTCGACACATCCACCTTTCAAACCACCAAAGCATGCCCAACTGTTTTCCCTCAGGAGCCGTTTCTCATCGACCACCGAAACTATTGACAACCTACTTGGGTATGAATCATTTATTGCTATGTAAGTCGCACAGTCCAACAGCAACCCGGCAACATGTTGTCGACCAGGCCTGGTCTCTGCTCAAGGTTTACCTAGAGTTACTCTAACCATCGCCGCCTATAGATTTTACTCCATCGACTCACATCTCTCCTCATCCAGTACAACCACAGCCCATCCACTTGCGGCGGGCGCGCAGAGTCGCCACGCATTGCCACGAATCGCCGCTTTGCTCAACATACTATTACGGTGGCTGGCGACTGTCGATCGCCATATTACTGCGCGTCCCGCGGAGAAATGGGCATCATCAACATGCCCAAAATCGCACCACGGTGCGGTTCCTCTCTCCCAAACCGATTGGAGGCAGCAATGCCCAGCTGTAGAAGTAATCCTGGTTCCCTGAATCCCATCTACGCCAGAATCATACCAAAATGAACCAGAAAGTTTCTACGATCGATCGTGGGGCTCAGGTATCTCGTGGCCACTGGCCATGCACGCTAGCGGCAATGCGGATGCCTAGCATCACGGGGAGGAGACGTTGAAGGACATCCGTGGCCTGTGCGTGGTTCCAGTGTCAGTGGTGTGGTGATCAGGAGAGATCCCTTCCTCTGGCAGGGTGGAACCGTATGCATCGGAGTTGTGATACTTTTCACTTTTCTGTTCCTGCTTTAGGGGACCTGAAGGTCCCACGGTGCGTGGTATGCGCTATGAGGCTTTATTCGGGCCGGCTCAGCCCGAAATCCGACCTGATTCCTTCCTGACCGTTGGACCACTTCATCGGATGAAGTGAGTGGAGGAATAAGAAGCCCCGGGGATACTTGGGCAGGACAACGCATGATATTATACCCCAAAGCAACCATTTTGCCTGCAGGAGGTAAGGTCGTATCTGAGATATTCAGGCAATTTCTGACGCTGACTGGAACATGATTTACAGGCAATACGAGGACCCTGAATTCGTCCGACATATATCGAGGCCATAAGCACCCACGTCATCCCGATGCCCTTTGCTACGCCGCTCAATGCCAGTGGTGCGGTTAGCCGCAGCGTTCCATTCCTCCGGCAGGGTGGAATCGCACGCAACGGAGTTGTGAGATACTTTTCCGTCCATGATTTAGGGGACCTGAAGATCCCCCATGGACGGTGCGCGGTATGCGCTGTGAGGCTTTATTCGGGCCGCCTGAGCCCCAAATCTGACCTGCTTCCTTAGTTAGAGGAGAAATTAAAGACCAACCCATAACCGGTACGAGGTTTGAATCTCAATGGTGGGGTTATCCGCAGTGACCTCTTCCTCTGCCAGGGTGGAATCGTATGCAACGGACTCGACCACTACAACACCGGCTAGCCTCCTTGAAGGTCCCCCATGGCCGGTGCACGGTTTGCGCTGTGAGGCTCTATTCGAGCCAGTCGATAACGAAATCCGATCTACTTCTTTACGGACGGTTCGTCCACCTTATCGGATATAGTTGGCGAGGGAGGAAAAAGTACGCACATGGGCATGACTGAAACGAAGCTAAGTCCAGCTGCTCCTTTGACTTGCAGAAGGTGAGGGCGAACCTGCTGGGTTAATGGCGAAATTTACGACGCTGATACGAATAAGATTAGTCTGATGTGTAGTTGAGAGGAAGGTTCAGCTTTATTAAACGTCTGCATGATGGAATGCTTTGGGAGAAGACAAAAGCGGAGATTCATTGTGAAGTGGAAGCAGAGTTAGGGGTCGGAGTATGGTATCAATAAATCAAATGCTACATCCTACTTAACCATCATAGACCGGTCTTTTATATGTCCTCAGCTGTTGTTTTTTGTATTGTCGAGATAGATGTTCACCAGCGGCAGCAGCTTCCGCCGTGGGAACAAACAATGAAAACGCTGCTTCGGCTGCAGCCTCGACCGATTGATTCCACGAATAAGATCATGAACACATAGGGATGAATTGCTTCACTCTAGACTCGCCTGTGCAGCAGGCGAAATGGCGACGGCGAGGAGAAGAGTGAAATTCTCCGAGGGGAATCGTAACCCTTTGCACACGGACTAAAAGTCTGCAACGAGCCACGATGACTCGCGTTTCACCAACTCCGGCTTCACTTCAAGAAGGTTCCAATGTGATGCATGTGGCCCCACCACTGCTAGATACGCAAACTCAGAGATGCGAATTTCTTTCATGCAACATGTCTTGTGCGCTAAATTGTTTATTTTGCGGATAGTGAGTACCGGGTGATGATAATTTCCATACGAGGAGGGCCACCGCACGAGACTACAGCTCAGAACCGACAAATCGAGCCTCTTCGCAGGTTCACGTTGAAACTCTCCCAGATTCAAGGGATTTGACTGTCATTTCTGTTTCTTGTATCTGGTGATGGAATTGCTTTCTCATAACCATATTCTATAATATTTACCACTGCAATGCTCAACACGTCACTGAATTTTCAATGATTCCCGACGATCACCTGATGAAACTCAGTTGGCCTGGCAAGCAGTGTGCAAATGTGTAGTGTGACCTAATGTGACTGCGGCTTCGAGATTTTGCTAGTTTTTGTGGGTTCAGGGCTTCGACTTCCACAGAAACAATTTCTTCCGCTTCCTGTACTTCTAACACCTTCCCCCCCACAACACAGCCTTCCTTACAGCACACAACCCGCCTTACAACATACAATCCTCCTTCAACCACACGACCCCCGCTTACGACACAAACAATCTCCACCGCCGTTCGCTGAACAAGCTCGTCATCTACTCTTTCCTTCCATGCTTTTCTGGATGTTTTTGCCCTCCTTTCCCCGCTTGAGTTCGCTTCCGCTCCGTCCTCTTTCTCCATTTCCCACCATCCTTTGCGATCACTATTACCACCTGCTTTCGTCGATCAACTTGATGGGTGTTTCAAGGCAATCGCACCCAGCAGGTTCGTAATAGCTCTTCCACTCTGCACTTACTGTTTCGGCTAAACACTGACTTTAACTCCGACAGCAGTACCTGCTGAAGATAGATACCGTGGGGTACCCGCGCCGCATACGAGCCTCTCCGATCAGCCGGTGCTTGGTGCGTTCATCACATACCTACGGTCATCGCCGTAATCGGGTAAGATGACAGTTCCTTCTGTCAAGTGGTCTGGCCGCTTACATGGTCATGAATAGGCAGCTCACGCCGTGCCTTCGTACGGCTACTGTCTGATGTTTCGCGCGCCCCAGTGGCGGCGTAACACTGGATTGAAGGGGAACCTCCGAGTTCTCCTTCGCGCGCTTCTCACAATCATTCAGATAACGAAGGTATGTAGTTAGCACCCAGCTTTTTTTTTACATACTCGCAGTCAATTCGTTGCTAATGTAGTATTTGCAGAAGCCAAGCCAGACGAGCAGAAGGTGCGAGACGACGACCGCGATCCCGAGGATGACACCCGCGAGAATACGGTAGCTGCACGTGTTGCGGTCGGACATCCACGTGATGATCAACTAGGCCCGTCCGGCTTCCGGTGGCCCCGATACTTTATCGGGGCCGCCGATGAGGAGTCCACCGATTAGTCGGTGGACTCCGCCGGGCGAGGAAAACCTCAAAAAGCCAAGAGTGACCTCGGGTACAGCTCCGAAGTCAACGATGAGGATGTTGTCCACCTCTTCACGGAAACAGGACCCGCCGGCATGGTGACATACCATGTCACCTACAAAACTAGTGAGAAATACTAACGTCATACAGGTGGGGGCCAGGGACGTTTACGAGTTTGTTTCTCCAGAACGTGTGGCGAAATACGAGCATGAATAGTTCGAGCAAGATGAGAATATGGAAACATGTTATGACACGATGAACGGAGTGGGATGGGAGACCCGGTGTACGACCAAGACGCTCCTTCGCAAGTACAAGAAAGAGGCCCGGGAAGCTGTGAAAAACGCCAATAAGTCCAAGGTCGGAGCCGGAGACAAGTGCCAGGTCGGAGCAGGAAAAAAGACCAAAGTCGGCAGATACTAAGTCTCGGATTCGGACCACAATGACCAAGACGAGATCATCGCTTCGGACAAAGAAACCGACTACGATGAAGCTGCCGAGTCTTTCGGGTCAGACAGCGAGATCGACGAGACACCGAAGCGTACCGGCAAGGTTTACTCCACTGAAGTGGACCCTGATTTCAGGGCCCGCTACAAGCACCTAGACTTTGAGCACCTCGATGAGGTATCTGGAATGCCAAGGCTGCCCAGCAGGAGCATGCGATCGCGCAGTCGCGCGAGGAGGGCGAGGGAGAGGGGGGGTTGGTTTGGTTGATCTCGATGTGAATCTTTCGGAGATAATCACGGATCCGACAGCTGGGGCGTTCAGAGGCTGCTGGGACAGCACGAGTTGCAGTCTGACGATACCAACGCTTTGCCCTAGTCCCACCTGGAAGAGTTTCCAAGTAGGAGTATTCCGATTCCGCCCAGGTGGCGGGATCGGATCAAGTATCCCACTCCGCCTAATGACGGAGTGGGGAAGTTCCCACCTGCATCAGGAAAAAAAATCTACTTCATTAGAGTGTCCACTGCCTATTGATGTGGTGTCACGGTGACTGCAGTGGGTGCATAGGGAACGGTGGTAGGGGTTTCCACCCTATCCCGAGTAATATTCCGTGGGCACGACGTCAGGTGGGCTCTGCAACATCTTTTTATTGATTGATATCACGTGGTCTATGTACGTACATAATGATAATGAATATACGCCCTGTTTTTACACCCCGTCGGTTGCCTCAACTGTCCCGGGGCCTTCTCCGTCATCTCTTTCGGCTTCGTCATCTCGTCGGTGCCCTCATCTCTTCCAACGCCGCCCTCTATTCCGCGCGCTCCCAAAACTCTTCCGTACCGCCCAATCTTCTTGGCTCCCACCGCTCCTCCCTGCCGTCGCCTTTTCCGGCCCCTCGACTCATCCGTGCCATCATCTCGTCCAACCCAGCGACTCTTCCGTGCTCCCACAACTCGTCCCTGTCCACAACTCCTCCGTGCCATCATCTAGGAAAAACACCGTGAAGCCTCGATACGAGTTGAGAGACCGGAAAACCTTGAAGAGGCCGAACAGGGTATGTTCCCCTCCCCTTCCGCTTCCTGCCTCCCCTCCATTGAAGATTCTACTAACTCACTTCAACAGCTCATTCAACAGCTATTTTTGTTTTTATTTTATTTTTCTTCCATGTTGCGTTTGTTTTCATGTTGCGTTTGTTTTCATGTTGCGTTTGTTTTCAGAGCGGGGTTCTATCCAATCAACTACAGGAGATAGATCGTCAATATACCGGGGTCCGTGACGACGTATTCGTTCCGCAACAGCGGAATCGAATGAACATTGAACAGCCGGAGCCTCGGCCCGCAGGTAATATTCTTTGCTGGTGCCGAAGTCGCGTCCGATTTCCGAGGATTCGTAAGGCCACGCAGGCCAGTTCCGTTGTTCTCCCGTCCCAAGCTGACACGATCGGCGTCTCGATGGTGCGGATGTAGACAGGGCACGGTACGGCTTCGCTGCACTTCAAAACCTCACCCAGGAACGCGTGCGTTCTCTTGCTACTCTGTTCCTGGAAGACCGGTCTGGACCGGACTACCGAAGCTTCACCTCAAATATCTATCGTGGGCTCCTGCGATGCAGGATCAAAGCGGGTTGTCAAAGGGGGTTTAATCGAACATCAAAAAGAAGAGGCCATTCCCCGTTCTAGATGAGCAGATGGGAACGCAAACGTATCATCGTTATTCATATGTGGGAGAAATGAAGTACATGCATTTCCCCCATTTCCTCCATGGCCGTGACCGTATCTCCCTCGGTCCAGTTGACCTCCTGCCATCCCTTCCTATTTCTCCTCTGCCTCCACCTATCCCTCCTCCTATCCTTCTCGTTCCTCCAGTTGTACTCCCCCCCCCCCCCCCCCCCCCCCCCTCCCTTCCGTAAATGACTTCCGACTATGCGATACAAACCGGCGGCAATGAACTCACAGATCCACCAGTCAATCTTCCTTGCAACCGGATCGCACTGCATCCCGGATCGATGAGACAGTAACATCGCATTCTCCAAGACGACCAATGGGACAAGAACGAAGAAGACGAGACAGTTGAGTAGGCGATTCTTCACCCCCGCTACCTAAAGATGTGGGTAGGGAAGAAGGGGAAAGCCGATCTCAATGGGTCGCTGATAGTCGTGGGACCGGGGTCCGCGACGACGTATCACCCTTCTTGTCGATGGAGAGATTGCGCGCCACCTGAAGAGGTGGCTCGGCAGCAGCAAACGAGACAACCAGAAGGAATGGAAGGCTGCCGTGGGACCGGGGTCCGCGACGACGCATTCGTTCAGCAATAGCGGAGGGCGAATGAATATCCAGCGGCCAGGGGCGCGGGCCGCAGGTATTTCTGTTCTTCACTGATGCCGCTTTAGCGTCCAATTGTCGTGGGATCGTGGCTAGTAGACGATCGTAGCTTGCGAAACAATCGCTGTTGGTGCGGGTAGATTCTTTGTGGACCGGGGCCTCAAATGTGTCTTTCGAGTCGATGAGTCGGCTCGGATGTGGAGTCCAATGTTGCATGTGTGATAAGGTGCTGGGGTTGAAGCCGGAATGTAGTGAGAGAGAGGAAGTAGAAAAGTGGGAGAGTACAGAAGTGGTGAAGTGTAGAAGCTGAGAAATGGAGCAGTGGAGAGGTTGAGAAGTGGAGAAGCGGAGAAGTGAGGAAGTGGGGAAGTGGAGTGGTGGGGAAGTGGGATTGTGGGATTGTGGGATTCTGCGATTGTGGGGGATGTGACGGTGAAATGAGGTTTTCTTAGAGCAGCACAGCAATCCATTGTAACGAGCGGCAGTAGCGATAACGAGAGCAATCACAAGCAGCACTTCGCGCTCGTAAAATGTTTCCTGCAGGGTGTCATCAACCAGGCAAATCTCCCTCACAACCGATTGCAGACGCCAACGAAGGCGATCACTGATGAGAACGAAATCGAAGTCCTGGACTGAAACACCTGGCCAATGCCAAAGTTGCAGCTGTCATCGCAGGAGTTGCGTTCGATCTCTAATTGGTGGGGTAATCGGGGAGAATGCGAGCATGTTGGTATCGGCGTGCGATTCACAGAGTGCGAAACATGGTTGGTGCGAGGGTAATTCTGTCACTCTGTGCGAGAGTAATGAAGTTGAGCGTCTGCGACCAACATCGGCATCAGGACGAAAGAAAAATCCGTTGAGTGCGTGTAGGCGGTCCTGTCACTGGTAACGCTGCTAAAGTCCTCGCGACATTGCAAAGAGTTAATGCGTAGTCGCTTCCAGACATCCGATAGTAGTCGATATACGTATCGTATCGCATCCAACGATCTCGGACGGCCGATGCCTTGTCAATTGCGTATCTGATCTCAGATGCCGAAAACCTACGTGCCTGCGTGACCTCTCGTTGAAGTAGACAACCATCCAGCAGTTCCTACTCTGCATAATGTTGAAAGAAGTAGAGAATCGAATTCGCTGTGCTGCCACCGGGGGATTTGTTGTACTAGGTGACGCCAGCATTGCGCGTCCAAAGGTTAACAGCCAACCATGGACCTGTGTCAAGAACCATATTCGTCTCTCGACCATCATACCACAGCACCTAGTATCTTAGAGGAACCATTACACCAGGGCAATTTCGAGCGTCGGGGTCGTAAGCCTCCTGTGGAAAACAGGAGACCCCGAAAAAGTCGAGGGAGTGGCCTAGTCAAGCAACGGATGAATTCCGGGAACATGTTTACTGCACGGAAGAGTTGACAGCGCCGATAAGGTGATGGGGCCCATGAGATGTTGGTGCGGTATATTCATGAAACGGTCCAGTACAGGCTCCAGAAGAGTCAAGGGCCCGGAAGAGTCGAGGGAGAAGCCTAGTGATGGGAGCGGAAGAGGTGCGGCAGCGGGCTATTCAAGGCTCTGGTATAGTTAAGAGAACCGGCTACGCTGTAGACACCACTTGGGTACCGGGTGTATGTTCTGACCTCCTCTTCGTACACTATCTGCACATCCTCCTGGGAGATTGGCTTCAAACGGTTTCGAGATACCTGCAAAGGCTGCTGCAGATCATGGAGGTCCTGTCTTTCAGGCCGATGCTGCTTTTGGTGGCTTGCTGCGGATCTGGCATCTACTCCTGCACTTGCGTAGGTTACGCTACTGGTAGTGGGCATAGCGAACCATGTTGCGGTTGCGAAAACGGCGCCTGCGACGGAAGCTGTTATTATTAGTCTGAGGATGTTCCAGTTAGTCCTGCGGCAGCTGGGACGGGTGTCGCTTCGGGAGCTGTCGTTTGTGTTCGGAAGCGGGTTCGGCGGATTCCAAAAACAGCAGTACTAGTGGGCTCACCACTTGTGGTCCACATTGACAGGTCAACACAAAGTTAAGGTTTTTCTCTGGACTGTACTAGCAAGTGTATCAAGACCAACAACCTATGCATATATTGTTGGAATGCTACCACTATACAGGGCGTGGGTGGTCAGCAACGGTGGAGGCAGGTGGTGCCGGTAGGTGGTCGCCAGTAAGAGTCGTCAGCAGGATAAAAGAGTCGGTGGATAGCCGCCAATGAAAAGGCAACTATCATACAAATCATTGTATCTTCGAGTGAAACTGTTTCCCGTGCCTTTCCACATATTTCGGCTTCCTGCAGACGTCAGGAGACTCTGTCGCGTTAAACAACGTTGATGTTGCAAAAATATTCTTACGCCAGTAATTGGAGGCAAATATTTGGTTCAAATTGTGTCTATTACACCATCCTCCTCACAAAGCGCGGCCAACATTTTCTCGATTGCTATAACATCCTCCTTCGTAGCTTCGATTCATCCTCCTACGTAGCTGTGCCAAATCCAGCTGATTAGCTATGATGCATCTTTAATCGTACCGGCGGTTTATACTTATTCGTACCTGCAATATATCCTCCTTCGTAGTAGCGATCACATCATTCTTCTGCCAGCTTTCCCAGTAACCGACAGCTTCGCGCAAAACATCTCCCATTGGCCCTCGCAGCGTTGGTAACCGTGGAGGGTGATGAACGATCACCGCTGCGCTCACCACATGTCGTGGCTCCGCAGATATCGCCAGAAGAGAGCAATACGTCAAGGCCCCGCAGGCCAGTTCCGTTCTCTCGCATCGTCAGCCGACACGGTCGTCGTCTCAAATGTGGTGATGTAGACAGGGCACGGTAGGCCTTCGCTGAGCTCCCAGCACCAACGCAGGAACGAGTGCCTTGTCGGGCTACTTGGTTCCTGGGAGACCGGCTTGGACCGGTATACCGACACTTCTCTCTTTAGGTGAACTTAACCACCTTCCAACCCCTCTTGTTTCTCCTCCGCCTCCTTCTCTGCCTCTTCCCAGCTCTCCTCCTATCACTCTCGTTCCTTCTGTTGTTCACCCCCCGTTCCGTAGATGATTTCCG